AATGAGATAATCTCTCATATACGATAGCCTGGTAGATCATCTTATCCCTCATTCTACACTACTATCATGCACTGAAAGAGGGTCAAGAGGTCTACCTCCACATATACATGTGCATATCCAAAGTGGTTGAATATTTTAATGTTTGGATCAAGACATATAAATGTCTCCACCTCATTCGCCAAAGACTCAAGGGCTTTAGATGTAAATAAGTGTGTTGGAAGACTCGAGAAACCCATCTAGACTAGAACAGAGTGGGGTTATTTCCTCCAAGAAGTGTCATCTCTGTGTGGGGTCCAGCTGTGTGTATACATGATGATATCTTGAATCTCCCATGTCATTAGGCTCCAGGCTTTCCGATAATGCACCTCAAGCTTGAATCGGATAAAAACATTATGGTAATCTCCCATGTCATTAGGCTTCATAGGGGCTAGATATACCCTATGGATGTCATCAAGATGAGGGCGTTTCTGGTGAAATGTCTTATGAGAGAAAATTAAAAGGCCTCTGTTAATCTTGGAGACTTCATTTGGATAGAATGAGATTGTTCTCATTCCTCCTTCCTCTGTATAGATCCATGTCAGTATGGCATCATCATAAGGAGGGAACAGTGCTCCTCTTTGTATAATCATGGATGGAGTGAGATGTGGTCTTACTAGTCACTATGTCCAAAACTTCTTCAGTCCAGAGGAAGTACTTGGGGCAAGTTGCATAGGATGGGCTGGATCGACCTGCCCTTAAATAGATTGGGTAAGGTCAACCTGGGTCGATGCAACTTGAGTGTGCTAGGTCGGCCCTTGGTAGGCCTGAGCAGCCTGGGTCTAAGCTGGTTGAGCCGGTGTTACCTGGGTCAGAGTGGGCTGGGTGGGCGCAGCCTGGGCTTGAGTGGTCTGGGCCTGAGTGGGCTGATTTGGTACAGAGGAGCCCTAAAAAATAACTAAATCACATATAGGTTCTAAAGAAATTAAAGAAAAACTCGAAACTCCACTTGTTGAGATGACCTGAACAAAACTTGATATGTGGCAGCCATGAAAACACCATCTTTTATACCCAAATTTCCTGCAAACTCCCATTCAATAACTTTTTCATAAATGATGGATATAGAAATGTTGCATTTTCAGATGAAGAAATAGTTGAATTGTCAAAACCTTTTGAAAATTATATTATTGAAAAAAACACTTATGGTAGACAACCTAGGAGAGATTTTGAGAATAACTAAAAAAACTTTGAAAAAGACATCATACTAGATGATAATTTGATTTCAATTAGGATCATACTTTTACATAGCATGGAGTAGAAACTTATGGAATATTATGGGAATCTAATGAGGACTTTTAGATGGACCCCAAAAAAATTTACAACAGAGGAGCCCACTTTGGCCCCCATCTAGATTGGATTCAGGGGCTCAAGGGCTTGCTTTTTAAACCTGTCACCATTTAAATATATAGCCTCAACAATAGGTAAATTCACATGCACAAATAAGGATATCAGATATTTCATGAGAACACGATATGCTAGGGCATGTATTTAAGTAGACTTATCTATACCAATCTTGGAGTTTGTGATGGTAGGCAATGAAAACAGTAAATGAATAAACAAAAGATAATGGTTGGTGGAAAATAAACCAACATTTTGTTCTTATTGTACAATGATTAGGATACATATCAAAACTATAGAAGGAAAAAACATACTAAAGGGACATATACACAAAACAGGGAATGTAATGATTTGGTGAAAAGTGAGAACCTAGGGGCACACTCAAGAAATAATAAACAACTCATCTTTTGATGGTTGATAGAATATTACAATGTATGAAATGGAGACCAAATAAGATAATCCTATTAAATAAAAAAAGAGGTATGGATTTTAAGGTTTATACTTATATTGACTATTCACATTTTATTTGTGAGCAAAAATCAGCTTTAGGTTATTACAACTTTCTCAGTGGTAATCTTATTACTTGGCATTACAATAAGTAATAGGTGGTGTCAAGGTCTAGCATATAATATGAATATTGAGTAATGTTCTAAGGCATGTGTATGTGTGAAAGACATCTTAGAAGGGATTTGAAAATTGTGGCACAATCTTATAAAATTATGTTGTGAAAATAAATCAGTCATAAATATAACTCATTATAATATAGTATGATAGATTGGCACATTTTCAAATTCAAGTAAGAGAGCATCATTTTACGCTCTATATATTTCAAGTCATGATCAACTAGTATTTCATTTCAAGTATTTCATTTAGTGGCAAATACACTTAGGAGTTTCATTTCAATGAGTTATATCCAAATTTGGATTAGATGGCATTCACTCCACTTGAAGGGAAATGCAGGAACAAAACTTTTTTATTTAAATGCCCAGAATTGTATTTGCCTTTATATTTTTATTTTATTATTGAATATAATTCAATTTAAGTAAAACTAATATGATTGGATCCAATCTGATTAGTAGAGTTATGTATAAATACATGTAATGTTTATATGTAATTTATGTTTCACATATAAAGTCAGTTTGGTAGAGTTTTGGTAAAAAATATTTTCCGACCACAATCCATCCCTTTTCCGATGACAGCAGTCTTCTCCGGTAAGCTAATGGTTATCCAACATAGACAAGCATATCTTTCTTTTATATACCGATCCATATTCGCTGTTCTATATTGGTTAAAAAGCGGTGATTTTAGTGCAATATTTGGTCTCTACGCGGCGACGACTACTGTAACCCATTATCCTGCTTTCCACCTCCCACTGTCCGTTGCTGCGGGGACGGTAACAACCGACGGCCATAGGCCCAGCCACCAGTAATGCCCCCGGCCAACGTGGCTTGCTGTATCTATCTCAGAGGGGGACGACGACATCAAACTACAGGGGAAGGTGGACAGGAATAAGCGGCTCGGACGGTAGGGCACCATCAGGTCCTCCGCCAGGGAGACAGATAAGAAATGTCCGATTCTTCACTCAAGATGGTTTTGGGATGTCCACCGCTTGAGAAATTGACGAGGGCACCATGAATGGCGATGTATCAAGTAACAATGCAGGCTATCTGCAAGAATTGATACACAAGCTCAGCAAAGTTGGTCAGGACGTCAACGGCAACGACCTCAACGCCACCGGCACCATTCACGGGCCCAACGTCAATGCGGACTGGGCGAAGAATGCCGATGCTGCATTTGCGAAGGTTGGTTTCTGGGCAACCGATTGATAGATGTTTTTGGAGAGTTCGGGTACATGGTCGCTGCGCGCTTTCGCATTCTGTTAATCTGGGTGTGGTGTGCTCTTTTATGATTTCCTCCTAGACACCCACCAGCTGAGCTCCAGCTGCGAGAAGAAGAACGAAGTTCACGCCTTCAATTCCTCGCTACCCTGGTTTGTTATCTCCGGTGAGCTTCCAGATAGTGACATCGCCTAACGGCTATTGATTTAAACGGAGTTAACTGGTGTTAATTCCCTCCTCTCTTCAACAATAACCATTGAAAGGATGCGGCTGTTCTTTTTGCAGTTGTGAGAAGTCCTCGAAGGAGAGTTTCGTGAGTTCGGCCAGTGTGCAAACCTTGAGGGGTTTGGCAGGGGCAGATCACCGGGCTCTGCGCACAAGCCAATACAGATCTGCACCCATGCCTTGGATGATCATGATGGACCCCCAGTAACACGATCCCCCTACCAGGACTCGTTCTTCCCGCGGCCGTCAACAACGCTTCTAGAGCTTCACCGACATATGTCACCACGACGTCCCTCACTGGAACCTCAGAAGATCTCGGACGCCTCAACAGCACGTGAGCCACACGGCTACAAACCAGACGGGACGTGCTCCAACAGTTATTATCCAGAGTGATACTTAAACTATGGACATCCACTCTCGAAGGCAGGTCGGGAGATCGGGGAGTGGGGACCACTCGAAGCGTCAATCTTTTCCTTCTATCATATTTGTTCTCTCTTACTCTCCACTGCTACGAGTCCTCGTCGTTCCTCTTCTTAGAGTTGAGAATATTTCCTTCCAAAGTCTGTACGTCCAGATTGACTTTTCCCAGTGCGAAAATAGAGTCTGTCGTGTAGTGTCGTCACCCAACCGCCAATCCATGTTTGTTCCAAAACCGGAGTTCCAACCAGATCATCGCCGCTGATGCCTCTTTCCCGAGCGGCACCAGACTGCTCCGATCTCTCTCGTCTATTCTTCGCTGGCCGGGTTTGCTTACCTCCATGAGCTTCCGGATGGTGGCATCACCTAAAGGTTATTGACTTACACGGAGGGAACTGAAGTGAATTCCCTTCTCTGCTCAACAATAACCATTGGAAGGATGTAACTGTTCCTTTTGCAGTTGTGAGAGGTCCTCGGAGGGTTTCGTGACGTCGGTCAGTGCGCCGGAGAAATGGGTCACCTTGAGGGGTTTGGTGGGGGGTAGATCACTAGTCTCTGTGCACAAGCCAATACAGATCTGAACCCGTGCCTTGGATGATCATCGCTGCCGATGTCACTCTTTCCCGAGCGGCACCGGACTGCTCCGATCTCTCTCGTCTATTGCCGGGGGGAAGACAAAACAGGAGCGAAGGCCGCTTACCAACCTTGTGCGAGGACGTTTCTTTCTTCTTAGCACCCCTTCTGTTCTATACCCTGTCCGACTCCCGCAGGGTGGCAACAAGCGACTTTCCGGGTCTCTTTTCTTTTTCTAGGCATGCTTAATTTCATTGGGAAGAAAACATCTGAGAAGCTTTCCGAATCGACTCCGCGAGTAGTTCTTCTTCGCACGGTGGAAGGCCTCATTGTTGGTCGATACCATGGTCTTGAAGAGTAAAGCATTTGGCATGGACCGATAACTCGTCATGACTCCGAAACCATCACCTATAATTACATCCTTTTTCTTGGCCGATGGGATAGATAGATAAAAACACGCGACATTCGCAGACACCGGCGAAGCTTACCTGATTTCTAACAAGGAACAACAACACAGCTTCCATCCACACAGAGCCGCTTGTGGAGTAAGCCTAATGTCGCGGGAAGACATCCTCAGATGGCTGCATTATCCACGTCACAGGCACCATTCTCGATCACCACACCGCGCTTCTTCTTCTCCGCTTCCCCTTCAACGGATAGGCGTGCTTCATACGCAGCCCCCTGTCCCGTCCCATTTTGTTGCTCAGATGGCACCACATGTTCCTCTCTGGCGTCCACGGCCTCATCTGATTTGCCAGCTTTCTGGAGCTCGTCTGACCCATTCTCCTCGACGCGGGCGTGTGGCTCCTCCAAAATCTCAGCGTCGTCGTGCGCCTTCCCTTCCGCCATAATCTCCTGGGGAGGAGAAGCGATGGATTCAGAGACGTCTAATCGACCCCCAGCACCCACGGGTGCGCCAGAGGCTTCAATCCCAGATCTCTCTTTGACGTCCTCTTTCTTGCCTTCCGAAGCATCTTTTGGTGGGGCTGAACCTGGCTCCTCACCCACTTCCACAGTTTGGTCCTTTTCTGATCCGTCCTCTTTTTCCTCTGCATGGCCCTTGCTGGTCGCTCCCAAATCTGTATCAGGAGCCTGCTTCTCCGGCGTTCCTTCTGAAACGACTTTGGCCCCGCCAGTATCTCTCTTTGGGCCCGATAATTTCTTAGCCCGTTTCTTCTTGGGCTCCACTTCTGTAGGGGGGGCTGCTTTCAGCCTTTCGCTGATCCTTGCAGATCTCCGGGGGTTCTCTCCAGTTCCCCAGTCAAATATCGAAATCGCAGGTCCACCAGGATGCGATTTCAGATACTCGACGAGCTGCCCTCTGTTGTTTATTTCCTCTCCAGTAGGTGCGATGAAAACAGCTTCGTTCCTTTTCAGCGTCCCTCCCCGGCCGGGAGCAATCTGCACCAGCAATGAAAAGGAATCTCGTAAAAATTCGCGCGAGCGGATGTCATGCGGATGTTAGGCATAATCCCCGTCCACGAGAGGAGATTGGACCGTCCTACATAAAGATTTGCATAGGTCATTGCCAGCCCAGTCGGTCGAGGGCAAATATTAACACTAGCCTACATCATAGTGCACGTTTTTTAATACAGTGGACACGCAAACATTTTTGTGCAATTTTGTGGCACCCTCCCTCTCCTTCTCCACAACGCTCTTCCTGTTCCTTATCTCATGTGTGTACGACCACGGCATGTCTGGATAGAAGATTCCCCACCCAGAAAGGCACAGTCGATTAAAAGGGATCTTGTGCTGAAATCGAAGGACAAGACTCCTAAAAAGCAGGAGACGCATACTCATACGTCAACTGGATCCGGGTCAGCCTTCCCACGTTCGAATTGCGTCGGGATAATCTAATCCACCTGCTGACTAACAGGCTCCCGTCCTCACACGAATTCACCCCCAAGGTGCCAACCCATATCGATTTTAGGTTTCTTTTTCGTACCTAAGAGCCTCAGAACATAGCAATAATCCAACAGAAAAGGTCCGCAAAATGGGTACTGTAAATCGATAACCAGAGTAACCAGGTTCATCCACATATACTAGATTTGTGGTACCCTAGATATCAACTTCACATTAGCATCGAGACTGCCTATCACAGTCACGGAATGAAAAGCCGGTAGTGACAAAACAAACAAAAAAGAAGACGACAGGTTTATGATCGCCTTTAAAATGATACTGAGAGGCATAAAGCATGACGGGAATTAATTCAGATCGGGCACTTACAAGATTCAGGTGAAAAAAAAAGAAATCTGTAAAGAGCAAAATTGGTGTACGAGACTTGCCAGAAAACAAATCAGAAAACCGGAACAACCAAGCAGGGACTGATCTTCTTCTGTACACAGTACCATGTGCATAGTCCAGGCAACGACTTTTTGGGTTTGGTGTCCTGATTGCTCGTATGGTTGCTTCAACCTATCACCGCGGTAGAACCTTTTCCCACAAGATACAATATGATTTTTCCCTCTTCCCACCGTCCACAAGAAACTGAAGACAAGCTACAGGTAAAGGGTGAAGTGAGAACCCGGGACGAGCTCAAAGAAACAGAGCTAAGGCGGCGGCCTCTCGCTGCTGTGGAAAACAAGCGAAATGAGAGAGACGCGGGCTTCGTTGGGCGGGGGGGTGTGGGGGTTCTTCTTCTAACCGGAACAGCTGAAGTTCTTCACAGTTCAACAATCCGCAGGAAGAAAAAGACCCCGACAAAACAAAAGGAGGGAGAGCCCCAATCTACCGTAGATAGTTTGAGACAAGAAACAGGCACGAACAACGGCAGGGAAGGAGTTGGTTGACCTCAAGTGTGATTCGTCGCAAGGAGCTGCCAGGAAGGATCTCCGCAACTGAAGTTTTGAATTTGAACAGACAAATAGGGAGCGAGTGAGTTTGAAGAGCTAACCAGAGGGGTTGAAAGGCAGTCAGTTGAAGCACACTGATCAAGGCTTCCCGCAGAAGAAATAGGTCAGCTTCCCTTCTTTTTCCTCTTCCTCTCATACCCTCTGGGATGGCACCACCTCGCTAGGAGATAGTAAGGAACTCGAGGGAGGAGGCGCGTTACCTTCTTCTTCCAGCCGGAAGGCGCAGGTGGCTCGACGGAGACGACCTCGGCATCAGTGGCTCCTTCAACCAGATCCCTAACCTCCATAGCGCAAGAGGACTCTCTACGCCTTCAGATGATAACGATGAAAAGAGCGAGAGCGAGGACTAGGCCTCACCCAAACAAAACTGAGCGGGAACCGCCAGAAACACGGAATTCAGAAGTACGAGCGGGCTGAACGGGAGAAGGGCTGGATAGAGAGCGAGAGAGACAGCCGCGTCAACAACTAGCGGCAACAACGAGGAGCACGGCCGACACGCGGCGGCAATTGGCTGTGATGAGGTGGTAACGCTGACGCAAATGCATCTTCGTCTTATCCAATCTATAGCCAAAATCGACTGGAGATCCGCTCGGGACGCACGTGGTGAGTAAACGTCAAATATTATCCCTAGAAATACTCTGCTGAGATATTTACCGACACTTAGTCCTCGGCAGAGCGAGGGGCTGCTAGACCTCCCGGACCGAACCACGTCGAGACCGGAAACTAGCTCGGTCACAACCAAACACGGACGAAGTCGGTCTGCGCCAGTGTGGTCACCGCCGCACCCCCACCGCCATTTGAATATAAGGATCTGCTGGTTCCAAATGTCGCCATCTAAACGCAAAGGGCCAAATGAAGGCCATGCCGCCGAATTCCCTTTTACTTGTCCGCGATTGCAGTATAATGTTAGGTCTCTCTGAACTTCAAGCGAAGATTGTTCTCCGCATATATGTTAGAAGGTCTCCAAATTTTTCATTTTTTTGATTTATTTTGAAATCATATGCCCACCCCAACACTTAGATTGGGTGAGAGACCGTCTAATTCAGTCAGAGAGAGAGAAAGAGACAGACAGACAGAGAGAGAGCAATAGGCCAACCCCAATACTGTACCCCCTGGTAACCCCTGATTGAACTTAGTGCATACAATGTTTGTGCAAATGTCCCTTCTATGAAAACTAGTCTTCATTGCGATGTGCCGAGGGGGAGAGTTGCTGCTTTACGAGTGGGCAAGGGGCCGTGACTACTTATCACATGATAGGCTCAAAATATTTATGCTTTCTTTGCTGTCAGCCTTGATCGTTGCTATAACCGACATCGAGCATCCTTCACCTCTATAGAAGTCCACTTTAGCACAAGGGGCGGATATTCTTCTTTCCCAAAAATACACTTCGAGAGTAACATTCTTCTACGACTGCGATTCTCTTCCTTTCATATGAACACACCCTAATGGGCCTAAGTGGACCCTCCAGAGTCTCACCTTCCTAAAGTGGACCCTTTCCAAGCAGCCCACCTGCCCAATGTGCCAAGATCTCAATAGGCATGAAACTTGTTCAAAGATCGCATGGAACCGTATCCACGCACTGCGTAGTGGGGCTCATGGCTCTCTAGGCACACCCTTGAACCTCTCTCCAAGGCTCATAGAAGCGCCAAGACCACTTGGCCACTTTTGTACATCTTGTGTTATCATCACACACCTTCAAATTTGCACTGTTTGTCTTCCACCGTGCCTCCACATACTACATCACATTGCACTATACAGTACACATCCACACATTCATCCTCTGAGTCATGTATGTCATGTTATTCTATAACATACCATGCTGCAAGTGAGCCTCTTGAACTGCCCAACTCAACAAATCCATTTGATCTTTTTAAATAAGCGATGATGCTGTTGAAATTAATCTTAATATGGACAATTATATATATAAATTTTATATTATAGGGTTATCATTGAATTAATCCCACTTAAAAATATTCATTGGAGTTTAAGTATTTAGGATTACGACCTCACTCGTAAGTATGGACATAAATTTAAGTATAAATGTGTAGAGACTGTCTTATTTTAATTTTATGATGAGTTAAATTAGAAAAAGACACTAAGAGGCTAACCACTTCTTATCTATAAATAAGGGTCATAGTCCTTGAGTCACACATCGTGAGTCACTCTTAGAACATCCCATCTCTCTAGAGCAAGTCATTGGACGACTCCCACTGTGTTGATCCAAATGGTCATTCTTGTACTTACGCCTTCATGGATTCAAGTATGGTTTTAATTTATTCTCATTATATTTTGTCATTCTCCATCTACATCAACACAAGATCATTCAGATCCAAAAGTGGTATCAGAGCCAAATGTGTTGATTTTTGGAGAATGACGTTTGTTCATTGATTTTCGTTTATCATGGTATCATTTTTTGATGCCTTGTCTTGAGAATGGATTCAGGCGTCCATTGTGGAAATCATAAGGTTTCGACCTTACCATAGACGGATTAATGGGTTGTACAGGCCGTTCAGATGGTCTGTCGACTCTTCTTCTTTCCCTGTAGAGGAGGGAGCGGTGGTTTCCGCACACCTTTCTTCCTCTCCTTTCTCGAAGGAAGATTTCCATTTGGAAATCATGGGCTGTAGGAGGGGCCCAAGCATTTCCCTTTCCCCTTTCCGTCGTCAGATGGGAGGCTGGAGAGCGGTGGACGGCGCTTCCGGAAGGCATGGATGCCAGAGGGCTCCGGAAGGCGAAGAAGAGGCGCAGGCCGGCGCCGGAGGATTCCGAAAGGACCTGCCGGAGGTAGAGGGCTCTGGCGGCTTCGCATGCCCCCAATCACATTTGTTCTCCTCTTCCTCTCGCCAAAGGATGGTTTCCGTGTCTTCCGAAAATCGGCAGGAATGAGGAGGACGTGGAGGGGAGGGGCGAACGATGCGGTTCCGTTTTTCGAATGGGAGGCCATTTTTGGGCCGACCCATTCCCAGCACTAATTTTTTCTCCCTTCGTGCGATGGTTCGTGTGCCGCTCCGCCACGTGAAACAGCCGCACCATTTTTGGTGTGTGTCGGACGGGAACCGTCACGCGGTGGTTTCTACACTGCTCGCGCCGGTTCATGTCTGCAGCTCAGCTCGCGCCAGTTCAGGTCCATGGCTCGGCTCGCACTAGTTCGGTTCCGCGGCTCGACTTGCACCGGTTCCATTACGTGGCTCGGCTCACGCCGGTTCGGGTGGTTGGCTTAGCACAAGTTGGATAGCCAGACGGCGCGCCGGCTTGGCACAAGTCGATCCAATTAGGTGACGCGTTAGTCTACAATGATGATGTCATGATGATGATGTTAGCATTTGGTTTGCTGATGTCATGCCCATAAAATAATTTATTTCGGACGTCATTTTATTTCTGAAATATTATTGACGATTTTATTTCAGAATTTTTTTTTATAGAGATATTTGATATTTTCAATATTTATGTTTACATTGAGTATGGTTAAATGTCAAATAACTATTATGATTCAAATTTTGGTACATGTTTGATATTTTAGAATTATTAGTTGAAGCAACATCCTACCAAAGTAGGCTCTCTTGTGCATATTAATTTTTCTAATATATGAGATATTGTGTATGTGATTTTGTGGATACTAATTAGCCCAAAGGAATGTTTAGTATTTTATAAATTACATACATTTGTGATAACAAATATATGACAATTATTTGGTATTTTTATATGAATAATAAGTCAGTTCAAAGAAAAGCTTATTATTTGACATTAACTTATTGTAAATATTTATTTGTCACACCAAGATATTACTTACAATTAATATTGTTGTCCAAAGACAAAGTATTAATGTTGCTTTCAATATCTTGTGATAGAAAGTACGGTTATTTGAAAATCAAATTACTTATGTGAGCTTTATATTATTCTTTGTACAATTTCAAGTTCTGTTTCTACTATTTCTACTTAAATAAATTCTATTCTTATGTTAAATGACACTAACTTCAAAGCATGGAAAGAGAATGTTATGATAGTTCTCAATTGTATAGATCTAGACATTATATTAAGAGAAAATCTTCTTACAATATTTCATGAGGATAAGAAAGATATGGATAAGTGGGACTGATCGAATCGCATGAGTCTTATGATCATGAAGCATGTTGTTCTAGAAGCCTTAAGGGACACTTTGTTTGAAGAGGCCACTATAACAAGAATTTTTCTTGAATAACTTAAGAAAAAGTTTGTTAAGAACGATAAGGTCAAAACAAGTATAATCTTAGCAAAACTTATCTCTATGAAGTATAAAGGCAAATAAAATATAAGAGAGTATATTGTCGAGATGTCTCATCTTGCATCAAAACTAAAGGTAGTAAAGTTAAAGCTATTGGAAGATTTGCTTGTGGATTTAGTTTTGATTTCTCTTCCTTCACAATTCAATCAATTTAAAGTGAGCTATAATTGTCAAAGGGACAAATGATCCCTAAATGAGCTCATATCACATTGTGTGCAAGAAGAAAAAATGTTGAAGCAAAATAGGTATGAGAGTGCTCATTTAGCCATGACTTCTAAAAATAAAATCAAGAAAAGACCTATGGTCAATGAAGCTATAGGCAGACCATCACTAAAGAAATAACAAATGAAGTAAGATAAAGAATCTACTTAGTTCTTTTGCAAGCATGGTGGCCACATGAAGAAGGATTGTACCAAATATCATACTTGGTATACAAAGAAAAGTGACCTTCTTACTTTGATTTGTTTAGAAGTTAATTTAGCTTCTATATCCTTACACACATAATGGATAGATTATGGTGTTACTATTCACATAAGTGTGTCTATGCAAGGTTGTTTCCATTATCGTCAGCCAATTGATGATGAAAGATACATCTATTCATGTGATAGCAATATAGTAGTAGTGGAAGCAATAGGGACCTTTAGGTTATTGTTAAAGATTGGACATTATTTAGATTTAATTGAGACTTATGTTGTACCGTCTCTTAGACAGAACTTGATTTCTATTTCAAATTTAGACAAATTTAGTTATAATTATCTATGTAGAAATGAAAATTTTAGTTTCTTTGATAATTCAAATCGTATTAGTATTGGTACTTTATCAAGTCATGATACCCTATACTTTCTTGACATAATGGTCCCTACTAATAAAATCTGGTAAATCAGTTCAAAGAGTACAAAAAAGAAATTAATCAATGAGAATTCCGCTTCATTATGGCACACGAGATTAGGTCATATCTCTAAAAAGAGAATTGATCGACTCTTGTTTGATGAAATTTTTGATCCACTTGATTATAAAGATTTCGACACTTATGTCGAATGTATCAAGGAGAAAACAACAAACATATAGAAAATAAGTGTCAATCGAGTTTCAGATGTCTTAGAATTAATACATACAGATATTTGTGGACCATTTCCTATAGTCTTTTGGAATGATTAATAATAATTTATTATATTCATATACGATTATTTTTGATTTGATTACTTGTATTTTATTCATGAGAAATCTCAATCACTAAATGTGTTCAAGAAATATAAGATCGAAGTTTAGAATCAACTCAACAAACAAATTAAGGTCATCACATTAGACTATGATGGTGAATACTATGATAGATATGATGAATCAAATGAACAACATTTAAGACTTTTCACTAAATTTCTAGAGGAGTGTAGCATCGTCCCACAATACACCATGTCAGGATCCCCTAGCATGAATGATGTTGTTGAACGACCAAATAGAACACTTAAAAATATGGTAAAGAGTATGATTAGTCAATCCATCCTGCCAAGTAACCTCTAGGGAGAAGCACTAAAGACTGCAACTTATTTGTTTAATCAGGTTCCAACTAAGGCAATTGTTAAAACTCTTTATGAGCTTTGGACGAGTAATAAGTCTAGTTTAAAATATTTACATATTTGGTTTTGTTTGACAGATGCAAGACCTTACAGACCTAATGAAAGAAAACTTGACTCTAAAACAATTAGTTGCTACTTTGTTGGATACCCAACAAGGTTTAAGGGGTATAAGTTTTATAATCCCACTACTAAAGTTATTTTTAAGTTGAGAAATACTTGTTTCTTTGAGAAAACTTGTTTCTTTTGAAGAAGAATATGTAAATATTTCTTCTATTGCTATTAACAATGATCTTGATGACGTCATCTTGACTACCATTGATCAAGAAACAACTTCAGATCAAAATAATATCACCATGCCTCTTACTTCAAAATAATAAACTCAACATACTCAAGAACCAGTGTCATTAAGAAGATCCACTAGAGAGAGGAGGAATATGACTTTGTATTAATATATTGTATTTCTTTTAAAACATGAGGCTGACATTAGAGTGATGGAAGATGATCCTATCAAATTTCATCAAGTCATGCAAAGTTCTAATTCTCATAAGTGGATCGATGCCATGAATGAAGAGATTAAATCCATGAAGGACAATAATGTATGAGATCTTGTCTCATTACCCAAAGGTACAAAGCCTATTAGTTGTAAATGGATATTTAAAATCAAAAAGGGTTCGAAAGGTAATGTGGAAAGATATCAAGCTTGTCTTGATGCTAAGGGATTCACTCAAAGAGAAGGCATCGATTATATAGAGACTTTCTCTCCGATTTCATCAAAAGACTCTTTTAAAATAATAATGGCACTAGTAGCTCATTTTGATCTTGAGCTACATTAGATGGATGTAAAGACTGCATTTCTCAATGGTGACATTGATGAAACGATATATATGGTGCAATCAAAAAACTATGTCTAGAGGCCCAAAAAAATTGACATGTAAATTAAAGAAGTCCATCTATAGATTAAAATAAGCTTTTTGTCACAAATTTCATCAAGTTATCATTTTATCTGATTTTGAGATGAATATGAGTAATGAATGTGTATATCATAAGTTCAGTGAGAGTAAACATATATTCCTAATTTTATCTATCAATGACATATTACCTACTAGTAATGATATAGGCTTACTTTATAACACCAAAAGTTTTTTGTCAAGGAAGTTTGAGGTGAAAGATCTCAGTAAAGCCTCTTATGTATTGGGCATTGAGATATACCGAGATCAACCTCAAAATATCATGGGATTGTCACAAAAGAGCTATATTGAGAAAGTCCTTGCAAGATTTGATATATAAGAATGTAAACCTTATGATACTTCTATTAATAAAAGAGACAAGTTTAGTCTCAATCATTACCTTATAAATGATTATGAGGCTAAAGAGATACAAAAGATTCCTTATGCATCAGACATAGGAAGTCTTATATATGCTCAAGTATGTACGCATCTAAATATTGCGTACATAATTGGAGTATTAGACAAATATTTAAGTAACCCTGATGTGATTTATTAGAAAGCAACCAAACGGGTTATGCAGTATTTGCAAAAGACAAAACACTATATGCTCACATATAAGAAATCAGATCATTTGGAGATCATCGAGTATTCAGATTCTAATTTTGCTAGATGTATTGATAGCACACGATCCACTAGGGGTTATATCTCTACTAGCTCGAGGAGCTATATCATAAAAGAGTGCTAAGAAGACATTCATAGCTTCTTCTACTATGTTAGTAGAGTTTATAACATGTTATGAGGCATCCAATCATGGAATTTGGCTGAAGAATTTTGTCACAAATTTATAAATTCTAGATAGAATTGAAAGACCATTAAAGTTATTTTGTGACAATAAATCACTCGTTATATTTTCTAATAATAATAAGAGTTTGACAAAGTCTAAACATATAGACGTCAAGTTCTTAATTGTTAAGGAAAGAGTTCAAAGTGACCAGATGTCTATTAAGTATATTGGGACAAACTCCATGATAGTAAATCTAATTACTAAAGGACTGCCACCAAAGGTCTTTCACGAGCATGTTGCTCATATGGATGTAATATCTCATGAGGATCTATAATTTCAATAGGAGTTTGTATTTTGATACTCATATAGTTATAGATATATACTTTGGTTATTTCATGCATAAATAAAGTTTACAATTATTTCCACTCTAAATGTGGTTGTTTGATCTCTATTCAAAATAAGGAGGACTAAGTTAAAAATATATATGTATGAGTCACACTTGATGTAATTTTCATGCTACACATCCATATTTAATTTATGTCATTTATTATATCGATATACATGATTATTGTGGGTTCAATCATGTGCAAAATGTGAACGAAAACCTCTTTAGTTCTATATTGATATAATGATATAATTATTAGAGATGTCTTTGACAACAATAGCAAAATTTTAAACTCATAAGGTCATAATGTATAATATCAAGTTGTCATATATATTTTGTCCAAGTGAAAGATTGTTGGAATTAATCTTAATATAGATAATTATATATATATATAAATTATATATGATGGGGCTATCATTGAATTAATCTCACTTAAAGTGATTCATTAGAGTTTAAGTATTTAAGATTACGACCTCACTCGAAAGTATGGGCATAAATATAAATATGTGTAGAGACCAAGTCTTATTCTAATTTTATGATGGGTTAAATTAGAAAAAGACACAAAGAGGTTAACCACCTCTTGTCTATAAATAGGGGTCATGGTCTTTGGGTTATATATCGTGAGTCACTCTTAGAGCATCTCATCTCTAGAACAAGTCATTAGACGACTTTCATGTGCTGATCTAAAAGGCCATCCTCGTACTTGTGCCTTCATGAATTCAGGTATAGTTTTAATCCATTCTCATTATATTTTGTCGTTCTCCATCTACATCAACACAAGATCATTCAGATCCAATAGATGCCTCACGCCCATTTGGTGTGTAGACTGGTTTTACTCTTGTTTTGGATCATTATTCTATCTTTGGGACCAATGACATAAGGAGGAATTGTTCTGAGCCTTCTCAAGTTATTGACATTGTTTTAATAGTTTTTGAATGGACTTATCATGTGTTGGATGCATGAGTATAATTTTGCTGGCCATTGTTGTACAAAGTGTTGCTTTAGAAATTTTGATGTGGACAAAAAAATTATTGTACCTATGTTATTGTCACATGAATGGTTGGATGAAAAACTAAATTATTAGATCTAATCTATTTTCTAAAATTATAGCTTTTGGGTACAAATATATAAAAAGAATCATCTATGAAGAGTTTCAAACAAAGTCATTTTAGAGAAAAAAATGTAAAAAAGGTCTCGATGAGTCACTCAACAACGAGTGAGTTGAGTTAGCCATTAGTGAGTCAAACTCCAGCGAAAGAAAAAGAAAGATGCCTGCCCATGAAAGTCAAAAATACTTCCAGCTCACAAGCATCCTCCGGTGTAACATGTTCCTCTTGTGGATCCTATTCATCCTGATCGTCCCAGGAAAGCACGATAAACCAAGAGGGGGGGGGGGTGTGAATTGGTCTTTTTTTTTTTTTTAAATTATTGTAATGGAATACTTCCACCATTATGATTCATAGCATTGGATTGGTTGCTAATTGTATGGTTTAATTTTAGAGTCAATAGTCAAGATAGAATCACTAATTTAGTATTCTTCCTCAGATTTCCCTCTCCTTCTTGGATAATCTATCACTCTTTTCGATTGAGGTGAATAGCTACCTGACTCACGTTGCTACCTCGCAGACTATATATACTCTACTAGCTCGCTGCAGCATGGCAAGCAGAGTCCCAGCAATGGCGATGGCAGCAACATCAGCCACAAATGAAGAGCAAAAATATAGCTTCATCAACGACAAAGATATTCAGCTCACCAAATTTCGTGATAAAGAAATAAATAATTAACTGGTGTACAAATCAGATTGAACAAATTAAGAGCGTCATGATTTAATGAATGACTCAGGATGAAGACGGCACCTCGCACAACCACGCATCAGATAACCGAGTTATAACCGCTGGATATTAACCTGGACTAATCAGATCATATCAGTGACAACATTCAGTGTTATTGAAGGGCGTGCAGTTTCACTGAGGAATCGTTCCAGCAGGTTAAAGTCGACTGATGCCCGGTGCAAAGGATCCAAAGGGCACGCTCGCCCATTTGGGCACAGCAGATTGGAGGGCACCAGACATACCAAACCGAATGACTTCGCTGTCGATCTTTCTGTTCAAGAAGAATACAAAATAAACCTATATAATGCATCCCACTTTCAAATAGCTTCGGGGAGCTGGGGAGGGACGTTCACTCGATGTGCGGAAGATAAGTTCCTGGAGTGGACGGACCAACGGGCAAAAGGGAAAACCACCCTTCAGTCCTGTTTGGGACCACTGGTCTTTGACGGACCCGCCCTCTCCACCATGACATCGTATAGTTGCTTTCCATTCTGCACAAGACATGGAACGAGTGCTATGAACAAACAAAGTCGTTATGAAGTCGAGGCTTATTTTTTCACTCCCATAGACACTTACAAAAATCACAGGGAAGAAATGGACTTGTCCTTCTGGCTTTGTCTGTGTCTCTTTGAAGTACACCAATATTGGAAAATTAGGCCACCAAAGCTCCCAATTCACAAATGACGTATAACTGTATGAGAATATAACACCCCCAACGTCATTCATTAAAAAAAAAAACGTACTAAATAATGGGAGAGAACACTGAGCTTACTTCCAGCGGTTTTTCCCACCAACAAAGACATTTTCTCCGGACTCTTGAAGTTCACTGCCAACTTTTACCTCCTAAAATATCAAAATGATATCAATCTCCATGTGGGCCTGGGCCTACCAGAAATTCATCAACAAATGATACAAACACCCCACTCCAGCGAGCTCTGAGATCATATCTAACAAGAGATCAAGCGACAATCCCTCATGCTTTTGGAAAACTTGAACACAGTCTAACAAATCGAGAGCATGCAGAAAAATATTTTCCAACCACGGGGTATCTAGGTGACGAAATCAGAGTTGCCCAGATGTTTGGAACGTTATTATTAATCTTAAAAAAGAAAAATCGTAAATCTCACTAAAATCACCAAGTATCCACAAAAAAAATCTACTTTCTTAAGTCGATCATCTCAGTGGCAGAACCTCCAATTTATCCACATGCTTCAGATTCACTTGCTCCAAACCCATGCGATCATGATGGAATAAAAGAGGAAGTAAAATTCTGGTGAATTGTTTCAAGTCGTGACTTTCGTCCCTACAGACCGTAAATTTACGCCATGAATTTGACGCATGATTCTCGAGGGTCTTCTACGAAGAAACAAAGAAATTAAATTTAACTTGAGGAGACAGACTTATATGCTTCTCTATTCCAGCATATCATGCTTGTACGGGTAAAAAAAAAGTAAATTTAGAATTGTGAGATAAGCAACTATCCGCCCTTAAACAGACCAGCAAAAAAAAAAGGTGTGAGACGAAGAGAACAAACCAGGGCTTCTTCGTCAAATACAAATCGTACTCGAGTTGTCTGCATGGACAAAAAGAATTAATCAGATGAATTTATAACGATCCAAAATAAATGCTATCCGCAGCAGCCTTTAGAACTGAAGCTTTCGACATCAAGAAAACTATATGGGTCCCACAAAAAATTCCTTAGCCAGGGGAGAATTTTCCTATCTTCTTTATGCAGGAATATCCAACAGGAGTAAATACACGCATAACATTGTCCAGTGAAAGAATCTATGTGCCAAACGTAGATGAAAATATACCTACATAAATCATGCAAGGATGTCAGGAATAATAAAATTTATGCGTTAGTATCCATCTGATCCATTATCCGAACCATGTATGAAGGTACTTCGTGGGGAAGCAAGAATGTTAAATGGTATAAATGCAATGCCATATCGAGCAGAAGGGGTTTCTAAGGTACAAATTCACTTCATAAATGGCATCACAATGTTTGACTGAGGACCAGTAAGTAGCTAATGGCCAGTAAAATTATCCATTCCTTTTTACTTAACCTGAAATAAGAGAAGCAATCCAAGAAGGCCAACTGGAGCAGCAGTCAATAAATTATCTTGGTATACGAGCCAACCAGCAGAACCTGTTCCAGCGAATACTCACAGTCAGTTGCGACAGCAACATACAGTATTTTAGGGTTCCATCATATATTGTCTACCGAAAAGCATGGTCCAACTATTACAGACCTATGAGAAATGGTTTCCTGAATGTGGAGTCATACTTGCAAAATATAACATCATCAGTTGTATCGGTTACTAAATGACAAATGGCAGAACGACGCACATCCAAGTTTTTAGTGAGGGCAAAGAAGACAGTAACAAGGGAACTGTGTTCTCTCTTTAAAATGCATCCCTTCGCACATGGACTGATGATTCCAAAGCAAAATGTTTTGAGTCTGTCCTTTTTTAAGAAATCCTTGCCAGGATGGAAAGTTAAGTCCCCTCCTTCCCTGTAGATTGCTAAGAACAAAAAGGGTATTATAACTTTCCACTTAAGAGTTCAGAAGGCAACAGCACCCATGTCAAGCGTGTGTTCTGGACCAAAAGGATTCCTCTACAAAACCTACGGCCCCTAGTTCTCAACCGGCATGGCAAAAGTTCACTCGGAATTTCCATTTAATACCAAATTAAGCGAAGTATCTGTGAACCCTGTGAACCCTGAATTCAGTCCATTCGCCGTCTGAACAAATTTACATTCTTGTTAATGTACGAAGGGTTCCCGAAAGTATCTGCAGTTGATACTTGAATCCTCCTTTTGTTGCCTGGAACATATCTGCAGGGTCCACGCCTTGAGCTCGGTGCAGAAAGGCTTCACGGGATGAAACGAAATGAAGAATCCCCACACGAAAACTCGGCCGGAGGGCGTGTAAAATTAAGCAATTGGAAGGCATTTTCCTCAAACGATGCATTCTAACTAGATCAGTATGGTCGGGTAAACAATCGACTCACCAAGTAGCACAAGTGGTATTCTGTAGTCTGGATCAGGGATCACGACCTCCACCTTCTTGGCCTTGGTCTTCCCCCCTGCCTGTCAAACAGAAGAGAAGGAAAGAGCGAAAAAGAATCATCAACCCGCACCCCCTCCGGTCCCGCCCCCCCACCCCTTGGAGGTATGGTTACATGAAGCCTACGCCAACCCCGCAGGAAGGGTGATTCTGAAAAACTGTAAGCAAAAACGTGCCGAAAAATTGCATAATACAGACGGATAAGGCGACTACAGCCGAGGAGATCCCATTGGCACGGTTGCAGCGTGGCCTTCTAATATACAATCCCTGGCGAATGGGGATGCTTCTCCGCGGCAGGGTACAGCCTCCTCTGAGGGCGTTCCCCCTCCAGCATGCCTCGATGCTTCTATAACAGCCCCCTGACCAAATCCAGCGTTAAAAACGGCCTCAACTTTGCGTTTCTTTTCTTGCGTTCTTCAGGTCAAAAATCGAAAGGAAGCATTCGGGCGGAAATTCGCACCGGGAGGTCCAATTCAAAATTAAGACGAGATTGCGTAGCGTCATTCATGTCCGAGTATCAGGGCGACGATAAGGTCACCAGGAAATAAAAATAAAAATAAAAAGACGTGAACGAGAATGAAGGAAGCGGCGAGAGGAGAGTTACTCGGAGATGCAATGGAGGCAGGAAGAAGACTTGGAGCAGATATCGGGGAGAAGGCGGTCACCGCCATTTCCCAATTCTCCCTCCCCTTGTTCTCTGAGGATTGAGGAGAATCGCGCTCCCGGGAGTTTTGGACCAGAAGGACAATGCGGATAGGACAAAGGGAAATATCAAGCTGGCTGCGCCCTGTGTACTAACCCCCGTTGCGGACTTGCTCGCAGCAACCATACTACTTCAAGGTGGGCGGGCCGGGCAGCCCCCGACAGATTCTGTTTGTTAAGGCTTTTATCGGAAAAAGAAATGAAAGACATTTTAATTTTCTTTTGTGGGAAAAGATGGATTCTTCAGGGCTTCAAAAAAGTCAACGACTGTTATTATCTCATGCATCGGAGTAAAGTGACAGCCAAATTTCAGTCACATTTTATCTTTGATTTAGTATTTTCACGGTCTCGTCATATGGGGAAGCACGAGCTGGAGGAACGGGGTAGTCGATTCACATCCTATGCAAGATGAAAGATGCGGACTTTCATGCTCCCCGGTTATCCAAGAACAACATGCACAGCGCCTCTAGGACCGCATCCGCTTATTCCTGGTAGATTACAGGAAGGGAGGACGCCCACTGAGAAAGGGAAGGCCGCAGCGCAGCCCCTCACATCTTCCCGTGAGGATCTGTGCGCCCTTCCTCCCCTATCCTGCCCACATCGTAGAAGCTCTTCCCAGCCAACTGCTCCGACGCCTTGGGGCAACCCTCTACATCGCCCTCCCCCACCGCCTCGTCCCTCGACCCCACCAGTTTCTCCTTGAGCGCCGACAAGATCCCGCCCTTCGCCGGAACACCTCCCCTGTTGTTTACACGAACGAACGGCTAATTAACCACACAGGAATTCCTGACCATTTCCGTCCATAGAGACGGAGATACCTCTCCGCCTTGGCGTCCCGAGCCTCATCGGCCTCGTGCCTCGGTTCTTCCTCCGCTTCTTTCTCCCTCAGATGCAGCCCTTCCATCTTCTCTCTCGCCGTCTTCTCCGTCGCCATCGTCTTCTCCTGTCAAAAACAAATGCATCGCGCACTCCCGTCATCTCTTGCAGGAGCCAGTAAATTTATCGCAGACCCCAGCAAGAAAAGAGGAAAAGGAAGAAGATTGGCCCGGCTACTGATACAACTCTCGTATCAGCAATCGCCGTACCCAGCAGAGAAGAGAAACACAGGACGTAGCCCTATTAACGCCCAAGTCTCCACATACATGTTACTGACCCCCTCTTGCTTTCAGACATCTCTAATCGATCTTCTTCGCGCTCTTTCTTGTCCTACCCTCCGGAAATATAAGTTAACCCACAAAAGTATTTCCCAGACATAAGAATATTGAAACTAAACTAAAAGCCGCACCTTGGTTGCTTCATCCATCTCATCCGCCTTCTCCTTCGCTCCTTCCTTCTTTCCCGTCAGCAGCTCCATGGCCTTCCTCGCTGCGTCCGCCGCCGACTCCTTGTACTCGGCCATCCTCTCCCCCACTGTCTCCTTGCCCTCTCTCGCTTTCTCACCCGCTGTGTCCTTGTATTCCGCGGTCTTACTCGCAGCAACGTCCTTCGCCTCCCTCGCCCTCTCAGCCGCTGCGTCCTTGTGCTCTTGCGTCTTCTGAATGGTGGATTCCTCGGACTCTCCAACCTTCTTCACGGCCGATTCCTTCGCCTCCCTTGCCTTCTCAGCAGCCGTATCCTTGTACTCCCCCGTCTTCTGTGCGGTGGTGTCCTTGGCCTCCCTCGCCTTCTCCGCAGCGGTATCCTTGTACTCCCCCATCTTCTGTGCGGTGGTGTCCTTGGCCTCCCTCGCCTTCTCCGCAGCGGTATCCTTGTACTCCTCCATCTTCTGTGTGGTGGTGTCCTTGGCCTCCCTCGCCTTCTCCGCAGCGGTATCCTTGTACTCCCCCATCTTCTGTGCGGTGGTGTCCTTGCCCTCCCTCGCCTTCTCCGCGGCAGTATCCTTGTATTCACTTGCCTTTCCCGCCGTGCCCTCCCTCACCTCTCCTGCCCTCTGGACGGTGGCGTCCTTAGCCTGGGCGGCCCTCCCTGCGGCCGCCTCCTTGGCCTCGCCCGCCTTCTCCGCCGTTTCGTGGGCCTTGCCCGTGGCCACCTCCTTGGCGTGCTCGTAGGTGTCGTGAACCGCCCTAAAGAGGGACTTGGTCCCTTCCTGGAGGCTTTCGAGCACCCCCCGCGGATGCTGCTCCGTCGATTCGGGGGCACCACCGGCGGCCACCACCGCAGCCTGTCCCCTGGACTCCTCCCCTTCGGGCGCGGCTTTCTTGGCGGCGGTCTCCGCCTCCTTGGCTGCACTCTCGGCTCTCTCTTCCTGTCTAGACGACATGCTCTCCCGCTCTCTCGCTCTCTCGCTCTCTCGCTCTCTCGCTCAAATCTTCTCCGTTGGCCTTGCTCCCCTTCTCCGTCGGTGTCTTCCGCAGCTCTAGATTGCTCGAAGTACTATATAATGGAGGGGAAGGTTCTGCGAGAGGATCAGGACGAGACGATGAGATACGGAAGTTGGACTCCGGTAGGGCTCCAGCTGCCGGACATGCAGCCCTCAAAACTGAGGACACGTCGAAGATGAGATAGAGCGCGGCGGCGGAGGCCGCCACGTCGGGTGCTGAGTCTGCCACCTGCCTCGAAAGGCCTTCCCGCCGGAAAGCCCGCTTTTCTGACGAAGGGAAGCTGAGAGCTTCTAGAGGGACCCATCCATTTCCACTGGAAAGACATTCCATTCCATCTGATAAAGAGAAGGGGGATTGGTCGGTGGGCGGTGGGGGGGCAGAGAGATGATGCATCAATCCATCTGCAGGCATGCATGTTCATTTGGAACACAATAAAAGGGCAGAGGATGCACACGCTACACTGTCTGTTCACGTCGAAATCAAATAAAAAATCCGTCGTCGCGCCCCATTTACAAGGACCCTGGTCCTTCTTCGTCCCTCACCCTGCAGCGGCCACTCCACCTTCCAGAGAGACGAGACAGAAGCCGCAGCAGCCGCGCCCTTCTGGAGTGGAGAGTAGAGTCACTGCCGCTTGGGCTTCTCGATCTTCACGTAAGGGAACAACCCGAGGGCGCGGACGACGCGCGGCTGCCACCCCAGCTGCTGCGCCCGGCAGAACATCAGGAACGTGTTGGCGTAGTAGGAGTTGAAGCCCATAAAGACGTGCCACCACGCGTGCCCCTGCGGATTGATGCGCCACCGGGACACCCCGTCGCAGAGAAACCGGTCCACCGACCAGCAGAGGCTGCCGAGGATGAGCGTCGCCACGAAGTGCTGTGCGAGCCGCTTGGCGGCCGCGTCTGTGGTGTAGATGTAGTACTTGTACATCCGCGGGATGCAGAGGAGTAGCAGGGCCACGTAGTGTAGCTTGAACGCCAGTTCGAAACGAGCCAAAGAATGGACGACCGCAAAGGAGGCGCCGTACAGGAACAGAAATGTGGGCATCGTGCTTCGGTAGTGCCAGTCCGGCGAGTAGAGCACGTAGAGGTAGAGAAGCACCTCCCAGACCATGGGCGTTTCATCGCTTTGTTGTTGCCTGCGAATTTGATCAACCAAGTCCCCAGATGAAACGTCAGCAGAATGCGCCACTCCAGCCAATCCGTGGAAATGAAACATCGCACTTCAAGTAAAGGCTTAAAATTTAAGAGTTCAATATGAAAACAGACCGTCGCAGGGCCCCACTTGTGGAACAAACGAGTGAATCTGAAGTAGCGCACATTGATGAACATTATAAAGATCAGAAAACGTAATGCCCAAAAGGAGGCCAATAAAAAGGTTCGCGGAATACATCTACAAATATTAAGCATTTACAACGAAATCGACCGAACACAACAAACATTCTTGAGAAAACGTAGGAAACTTTATCCTCAGAAATGATTAGGAGACAAAAGTACGATTATCAATATACATACGCATATGTGTCTTAGATACGAAATTAAAAATCATATTCTCCAGAAAAGGGCCTTCCTGAAAAGCTAGTTAGTCATCAGCATTTTCAGGTACTGCATTTCAAAGCGAATTTCTTATAGAACTAATCCAGGAGGAAACACACCATCCGCGCAATAGCCCACACTATGCTCGCAGCCAGTTTTATACCATTCCGAGTCTCCTAATGGATTTGTTATCTCTAAACATCTTACAGCCGAAACCCCCGTCCACCAATGCTCTCCACTGCGAAGTGAATCTTGAAATGTCTACATATCAGCAGTAACTTCAATTTTGTGCAATATTAATCAAGGTCGTTCCTAGGCAGGGACAGGTAGGCTAGCTTTCAATACATCTCCTCACAAGAAAACAACTTATGTGGATACAGAGACATTGAACCTGCAACTTTCATTGCAGCAGGGGAACGTCTTGAAGCATATCAACTTCGATATAGCAGAAAATCCTTCATCCATCTTGGATATTCATCACTGTAGTTTGCATGCCAGACAACCCATTTCCTAAATATGACTTCGTGCCAGAACATTACAAACAAGCTTCTTACATAGCAAAAGCACATCCTTATATAACATGTATATCAAATTAAGCAGGTCAAAAGCAAACAGACTAAGTTAAGTTACAAGTACTCACACGTGACGCAATGTGCTGTGGAACAGCATGCTCCCAATTGCAAGAATCATATTAGACACATGAAGAACGCTAAATCTTCTCTCAAAACGTTGTCTCAGCGCATTTATCAGACCAATAAGTGCCAAAATAATGCAGGGAATGTTAGATATTGTGTTATGAAGCTCTGCCACATATGAAGAGTGAGCATAATTTTTCTCGCACCAATCCATGGTAGAGGTGACAGGCCCCCAAAAACTTGGCACCACAGATTCGGCCATCAATATAATGTCTAATTATATATCTGTATGTTTATACGTGTCTGTGCACTTTAGGTACGCATAGCTGGAAGTCCTATTACGAACTAGAGGCAGGCTCGAGCAGCTGATAATCTTTGCACCTACAGATTGTAAGCAAAAAGTCAACTGAAATTAGAATTAAATAATAATAATATCAAATGCTCAATAACCAGTAATATCAACAATATTTGAGAACCATACACAACAGAATTGAATAATAATATGAGCAGAGCCTAAATATCAGACGAGATTTCAGCGGTACAAAGGTATTGCGGAGTTAACTAGGTCAAAACAAAATTGGCCAATGACATTAGATCCCACTGATGGTTTATTCTAGTAATGAATACTGATTTAAAAAAACACAACATCTTGATACAGGGAATTGGATTTGTGACCAGGCCAGCAGACCGACTTTGACCTGGATTGAGATCAGACGAGGCCAAATCAGCCAATGTGAAGAAAAAGCTTGATACGGGGAAAAAAAAATGGAACAAGGATATTACTGCAATTTTAATGAGCTGGTTCTGCAAACTTTATCAACCCACCCACCCCGGTGTGGAAACCATGATTTCTGACCCATAACAGAAGAGGCTGCTCATGGAGCAGATCTCCAGGCCATGACAAGCAGCCCCCTGCCCTTGCGACTGGGTGGAGGCGGTGAGTTATTTCCCTTCCTGCTTGTCTTCCTTTTCCACGAACAGGCAGGTTGTGCCTCCGTCTTCCTCCTCTAATACCAGCATTACTGCTAGAAACTGTCCGTACTGTCAGGAACTTTCCCGATTTATCCAAAGTCAATGGATTTCAAATTGATTCAACCCATAAATTGAACTGATGCAGGCGGATTATATTGTTTGCCTAAAAGGGATGTTTCCTTCCCAACAAACTGGCTTTAGATTGACCAACCATGCATATCGTGCATAAAACCATGTTTGAATCTACTTTCCCCACTCCTTTTCTTTTGTTTCATGCCATTTAAGGTGTGTGGTATAACTGATGAGAGATCATGGCTACTATACCTGACCGACTTGGGACTTTACGTCTCCCATTGGCCGTGCCTACATGTTTTTGGCTCACATCCAAAAACATTGTTCAGGCTCAATCGATAAATTTAACCTCAGCAGACACAAATCCACGGAAAACACCATAAAAATCCATTCATCTTTCCCTTTCAGTCGTTAAAAAGCCAAGAGGAATACATCTGTAGATTAGTGACAACTGGAAGGAAGATTGGACTAGAATATCACAGAGACTTGTTCCATCTGTCACAAAGCCACTGAAAATGGACCTTGGCTGACATCACAGATAACTCAGATCCAAATGACATCTCTCAACTCATATTAATTATTCAGTCACAACTGTACAAGCAGCATGTCAAACAAACTGCTGACTTCCGCAAGCTGAATTGAGAAAAGGAAAAATCGGTTAGATGTATCAAAAAGCACAAGGAAGCGTGATGACACATAGAGTAGAGAGAAGAAGGAACAGGGAGCCAAGACACAGAATTGGATTGATCTGGTCACAAAAATAAATAGTGACGTTGAAAGAACGAAGGAAAATAAAAGAGTTTTGGAGAAGCGAAACAAGGCTAATCCGACACACAGGTAGCTTATCAGTTGGGATTTGAGAAGCCAAAATGGAATGGGTGACCGTGTCAATAATAAGAAAACTAGGCTGGAGTTGAAAATAGATGTGAGACATGAAACCGAGAGTTACCCACGTGGAATGAGAGTACTCCCATCGTTTATTCACTGGTAAGAGATGTCACCATCACCGCGATCGTTACTAATGGCAAGGGTGGCTGCAGGTGGGCTTCGTTTTCCATGATAGCCGCAAAGGCACCACATAATTTATAGCCATTACCCTTTCCAGATGACGAATAACGAATTTGGATGGCAACTAATCAAAGCAGCTTACTTTCCCCCATGGATTCTCCTTCATTGTTGAAAAAATAACTAAAAAGTATCATGCGACCACGAAAAATACTTCCAAACAAAGGGATTCGCAAAGCAGTAGGCGATGCCTTCCAGAAAGGGTCAGGCTGGGACGGGCAGTAATTATGAAAGATCCCTTTCACCAACCATTCTACTTCTAGCCGAGAATCTACAGATCTCGAGAGGCAGAAACTTTCACTTTCACCTTCAACCAACATGCATCTACGATGCCACCGCTTTTTTCCTAGGGAGCCATGGAGTCTCGATGCGATGAGATCATTTTTAATGCGATTAAATGCTGATGTGCTATCCTTGAATTGATTTATCCGATCTTTGGAGGCTTAGAGAAGCGCAAAAATCAAATAGGCAATCAAGGACCTTACCGTCAGGAGGAGGAAGTCTCCAGACAGGGCAACTCCGGAGTCGTTCACCGCGTAAGGGAAACCTCAAATCCCAGCTCTCGGTGTTACAAGCACCCCGCGCGACGGATCTCGACAAGAATTACCACCCGATGGAGAAGACCAGGCCGCCCGCGTCCCCTATTCGGTTTGGATCGGAAGGCATCAAGACGACCGCTGGCGCCCTGCGTCAGACACGAGCCAGCGGATCGGGATCCCTCCGCGCCGCCGAGGAGCGGAAGCGGAGGAGGGAGGGGAGGGGTTAGGGTTTGGGGGGGGTGTGGGGGAAGAGAGGAGAGAGGATGAGACGAGGGTGGGGAGGGCGGCGGGGGGTGCAGGCGTTCTAGCGCGAACTCTGAATTGCTCTTGCGGGAGGGAGAGACCGAGATTTGGGTTAGCAGTTTTAGGCGAGCCACCACCCTGTTTTGACTCACCTTCTCTTCCGCGAGAAAAGGGGGGGGAAGAGGGGGGGGGAGGATATGAACGCACGGCCGTCACGCACGCGGCGTTTAATTGTTTCGAAAGCCCAAGCGCCAGTCAGCGATCAGTACCGACTCCTCTCGACGCCACACGAACCGACCGTAGCCTCTCCTCTCCTCTACTCTCTTCTCTCCTCTCGAAGCCCGCTTAGCACCATCCCCCCACCTCCCACCGAGGAGCAACTCCCGGTTCCTTCTCATCGGCGTGTGAAGGAATGGAATCTAAATCGTAGGTAATGCAGTCGGGCATCTCGTCACCAGATCAGCAACCCGACGACCAAAGTCCCCCCCTGACTCCTTACCCGACTTATGGTTCGACGACCAAAGCCATGGCTTCCTCCCGCTGACTTCCGTCGGTCGGTATTTGCACCCAGACTCAGTTGCCACACGTCAAGCAATTGGCATAAAAGATACAGGAATGCACCGATGTACAGTAACAGAAGATCAAAGCAGGGCTAATTTTGTGACCGACGAGGGTTGGGGGTTTGGATGTCTCTACGAAAATAGGCGGCCGCACCACAGTGGACGGTGTCGATTTTTCGGCGTAGCCGACGAGCGGATGTCCGGACGGACGGCCTCTTATCGCCTAACCATCATCGCTGGGAATGAGGCTTCCATTCTCTCTTCCACAAACTTCTTTCCTCCGGCCCCGACCAAGAAGCGGCGGGGACTCTGCCCTCCCTTCACCCAAGCCCTTGCGATTGACGAGGGAGTCCACGGCTTGCGATAGGGGGGGGGACCCAAATTTTTTACCTTCCACGCCCGGTAAACTCCGACCTCTCACTTTTCCCTCTCCCCTCAATAGTTCAGCTCCCACTTCGCCTGAGGGATTTTCGGCAATTCTCGCCGGAATTCTGGGGAATTTGGCGATTTCCGAGGTTTCCCGGGCCAAATACCTCAACTTGATCTTGATATAATGGGTTGGGATGACGACATTTTGTGAAGTCCTCTATTTCTCTTCCCTCCTTGGTGTCTAGGTTCTCTGGTTTTGGCGCACTCATGGATGGAAGCAAGGACGAGGCGCTGAAATGCCTGAAGTTCGGTAAAAACGCCCTGGAGAATGGCGATCGCTCCCCCGCCCTCAAGTTCCTGTCCAAAGCGCGACGCCTGAATCCCAGCCTGCCGGTCGATAGCCTCCTAGCGCAGATCAACAGTGCAGAATCTGTTCCTCGTCCGGAGGCTCCGCAATCCAAAGGTTGCCCCGACGATCTACGTAGTCGGAGGAATGCCGGCTCATCCTCGTCTCCCTCGGCCGCAGCTTCTAAGAATAGGGTTCCTTCGGATGTTTCTTCGAGAGAGTATACAGAGGAGCAGATTACTGTCGTCAGGCAGGTCAAGAAGCAGAGGGATTACTACGAGATGCTTAGATTGGAGAGGAATTGCACCGTGGATGATGTGAAAAAGGCGTATCGGAAACTCTCCTTGAAGGTGCACCCAGATAAGAACAAGGCACCCGGAGCTGAGGAGGCCTTCAAGGCGGTGTCCAAAGCCTTCCAGTGTCTCCATAATGAGGAGAGCAGGAGAAGATACGATCTAAGTGGATCCGACGAACCTACTCACCACAGGCCCCCCGCAGCTAGGCACGGCATGAACGGGTTCAGCGGCTTCTATGAGGCCGAAATCGACCCCGAGGAGATCTTTAGGAATTTCTTCTTTGGTGGAATGCCTCAGCCAACAACCCCTTCCCAGACGTTCAGGTTTAGAACCGGAGCCACAGGAGGACGACGTACCCACCATGATATGCAAGGATCTGACGGCTTCAATCTCCGTGCAGTTCTTCAGATACTGCCCGTGATCCTACTGGTCCTCCTGAACTTCTTTCCATCCTCACACCCACCTTACATGCTCTCGAAATCTCACCCCTATGAGCAGAGGCTCGAGACAGAACGCGGCGTACCGTATTTTGTCAGGTCGGGGAAATTCGAAAAGGAGTATCCTTATGAGAGTGTTGAGAGGGCGGCACTCGAGGAAAAGATCGAGCGAGAGTATGTACGAATTGTTTTGCATCATTGCCGGTATGAGCTACAACGACAGCGGTTGGGATTGGCCAATAAAACGCCACATTGTGAGATGTTTCGGAGGTACGAGGCAACAGCCTCTGCTACTGCTGCTGCTACTACCGCTTAACGCCATTAATCTTAGGTACGATCGTGAGTTCATTTTTTTTCTGTTTAATTACCCTTCTTGTTGGGGATATCTGTGCATTGTTTGATCTTTTACTTCCTCTCTACTGTCAGTTTTTATTCTTCATGTTTCGGTGCACTTGCAAGGGCTTCTCGATCGTCGATTTCGTAACTTTTAGTACTTACTCGTGGCAATAATTTGCTATTTTTATGTTCTAGCACGGGGCGTTAGCATCTTCAGGGCCAATTGAATTTTTTCGTTCTGACTTCATAATATGCAGCGTTTTGTTACTTTTTTTTACTTGTGTCAGTCGGGACTCTTTTTTAGTTTGTTTTAGGCTTTCGCGTGGTCAGGTCAACTAGTTGACCAATTGAAAATTTTCGACTCTCTTTTTGAAAGTCAATAATTCATAACTTGAACGGAAAACTTGCATATTTCAGCTCAGTGACGAGAGTCCCGCATGATCCGCTATCCCAAATGACATAATAATCGATGGACTCAGGATTATGATGGGGAATTCACAAGACGTGAAACAGTATTCTCATTATCTCTAGAAGAGGGGAAATACGCCATTATTAAATCAAAGAACGGAGAAGGACAGGTACGAATTATTGGTCCACCTAAGACCACAGGCATGTCTGCAGAATCGGCAATTGTAATGACGGTTGTTAATCCCCATCATAATCTTACTATCATCTTATGGTAACAGTGCATCATTGCCCACCGCATCGCCGGTCCTGCCAAATACACTCTGTACTTCAGACATACCAGTGGTATCTTAGAATTGTTAATAAAATTGCCTATTCAACTGAGCTCAAAATTGTTAGTAAAATTATTGCCAAAAATCATGTGCGTATTTCTCCATGGATCGTGGTGCCTCCGTATTAAAATCAAAGTTATCCCCCCCCCCCCAACCATTTGTTGGACCTAGATATGAATTATTGCAAATATTTGAGAATTTTGGTACGATCTCAAGGTCATGGTTTTTCTTTTTCTTGTTGTAGAATGTGTCTGGCTACCGTGATATAATTAGGTTCGAGTGATTTGCTTAAGAGTGCTGCATCGATAATGTGTAATGATTGTTTGAGGAGAGGCTTTGATGTTCGTACAAGTCCAGGTTAGGATGTGCTTAGGATGTGCTTAGGATGTGCTTAGGATGTGCTGACTTACTGAAAATGCTACTCAACTGTCAGTTTTAGAATTTTACTGAAAACCCATCTCAATGATACATTATTTCAATCATACTTGGTAAATACATCGACGTATTCCTGTGCTTTCCGTATTAAATGCACGTTATGTATGAACTAGAGTGAGAAGCTTGTGAGGATATTGGAGATTCACAAGAGTTAACAATCTTCGGTAATGAGCAAGTTAACGTCGTCATCAGTGTTCATTTTTACTCACCTCGGAGCTTACCCCGGTGATTGTATATAGAATTATGGATAAATAACTATGCCAGGCAAGCTTTGGATTCGTAAATCTATCTTCTAGATCGTTCCCAGTGCCTAATATTGAGATTTGGCTTCTTTGTGTAATCTTGACTGAATCGAGGAAAGCAAGCGCTTTCTGCAAGTTAAATTTAGAAGGGAACAGGGGATTAATATTTTCTACAAGCAGGATGCTTGTAAAGATGGTAGGAACTCGCATTGAGACAAGCCGGCGCATGGTCCTGGTTTAGAAGTAAAACATTGGACTATGGAGAATACTCCATCACCTTTAGATTGAAAGTGTTCTACGATTAACTGCGCATCTGAAGGTTTACTGAGGAAATTCAGAAGGGTTATTGGTTATCTTTTCAGTGCCTCATTTTCTGTCCTGCATCATATCCGTATAGTTTTATGCTAGCATTTAGATCACGGCAGGGGTTCCCATTTGCTCGCTTGCCTGCTTTTGATTATCAAGCACTTTCCACGTATGTATGGGATCGCAATGGATTGCAATTCGCATGGAACGAATAAAGCATTTAGCTCGTACCACTTCGACGGCTGTAGGAGTTCCTTTATATGGCGTCAGCTTGTCTCTCAGCGTTCTAGTCCTTCCACTGTTGTCTCCATGGTGGCAGCAACTTAGCCATCAAGATTGAGTCGTAATCAGATAGTTTTCTTTCCCACGACTAAGACTGTGTTGCCTTTTCGTTCTATCCACAGGTTGCATGGAGGAGGAGACGTCATCCCTGTGTAGATAGATGACTATTACCGGAATGATAGTATGATGGCGTTTGGTCTCCAAGAGAAGCTTTGCTATGCAGGAATAAGGCAGGAATGTCAAGGGAAGATATCGGGCATTTTTTGCACACCCTGGATTGACGTCGGCAGACTCGAAAAGTAGCCCTTTCTGGCATCATTGGTTAGGCCTTTGGGGAGGGCACTATTTGGGCAACTGGTAATTAATATCTCAGGCTCGTACCATTTGTTTATCGGTGTGTTCTTTCGTCGGCCTCGATGACAGGACACCGTGGACGACGATCAGTCAAGAGATGGGCGTCTCGGGGGACCTTGGCTTGCACACCAAGTGCACATCTCGCAGGATGGCATTGACTCACTGCGGGCCGGCAAAAAGAAAGGGAAAAAATAACGTCGGCCCCCGCGACTGAGTGCGAGTGATGGACGTGTATCCTCCGGCAAGTAAGCGTATTTGGCCGCCATTTGTTGAGCGGAAGGAGGGGAGGAACGCGCGGGAAGTCCGACGGCTGGAGATGCATGACTGTTCATATGCTCCTCAGCGACGGACCTCTTCCGGGCGAGGGGAAAGCCGAGGCTTTTTAAGTAGTAGTTCCTTCTTCTCTGGAACGTGTTTCTGCTGTTTGGGAAGGAGATCGCCCTCCTGGTGGTTCCTACACACTACCACAACCTCTTCCACGTCTGACGATACACAAGTTTGTAATGTCCTAGAAGAAGTCTGTAAAGCTGGTACAAAACTCGAAAATAACCTGGCCCCTCGCAAGGGCCGCGTGGATATATGGGGAGATTTATGTATTTGGCCTGGATATTAGACGGAGTCGCCCATTTTTCATTTTTTTCTTTTACTCTGACTCCCGCACAGTTGTCCCGTTGTGTACGCTTTTCACCACAAGAGCTCGGGCTACGGTGAGAAGCAGGCTCGGTTCTGTGCGCTTATCGACTGCATTGCTTTGCCGCGGCGATGGAGTCCATCATCCACCGCCTGTCCGCCCGCCTGCTTCCTCTTTCCACCTCCTCCGCCGGTCCATTCGTCGGCGCCCCGGGCAGCGGGAATGCTGCGCGGCGCCGACTCCTCTGGCGCTGCCGCAGACCCGATGGTAAAATCATCTCCTCCTTCGACGTCGAGGGCGCACCCTCTTCTTTCCTCCCCGCCGGCGCAAGTGGTTCCCGGCGTCAGACGAGGGCCGCGGCGGGTTGGTTCCTCGGTCTCGGTGGGAAGAAGGGCACTGCGTTGCCAGAAATCATTAAGGCTGGCGACCCCGTCCTGCACGAGCCCGCCCGGGACGTCGACCCCCGAGAGATTGGAACGGAGAGGATCAATAAGATAGTAGAAGACATGATCCAGGTCATGAGGCAGGCTCCTGGAGTCGGCCTGTCCGCCCCTCAGATTGGAGTACCTTTGAGGGTACTACCTACGACCCTCACTCACTATTCTATCCCGTTCCCTCTCTTTCTCTCCCAGTCGTTTCTTTATCTGCATGCTATTTGCATTCAAACGAAAATTTTGGGCATTATTTTTCATCTCGCTCATTTCACATTCAACAATGAGCTCCGGAAAAGAAATGATTCCCATGTCTTGGTCAATTTTCTTGCTAAATATTCTGGAACAGAAACAGAGCGATTGGATTTAGATGTGAGCATGTGTCAAGTTCCGCCCCTCACGCGAGTGCACCCCTGACCTAAGAAAAGACGGTCGCTTGAGAAATATAATGTGAGCCCAACCGACATCTGTTTCAGATGGCGGCTGAGCCCGGCGGTCGAACTTGATCGATCTCTCGGTTGCCAGATAGATGAGTTTCTCTGCAACCCGATAGGTACATTAGAGCCCTGAAACTCCCTCTGACGTATCTCGAGGTCGGAAGATTTTGTTTTCCCACGCCGTCCTGGTACTTTGATCCGCCCAGCTCTTAGAGTTTTGCCCCCGAATGCTCGTGGTTATGACTTTCTTTGATTATTAACGGGATGCCGAATCTCGTGTAAGTTTGTGCAGCGTGTTGGGAGATTCTCGTTGTTTATTGGCATGGTGGAGGCGGCATGCATTTACTCACAGATTTGTAACGAAGGGTTTCTGGTCAGCAGTATAACGATGAATCCGTCAGGTTTCCCTTCTAGAAAGGGCAGTCGTTCTTGAAGGAAAGGATCTAAATATTTTGAGGGCTGGTTGCTTTCCATTGGCGTACGTCGTCTACCAACTTTTGAGATCACGTTAAAGGGTAGGGGAACTTCGCCCCTGTGGCATTTGTTTTCCCCATCCAAGAGTCATCTTTCCCTGAAATCGAATGCTTCTGCGGAGGGATGTCCGCCCGCTCCACGACTTTATGTTACCACCTGACAAGTTGTACTTAATCCGAACAGGAAAGGTCATATCTGTACCTGGACTTCTATTGCAGATAATTGTTCTGGAAGACACTAAAGAATACATAAGCTATGCTGACAGGAAAGAAGTTGAAGCGCAGGACAGGCGGCCATTCAATCTTCTGGTAATTCAAGATCAGGACAGGCGGCCATTCAATCTTCTGGTGCTACTTCTTCTATATAAGTCTTTATAATGCGCCAGCCATCTGTTGCAGGTGATTCTGAATCCGATTCTGAAGAAGAAAGGGGATAGGACTGCGTTGTTCTTCGAAGGATGTCTAAGGTATGAAACTAGTGAAGTTCACAGGTTCGGACCGCAGCAATGCGATTCTGCAGCAGGATTGTTTTGGTTATGAACAGCTTTTGTTATCCCCTTTTGCGTAAGTCGAATTTCACGACAGAGTAGTCTTTTTTCTGAGGCTTCCAGCATGTGTTTGCTAAATTCGCCTTAGAATGAGAAAAGACTCTTCTTCCCCATGTATTCATTGTATGCGGTTTAGTCTGATCTGCTATGGATTTTAATCAGGACTTAGGGGAAATCCGTTCGACATTTGAAAGTTCAAAAAGAAAAAAAAATGAAAAAAAGCCGGGATTTCCGCGGTTCTCCCGGTCTCCTTTTGACCAATGGATGAAAGAGGCAACGAAAAACAGCTTAGGATTCTGCATAGCGCATCTTCATTGCCCACGCTCATTCCTCTCTTCTTTTCTTCCCGGAACATTATATCATTTTCATCATTATTGAAGATATGATTACTAAGATGCTTGAGAATTTGTTTGCAAGCCCTTTTCCCATTTTTTATTGCCGGATGTTTGTCTTCATGGCCCGATTTTCTTCTGAATTGACTGATTCGACCAATCGGATATGATCGCCTGATTTGAGCTCCAACCCTATTTTCTTGCCCGTTCTTCCCCCATTACGCATATGTTCCTTTGCATTACCATCTTCTCACGATTGGCATCAGTTTAAGACATCCGTTGAATGTGTCCTGTGGAGTGGGTCGTGAGATTCTTCTAAAAATAAATCTCTCTTAGGAACTCTTCTTTTTGGGTCAAAGGTTTGCGCCATTCGGATCATAGATTATTAGTCCTTGCCAGTCGTGGATCGTAGATGTCGAGCACTGTTGAAAATTGCAAGGTAACTTTGCATCATATCTTGCCTATCTTCATTATGTTAAGAGGTTGAATGGGCGGCAGCAGCTCACCGCAGGGCATCTTCCATTGTTTTTTTTCAATTTAGAGTGTCTGTTGTAGCGCCATTTGTGTGTGTTGCGAGGATAATGTATTCGGCTACCCTTTCTTCTGACGCTAAGAAACAAGAAGCCGATGATGAAGACGATGCATGGATCCTTTATATTTTCCAATTGTTAGTGTCTACGTGGGTCTCCCCTCTAATCTGTGATAACCCCTCCTTTTCTCAGTGTTGATGGATTTAGAGCAGTCGTCGAGCGGCACCTTGAGGTTGAAGTCACTGGATTGGATTGTGAAGGACGTCCCATCAAGGTGGATGCAGCCGGCTGGCAGGCTCGGATATTACAGCACGAATGCGACCACTTGGAGGGCACAATCTATGTCGACAGGATGCTCCCCAGGACGTTCCGAACGGTGGGGAACTTGGCTCTACCCCTCCCTGCGGGCTGCCCCAAGCTCGGACCCCCCTGAGCTCCCAAAGCTCGGTGCTGGTGCCCGACATCTGCGTGGTAGCGTGACCTAGATGCAGGAAATGGCTGACTGGGGGGTCGTTGAGCTCTTTCTCTCTGCGCGGTAACCAAGCTTGGTGACCTACTGATCGGGGTCATTCACATTATTATTCCAAATTGGACCCTTGGACAGATTCGATTTCTTTGGTGGAAATTTTGCTCGAACTAGTGCCTGCATCTCTGCAACATGTTGTGCTTATAAAAGGCCACTCGTTATACCGCATACTATCTTTTAATCATACTTTTGCGTGAGTGAGAGTGAGAGAGAGAGGGAGGGAGAGGGAGAGGTAGAGGTAGAGGGAGAGAGAGAGAAGGGGAGAGTGTAGGAGCAGTCTTAGCATACATTTGCGGCATTGTTCAAAACTTTAAACACTTCCACGAGCCCTTTCGAGGTCCAAACGGCGGCCTATGTATGGTACAAGCATCTCTCTACACTGAAGAAGCTTCGTCCAACTCGTACGGCCAGAGGGGGAACAAGTGAACCCTTCTCCGAACCAGAGAGTCGGCAAACACGTTGATACATACGGCGGAAGACCATCACCACCACAAACACACACACACACGCAACCTTCATCTGTAGCTGGACCGAAGAACCTCCTCGCCGTAAGCAGGTGCTTTCATGACTGGGTAGTCGTCCTCGATGGCCAGGCAAGAGGGAGGGTCGACCAGCCCGTAGCTGAACCCAGATGCCTTCCAACAGAACGATGTAGAATTGCCCCCCGACTCCAATGGCAGATGGATGTTTTGTAGATGGATTCTCTGGCATGGGAATGTGTCGCTGCAGGCGAAGGTCATGGCCCGTCGCGTGGCCGACGTGCCGACAATATTCATGAAGGAGACCCTGTTCACCTTCACTGCCGACGTCTGCATTTCCCACGGACGGCACTCTATCAGTCAGTCAATAATTAAAGCGACCACCCCACAGACAAACCGACATCTGAAGTCAGCCCCCGCAGCCCCCGGCTCCGGCGTAGTTACCTGGTTCTTGCAGGGTTGGAGGGTGTCACAGTAATATTGGTCGATGATGATCGGGTTGGAAACGTTCTTCATCGTAACATTTTGAAATGTTATGCCATCCACGAGGCCTTGACCTCCCTGAATAGGGAAAGGCCAGCATTAATGCTTCAGAAACCATCGACGGCATTCATCGGGAGCTTCCCGCATTCAAAAGATTTATTAAAAGGGCAGCTACTGAAAACTACGTAGCTGATCGATATGTCACCTGCCATGTCTTGATCCTGAGGCCAGTCTTCGTGTTGGTAAGAACGGCTCCGTCTACTTGCACGTCGGACACCTTAGACCATGAGTTCAATTTGCCCAAGCTCCCGATGCTATCCATAATCGTGGAGTGCGGAGATTCCGGTCACCGGGTTGGCTTGGATATTATAGAACAAGAGAACGGCCCCGAGTGAAGGATCGATGCTCACCTGATTCCGTGGCCCGGTCCGCACGAAACGTTTCTAATGCGTACCTTGGAAGATCCCTTGCCCACGGAGATGCAGTCCTCTCCTAGAGACGATCCACCATCCAATGCAAGCCGACGATGACGCATTGGGAAGATAACAATTGAACGTAGAAATTCATTTCTGGAGGAAAGATGACGAGGAACCTTCCGGTCCCTAATGACGGTGACGAGACGATGAAAGGGGCCGCACCTGTTGTGATCTCGCTCTTTTGAATGTAGACGGTCTCGGAGCCGCTGATGTGTATGCCGGCGGTCTCGGGGCTGGCCACCGGTGCGATCACTTTCAGGCCGGAGACCTTAACGTGAAAGCAGCCGGTGAAGGTGATGTGTGAGTGTGGGCTGTTCAGCAGAGTCATGTTTCTGACCTTCAAGTGCCTGCACTTGTGAAATGTAATGGCCTGCACAACCGTTGTTTCCTCGCAGACTTTAGACCTTCTTTGTGAAATGAATTCGATCATAACTTGAGGAAAGTAAGCTCTCTTCCGTTGGAACGGAAGATACACTAACCGTAGGTGAGGGTCGGCACGGCTGCAGGACAAAAACATGAAATCAACAGCGTTGAGATTGCGCACTCGCAGGTCGTCTTCCGAGTGTCTCCTTGTGTGTGTGTGTGTGTGTGCGTGTGTGTGAGTGACTGAGTGACTGAGTGACTGAGTGAGTGACAGCGAGAGAGAGAGAGAGAGAGAGAGGTGATAATTTTATGGCTTACATTTATCTTCCTAACTTTGCAAGACTTTGCCCACCATCTTTCTCCCATGCCATCGACGATCCCAACACCTCTGCCTCTTAAGGCTAGATTACTTACCTCGTGGAAATAGAGCCACCTTCGAGGATTCTGCCTGCGCCAGGCGGTTGGGTTCGGGGGGGCGAGAATGCTCCCTAAGATCTATACATATGTGCATATACATCACTGGTAAGTGCAACGTAATGATCACCTCGAAGAAGATTCCTTTCAACGGATATGCAATGCTTGTTGTGCTTCGTTATAGACATGCATACCCGTAAAGTCACATTTGTGGTGCAGGGCCCGGAGAAATCAATCGGCCTGACCAAATACCTGCGCTTCTCCGGAACTTTGAGTACTGTCTTGCGCGAGGTCGAAGAACAGGCTGCATACCAACCGTCTTTAAATGCCTGAAAATGAATCGGCTCGCCGTCAGTCGGCGGGGCATTACCTATTTGTTCCGCCTGAGGAGGGTATCCTCAGGCATGTAAAGGACTAAAACGATTTACGACGACCTATTTGTCTTGCTATTTAAAAATAAAATAAAAACTTGTCATCCCTTGCCTGGGTATCATCATGGATGCCGTCTCCAACCGCGCCGTAATCCTGGACGGAAAGAATCTTCTTGGAGCCCAAGGGATCGTCGCGGCCATCACCTTCGCCACCGCGTCGGGGCAGCCGGATCAGGGGATCGCTCCCTTCGGCACCGCCAGTGTGGACGCAAAAGAATGTGAGGCTGATTAAGAGGAAGATGAAGAGGACGGAGGGAGCAGTTGGGAATGAGAAGGTAGCGGTTGACATCATTCCTCCGGCAGCAGCAGCAGCAGCAGAGCAGCAACAGCATGAGGAGATCCAAGACCCTGACGCAACCATCAGCTTCATCCGTGGCCCCGTCCATTATTTATCCCCGGCGAAGAAATTCTTTGGAGGGGCGGAAGACGGCAGGAAACCGAGGCGGGTTTGGGGACCGAGTCGCCTCGACAGCGATCATTGAAACGAAACCGCTTTTCACATTGGACCGTCGGGGACCTAGAAGAGGAGATCATTCATACTCCGCAGGGAAACCGATCAACCAGGGGACGGAATAAAACGACTTTCACATGGGATCATGAGCAGTACGTTGCAGGGAGGCATCCCAAAGAAGAGAAATTTGCATTCCGCATGAAATCCCCGGGCAACAAAGATGTGGAGAATCTGAGTAAGTCGTGGAAGACGAGGGCCCAGATTTGCATGAACTCATACGCGTCCATCTACACGAGAACTTGGGGAACTCTAGAAAAGTACGTAAACAAGTATTTTTGGTTAAAGGAATAATACAAGAGTGCACTGTAGGATGGGGGGAGACAAGTGGGATGCTTCGTATAGCCTTGATGCAATCGAAGTTAAAATTAAGTGCGAGCATGGTCAGTAATGAAAAGAACCAATAAGAAACCCGATTGACCACCGCTCATCACAACAGCCCAAGGGTTTTTGGTAGGGGGGGTGTGCAAGTGTGTTTTAAATCGTGTGTTTTAGAAAACGGCATGTGATCTCCTTGTACATATTTGATATTGGAAAGCGAGAAATTTATCGTGCATATGCAAAATCGACGAGAACGTAGTTGCATTAAGATTAGAATCATTGATGTTTCCTCCGTTCCAAGTCTGTCTCCGGTTTCTCCAAGCTCAGGCCAAAAACAAGATTGTGGGCTTCGGTATATTGTTAAAATGCACTTAAAAAGGAGGAGAAAATTATACGATCTTAAATCAATACGTCAACATTGTCTGCTTATGGCATTTAAAGTTGAGCCCGCAGTAACATCTATGACAAGGACGAGCGACGACCCTTTGTAGGTTGACTTCAAAGTCCACGGCGCGGAATTCCGCAAGGCTGAGAGAAGGCAGAGCACTCGCCCCCGAGGGCCATCGCGTTATATGGCCTCAATCTTCTTTTCATCAAAGTTAAGGGAAGCGATTTCTTATGGCGATGCTGGTGATCCGGGGAAGACATTAGACAGAGGAGGACAGTAATGATTTATTTTGAATTACAATGTGGAGTAACTTGATGTGCTCTGCCGTGAAGGTACTGATCCGCAAGGCAGTTTAAGAAGCAAATGCAAGAATACTGTGACAGAAAGAAAGAAAGAATAAGGCTTTGGACGGCCTCTATCTAGAATCAACAAAGAACATAACCAGTTCAGCTATACACATTCGACGTGTGCTCGCTTCTTCGTGTATGCGTGTCTGTGCTCGTGGGTTCTGTAGTCGCAGTTGATGACGAATAGTTCAGCTCGCCTTCTCCAGATGACGGACGCCCTGTTGGTGACTAGCGGTGCCTGAGCGTCTTGGATTCGTTTGTAGTGAGTGATTCAGTACGGGAATTCGCGAAAATCCCCAGGAGGCCAAAGCGAGAGAGCTTGGGAGAGGGCGGGTCGACGGCCGGAGACGCCATGTTGGTCCGGCTCAGACGGCAGGCGTTGTTGTAGCGGCGGTGATCCGCTTGCCCGATGGTCCCAACACTGTAGGCATGTCTCAGCTCCCTGAACTCCGCGGCTTCCACTTTGGACTTGCCGACGCCCATGTCCTCCGTGAACCTATCGTCCCATACCAACCCCGATGAGCCCGACCTCCTGAACGTCTCGACAGATCTCTGAAGGGAAGGGGCCGCCATGGGCTTCCTAGGAAGCAGCGACGAGCCTACCGGTCTCTCTCTCGCTCCTCTCGATGGCCAGCCTCCCAGAGCTCCCAACGATGTGTGTGCAAGTCGATATCGGAGGTGAGCTCGTGTTTCCCCTTGTGGAGGTCCAATCTCTCTGTTTATAAGGATCTGGAGGGAACAGGCGACAGACGGGGAAGCAGGGAGGAAGGATCATCAAACGATCGGTCAGCCACCGGCATGATGTGAGAAGATGGAGACCCTTGCCTGGGTAGACAATGAAAGGATGTAAGCGGGAAGCAGGTTTTCTTTTTTTTCCAAGGGACGAAGGAAAGCCACGGCGGACACAAGAACGAAGACTTATTGACCGTCGCCCCCCTACTTCCTCCCCTCTTATTCCAGCTGGGCTTTCTTGACTGCCTCGTAGTCAATGTGAAAAGCCCTGGAGAAGAATTCTGCCAATTCCGTCCAATATCTACAGTCAAGAAGGAAAAGCTAACGCGTATTTTTAAAGGGATGTCTCCAAAAATGCAATATATCGGGGTTTTATGCATACATGCATTTCACCACTTGTTAATGCATCCGTCAACAACGGGCATTAGCGATGTGTTGCAAGAGTTAATGTTGCAATAAAGATTTTAATTAGAAAAAGATGTACATATTTAAATATACCAACGTATATATTCATCTAGCGTACTGTTTGTGTCCCTCCACATTGTCACTGGTGAAAACAGAAACGAGGGTTGGGTAGTTTCACAGGGATTTCCAGGTCTTTGCGAGCTAACTTTGAGGACTCGTATAATATTGTCGCAATAAGCGACTTATTGGAAGTAGGAGGGCACCGTGATAGTTAGGGAGATACTTTCTGAAAATTAATGAGATCGTAGAAATTGGACGAGTGTCACCTATCTATTAGGGGTAATAAGTAATAAAATCAAATAAATAGTAAAATGTTAATCAATCTTAACATAATCAACCATTATCTCAATTGTAATGTGACCAGGGGACTAAATACCAAGAATTGTATAATTTTACGGGGCATTTTTCTTTTAGTACAAAAGAAGAGTAACATATATCATATTCAATTAGTTTAATAAGGTAAAACCGAATAATTCAAGAAAACACGAAAAGGCTTTATAAAAAATTATAAAGCATAGACTCCCTGGGTATCAAGTTTAACATTATTAGCATGCTCTCATAACTGGTAAAAAATGTGTAAAATCCGGGTATTAAAGGCCGGCATATTTGACGGGATTGACTCTCCGAATTTTTAAAAATAAAAGAATAAATATAAGCCTTGTGTTTGAAATATATTTTCCCCTTTTTCATCCCCCAGATGTTACCCTGCTTTCCGTCCTCAGAGCATATAGAGCTAGATGAGATGCGAAGTGAAAGGACTGTGCACTGGACAAAGACTCTGCAGAGGACTCCTGAGCTTTCTGGTCGGACGGGAACGGTTGATTAAGACTGAATTCGGTTTTGAGGAGAGGTTTTCTGCCGGTTCAGCAGGGGGACGACGACCAGACGTGACCCAGACGACCAGCTGCCGTCGATCTTGGACTGCCCTTCGGTTAGTCGTCTTCCATTTCAACCTTTGAATTCTCTGGCTTGTGGGCCACCCGAGATTCAACGCCCGTCTGCGTCATCGTCAGCTCCTGGGGGAACCCGGGGAATTTGCTGTAATTTTGTCTATGACTCAGTTCCTCCGTATATATGTATGCATATATATATATATATGTTCTACGGTTTACTGAATCCTGATCTGTGGGACCTTTTCGTTGTCACCCCCAAAGCCCATCCTGATCCTAAGAACCTTATCTTCCAAAGGCCACCAGCTTTAGGAGGGAATAAGGGCTCTCGTTGACGATCCCCCTTGTGCCTGGCCGGAAAAATGTCTTGGATCTCGTTCAAGACATTATGACAGACCTCCCTAGCTCGGAATAGTGCGCGATCAACAGACTGGGAGAAAATGATTCGCTTCGACATGATTCTTAACCAAACAGCACCGTGGAAAATGAAAGATGTTGATCAAACGCGTAAAGTCCTTTTTGCAAGCATTGAAGTCCCCCGAGTAACCGCCCCGGGCCAAGGGAGAGGATGCTCTGCGAGCGTGGTGGTACCCCTGCCCGAGAGAGTCCGCGCTCAGATGGTGACGTCCACGTTGTGGGGGGGTGTTCAATCCATCCTCTCTCGTTGCTCAAGCTCATTCAATCCATCCTTTCTGGCAGCGTTTGGCGTCGGGATCTCCCGGGACGGTTTTCAGGAGCCTAGTGGATCGACGTGAGAGCTGATGCGAGAAAGAGAGAGAGAGAGAGAGAGAGAGAGAGAGAGAGAGAGAGAGAGAGAGAGCGGGGTCCGCCGAGAAGATTATTGGCTGGGTCGCATTGACATGATGGGCATCTTGTAGTCTTCTGCGTCGGCTGCGGGCCCAGGGACTTGCGGATTCTGGTCATCAGCTACGGTAAAAAAAAAAAAAGGTGGTCAAAGAAAACTTTCATTGAGGATTCAGTAAAGCCCGTCGTTCCCCAGAATGGCGAAGCCTCGCTAGCAGTCCCGCGTTATCTCCTCCGAATAAATTTATTCCCGCCATTTTAAAAATTTCCCCGCCATTTTTATTGTCACTGAATCTCAGGCAAACGGGCGGTCAAAGAACGATCAAAGTCCCAGATTCTGGAGTCCTCACGAGTACGACGCAGGCAAAGCACCTAGTATCGAATGCGGAAGCCGACTGACTAGCAGCGAGATAAGCTTCCGACGGATAGTTTTTTCTTCATGGATTGCCCTTCTGCATCAAAGTACGAAACATCCCCGCGATTGAAGAACGGGGGGAGGGATTCTGAAACAGAAGGATCGACCAACACTTCATCCCTGTTTTCGGCCTTCCGTCTGAACCAACAAGAATCCTCACGCGGACCTCCATTTTCGTCACATCAAGATTTGGTTTTTCCTTCTCTTGTAAAACTTGGTCATCTTGCCGATGATTAACTAGGAAGTCTGCAGATGACCATGGACGCCAAGCCCGTCAGATGGACGCGCCTTGATTGACCCACGAAGAAATCAGATGATGCGCAATGGCGAAGGGTCCTGGAATAAACATCGGAGCGAGCTCCCCGCTCTCCACATTGAAGTCCGTCGAAAAGCTCGTGCCTTTCTCGACCCCTCTGCACATCTGACTGACCTTTTCCGCAGCCGTTCTCTGCGCTTTCTCGTACTCGGCAAATGTCAGCGCCTTCTCGACCTCCTCTCTACTGTGCCACTGGGCATCTACAAAGTGGTGTGGTCGTGGAAAATGCATCAGATGCAACCAAATACGAAACCAAAGGTAAGTTAGAGAATACGAGTCCACATGAACCATGCAACCATGGAGATACATCTCGATTCAAGTCCCTAACGAACGATAGATCCTTCACTCGGCAAGCCGGTGGTCCAACTCCCGACTAAAAGCGCAATCCACATCTCGATTTTCATTCGGCAGTCGTAGAATGTAGGACATACCTTCCAACGCCTCCTTGTTGACCTGTATGTCGAGCGATTTTGCGTGTGCAAAGAACCCCACCATCAACTGGCACGGCATGCTTCCTGGCCCAACTGAAAATTTCACAGAGAGGGGCAAGAGTCTGATGAACATCACCCACTAGCGCCAATCAGCGATGGGAAAGAGATATTGACAGCATCGTAGAGTCAATGAGAAAGAACAGCGTAATCATCCCACGGAAGAAAGAGCAATGGGTTCATAAAAACCGTATATCGGTTTTCTGAGGACGAAAAGAAATGAAATAGAAATGAAGATATAAAGATACATCACACGCGATTTTATAAAGAAGCTTCTAGATGCTACTCAAGAAACGGAGAGATCTCACAACTCTCATCCGAGAGCGGATTTGCAGTCTGCCTGCCCTGGTCTCTGAACTGAGGGCACTGGAGCGTCTTCAAATAATTGTACCAAAGCGTGGCTCAGTTTTCGGTCAGAGGAAAGGAATCAAAGCACCGAAGTAAAACTGAACACTTAACCCGAATGAACCGGGGATTATTTCGTACAACAGGATGCCACTTATCTTCCCTTTCACGTCTTCCCTTACTCTCGTGCTCATCAACCAATACCGGGCACATTTTCGTCTCTTAAAACTCGTTATGCCGCTTCATCTCCTGACATGAATTCTACGGATGTGAATTCGTTGCACTCTCTTCCATCTCCAACCTATTCCGTATCTTTCAGGACTACAGATTTACGTTGACGTAACATTGATCCAACATCTGTGGCACGAATTTCCTCTGTGAAGCAGTGTGCAAGAATGACCGAAGAACATATGAACGCATAAAAAATCATGAAGATGCGCGATATATTGTGTTACCAGTCGGGTGATGATCTGTGTTCATCGGGGTGAAACTTATCGGGTTAAAACAGTCTCCCGAAACCGAATGACCTAGAGGAAAGAACCGCATGAAAACCATGAAGAGGCATACCGGGCCATGGCTGAGAACTGTGGTAGATGACTTGTCCCACCTCAATGCCAGTCACTTCCCACGTTTCCCTCCTCACTGCCTCCTCCAAGCTTTCTCCGGGCTGGCGACAAGGGAGGGTTTAGAGCCGATCAGTTTCCACTACAAGCTACCGATGGTTAAAGCATTCACATCAGGATCATATAAAGCATTTAATTATATTGGCGCAAGTTGTATAATGCCCGATGATACGGTTTTTTCGTTGACGAAGATCTCTTGGGAGGAAGATCTGTAAGGCACATCAGAGCCCCAGACAGTCCTTTGTTTTTTTCTCTTTGGAGCAGAGACGCCGTCTTCAAGAGCGCATACCTCTATGAAGCCCGCAAGGCAACTCCACATTCGAGGGACAAATCTCGATCGGCGGCTAAGCAGTGCACGGTCATTTCGTTTGTCAACGACCAGCAGAACGATAACCTGTGGCAAGCCATCCTCGGAGCATGAGAGGGAAACCATATGTCAACACATAGATATATGCATGCGCAAGGAGGAAAGAACGAAATGGCATGTGGAACTATAAAGAGGAAGAGCAAGCCTCGCTCTAGACGTCTCACAGGGTCGACCCGGGGATATATTTTCTTCTTGCAGGAGTCGCTCGTGCACTGTTTCCTTCGGCCGACGTCGATCGTGACAGTTTGTGCTCCACATTGCCCGCAAAACCGTGACGATTCATGCCATTCCAACAGCGCCTTGGCCTGGATACACGACGAAAAGACAGAGCCAAGGTCGTCAAAAACTTTGGGGATTCCCTGACCTCCAACGAGGAATCAAGGGTATGGCTCACTGCAAGGACCACCCGTTGATCCCGCATTTTAACCGCAGCACGTCGCAGCGGACCGAGATGGACGCGGGGACGAAGGGCGACGCTTACGTGGCCCGCGAGCGCCATTTCTCCCATGCTGCGGTCGTTTCCCCAATCCGTGGCGACCATCAGCGTCCTCAGCTCTACGAAGTTGAACCCGTCGCCAGAACCAAACCGGAGCTCCCCGCCGTGGGTGGCGTCGACCGCCCAGTAAATGGTGCCACTGTCCTCCGGCAGCCCCGAGCCAAGGTAGACGAACAAATCCGCAGGGAATTCCCTGAGATAGGAAGGCGAGAGCCATCCCAGGCGCCATTGCGGTGGTGAGGGATCTGGACGAGCCAATTCGGAGGAGGAAGCGGAGCAGGCCAGGGGCCTGCCCATCCTAAAGGGCAGGACCTTGTGATCAAGCGAGGGCCAGCCGTCGTTGCGGGGAAGTCCAGAGAGGAGGACGTTGCGGAGGGATTGGAGAGCAGAGGTGTGGGAGCATGGTTCGACGTGGTGGAACCTCAGCGGGTGCCCAGCGAAGGCATGGCGAGGCCCGACGGTGTTAACAGAGGACATGGCGATGGGGACCGAGCGGAGGGGGCCGATAGAAGACGAACCTCTCCGATCCAGTCTCGGGATTGGCGTAGCGGAGGACGGTGGGGGCGGGGGCGACTGAGAAGTCTCCGACAGCTCCGAGGGATCTTTCCGAGCGTCTCTCCGGAGGTGGCGGCGTTCCTTCATCCAGGGGGAGTTGGGGGAGGAGCTCCGGACACGTGGTGCATGAAGAAGGCTCTACGTGTCGACGATTGAGACGTGGCTCCAAGCGAGTTCTGGGGCTGGGCTCGACACGTCGCTCGCAGTCCCGGTCGACCCTTTCAGAGAAGAGCCCCTTGTATTACCGGGTGCTGCCACAAGTACGGAACTCGAGCAGCGAGGGCCCTCGGTTTTCTTTATGAGCCCCTCTTTTCAGGAAGGTCGAACGGCGTAGCTCACCTACCCCGGCTGCAAACCAGAGCTCGAGCTCGTGAAGCAAGGGCAAACCCCTCCCCACACACCCCCGTCCCCCCCTCTCTCCCCGCCGCATCCATGGGCGGATGGATAGATGATGGAAACAAGAGGTTTGAAAAAACAGTCGGGTGGGGAGCAGGTGGAGTAGGCCCGTCGACTTCGTTTGGATCAGTGGTAGGATGGTTCAGTGACGGGGTCTCTCGCCTACTACCGCTCGCCGTAAAAATAAACACCGTGCTGTTGTCAGTAGATGAAGGGATACTAGTACGTTATCCTGCTTTACACAGAAGAAGCACGTAGCTACTCTCCACTCTGAGAGATGGGAGGTGGGTGGCGGCCCAAGACCTGACGTCGGGGTTCGGAGTGCTTATTCCCCACGCAGCGCCTTCTCTAGAGAGTTCCTCCTCGCGGAGGCCAGCACGGTCCTGTCGGCGACGATGAAGTAGGCCGCACCCGCTGCCGTGGTGATGATGAGAGCTTGAGCGGTGGGGTTCAGGTTGGCCCTCGCCCACGGCAGCATTCTCACGCTAGCCAGCTGTTTCGGTTCCAACCCATTTTTGGTGTGACATTCAGTCAGCTCCCCCCAATAGGCAGGGCATGATATCGCTCTCACTCCTCTCTCTGCAAAAAAGCCTCCTCTTTGGAGAAGACGGAAATGCTTACAGTTGGGATGGCGGACGCGATGGTGGCGGCGACAGCAGCCTTGGCTCCGGCAAGGGCGCCCTCTTGAAATAATGGAGGACCATGAGCGATTTAGGTCTAATGTCGACAGAGGGAACAGAAGATATACAGAAAAGAGGAAGAGGGATCATTTTTTTCATTACCGCGGGCGCAGCTCTTGGCCCTGTTCAGCTGGTCCAGAGATGCGCTAGCAGTGTGCGACATTTTGCTCCTTGTGCCGAGAGGAGGAGGGAGGTGGTAGGCAGGCGGGGAGAAGAGAGGCGACGATCGATCAGGGAGGCGTACGCTTTGGGGGGTAGGATGGGGAGGCCAGCATGAGCCAGTGATGAAGTGGCGAGAGTGGGGGAGGGTATTTATAATAGATAGCCGGGGCAGTAGCTGGTCGGCGGTTTCGTAATTGGGTGGGAAGGGTCCCCCGGTTTTTGGTGCGCCGCCGAGGCCTCGAAGTAACTGTGGTCGACCCCCGGGATAGGATTCCACGTGGATGGATGCTCAAAAATACAACCCACCGCCCCGGCCCCCCCCCCCCTCAATGTCCCCTCTCTCACTGGCGACCGGTCAATCTCACACCAAAACTAGTTCTAACTACGAGTGGGCCGAATTACGTGGTAGGGGATCGTCGGGGAGACTTCCCCTCGGAGCAACTGCATGGCGAAGACACGTGCATGTCCACCTGTCGAACTCTGACAACGACGGCGAGCTCTACGTGTCGCGACGAACAGGTCGAGGGCCATCTATATATGGCCAGGTAGTCCTCCGTTTTCTCATCCCATCCCAGTGCCGAGAAAGCTTATCTTGTTGCGACTGTTTCGACGAGGAGGATTCGGAGAGGAGGCCATGTCGTCCCACGAGGAGCAGATTCACGCCAAGGCCGGGGAGACCAAGGGCCAGGCTCAGGTAACGGGCACACACGTCCCTTCTCTCCTTCTTCTCCTTGCGCCGCCGTCTCCTCCTCCTCCTCCGCCGCCGCCGCTACCCCTGAGGAGGAGCTGATCATCCCTTTTTGGTCTCGCGTTGTCGGTAGGCGAAGACGGAGCAGATGATTGGAAAGGGCCGGGAGGCCACTGAAGCTGCCAAGGAGAAAGCAGCCGGCGGCGCCCAGGCGGCCAGGGACAGGGAGCAGACGGAAGAAAAGGGGGAGCAGGCCGGCGGCTTTCTGTCGGAAAAGACTCAAGCCACGAAGGAGAAGGCGGCGGAGGCCACCCAGGCTGCTAGGGAGCGGGCTAGCGGGGCCGCGCAGGGCACCCGCGACACGGCGCAGGCCGGCAAAGAGAAGACGGCGAGCATCCTGCAGACCGCCAGCGATCAAGTGCGGAGCGCCGCGCAGGGGGCTGCGGAGGCTGTGAAGGGAACCCTGGGAATGGGAGGGGAGAGGAAGGAGGGCGCCAACGAGTAGTCTGTCCCTTCCCGTTTGTCACTCTCGTCCTCACCCCCCCTCTTCGCGATTTGCTCTCTCTCTCTCTCTCTCTCTCTCTCTCTCTCTCCTCCCTCTCTACCGGTGTTGTAGGTAGCCCTTAGGATCGTCCGGCTGGGCCAGAATAAACGGGCATTTCATCCATCGCGCGCGCGCCCACAATAATGCTACTGCTGCTAGCTCTCGAGCGCATTATGTGTCTCATCTCTTCCCCTGTGCCTGTCGGCCGTCTCCTTTTTCCTCCCATGAAACACCTTTGAGAGGAACACACTCGGCGGCTTTTCTCCCGAAAGGAGGGAGTGCCTCCGAAATGAATCCCAAAAACTTGCGGCGACCACGCTCCCAAACTATCGGAGGTAAGTCAGGGAAGAAGCAACCCATGCTCGTGGCCTGCTGGATCGGACGGCGGGAGGGACCGGACAAAATTTAGCGCAATGGTCAACATCGACCATGACGTCGGGTACGGCCCAGATGACGGCGACTTGGGGAGACCGGCCGCCCACGCGCCGTTGACATCTCGTAATTAGAGATATCGGGCCTGAGAAATGGGAGTGGCCCACCGGGATGCAGCCCGCGACTGCTGGGTCCGGCCCATGACTCGGGAGGTGGTGGGCCTTGGGAGTTGAACGGACGGTCACGATTTTGTGTCAGCTCCAAGAAGGGAGGATTAGGGTTCAACCCGGAACTATATAGTCCCCCCTGGTTCCGCTTGCTTTTTTCTCCTAATTCCTCTGCTCTCCCGCTGTCCTTGCTCGGCAGAGACGGGCAGCCCCGACAGGTAACAATCAGCCTCGGGTACCCCGAAGCCGAGGTTTAGTGACTCCGTTTCGCCTTCTCGGCGCCCCTCAGGATTTTAGGACGGCTTCCGTGGGTTAAATTGTGAGATTTTTATTGTTTTCTGAGCAGCTATTGCCGCTGCAGGAGATGGCCGACTGCCCCAACTTTAAGCTCGTCATCGTCGGGGATGGGGGGACGGGTACCTCCTCACTCTTATCCATTTTTTTCCCTTCCTTTACAGTCATTCTCTTCCTCTACGGCTACACGTCCCATTGTGGCTATTTTGACCGTGCATGTAACATTTCGGTTCTGAACATCCCGCTTCACCTTCCCCAGTGCTCGGGAGAGCGCATGGGTGTTTGCACCGTCATTTTTAATTATTTTTTGTGCGAAATGGAGGTCGACTATGCGTTTTAAGAATGACGGATTCGCTGTTCTCGTCGCCTTCTGTAATTTTATGGAGAAAATTCCGGTGCTCAGGTCATCTTTCTTTCTGAAACTCGTAAAAAGCTTAGCATTTCATCCTTATAAACTCGGGTCATCTTGACTATAGTAGATAACCATTGGGAATTAACATGTGGGTTTTAGATTGGGTTGAGTAAAGTATCGCCGGCTGGTGGATAGATGTGACCTCTAAACAACTTCACAAATGCTTAATTCAAAACTTCCAAGCCTGTTCAAAGACGACAAGTACAAAATGTAGTTAACACTCTTCCTTGGAGATAACGATGTCCTTCGTGTAAACCTATGCACACCGACTTTTTAACTCTTAATTCTTTTACTCAAGCCTTTCATCCTTTTTCCAATGTTCAATTCTGCGCTCGTGTCATTCTTATTCCATTTCTCTGAGAGATAATTCCGTACGATAGGTTTATCCTGAAAATGTCAGTATCTCAATCACTCGTTAATGGGTAAAAAATATGATCATTGCCGCAATTGGAGCCTAATTTTCATTAGGGAAATTCAAGGCATGCACATTTTTGTTTCAACTCCGAATTCATAAGGTTGCTTTAAATTGAAACCAGGTAAATGGAAACACTAGAATATTTGAATGATTTTATTTAACTGGTGAGCACCGAAGCTTCATAGAACTGGAGAAACGTAATTGAGGGACCACGATAACAGAAGAGGATGCCTTCTTGACGAGTTTCATTCCACGTGTATGTTTTTACTAGAATTCTTTTGTCCTCATTCCTGTTGCTGTAAACTCTGATTGCCTTCCGTATTCGAGATTTGTTCGTTCTACTCCACCACCGTATTTACTGAGTTCATCATCGATGTAGGTCAAAAAAATTCCAATTAATCTGGTTTTGCAGGGAAAACGACTTTTGTGAAACGTCATCTAACCGGCGAGTTTGAGAAGAAATATGAACGTATGTTTATTAAAGCTCAATCACATACGCAACCCTTTTCATGGACATGGGAAGTTCATCATTTCTTTATCTGCTTTCTATTTTTTTTAATATTGCTTTGCAGCTACTATTGGAGTTGAGGTCCATCCCTTGGATTTTTTTACGAATTGTGGAAAAATTCGTTTCAATTGCTGGGACACCGCTGGTCAAGAGAAGTTTGGGGGCCTTAGGGATGGCTACTAGTAAGATTTCTATTGTTTATAAAAGTATTAATGACTAAAATTTTTAGCTCCTGCCAAGTTGTTCCATAAATAGTTGACGTCTTCTTTATCTTACTATGTTCCTCTTTCCTAGATGATAATTCAGTGGTATTCTTCAATAAGTTTCCATGCTAAAGTTAAATAACCTCATATTCTCTCCGTCTCAATCACAGTACCCTCTCCGGAGTTAATAAATCCATTAAGCTTTAGACAGGTTCACATATCACGTTTATTACCATTTCTTAATCTTGACAGCATATTCGCAGGCGCAAATATTATAATTATATTCATCTTCGATCCACGTATACCAGGATGGCTATCCATTATTACGAGCGCAGGCGTATGAGCATAGACATATACATCGATACCATCCCCTTTTTAGATCTCATGATATAAGGTCTCGCGATTTTTTGTTTATATTTGCATGAGTTTAGGCAAGCTGTTGTTGTGCATCGTCTCCAAGAAAGGTTATGTGCATGTTCAGCTTTTAGATAACGTTATGTGCTCAATTTAAGCATCATCAGATGATGCTCTCGTGAAATGAATTACTTGCCCGTATGCATGTGATTGCTTAGTTTGCTAGTTGCGGTTACCTACGTCGTCTGCATCTGTTGAAGGGTAAAAAATCCCTTCTCTAATGTTTGACTGCTTTCTCCGTGCAGTATTAATGGGCAATGTGCGATCATCATGTTTGATGTCACGGCTCGATTGACGTACAAGAATGTACCCACATGGCATCGTGATCTTTGCAGGTTGGTGCTGAACGGTCTTCAAATCGTCCTGTCCGTGCGTTCACGCTTCCGGGTCCACTGATAAATTGTTGTGGAACAGGGTGTGCGAGAATATCCCAATCGTCCTGTGTGGCAACAAGGTTGATGTCAAGAACAGGCAGGTGAAGGCGAAACAGGTGACTTTCCACAGGAAGAAGAACTTGCAGTACTACGAAATCTCTGCGAAGAGCAACTACAACTTTGAAAAGCCGTTTCTTTATCTCGCCAGAAAACTTGCTGGGTGAGGAGCCTTCATTCTAACCCTCGAGCACAGCTCCTGTACCGCTTGGCGTTCATTCCGTCGCCTGTCGTTCTGATATTCAATTTGTTTAGGGATCCAAACTTGCACTTCGTCGAGTCTCCTGCCCTTGCCCCTCCCGAAGTACAGATCGACCTGGCTGCCCAGCAACAGTAAGTGCTACATTTGCGATCGATACTCATCATCGTCTCTTTTTTCTTTGTTTCATCATGCCTAATAGTTTAGGAGTAAAAAAAACTTTATCTAGTCTCACTTTCACGTCTTCTTAGTTAGTCTATCATGGAACTTAAATTTTTCAGCACCCACCCTAGAGAGTATCGTGGCACCCATCTCATTCATTCTGTGCAGACAACTGTATGTCCTTGTGATCACCATCTGCTGAAGCGGTGCCTGGAGCAGTAGTTTCTGCTTGGCTTTCAAGGGATACCGTCTGTAGAACGTAATATCTTATCTACAGCGAGATATTTAGTGCCAACGAATGGACTGTAAGATTCATGCTTCAAATGGCTGAAAGTAATTGGACAAGTAGAATGATAAGAGGGAGGGAGAGTTGAGGAAGACAATGAAGGCTCTGATAATTCAGTAAAGGTGACGAGGAGTCGTACAGTGGGTCGCGTCGAACTAGCTTAATGTCCACAGTCATCACCCCCAACAGCGCTTTTGATAGCCCCTGTTTCGTTTGTGTTTTCTTTCCATGATCCCGTGGATCTGCATCTAACCCAGTTCGACGCTGTCTCTGCCAGGCAAGAGGCTGACCTCGCCGTCGCAGCCGCACAGCCGCTCCCAGATGACGACGACGACGCCTTCGATTGAGGAACATGGGAACCTTGCAGCGTCTGTCTCCTCGACCACGCCCCGCCCCCAGAGTTTTATCGGCTGCGTGCGTGCGTGCGTGCGATGGAAGACGGGGAGAGCTATTATATGGATGGATTGATGTATGGTGTCTTGGTGTTTGTCGGTTGTTGTGAGGGACAAGTATGGGAATAGGACCCTGGTGGGAGGAGTTTAGTTGTTTGTAGGGAAAGTGGTCTTTAGTTGTCTCTCTAATTCTTAATATCAGAGCACGGCCTCTTCCTTTCTGCGACCATCGCAGCCTGCTCCCGATGCATGGCGCCGATGGTGCAGGGGTGGCCTTCCCTTCCATGAGTGACGGAGACCGAAAGGGCCATCTCCGTCTGTGTGACTTGATGAGGTAGAGAGACCCCCCCCCCCCCACCCCAACCCCTCTGTTTCCAAAGCTCTCTATCAAGTACCACGTCAGCGATCCTCGTTCCAGCTGGTCTTTAAGGTACCTGAGTTCCACAGTCGCCGAGTCTATCTGATCTTTCAGCCAGCAGGGGACTCCGAAGGCACTGCGGACAGGATCGTCCCGCCGTATGTGCGCCTTGAAGATCTTGCACCACATAGCCCGGGCGCGCTGACGTCCCTCGTATGAATTATGGATATTGCTGAAATTGCTCAGCCCGACAGTCCACGCGTCCATTTGTAATCCTCCGTCTGGTGACGCGGGAAGTAGCGCGCCAATGGGCAGTCGGGCTCGCACCTGCGCGGCTGCTCTCGGCAGGCTTGCAGGCGTGCTGCTTCCCGCTCTGGACTTCATGGGCTCTCTCTCCTCCCACCTATGGGATGGCAAACCAAAGGCAGCGGGAGAGGGAAAGGGCAGGAGGAGAGGATCCTTCTACTCGCAGGGTGAAGAGGTAAGAAGAAGAGTTTTGCAAGGGTTTCTCTTACAGTGGCTCCCCCATTTTAAGGAGACTGAGGGAATCTCCGCGAATCTACAAGCTCACTTTCTCTCTCTTTATGTTCCTTCTACCTTCCCGCGATTTACTGTTATCGCCAACCGTCTCCTCTCTCTCCGATCTCCTCCGGAGCGTACGGTGGAGGCGTGACCGGTTACCAAGATCCTCATCTCCAAACTACCTGTGAAAAACTATTGGCTCTTCTGTCTGGAGCCTTTCCCATCGTTGACAGGACGAACGACCCTGATCATTCTCGCTCATCCTCAGGTTCTTCACGACACTGAACGTCGTGTCGCCCAAGGAGGGTAGGTGGAGCTGAGACGGCCCCGGGCCGCCGCCAGCTTCTCGCCGTGGCTCCGGCGTGTCTGGAAAGTCCGATGAGGGGTCCCCCGCGTACCCTGCCTGCCCCAGTTCCCTAGCCATCTCCTCCCCCACCTCGGATGGGTCGCGTCCCCGTCGACGAACCCGTGGATCTCGCCGTTCATCTCGATGAGACTGCAGCCCGGGGTCTTCTTGACCCCCTTCTTCTCCAGGATCTTCTCCCTCACCCCCCGAACCTGCTCCCACCGGCTGCACTTACTCCTGGCGTAGAGATCCGCCAGGAGAACGTCTGCCGCGCCGTCGCGCGGTTCCAGCTACAGGAGGCGTTCGGTGAGGTAATGCGGAATTTCCTGCATAACGCACGTTACTGGCCAGTCTTGGCCAGCTAGTTATTTCTTACGGTTATTTCTTTCCCCCAGTTGTTTTCTTATTTAAAGAGGACTGTAAGAGTTTTTCAATAGAGAGAAAGTCTTCCTTGTTCCTCCTGCTGTGTTTTTCCTGTGACTAGGGTGGTGATCTCGCCGGCGACGTCTTAACTGCCGTCGTCTCTCCGGCGAGTTCCTGACATTCGGCGGCCATCTCGGCCATTTCCTGGTCCCGCTGCTGAGGAGGATGCAGCCTGCAGGTGCCGAGGAGGGACCCCAGACGATCGAGTTGGACGCCATCCGTCGAATTGTTATGAAAAAAATACGTCTTGACGCTCGAACCGTATCGCGTAGATGGATGAAAAAGATGTGATTTTCGGGAAAAGAATCATACTGTCCATTCTACTCGGCAGAGGTTCATCCTTTCCAGTCAGTCCATTCTGCGAAGCAGCGCTGGCATCGGGGGGAGAGTGAGAGAGAAGAATAACTAAGGTTCGGGATAATGTCAGGATTAGTGTTGGAGACCTCATTTATACACACATGATTCATCCGTGTGAGTATTGGCATCCATCTCGCTGTACATGGGACGGAGTCGTTGCCGGCAGCGGATGCCTAGCGGTCCGTCCGATCGGAGAATTCGGAGGCTAATCGGGCGGCGACGGCGGAGTGGTACATGGAGGCGCGGAAGGTGGGCGTTCGCGCCGTCATCCTCCTCAGCCGCCGCGCCTTCTCATCCGTGAAGGCCACGCACGGCCCACTCGCCGCCTGTCGAACACCTTTCTCCGCTGCAAACTTCCTCGTCCCCGTTTCAGCTGCGGTCGGCTCTCCGGGGGCCCCGGTTATGGGGATCCACCTGCTCCCGACTGGTTCGCACTCCTCGCCGGACCTGTCTCCTTCCGAGGCGGCGCCGGCACCCACGCCCGTCAAGAAGGAAAACACCGGTGCAAGAGCCATGACAAAACCAACAAGTTTTGTTGTTTACCTCGGCGCCGCCCGGCTCGCGTTAGAGTGGAAGATTAGCAAAGAGGGAAAATGGAGAGGGAGGGAGGGACGAGCTCCTCCCATCTCTCTCTTTCCCTCCAGGGGCAACTAGAACTCCGTCACGTGAAGCGCTTGCACCGGAGGTGAAAGCAGTTGTCGCACGGGCCCAACCTATGGTAAAATCTACATGTACGTAGTGGGCCTGCGAATCAGACACCTGTCGCGGTGTTGACATGCTTACGGAAGAATGGACATCGAAGGGCTCGGAACCGTGGGGTGATTATGAGATCGGCGGGCATGCCGGGGGCAAGAATCGGTCGTCAACTCCCGAAACCCCTTCCCTCCCAGTGTGGTGGGTCGCTGAGTTGACTCCACTGGACTCGAAAGCTCTGGCCGATCGAAGACCTCTCCTCGCAGAAAGCTTTCTTTCTTTACTGGGGCAGAGATGATATGAGATGAGATGAGATGGAGGGCATACAAGCATACAAACATACAAGTAGTATTCTTTCCTAGTAGTATCGCAGGCAGTGGTAGAGCCGACGCGATCCTGCGAGGAGGGCGAGGGCGAGGGAGGGAGAGGGAGCGAGAGATCCTCGGCATGAACGAGAGAGCGCCTGGTGAAAGGGGAGTTCCACGCGCGGTTGGACGTCCGCGATGATGGATCGGCCGCCTAGGAGAAAAGGGGGGGGGAGGTTTGATCCTGATCCGGCACTCCCTCTACTTCCAGAGTTTCCTCAGGGACATGTTCTTCTCCGTGTCCTTCTTCATGACCTTGGCCACCGCCATCTCAAAATCCTCCTGCGTCACGTGGACCCTCCTCTCCCTCAGGGCAAACATTCCCGCTTCCGTGCACACCGCCTGCGCATCAAGCAGACACGAAATGAGTCAGTCGGCACAATCCTGGTCAGACAACCTCATTCCTCCGTAAATGAAAGCTCGGCTGACGGAGGAGAGGCGCGGGGAATCAAGCGCCGAGACATCCATATATATATATATACACACAGAGAGAGAGAGAGGGCTCACCTTCAGCTCGGCGCCAGACGCACCGTTCATCTTCTCCGCTATCTTCTTTAGATCGATGCCGCGCATCAGGTTCATTCTTCTCGAGTGAATCTTCAATATGTCGAAACGGGACTGGAAGAAGGGGAAGATTTAGAGTGCGGGTGAGGGATTAGGAACGAGACACTTGAAACCATGGCCATTGCCGAGAAAGTCTCCGAAGGCCGGGGGGGGGGGGGGTGCACATAAGAGGTAAGTGCGCGGGCGGGATATTCACCTCCTCGTTGGGGTTCGGGAACTCGATTTTCCTGTCTATTCGGCCGGGCCGGAGGAGGGCCTGATCCAGGATGTCGATTCTGTTCGTGGCCATCAGAACCTACGGGAAGAGAAACACAAGAAACAGTCATCACCCCCAACAGGGCAGAAATGTGCTTCTTTCTACTCCCACCCACCCCCCCCACCCACCCACCAACAACAACAACGAGGAAGTTTCCAAACCTTGATCTTGTTAGACGCTTCGAACCCGTCGAGCTGATTGAGAAGCTCGAGCATCGTTCGCTGTACTTCACTGTCGCCGTTGCCGGATCCAGATTCCATGCGGGCAGATCCAATGCTGTCGATCTCGTCCATGAATATGATAGACGGAGCATGTTCCCTTCGAGAGAGTCACACCAAGGATCGTAGGTCAGATGGGCAAAAGGAAAGCGCCACCGGAATCAATGCAAGGAACCACAGGACACTCCTCCGCACCGTCCTAAAAAGATAAAACAACACAACGGCTGATAAATGAAATCGACGCTTACCTGGCCATGACGAAAAGTTCTCGGACCATCCTAGACCCCTCTCCAATGTACTTCTGAACCAGCTCCGAGCCAGAAACGCGGATGAAGGTGCAGTCGGTATGATGGGCCACTGCCCTAGCCAGCAGAGTCTTCCCCGTCCCAGGCGAGCCATAGAGTAACACCCCCTGGATAGAAAAATCCAAAGTTTAATGCGCTTTCCATCTGGTATCATCCTCCGCCCAGGAGCTTATTAGCTCCTATAAATAAGATCGTCTCCTCATTCAAATACCTTAGGCTGAGCAATGCCGAGACTCTCAAACAGTTCTGGATGTTTGATTGGAAGCTCGATAACCTGAAATGTTCCACAAGCAAAAACGAGGGAGTAAGGAAACTGGCCCAGAGATTTACGTGGAAGATGTGTTTTCTCCAGGTTGACAAAAAAAAAACCTCTTTAATCTCCCTGATCTGCTGGTCCAAACCACCAATCATATCATAGGTAGAATCGGGAACCTTTTCAACTTTCATAAGGTTGACAAGGGGATCCACTTTGCTCGGCAAGATCAAGTAAAGCACATAGCTATCATTCCGTAGAGCCACGCGGGTTGACGGAGTGATTTTTGTAATGTCAATACTCTTATCAACATCAACTACATATTTTCCTTCGGGATGGACCTGAATGTTGTCCAAAATTAGAAGTAGGATAATCAACAAACGCTCTGCATCTATAAATTTTTTCAATAGAAAAAAAGCATACACAAATAAACAATTTTTAAAAATTGAAATAACAACAGAAAATCTAAATAAAAAAAGAAAAAAACAAGCATCAATCCAGGGACTATCCATATAGGTGGAATAGATGACAAAAACAACATATTTTACATTTCTGCCTATTTGTCTACATAAAAAAAACCTAACACGAAATCTGCAGAAAAATATCGTGGAGTGATGACAGCAATGACGAGTGCCATTTTAAATAATCACCAAGCACAAAACAGAGTGGCGCCCGTTTTTACTGGTAACCAGTTAGGTCTAATGGTTCACTTCCAAGTTTTGATGCCTTCTGCACATAAAAAAAACTACTACAAAGAGCCACGTGGTAGATGCCAACATGGAGGTCAAACCTCGCTACCTCAGAGAGAAATAAACAATTCTTTCACACCAAAAATTAAACAGGAGAGATGAGAATTATATTCTGATGATCCTTGAAGCACAGACATGTGCACAAGACATCTCAACAGAGGAAGAACATTCATAAACAAAAAGTGGGAGATTCACATGCTTTCGTAATTAAGTGTCTGATGCAGAAACTTGTAAGATTATACTCCCGATGTAATTAACTTCCAGCCGAGCTACCTGTGATGTTGTTATTCAACGCCCACCTGCAAAACTAGGAAAATTCTGCCACTTCATTTTATCCAGCTTCTCTCGCATATCCTTTTTTTATGATTAACCGCTCAACTATTCAACTTAAAACGCGGTTTAACGTATTTTTTATAAACAATTAGAAATATAGGTTGCCAAGAAAAGATAGCAAAAATTTGCAGCTAAGAAACTACTGTTCGATAAAAATGGATTCAAAGATTGGCTATAATTTTTATCACGAGATTGCTCGAAAAATAGACAATAAAAGAGCTCAAAATTAAACAGCTACCTTAACCAAGACTTTTGATTTCCCCATAACCTTCACCACTTCGCCAACATATGAGCCAGGCTCTTGAAGAACTTGCAACTCTTCACGAAGCATCCGGACTGATAAAGATAAAAAGTATTTGCCATCATAAGCTTACATAGCTTAAGTACCAAAAGCATTAATTTACAAATGAACGAAACATTACAAATAGAAATAATCAGAATCACGGTGAAATAGTACACAAATACATGCAATTTGTACATCTTGCGTGCCGAGATTGCATCCTCGTTTTTAATAGGCTGCTGATACCTCAAATTTCCCAGATTACATGGCCTCACTAAACATTTTAAAATGCAACTGGACACAACACCATCAGCACGCATTACAGAATCATGCATTCGGCTTGCACAGAAGCAGTCTAAGTCATAAAAAACCAAAAAACAGTAAATTTTACGCAATAAGCCTCTCGATGCTAATCTTAAATTAGGAATCCACGAATAAATAATCTATGAAAAGATGCAATACCTGACGATAACCTTGAAAGAGGAACTTGACCAAAGAGGAACTTTAAAAACAAGTCTACAAAACTCTTGAATAGTCTTTGAAGATTTCTTGAAATTAAGCCAACCTTTCCTTAAAAGAGAAATGCTAAGATTGTCATATTATCCTCATGTTCTCACTATATAACCAGGTTTTACACTCTCTCCTTTCCTTGTGCATCGGATGCTCGCATGTCACATGTGCGAAATTGTCGTGGCAACATAGAGCAGTGGTAGGTTTCCATTGCCACTGTGGAACGGACATAAGAGTGGGAAGTTTATGTACCCAAGAGTTTGCATTTTTAGTTGGCATCGAGTAAGAACATTTCAGGGTGTTTTCATTTTATTGAAACATTGTTGAAGAGGGTAGTTACTGCTTCTATTGGAGCATGGTTTTAATAAAGGGGATTCCTGTGTAGAGATTTGGCGTAATGTTTCGATAACAACCCAAGTTTTTTAAGTCTTCTGCTAATTATGCTGATCTGTTGTCAAAACCGTAGTTTGCATGCTATGGCCCAGGATGGCCTCTAGCAGGGGTGGTTAGGGCAGTATATAGTTTTTCCATTTTGTGCAAGCTTCACAGCTCTTTTACAAGAGCTGCTTAATGATACTGTTAAATTTTCGTAATGCTGATAATATTCTTATGCAGCACCCAACTACAAGGACTGGACAGAAAAGGGGGACATCGATGCACGTAAAAAAATATTACACTATTTTTGATAAACACTGTCCCTCGTACAAATGCCCTTTCTGGTTCTTATCCAGTCAAAACCAAGACGAAGATAAAATCCAAGCCTGCTTCACCGAGAATTTAGAGTAGACCATTAGAATGTGAATTTGGCGCGACAGAAACCATAGTTACCAAGCCGCAATCAGCCAAAGGAAAATCGAAATAGTCATCCATGAAAATGGGATAAAGCAGACTTGCCAAGCAAGTAGGTTTCACATATTTGCAGCATTAAAACTTTAGTTCTCCGCTACGCATTCCATAAAAAGAAAAAATTAGACATAAAAAACCGTGCTTCTTATGTCTTCCCATATAGACAAAAACTGTCATAAAGGAGAATGATTCTGAATACAAGGCGATGGGCGCAGACTTGCGCAGGAATCTAGAGGAAATTCAAGAGATTTGCGTCCGGAACTCGGCATACTGGCGACGGCATTACGAGAGATTCCCAGCAACAAAAAGGAAATGGACTGCACCTCCCCACGTTTTGAACGTTCAAATAGAGTTGAGAGCAAAAAACTCACCGCGAGAGTTCAGATCATTCCGCTGGGCCTCAAGGCGGTTCAGGTTGTGCATCTTCTGACGGACCTGGAGCTGCAGATCGTGGATGTGCTGCAGGTAGTACTGACGCAGGCCCTCCCCGCCGCCGCCCCGCACCTTCACCGCTTGCGAACACATCTCTCCGTTGCTCGCCGTCGAGGGCTGGTTCATCTCCACCTCCATCGCCGCCATCTCCCTCCCTCTCTCTCTCTCTCTCTCTCTCTCTCTCTCTCTCTCTCTCTCTCTCTCTCTCTCCTCCCGTTTCCGAACTCCCCCGTGGTGCATATATGGCGAGAGAGGGATCTCTCGCCCAGGCGAGCACCGACGGTTCGGATCAAATCGGATCGTTCTCACTTAGCATTCGAACCGACTCACTCGAAACGGCAACGATGGATCCGTGGCGCCATCTCGGCCGCCGATATAAGGCCCACCGATCGGACAGATCCCGATCGCCAAAGGGCCCAAGATTATTAGGTTCGCTAATGGTAGAGTCCTATTAATACTAACGAGAGCCCGCGTTCGCGCAAGGAGAATAGAACTCGACCGAACGACTACTCTACACGAACCGTCACCGGACGCTTGTCGATCGACGGAGGAGACCTCGGACGGCGGCGAGAGCCTGGAGGAGGAGGGGGAGACGGGCCTTTTGAGCTTCTACAGGAGAACACCCGACCACTCGAGGTGGATCCATCAGGTCGTCCCTTCTTCTCCATCCCACAGGGTGGGGGTGCGCTGGAACAGAGCAGTAGTAGAAAGAGAGTGGTATGCGAAGCTCAGAAGGGAAAGGGAGCCGCTCCGCCCTCCGTCGGAGATGGTGGGCCCGGAGCAGGAGAGAAGATTGGGGGAGAGAAAGGGAAGAACAAATAAAAAATGGTGCCGGGCCTGCCGGCGGAGAATGGCGCTGGCATGTCAAATGGCAGAGAACTTGGGGACATTTACGGGGAAGTGATCAATCTCGCTCATCCAGGGGTTCCTCTCTTTGGCGGGGTTCACGGTCCTGAGGGCCCTCCAGACGGCGCTGTTGCACTTGAAGCCGGAGCCGAAGGCGATCTGCCAGGCTCGGTCCCCCTTCTTGATCCTCCCTTTGCCCTCGGTGTAGGCCAGCTCGTACCAGAGGGAGCTGCTCGAGGTGTTCCCGAAGCGGTAGAGCGTCATGCGAGACGGCTCCAGGTGCCAGTCCGACAGGTGCAGGTTCTTCTCGATCTCGTCCAGCACGGCACGCCCTCCGGCGTGGATGCAGAAGTGCTCGAAGGCCAGCTTGAAGTCCGGGATGTAGGGCTTGATCTTCATCTTGAAGAGCTTCTTCCCCACCAGGGTCGCGAAGAAGAGCAGCTGCTCGGACATGGGGAGGACGAGGGGGCCCAGCGTGGTGATATTGGTCTTCAGGGCGTCCCCCGCGACGGCCATCAGGTCCTTGGACAGGGAGACCCCGATCTTGCCCTCTCCGTCCTCCTCCTGGGTGACGCAGCCGAAGCACTTGTCGTCCCCTCCCTTGTGGGTCCGAACGGTGTGAACCAGCTGGTACTTGGATCTGCGCCGGTCCGACCTCCGGTTGGACAGCATGATCGCCGCCCCGCCCATGCGGAACAAGCAGTTGGAGACTAGCATCGACCGGTTGTTGCCGAAGTACCAGTTCAGGGTGATGTTCTCCATGCTGACGACCAGGGCGTAGGAGTTGGGATGCACCTGGAGAAGGTCCTTGGCGAGGTCGATGGAGATGAGGCCGGCGCTGCACCCCATTCCCCCGAGGTTGTAGCTCAGTATGTTCCCCCTGAGCTTGTAGTGGTTGATGATCATGGCGGAGAGGGACGGGGTCGGGTTGAACAGGCTGCAATTCACGATCAGGATGCCGATGTCCTTGGGCTTCGTGTTGGTCTTCGCAAAGAGCTCGTCGAGCGCCCCGAACATCACCGTCTCGGCTTCCTTCCTGGCCTCGGCCATGCAGGGATTCGGAGGAACGTTCAGAATCGCCTCGGGGAGGTAAGTGGACTCGCCGAGGCCGGATCTCTCCAGGATCTTCCGCTGGAAATCCAGGTTCTCCTCCGTGAATGTCCCCGTCAGCCGGGACCTCTCCATGAAGATCTGGCGGGTGCACTTGCGCGAGTCCTCGGGCTTATAGCAGGAGAAATCGACGAGGTAGACGGGGCGGGGCCGGGTGAGGAAGTAGAGGGTGCAGAGGAACACGAGGAGGGCGGAGCAGAGGAGCACGGAGACGAGGTTGAAGCGAAGGTGGTTCCAGAGGTCGTCGAGATCATTAGGGGAGAAGGTGGAGAGCTGCGCGACGATGACGCCGATCAGGGGGATCAGCACGAGGTACATCCCGTGGGTGATAAGGTAGTGGTACCCCAGCTTCACATACTTCAATTTGACGGACTGCTTGAAGTCGGGGAGGCTACTCGACGATCTCTGCGGCGAAGGGGCCTCCGCTCTCGTCTCGGCCATCCTTTCCTTCAGAGGGAGCGACGTACGGCGAGCGGCGAATTCAGGCGGACTGGACCGAGGGAGACCCCGGGCAGCTGGGGTAGACGAGGAGATCCGAGAATATGTCTGCGCTCTCGCAGAGACGCAATTTCCTGCGATTGGGGAAGAAAAGAGTGAAGGAAGCCCGGGTCAGCCAAGTGAGCTTCTATCCTCTCATCTTCGCGAGAATAAGCAAGAATAGAAGAGAGAACTCGCAGCCCCCTCTCCCACTCCCCTTCGCGGTCCGGCATCCAGATCAACCAAATCCAAGCATGTATGTAGCCGGAAAGGGGGATGCCAGCGGCGGAATGAAAACGTGAGCCGCGCACGCATGCAGAGTGCCGCCAACATTCCAGACGCGCGATAGGAACGAATCGGCGAATTTTCAGGCATTCGCGATATTTGATCTCTTCCCGACCGACGGGGACGGCGGGGGGAAAATCCAGAGACCGAACGAGAACAAATCGAGGCAGCGCGAGGATCACGCGGAGCGAAATGGACGTTCGAGTAGATTTTCTCAGCGTCCCTCGCATCGGGCAGAAACGGCGGCTGATCACGACGCAACTCGCTTCGAATGAAATAGAGCCGCCGGATCAAGGGAGAGAGAGAGGGGGAGGAGAGGAGAGCAGGCCAGATCTTACTTTTCTCTACAGGGAAAAAGTAGCAAGACGGTAAAACTCACCTCCACCTCAGAGATCCCCGCCGCCGATCCAACGCCCCTAGAGTCCGCCCTCCTGCGGGGGGCACGGAGGTGAAGAGAGAAAGAGGGCAGCAATGGCGATGAGAGCGCCACTCTCTCTCTGCCTGTGGAATGAGGCCGGGGAATTGCTAGCGGACGGGAGCGCGCCCGTAGAGGAAGAAAAGTAGGAGGGGGGGTGTGGCAGCACCGGGGGAGGCTTTATAAGTGCGTCTGCGCTGGATTATTCCTCGAGCAGGCAGAGCTCCCATTTTTAGATTATATTAAAATCTAATGGCGGGCGGGGCCGGCGAGTCCGCGTGCGTGGAGCAAAAAATCGGATGAAATATTATTTGACCGTTGCCTCTCACGACAGCTGTCCCTGACTGGCCCACACGGCAGCCGCCTCCGGGCAGGCCACGTGCGACGGTTACTCTACCCTCGGCAGGCAGTCCCCATCGGACAAAATTTATTAGAGAGAGGGGAGGCCGACCCGGCTAGATGACGGCGTCTCGCATGCGGTTCTCGAGGGGCTCTCACGTGTAGGGCAATCGTTTGACCAGTGGTCGCCACCCCCACGGTGGAGAAGAGCTGGCGATCACATGCGCCATGTGGGAGAGCCCGGGACCTGGCAGGATATCACATCCACTGGCCTTTGCCGTGTGGGCAGGTCGAAACGATGGGACCGAGTCCACCCGACTATATGCCACATTTCATTTGGGTTGGGATTCGTTGACCCGAGCCTTACGGTCAACTAGCTCGGAGTCAGCTCGTAAATTTAAGGGTAGGCGGAATGTCTGACTTACAGGACGGCAATAATCGCAGAGGCTAATCAAGAGGCGATGCTCGTCGGAAGGGAGCGTCCAGGAAACTGTGAGAAGAAGCTCGCCTTCTTCTTCTTCGGTGGCTACTCGGAGGAGTATCGTCTAATGGATCGCGTATGAAGGAAGTCAAAGCCGTACCCCACATCGACCGACGTCTCGACGATCGTCCGTCGCCGTCCTCTGAACCTTCCTCGATGGCCACCAAATTCCCTCTGTCATTTTTTTTACCAATATTTGCGGTGGCAGGGCATCCGCTGACGAAAGGGACTTTCAGATGTCGTTCGAAGCTTCGCCTCGAGGACTTGAAGCTGCGTTGACCCTTCGGGAAGGTTCTATAGTTCTCTATTTTGGATCAACTTGGAGTAGGCGAATGCGCTTACGGCAGCACAGCGCGGTCCACGATGTCTGCGCTCTCTCTCTCGGGTGGGTCTGGTAAGGGCGCAGAAAGAGGCGAGATGCGGAACCAAAGGCTGCGACGTTATTAAAACTCTGAGTGGAGGGAGGCCCCCCGTCCTGAGCCGCTTGCTCCGCCGGCAAGGAGAGCCTGTAATATTGGAGAAAGATTACACGAGCAAAATTGATACAGGAGACGGCAAACCTCCCCCCTCCCCCTCCCTGTACACAATGGAGGAGCGACCCTCTCTGCGACCTCCGACCACGACGGGTGCCAAAAATTGTGAGTTCCCAGAGACGCAAGCGGGCAGGCAAGCAGCACGAGAGGAAAGTCGGCCCAACTTCCGCCTATTCAATCGGCAAGCCCCGCCACGCCCGCCCTCCCGCCCGCCGGCCGCAGGGAGTTGGGTAGCTTACTACTCACTCTCTTTTGGGAGGAACACGTCAACATGGCGGTCGCTTCGTCAGCTCTTCAGAGGGCAAAACAAGAAACAAACACCTGAAAGTGGGTTTAAAAACTGCGTCATCTGCGGCCCCTCTGGTTCTGGCATTGGTCGTGGAAGCAATCATCATTGGGAACATGGGATTCGACGGAGATAGGTACCATCAATTTAATGGGGGGTGTCGACCCTGGCTGCCTCCGGCCTACTTCTTTGGCGGCGCCCTGGCCGTTAGCTTAACCTCCTCCTCATGTTCCTGTGTGGGAGGGGATGGACCCATCTGAAGTTAAAAAACAAAAAGAGGAAAAAGGGAAAAAAATGACTATAATAGTTGGAAAAATCACGGATGACGCTGGTGGACCTCGTGCAGCTCCCTCCACCAGCTCGCCGATTTCTCGTGCAGCAGCATCCACTCGATTCCCATTTCAAATTCCAGTGTGTTGGGCTGAGAACAGTGAGATGTCGACACTGCATTCCTCTGAACAAGATCATCCAAAGCGTAAGTCGACATGGAGCGAGCGCACAAATTTCAAGGATCATGGACCAGGATTGGGGACCGGGGGGGGGGAGGATGATCACCGCTTCTTCTCGCTGCATCTGCCGCCTGACTTTCTCGATGAAGTAGTGACCGTAGAACTTGCAAGCCTTTCCGGGCGGCCTTAGATTGGCCATCCGGCCAACAAGAGGCCTGAAACCACGAGGCAAAAGGATCGATCAAGCGCCCCAACTTCACATTTACTCATGTACCCAGCATCCCAACATTTGAGAGCAGCTTGTTTACTCGAAGCTGTGCTGCACAGTCAGCATCGCCAAGGCAAGGCCTTTGGTCCATGCTACCCATGCTCACAGCAGATTCAAGGGACACAGGTGGAGACGAACCATTTGAGTATGAGCTGATTCAAGCATCGAAGACCAAAGGTGGAAATCAAGGACAAATGATCACGTGGGATGGAGGATAGTGAGGCTGTCACCGCGAGCTTCTATGGTCTTCGGATGCAGTGCTGGGAATATTTCTCCAGCTGACGCCTCATCCCTCACAAGAGGACGAAAGGCACATGCAAACTAAAGCATGATCATTAATGCCATCAGAAGCATCGGGTTTCCAGTGCCTTCTTCGATTAAATGACATAGTAAATAAATGGAGGATCTTTATAACAAGAAAGAGTGCCATGATGACATCCAAAATATGTTCCTACTGATTTAAAGTTCTAAGTATTTTCACACTTTATTTTTCCCTTTTGGTTGGTCAGATGTATACACCACGCCAGACCTTTCATATCAAGATTACCGACTTTTTGCACTAGTTTATATCTTCGGGGCAAAGTTCCGATAAAATCAGTGCCATAGTTTGTCAGCATTAGGCACATCCGAACCATCTCAGTCAAGAGGAACGTCACATAGTTTAGAGACTATGGCGCAAGCCAACTAACTCTGTTGTGTTTCCTCAGTCAACTAATCCCTGTCAGCAACCATTACCCTTTAAAATGGACCCCTCGACTGACTAACGGCGATCTGGATTTCTATTATTTTGAAGAAAAGATCCCTCAGTCGCAGAGCTATCCTCTCGGTCAAAATGTGAATTAGTCCACAATTCGAACTCGATTCGAGTGGTTGAATATCAGCCACTAAGCAGAGTATCCTATGGACAAGATCCTGAGCACCAAGAATCAACCACCAGGGTTAAGACTGTTCAACATGTCGTTTCGATTGGTCAGTTTTGCATCCTCTGTCAGGCTAATACCCCACAGTTCAAGTTTTCCTTTCCTTTCCATCAAGTTTTCGATTGGGAGCCGTCCAAGAGGATTGTCATCAACAGATAACCAAGCGCTCAGAGGAGAGTTCTTGTGAATCTTCTGTTGAAACATTCATGACATAAGCAAAAAAAAGAAGTGAAATTTGAGATCAACACCCATCTCTTGACGCCACCCTATCACACGTTCCTATGGTATGTATTCATTAAACAGTAGTGATTTTCCGCTTACCGCTGCCTATATTGTGTAACTGGATAATCTGATATAAACTCCAGACAAACCGATCATCTGATGGGAGCTTGATTAATGTGCATAAACCGTACAACTCTCCCTACCATCGCTTAGCTCACACGTGAGGATGTCAAAACAAATGAGAGATAAGTGGCGGGCATGCATGTTCATCCATAAGCACAAAAAGAAAATACCGAACTGTTATTTAACTAGTGAAATTTATTGAGTTGTCTTTCTGAAACTATTCAAACGATCAGTCTAAACTGGAATCTCGGCATTCACAATTCATCACAAGAACCCAATGTACAGATCCAGAAGCAAAGAGAAGATACCTTCCATTTGAGAGCATTAGGACATTTGCCTTAAGCTTGTTAACTATTTCTTCTGCATCCCCTCTGTTTTTGCAAATAATTAATGCACGACCTGAAACACAAGCATTACACACACCCCATTTGTGTCACGCATAGACCGAGTTTTTCACAACTGCAATGAAAATAGAGACCCACCACATAACTTATGTTAAATCCTTCAAGAAATTGCGCTATCTATTGTGCCATACAAGCACCAATAGATGAAAGCTATTTAGTAAAGCAAAAAGAACGAAGCTTAAAATTTATCGTACCATGATAGGGACACGAAAACGTAGACCACTCTATCATCCTTGCAGCGCACTTCTTTTTGAAGCAATGGAAAATCAAGTCCTGAGAATATAGAATATCCATACCCAAGAGACAAAATAGAATCAGCACAGAAGCCATGAACCATAGAAAGGAAAGATACTAACGAAATCTCTCATAAGAGAAAAAACAACAGAAAAACATGATGCCTATTTAAGCTAGAGGGCTACGACCATTTTCAGAATATTGATTCCCGTCTAAACCCAAAGGGAAGAGGAGAAGATATTGTCTTGTGGAAAATCTTCAATAGTGTTCTTGTTGTTAAATCATCTGAATACCCTGTCCTCATAAAACAATGAATCTCCACTTAGCAGATGCATAAAACTGAGAAATGAAGCCATTAATATATCATTTGCTTCATTTTAAAAAATCCAAGCGTTAGTGCAATGAGATGCTCCAAAGGCTGTACCAAAAAAACTGCTACCAGTGGAAAAATACATAACCAATAGTAAAACAATGACTAATTTTTACACAAGAAACGAAATGTAATATTCTAAACACGAGACTGAATAATAAGGGATTAAGCATAGTCTAATCATTCAAGAACTTAGAAAAATACGTCAAGATTCTAGAAATTTCCAATCATGAAAGTGGTGCATTCTGGTAACCTAGTGAAAAAAAGGATCCCATACAGCATGAATGATGACACTGTATCCAGCGTCTTGAGAAATACACACAAAATAATTGTTTTAACCACAGGTCCTATGGCAATACCTCTATCTCTTCTGATGTGTGCACTAAATCAAAATTTTCAAGCAGCACAAGAGTTCCTTGTCCCTGAGCTTCCCATATTCGAGTCTCCCAGGGCTGCAAAGCAATTGAAAAAAGGTAAGATGGCTGCTTGTCCCAGGCCATGACACGTTTAGGAGTATCATCTTTTAAGCTTGTGAACGAAGAACAATGGTAAACACGATTCCTCTATAAGTCCATGACAAAACCTGGCTTGTTCGACAGAGCAGTTGAGCAGCAAGAAGAGCAAAAATATCTCTATGACATTAACTGATCAATCAGATAAATCAGAGTTCAGCGTTAAGAAGTCTCTTGAATTAGGTCAAACGACTAATCTTGATTCTGAACAACTGTGACATTAGGCAACATAAAGCAATTCAATTGGGACCAACAAAAGTTACATCAAAGCATTCGCAAAATGTTTTACTTTCAGCAGTAATAGTCACAAACTAGAGCTGTGTTCACAGAAGTATAACTGAGAAGTGAAGAATGACGAAAATGAATGTTTAAGAGAACGGCAGTATATCACTTTTTCCGTGACAAAAGAGTGAAAATTGACAAAAATTCCTCCATGGTGATAACATTAAAAATATAAGGGGACAAAATCTCTCCATTGTGACAAAATTTCCTCCATTGTGACAAAATAACATTAAAAATATAAGGGGAAGCTGAAATTTTAAATGCAGCCAGAAAAGAAAGAATACCTATCTATCCAAAGTTTGTATTATAGAGTAACTTTCAATATAATTTAGCATAATTCTCCTCAAACTTCAGCCATTTAAAAATAAGTCTCATTAACACGTTGATTAAAAGAAATCCGAGGTTAAAATTGATTAGAAAATTAAACTAGAAAAAACCTTCAAAAATTATCAAATAAGACAAGATAATGATACTTACAGAATTTTTGATTATGAGATGGCAATGTGGAAAATATGGTAATGGAATTCATGAATATGTGCTTTGAAGTGAATTTTCTAATTATGTCTTCATAATCCCATAATGCCAAATGCAAAGGCACTAATGCATCATTCTGTTAGGTCCGAAACTGTCGGTCCCATTACCAGGCCCACTGCCCGGGTTACTTTCACCCGGAGAGGGAAGGTAAACTCCTAGGTGGCCCAAGGAGCCCAGTAAGGAGGTCGGTTTAAGGTCCCTGAGGGGCCCTCATGGTGGGCACTTTTGGAAGTGGTCTTGGGAGAGCTAGGGGTGCTCCAAAATTCGCCCCTGAACTGGTTCTAGAGTTCCTTCGGAACCCTTCCCTACTTCCTTTCCCCTTTTCTATTTCAATCTGCTCTTCCTTAGATTCTTGTGATTACTCTCTCTATTCCCCTCGATTTCAAACCAATATCCTGGGAGTCCTATCACATACACATTCTAAATTTTGTGTCAGAAGTCTTATCCATCATCAATAAATTCACGTTACAAACACATGCTACATGCTGGACTGTTTAAAAGAGTGCACAAAGATACGATTGAAAATTTCAGTATTCAATATCTCTGGCGGTTCTGACTGCAGTGATTCGAATCATGGTTTGATTCATTTAGTGGATTCAGTGGATAGAGTTTGCATTAACTTATGTCCATCGAACATCAGTACCATCTCAAAGTTAATGGAACCAATCATGTCAAGATTCTATGCAATCTATCAGCATCTAACATACACAAGAAACAGGAAAATTATGAATGACTTAAAGTAGCAAAAGGGTTTCCATAATATCAGGGAATTTGGCAATTACAGATATAGAAAAGCAAGCGATTTCAGCAAAAGATGATTAATAGACTGAGGAACCAGAGTGGTTAATACCCAAGTACTTGAGTAAAACGGATAATGTCTTCAAACAATGAAATCATGATTTTCAGTGTCATCAACATCGGTAACCAACCAAGCTAGGCACCACGAAATCCGAGGGAAAAATGAACTGTTTGACCAAAGAAGATAGCATGTGTAGAGAAACGTTAAAGAGGAGAGTCAACTCACGGGACCAACGAACCATTTACTCGTATCCTGTAATGGTAAACACAGAAAAGAGTTACAAAGGTGAAGTATGAGAAAACTTCATTGAGACATAAGATAACTGTAGCCAGCGCCAAAAGGGAAACAACAAATTCTGTGACAAAATAACGTTCAACGTGCATGCATTCCTTCATATTCTTACCACGCCTGGTCTTTTGGGCATTTCTACAGTCTCATTTGTATTTTGTCTCTTCTGCAAGGAAAGATCAGGGGTTGATGTGTTAAATGTTTCACCAGCAGGTCTGTCAGCCACTGCATCAGGCTTCAATTTCCCAGTCGACCCTTTCTTGAGCCGAAGTAAGTCATTGTCAAGCTTCAGCTTGGCCTTGTCGGTAGAAGGTGTGGTGGCAATTGCACAAGCCTTTTCCTCAGTTCCATATGATCCCATGTCACTCTTCTGCATTCTGGAAGCATCTGACAGTCTCATTCTCTTAGAGCTTCTATCGTTAAGTGCATCTGAGAGATCAGCCTTCCTGACCTCTTTACCTAGCACTAGCTCACTCTTTGTAATGGGTTTTTCAATTGAATGAATATTTCCTATACTCTGTTCGGCTTCCAGAACAAGATCAACTGTGTGAGAAGACTTCTCACTTGGTCCATTGATGGCAGACCTCCCATCTGCAGCATTATCACTCAAACCTTCTTTAAAATTGAAAATATACGTAGCTGAAACATAGTGAACTCCACGTCAGGAAATAAAACAACACAGAAGATGGTGTCACAGGAAAGGGAGAAAAAAATAGATGTGGCTACCTTCCACTCCAGCAATAGTCTCTCCTATTTCATCAGATATTGTGTAACTTCCAACATCAAAGGTGCGATAAAAAATGTAATCAACTACTTTCAGCTCTTCATCTGAAGGCTGACGATTTCTCTGGTCCTTGGAGATGCAGATGACATTGCATTTGCCCGCAATAGCTTCCTAAATGAGGTTAACTATTATCATAACTGCAACAATCAAGCTAAAGGATATGTAGAATAACAAGCACGATATTTATTTGATGCCAAGATGTTTCCAGAATTTCAACCACGAGGATGGGACGAAGGAAAGTATCCAAAAGAAGTAATCTAATCATCAAGCAATGGAAATCCGAAATCAGCTAGGTCATATAATGCATTTTATCCATAAATTTATTCGCATATGTGATTTACAATGCTGACGATGCACCTTTAGTCAAAACCTCTTACAATATAACATGAAAGCTCCCCATAGATTAATCAGTGGCTTGACAGTAGCTCATTGCTGTAACTACACTCCAAATGGTGATCATGATAGCTCGAACTGCTAGTCTAATGATTTTATTTCAAATGAGAATAGCAAAGCAGAAAAGCGAAAGAAAATTCGTTAAACCAAGCATTAATAAAATGACTGTGGGGCTAATAGCAACAGATTGTGAAGAAAATGGCAGTTAAAATTTTCGTCTGAAGGCAGACGCGCTACTTGATATAGAAACACTAAGGAAAGAATCAGTTATTAGTCTTCGACCACAAGGAACAGACCTAAAAAATCATATCTAATTAGTGTCAGAGATGAACCTGTATTGAAGTCCAATTATTGTCAGTGATGAATTAGTTGATGACAGAAACAATAAATGGATCTGGCGATCATTAGAACCTCCTAATTGCACTGTACCGGGATTATTGTTGACCGGAGTGATTACATGTAATTAACCGTTTATTCATCGTTTATGATCGTATTCATCTTTGCCTTGCCATTCATTGGTTCCAACATCCTCAGATTAACCATCGGCACTCCAAGAGCACGTTCCTTCCGAACAGCTTCAGGTTGCATGGAAAAAGAGACAAAAAGCCTAGAAAAAACTAACTTTTGAGGCGTCAAATGACTCCTCGCTCCCCCTATTAATCAAAATCGAGACCTAAAAAGAATATCTGGAGAGATTTATCATGTTAATTGAAAATTATTTACAATAACTTCCAAAAAAATATTAATTGAAAAATAATTTTCCAGCATCTGTACGTCAGGTTCTTCAGATTCATCACTTGCCAGCATTGCATTAATCCAACCGAAATAAATCTTTAATTTTAAAGCAACATTACAAAATAGAAGGCAGCTAGATATGTTTTTTAATGTAGAATTCACGGGTCATTTTCTCTGTGTTGATCCCGGCTACTAGATGTTAATGTACCACGATGTTAATGATGCCGAATGAAATAAATGAAATCTAGAAGGCGGTCACACATGGGAAAAAAAACATAAAAAAGAAGGATATTTTTCAAATTTACCAGGGGATTGACGTCAGTGACACCTATGCCTTCACCGGAAGCCAAAAATATCTCGTTCTTGAGAGGTTTCTCGTATTCTCCCAGAAAATTACGAATTTCGATGGGTCGGAAAAACCAAAGAATCTTCACTCTCCTCCGACTTCCCTGCTGCTCCCATATCTTAATAAGTTTGCCAATAAAGGGCTCTGGTTCGCCCTCCTTGTAGAGGTATACGCAGTCATATAAAGAGTATTCTGTGCCGTCATATGCAAAAGAACCGTAAAACTGTACATTCATTCCCTTCCCACGTCCTCTTTTCTTACCCCAGGCAAACTGAGCCGCTCCTGTATCTACTTGTTCAGGATCGGGCATGGCTGTTTTAAGCCCCCAAGAAAAGGAGTCTGAAAGAGTGTCAAACGACGGTATTTTTCGAGAAGAAAAGGTGATGAAAACAGAGAAGAAAAAGAATGACTCAATGAGCCAAGCCCTACAAGAAGATACACAGGAGGAATGGGATGGACGGAGAAAGAGAACAAACAACGACAAGGTAGAGATATCTTCGTTGGCACTAGAACGCGAGGCGCCAATGAGGGGAATGGAAGGAGAATGACAGTGAGGACGGGTTTGGGGTCTCCACGCGCTGGCTGCAACGGAGCAGAGGTTGAGAAGCGAACGACGACCGAACGAGGGGGGACGAGAGATAAAGCCTCGGAAAAGGGAAACCCCGACGACTAATAATGAACCAGAACCCTAGAGACAGAAAGCTGAGGGAAGATGAAATGGGGTGCAGGAAGACTGGAATGCGCCACCAAGTCCGGACGGCCGGACATGCATCTTGAACACGAAATCGCATAGCACGGACCCGCCAGCGCGATAGCCGGGTGGACGACGGCAGCGGGAAGGAGTCCTGGCGGCGCGCCACCGCTCACCGGCGTTCGGAGGAGAAACCGGCGGGTCTGCAACTCGGCGGACGAAGACTCTAGCGAAGGATGCTCGTAAATTCCATCATTGCGCGGAAGGACTACACTCATCGGCCTTCCCCTTCCCCTTCGCGCCAAAGCGGACCTCTCATCGGCCTTCTCAACGGTCAGTCACCCCCGGCCCAGAAACAACAATGGGCCGGAGCCGCCCCTAATGGGCTAGGCCCGGAAGCCCCCAGGCCCATCCTTCCCCCTTCCTCTCCCTTCATAAAACATATAGACAACTGGAATGAGAATGGGCGGGCGGCCCATCACCAGCACCATCGTCGGCCTGCGCGAACACATCTCCAGAACACGACTGTACAGACAGATCTCCTCAAGGGCCACCGCGGCAACAATGTCTATCTAGATACAGTGGGCAGGGGATGGGGCCAAAGATTTGCTAAGCCGCTGCCTCCTCCTCCTCTCCCTCTCCCTCTCCCTCCCCCAAAGCGGGCTGCAGAGAGGGATTCGATGAATTGATTGTCGACCAAGAAAGCAATTTAACGGGGCAAGAAGAGAATCAATCGATCAGTGGACGCCGCCGTGAATCCGGGGGGAGCAGGCTTGAAATGAACGGCGACAGGGCTCCAAGCAGTGCTTTCGGGCACTCCTCGTGCGGAAGGTGCCCGCACCCGGGGACCGCAACAAGCCTCTGCAGGAGGGTCAACAAGACGGGATTATCTTCCGCATCAGATCATCGTGGCAGGGGGAACTCTCTTCTCAGATTTGGGACCAAAGACTGAGAGGGGAGGAGGTTAGAGTGATCGCCGTCGAGGCTGACCGGGTTTGGGCTGCGGTGATGCAGACCCGCAAATGGACAGCGAGGCAGGCGTAGTAGACTTACGGAGTTGACGAGTCTGGAGGCGATTTGTTGAGCTGATTTGAGCGGTACGAGTGCGTCATCGGCTCCTGTCACCACCAGAACCGGTAGGTCCTTGACCGACTCCAGCAATGATGAGGCATCTTGCGGTGAAAGAACGGTGGAAAATGATAGCCGCCCAATCTCGTGGAGCGCTTCCTCCCATCCCTCCACGTACAATGGTGCCTGAAAGAGAGAAGCAAAGAATAACGAAGGGAAGAAAAGCTTCTCAAAGCTCGCCCATCGTGGGCACTCGGCATCATCAAATTAGTGAGAAGCATCGTGCACCCAAACAAATCACAAGGTTTGTTAAAAAACGAGACCCAGAGGCGCTCACACATTTGTCTCAAGCAAACCAAAGGAAAGAAGCATCTAAAACAGAGAGTTTGCAGGCATCTATCTAATCATTAGGGGGGAAAAAAATCCGACCTTTCTCGCAAGGAGTCCCTGTTGTGTTTAATTACACGCATGAAAAATCTTTTGATCCCATTCTTTGAAGCACTAGCAATGAGAAGACGATACAAGTTTGTTACCTTGTAGACATTCAGAACCTCGGTGGTTAGCTTGGTGGCATCATGCCAGGCTCGGCGATTAATTACTTGAGTAATTTCTGTGCGCAAAAGAGGGCGAAACATATGCTTCTTTCTAAGTGAAGTATGCAAGAGGATCCTGGCAAATCCAGGAACAACTGCTCTTGACAAACTAACACTCACAAGTACAACTCCCTTGACTTCGACCTGAAAAGTTTGCAGCTAGAAAAAAATTAAACTTCTGTAGACGGAAAAAAATAAAATCACAGTAAACTCTACGCGAGAGAATATTCGTATTCTCACAAAATCCTAAGTGGCTGTGTAAAAGAAAAGCTCATTAAATACGCATAAAAAATATACATATCTGATTTATCTATATGGAGATGCACCCCTACTTGTACGCATCACCTTGGGGCATTGCCGTAATGGCCCCTTCAAGAGCCATGAATGATGACGGAATTTTAAACAGTAAGGGAGCAAGATAAAGATCTATAAACGATGGGAAAAAAAGAAAATAGCCGGTTGATCTTTTTTTTTTTTGCAAATGATAAAAAAAAAATACAGCAGCCAAATGTGAATGGGGCACACTGAAGGGAGGGGACTTGGCACACTTGCCCTAGTCAGCAGGGGTTAAAACCAAGTGGAATCCAGAAAAAAAAAATCAAAAACTCGATATTTGAACAAATTCAAATGCTTAATAGCTAACATTCAGCAATTTTTTATGCCAATGGAGAAAATCATCACAAGGTACTTTGGATGTCGATTAGGAAAAGTCTACGCTTTTCCATATAAATTGCACGGTACTAAAGTAATGACTCATTTCCTTTCAAATTGATTCAATGGTTCTGTTTCTAATTATTGGGGGGGGGGGAGGGGGGGGAAGTGGCCAATGAATAGGAAGTTATATCCAACCTGAAAGGTATTAGTTGTATAGGCGAATAGTTTTTCAGTTTTCTAGGTAGACTAAAATCTGGTGCATTTAAAGATCACTTACACTGAAAGAACTAAATCTTCGAGCCTTTTCAGCTGCCTTCAAAACGAGTATCCCACCATCATCATGACCAACGAGAACCACTGAAGAAAGGCCCAATCCAGAGCAAAAAGAGAGAAGTAGATCAACCTGTTCACATCATCAAAAATAATATTGACTTAAATCAAAAGATATGAAAACGATATAATGACGATTGATAAATAATACATCATTCATCAAGCGTTATGAAAAAAGATCAGAAGAGGGCATCGTTACATATGCAGCCCAGGTTTAAAAATGCTTGACTGAAGATGCTAATGGTTTCAAGGTTGGACATGAAATAAACTCGAAGGGTTTATTATAGAATCTTATTGAATGGAATGCATTGGTAAAAAATCATCGATAAATATTCTATACATAAACGAATTTTAATTCATGGACTTTACATGCGTATGAAATGTCACAGCAAGCACCTTGGCTTCATCATCTTCACAGTTTAAATTAATTGTTCCCATTCGACAGGAGTTTTCTAGATTACGGCTTAAGAAAACAGCATGCTGAATCCCACGGCCGTGGTTAAGTATATTTCTAGATGAGAGGGATAATAATTGAATAAATTTGAATAAAAGCAAACAACATGCATATTGGTTCCAGGGCATGTATTTTGCAGATACAAACACGGGTTTCAGTTTTCTCGAGAATCAGAAACGGGAACTAATCAAAATTTAGATATGATAATAACCGCATCTAGAAAAGACTACTAAATAAGAAAAAAACTCATAACCAGTTATATTTAGACTCCTATTAATTGTGGAAAAAAAAAGAAACGGGAACTAATCAGAATTTGGATATGATAGCAATCTCATCTGAAAAAAGACTACAAAAGAAGAAAAAATCCAGAACCAGTTGTAGTTAGACTCGTATTAATTGAGTGAAAACTACAAACAGAATACATATCAATCATCAATGATGTCTCAGCGAAGTTAATCGAGAAGACTGCTGAGAAGGGAGAAAAGAAGTGCTGAAAATAAAAACCTTGTCATGGAGGGAGATGAACAAAACTTGATTATCTAAAAAATAGAAAAGGTATGGACCATACAATGGAATACTGTAAAAAATAAGTTTATTCAAATCTATATGGGGAAAAGAACATAAAGCAAAAAATTTCTTCTTAAAGTTGGCAAACAACCTGAGATTCCAGCTTATATGGGTTACGCGATTCCTTCTCTTCCCAATCTCTTCTCCGGGGTCTAGATGTTAATCCCCAACCAGGACGGTCAAAAGCCACTACATTACAGCCGACTAGTCGAGCAAGCACACCCATCACATGTCTCCATGCGAACACTCCTCCTCCAAACCCATGCACCAATACAACAGCAAATTTTCCACCTTGCACGTCATCTATTTCCAAACTTGTAGGATTATACAAAGATACACTACAACTACTGTTCTCTGAGCTCGAAGTAGAGATTTCATCAGAGAAGAAAGTGGGTGACGCAGCTAAATCTTCCAGCAAAGGAGCATCAAGAGAAGAGGTCTGAAGATGGTTGCTAAAATTCCTTACCACATTATGTGGGAATCCGGAAGGAAATGCCAGAAATCTATCAGTGTTAGGCTTTGGAGAAATATGAGGTGGACTGGAGTTGGGACTGGACTCTGGAAATGATGAGGAAGATAGAGAACGTGAAAGGGGAGATTCAGTTACACTGATCTTGTAGTGAATAGTGAGGCCTTGACACGTGACAAACATGCTATCAACGTCTGCAAGTAAACTACTTGGAAGCTCACTTTCATGCAAACCTACGCCTTTTCTTTTTATTTCATTGTTGCCTTTTGAATTTCTACTATGACAAGGAGTGGGAGACCGAGGGACCTTCACTTGTCCAGAAAAAGCATTCCTGCAGGCCAGGATCTGCAAAAGAAGGACGCGGTTAATATGTAGGAGAAAAAAGAGATTACGATTTAGATTTCACTGAATCAAACCACAATAATCAATCGGAACTTACTGCTTCTGGATCAATTTGATGAAAATGCAACTTTCTTCTTCCCTTGCAGCTTGTAAGATAAGCAACCATAGCATGACCAAGAGAAAATATCAAAGAAGAAATAAAGAGGGCAGGCATCCCCCGAGACTTCACATGCAGCTTCTGCCTCATCAATTCAGTTATATCTTTAGGTTCCAATTCCAACATTGAAGAAAAGACAGAGGCCTTCACTGACAATATGATAATGGAGGCAAAGGAGCACAGAGTAACCGTTCCGAGATAAGGGCCATGAGAAAGTCCAGGTCCATTGCACAATGAATAAACACCTACAATGGGAGAAAAAATAGGAAAAATATTTCTTTATGTATGGATGAAACAAACGTCTGATGTTCTTTACGTCATCAATCAGGTAAGAAACCAGATGGATTTATTTTGATGTTTCATGAGAAGGCTTAAATTTTCAAATAAAGAGAAAGCATAATAAAATAAGAAAAAACCCCATGATTCGTCGTCAACTTGAAGGAAAAAAAACATTAACCGTACTTCATCCCATTACGAAGATAATCGTGTCAATTAAGAAGAAATATCAGATGGACCATATTAAGCAAAAATTGAGAAGCAAAGCTTTCATAGTTTTCTTAGATGTTATACGACAAGAAGAATTTTTAAATGTCATATATCAACATAAATTAAAAGTACGACACAAAAAGGAAAATAAATTCGGGCATCTTTTTTCTGAAAAATTATCACATTACTGAAGTTGCTACTTTCTCTCTCTATCTCTCTCGCCATATCCTCCATTTTTATTACACAGTATAAATAAACGAAAAATGCGTGTCTCATCATTCTTTAAGAATTAACATAGCTCATTCAATCATGAATATGAGCAAAACGCAAAAGCATAAGCAGAAAAAAAATTACATGGCTCAAAAAAAAGGATTGGACTGAATTCTTCCATAGTCCGCACAATACGAACTCCACGAACCTTCCTACCAAACAAGAAGGTGCATGTGTCTCTCTATTTGAATCAACACAAAGCACAATACGTGATTTTCCGTGAGAAGAAGAGAGAAAAATATGCGCGCTCTACTCTAGCGAAAGTTCAGCTTCACAGTACTTCCCTTGCTGCAGAGGGAGAAGAAACGAGAGAGGGAGGGGAAAGAAAAATTCTGATTCTGGTCAATGAAGGCAACGCAGAATGATGAGCGTCTCACATGTAATTATAAGAGATCTGACGATGGAGACAAGGGGAATATCCATGAGAGAGCTTTGGAAAGTGTATTTTTCCATGTGCTCCCAGACCCCGTAGCATCTCGATGCCAGAACTAGCGACGTTGTCACGTCCCCAAGCGCCACGAGAAGCGGTGCCGACAGCATCAGCAGCGACGTTACCATGGAGAGCAGGAAGAAGACCGTGCGAGCCGCTCGCCAAAAGGTCTTTAGGTTCACCTTTCCTGACGCCATGGTCAACCAGAAAGACTCGTCTTCCTCCCGCCCTTTCCCGGAGAACAGGCTCCTCTGTCTTACTCCAGAGCACCTCGTCCAAGATCACGCCGTATTTGATCCCGCAAACAGCACGGGTGGCGGGCAGACAGTCACAGACACCAGTGGGGCCCCTCCATGGGAATACCAGATGGGCGCTCTATCTCCCAGTGGCGACTCCGCCCAGCCCATTTTCAAATGCGAGTTCTGCTGATCTCTACAACCACGCAAGCCCGCTACAAGCGTCACTGCTGGCCTTCAGCGAGTAGAATTATCAGCTACGGCCACCGTTCCGACCAATGTGGGGGCGAATCCCCGAGGTAGAGGGACGAAGAAGTTGGCGTGTGCGATGAGAGAGAGAGAGAGAGAGAGGAAGGAAGAAGAAGTCGAAGAGCTGGAAGAAGGGGGGAAGGGGGCGACGCACCGGTTACGATTTGCCGTTGCGGCGGGGTGTCGGGTGTCGAGCTGGAGGAAAACAACAGAAAGCCCAGGGCTCTCCCGCTGCGAACGATGGGCCCGCGGCTCGCTGGACCGGGGCCCACAGCCGACTTGGGGAAAGAAGGGAGGGAGGGGGTGCGAGTAGTATTTTTTTTTGAAAGCGGCCAACGCGGGCCAGGGGGACAGATCATCCCAGCAGGGACCGCCAGATGGTGTCGTCTCCCCTGCGGGCCCCACCCCGGAGTGCGACGAACTGGCTGCTGGTCTGGGCTCCCCCGTGGCTGGTCCGAGGACCGGAGGCACGAGGAGAATCTTCTTCTGAGGTCGAGTGTCCGTCCTTAGCTGGGCCGAATCGCGGTCGGACCCCCCTCTCCCCCCCCCCTCCCCCCCCCCTCCCCCCACCATCCAACGCGGACGGAGGCTGAGGCGGAGGCGGAGATGGAGTCCTCTCTCTCTCTTTCTCTCTCGCTGGGTTTTTTTGCTTGCGTTGGGACGATGGTGAACGAGAATGATGCGTGTTGTCCTCTTCCAAGAGAGAGGGAGGAGGTGGAAGGCAAGGCGTGAGGGAAAGGAAGATTCGAGGGGGGCGGCGATGGAATGTATGAGCGGGAGGAGTGCGGAGAGAAAGGTGTCTTCTCCCTCCTACGACGGGTAGGTGGGGCTCTCCGCTCTCCCCTCTCCCCTGCGTCCAAGGGTCGGCCTCTTGGTTTAGGAAAAGACCAGTCGTTACAGAATCTCCCCTCTCTCCTCCCTCTCTCCCCAATCATCGATAATTTTTTTCAAGCCTTGTCCAAGGTGCTCGAATGATCTGGAAGTCTAGGTGCGCCGCTTTCCCGGGTCCTACGCGGAAAAGCTCACCCTTTTTTCAAACCCTTGACTTTGCATGCGACATGTCTATGGTACAGCCCAAAAGCTCAAAACCCACTGCCCCTGATCAATCGCCTCTCTCTCTCTCTATCTATCGGGCCAGCTCTCTGTTCAACTTGGGTCATGGGGTCATGTCTGAGAAAATGTGCCACAGTAGGCCCAATAATAATAATAAAAAAACTAAGCTTCCATAAAACCACACAGGACCGGTTCCAGCCCATAACCGGGAAGACCACATCAGGGCCCAGCTCGGTGGGGCGGAACGGTTCCTGCTCTCTCTTTCTCTCTCTCTCTCTCTCTCTCTCTCTCTCTCTCTCTCTTCCATCATCGTTATGTTTCTTTGGGTTGGAACTAGCATAAGAAAGGAAAAGGGAAGAAAGTCTACATGCCACGCTGGAAACCCCACGCTTTTCGCCGGATCCCCCGATTTTGCATGCCAAAAAGGTGGTAACCACATCAAATATATTAGTCCCCGCATCAAATATTGCGGATAAATAAAAGGGACTTGAGTTTACAAGTTCCATCCGAGTCAGGACTCGCCGTCACTCTACGTGAAACTAAGATCGAGACCGGACAAATCCTTCTCCAAGTACCACGACAGCGATCCTCCTTCCAGCGGGTCTTTTAGGCAAGGCACCCGAGTTCCATGGTCGCCGCGACTATCTGGCCTTTCAGCCAGCAGACGACTCCGAAGGCACTGCAGACAGGATCGTCTCGCCGCATGCACGCCTGGAAGATCCTGCACCTCATGGCTCGGTCGCGCTGCCGCCCCTCGTACGATTTGGAGACCTTACTGAGATTGCTTGGCCCGAAGAGCCTCTTCTGTGTCCATTTGTAATCCTCCGTCTGGTGACGCGGGAAGTAGCGCGCCAATGGACAGTCGGGACTGCACCTGCGCTATTGATCTCGGGAGGCGGCGCAGGCGTCGTTGCGCGCACTGCTTCCTCTTCTGGACTTCCTGGCTTCTCTCCCCTTCCACCTACCAAGTTGACCAAAGGATAGTAAGCAACGATCAATAGGAGAGGGAACGGGCAGGAGGAGAGGGTCTGATGGGAACCCCAAATTGGACACCGGACTAGAATTGAAAAGAGTTGACTTTATTGACTTTCTGTATTTGATTACAGACAATTTCTGGACTTTGAACGACTTGTAGACCCTGACTTGTTTATGCACAAAATGAAGCAGAGCAAACAATTGAAAGAAAAGACAGAAAAGAGATGATGGCAAATTCGAGATGCCTAGTCTCTTAGGTAGACGTCTCCTCCATTTTGACCCTTCTCATGCTGCTTTTATAGGCTGTCTAAGTAGTTAGTACCGATTTAGTGTTATTGTGTTGCCAGTCTTCTATTATTTAGTTTATATAACGGCCTGGCCCATTATTTGGGCATTAGAACTGTTAGAATTATGGTTAAGTTAGACAATCACTTAATTCTGTTGAAGCCATTCAAGAAGTTAGGTTAATAGCTCATTACACGACCTTTGACTCTGATATGATTTATCTCCCTTATCTTCTCTTCTTTCTTGAGTGACTTACTCCTAGTATAATCCATCTAATTCATATGTGATACATTGTTGTCTTCCATAAGAAAGTTTTTCACTTTAAAAATTTACTAGATGAACTTTTTATGATAGTACAATTCCAACACCAACTATGAAAACATTTTCATTTCAAATAATTTTTAAATTTTAAAATGGCTAAAATATGAGCATAACATAATTTTTATTTTAGTAAAATATTTTTTTTATTAACTTCATTAATCAATTTGAAATTACTCTTTTTTATGCATTTAGTATCTTGAGATATTAGTGAGCTAAAATTTATGATGAATCTTCTATAAATATTTGTCAATCAATGAAAACTTCGAACCTGATGAATATTGGTTGGTGCTAGTCAATTTTTGATACTTTTTATCTTTTTTCTACTTTGATTTCATCTCACTAATAATATATCATAATAATAATAAACTAGTAGTCATGAAATCATGTTTCTTCAAATTAATATATAATTCATTATGTTGTAACACTTTAAATACTAATTTAAGATACTTAATGTGTTTCTCTTCTATAGTATTATAAATAAAAATGTCATTAAAGTAAATAATAAATTTACCAATGAAAGGTTTTAAAACTTGATTTATCATCCTCATAAGTTAAAAGACATAATCAGCTATTCATAAAGACTTACATTTGTTTCAAAATTAGTCTTCCACTCATCTCTTGATCGAATTCAGATATGATGATATCCACTCTTTAAATCAATTTTTGAGAATATTTTTAAATTATAAAATATATATAACATGTCATATAGACATTAAATTAAGAATATATACTTAATTAGTATCTTATTGATGACTCTAATGTCAACACACATGTGACAACTTATGTCATTCTTTGAAACAAGTAGAACATGCACGAAGTATAGACTCATACCTTTTGTTATCAATCTTTTACTCAATAACTTTTAAACTATTATTAAATAATCTATTTTTTTATGTCATCTTATAATATGGAAAGTTTATACAAATTAGCTTCAAGTAAAAAATTAATTTGATAATATATATCTTATATGGGTGAAATATGAGTAGATATATCTTGAATAACAAATAATTCAGATAATAAACTTTCAACTTCTAATATCACATCAATTATTTTGACATTAAAATTAGGCTTTTGAATAATCACAACTACTTCAAAATTCTTATCAAATTTATTAAAGAACTTCTTTTGACTAAAGAGCATTACTTTTCTTTTATCATTCTCTTATTTACTAAAATCATTATCTTGCATTAAAGCTAAGATAAACTTTTTATCAGTCCTATAAAAGACATATTTTTCTTACCACAAAGTGTGACATCAACATGAAAATGTCAAGGTCTACCCAATATTATGTGACAAATGTCCATCTTGACGACATCACACTACACTTCATCAAAATGAATCTTATCAATATAAAAGTTGACCAAAAAACTTTCAAAAACTTTGATTCATGTGTCATTTTCGATCCAACTAATTTGGTATAGATGAAGGTGTAGGTTTGTCTTTGAGCTTAATTTTTGAACTATAATTGAAGAGACACTATTGTCACTATTGTCATTGTCAATAATTATATCATGTATCTTAATATTCATAGTGTACCTTGTTTTGAAGATGTTATAGCATTATAGGTCTTTCTCTTTTTTGGTGTATACATTAATCTTTTCATTACAAGTGAATGTGACAATGCATATCTAGTATCAATTTTTTTAAAAAATTTCTTCTAACTCACCTTTAATTTTTTATTATTCATGCTCATCTTCTTCTTCAATTAGATCTATAAAGTTTACTATGTCATATTTTAGACAGATATTTGATTTGTGTCTTTTTTCGCCACACTTGTAGCATTTAGGAATGAAATTAAAAGTATAAGATTTTTATCAGTAGAGACTTGAATAGAAGGATTTGCTCTACTCAATCTAGTAGAAGTTTGATTAGGTCATCTAGCTTGTGACGTTGAAAAAACAATGGCTAATCTTTCTTTGATCGATTGAAGAGAAATTCTAACTTCCAAAATTTTGAACTCTTTTTTTTTTTAAATAAAAACTAAATGTAAGGTTACCTTGTCTTTGATTTCTCATTTAACAATATTGTTAAATCTCAAAATCATATATGACTCAAATTTTAGCAAGTTAATTCGAGAAGATACATAATAAAATTATTCAGCATAATTAGATATATATATATATAGATATATTTCCTTTTTTGTAGTTTTTATATTGTTGATATAAAATATGTTCATAATATCATGGAAGAAAATGAGATTTCTAGAGTTTTTTATTTTCTCCCATGATCAAACAAGTTCTTTGCCTAACCTTATGTGTGTTGTTTGTAGTTGATTTTGCCAGGAAAAAGCTCTACCCTTTAATTTATTAGCCAATAACTTATTTTTCTTCAAAAAATTTCATATACTTGAAAAACTGTTCTACTTTAGCTAATAAATCTAATAGCTTTTTAACCTTTAAATACCCATTAAAATATGATTTATGAATCTTCATGCTAAAATCTCGAATAATATTATCTTCAACTCTAGATTTAAAACTTTTAGAACTAGAAGTACAATGAGTATTAAATGAAAATTCAACATGGGTGACTCTTTCAAGGTGTCAGATTTCATGATCTCCAAGAAGACACGAATGACTCTTTAATACACTCATTCTTATAAAAAAAATATTTTAATATATTATTAATCTCTTCAAAAAAATTATATATTCAATCTTAAAACTCAATAAAATCTAATTTAGAGAAAGTGCATACTTCATGAACATCATCATTACTAATATGAGTAAATTATCTTGAGACATATATGAATCTTGATTTGAAATGTTAACTTGTTATAATAACATTTGACAAAATAGTAATGTGGAAGAATCACTTTAGTCAAAAACTATCTTAGAAGTTTGAAATAAAACCGATGGGATGATTGAAATATTTTCTAAGAATTGAAGTGGCACACTCCAAGAATAACATTTTTATTTCTCAACAGAAATATATATTTTGATTTGCTACATGAAACTAGTAAAACAACATATAAACTAGAAATATTGCCAATTAATCCAAGCTTGAAACTTGATGCAATTGAAGAAGATGTTCAAATTAATAAGGAGATGTATCAACAATTGATCGATAAGTTAATCTACCTTTCACATTTGCAACTAGATAGAGTGGTCAGTCAATTCATGCATAACCTAAGAAAAATTTAATTGCATGTAGTTCATTGTATCCTATAGTACCTCAAAGGACACTAGAAAGGAATTTATATTCAAGAAGAATGATTGTATAACACTCGAAAATTACATAGATATATATTATGTAGGATCCATCATGTTCCTTCCTGAGTGAGAATCTCATTATGTGAAGAAACAAATAATAAAATGTAGTTGCAAGGTCAAGTGCATAGGTTCTATTTCATGTTATGACACAAGGTATATTTGAAGTATTATGAGTGAACATTATTTTGAAAGATTGAAAAATAAAAAGAGATAAATTAATGGAGCTTCATTGTGACAACAAATTAGTCATCGGTATTACGCATAATCTAGTTCAACATGGTAGAACCAAACATAGAAATTGATAGTCATTTTATATAAAAAAAAAGTTAAAAAATAGAGTTGATATGCACGTCATGTGCCTACAATTGATCAAATTGCAGACATATTCACCAAGGGCCCAAAGTAAAGTATTTTGTCATCTTACTTCTAAGTTGCAAATAGATGACATACATTTCCTTGAGGGGGAGTGTTAGAAATGAGTATTTTTTTAATTACTTATGTTGTGTTTTTCTTTATGGTGTATTTTTTCTTTTATTTATTACAATACTAGTTAAGATGGTATGAACTCAATCGATCTAAGTTGAACCAAACTGGTTCACCCTCTTTCCATTACTAATGGGTCAATATAAATACAGAAGCCTAGTAACCTTGAAAGACTTGAATCAAATTAGGGTTCTCTTATGCCCTATTTCGTTATGTGTCTCTCTCTAATTCTGGTCATGCTCATTCCTACCCTCTATACTATAGAGGTGGAAAGGAGAGGAAAGGAGGGAATGAGGTAGAGATTGGAGGCTGTGCATTTTATAACATTATCTACTTAAGTGCCATGTTGGAAAGGAGGTTCTAACAAGTTTTGTGCACTTCATTCAGCGCAATGTTGTTTATCAATTATGAGTTTGAGTGAGCAGCTACTTGGGTTGCAATAGCTAGAAGATTCTTTGAATGCTCATCAAGAATGTAGATGTAGTCATCATCAGCTCACACAATATTTGTTGCATAAAAACTTCATCTTCCAAGTACATAATCCTCAAACATTTGCATATCACTTCAAATGTGATTGTACTCCTTCTAGAATACAAGTAAAAGTCTACTTTAATGCCACTTGTCACACAATTAATGTCCCAGCTCTAAAGCACTCAACATTGGGTAACCTTGGATGTACCATCAATGCCATTTACCCTCACAACCTATAAAGTGATAGTAGAAGCACACAAGAACTAGAAAGAAGGCATGACGAGGAACAAAGGAGCTCTACCTGGTGACCATGTCAACAATGCACCAGCCCAGGCCCATTCAAGAGAGACTTTTTTTATTATTATTAATCTTGTATTTCCTCACGTCAATTTGGGGACCATCTATATAAACTATTGTAAACCTAGAACGAGAACATATTAGAATTTCGTGAAGTGTTTTTCTACTTTTGCTCCTTGAAGGAGAGACCATGAAGGTCATGTATACCTGCACTATGAGGGAGAGATTGTGAAGGTTGTGTATTCCACTCCGTGAAAAAGAGGTTGTGAAGGCCATTTGTTAGTGGTGTTAGTCCATCACGTCTGACTCGTGTGGGAGACGTGTGAGAGAAGTTCTCCCGTCTCAACTATTCAAGAGATGTGTGAGAGAGCTCTCTCGTCTGACTCACTCGAGAGGCATGCGAGGAGTAAGGGGGTGGTGACAAGGTGGTCATGTCGACCCTTATGACTTATTATAGGGGTCATGTAAAGAGAGAAAGAGGTGGTTGCAGCCATCACATCTGAGATGTATATCGAGATGCTTTCTTTTAAGGAACAATTATCTTTTCTTATTTTCTATATATAAGACATGTATTTCTCATTTTTTGAGTATGACGCATAACTATTTTCTCCTTAGTCTATTCTCTCTCTCCATCAACTCTATTCATTTTCTTAGTATCTTCTCTCTCTTTTATTACAGGTGAAGTCCTTATAGAAGGATATAAGAGTCTATTGTTGACTCTTGAATGTGTGAGTCATCTCGAGGACATTGAGATGTGAATTAGAAGTACTTGGTGGAAGTCTTATTCTCGTCAGATTTTATGATAGCTTGGTGATTTTTTTTCTATTTGTTCTCATTGATATCTACAAATTGAGTTTCTATTGTTATTGTGATTCTATACTTGCATATTATCTCTTACACTATTATCTCACTTATTGCCACCCCTATCTCTCTCTGTGCCACCTCTCCATCCGCAATCTAAGTTCTAGCCCTCAACCCTGACCTACCTTTAGAACGAGACTCCCTAGAATAAAGATCCACCATGTTGAACGTGTGACATCCTCCTAAGGCTATTCACCACCCTGAGCATCATGGGGAGGTGAGCTGAGGCCCCAAGTCACCGCCAGCTTCTCACTGTACCTACAACACGTCCAAGAAGACCTCCGACATGTCCGGCACATACCCGGCCAGTCTCAATTCCCTGTCCATCTCCTCGGCCATGGCCATGATCTCCACAGACCTCAAATGGGTCGCATCCCCGGCGACGAATTCGTGGATCTCACCGTTCATCTCGATGAGGCTGCAGCCCGGGGTCTTCTTGACCCCTTTCTTCTCCAGGATCTTCTCCCTCACCCCCCGCACCTCCTCCCACCGGCTGCACTTGGCGTAGAGATCCGCCAGGAGCACGTATGCCGCGCTGTCGCGCGGTTCCAACTCCAGGAGGCGCTCGGCGGCCATCTCGGCCATTTCCTGGTCCCGGTGCAGCCTGCAGGCGCCGAGGAGGGATCCCCACACGATCGAATTGGGCGCCATCGGCATGCCGTTGATGACCTCCAGGGCTTCTCGGAGACGGCCGGCCCGCCCAAGCAGGTCCACCATGCAGCCGTAGTGAGCCACCTGCGGCGCGACCCCGTGCGCGCCGCGAAGCATGCCGGAGAAGAGCCGCCTCCCCCTGCCCACCAAGCCCGAGTGAACGCAGGCCTGGAGAACCCCGACGTACGTCACGCTGTCGGGCTTCTCCCCCGCACGGAGCATCTCGATGAACAGGTGGAGCGCTTCCTCCCCGCGCCCGTTCACCGCGAGGCCAACGATCATCACCGTCCAGGTGAACTTGTCCCGCCGCTCCATCCCGCCGAAGACCTCCAGAGCCCGCTCGACGACCCCGCATTTGGAGTACATGTCGATGAACGCGTTCCCAACGGCGACGTCGGCGCGGACCTTCCGCCGGCCGACGTAGATCCTCACCCACTCTCCCGCCTCCAGGGCGCCCAGGTGGGCACAAGCTGTGAGCACCCCGACGATGGTGAAAGCGTCCGGCTTGACCCCCACCGTTTGCATCCGGCGGAACAGCTCCAGGGCCTCCTTGAACCGGTTCGCCTTCACATACCCGTCGGTCATGGCGGTCCAGCAGATGAGGTCCCTGTGCGGCGTTTCCTCGAACAGGAATCGAGCCCGATCGACCTCCCCCGAGTCGGCGAGACCCTTGATTACGGACGTCCAGGATATCACGTCTCTCACCTTCATGCCGTCGAACAACTTGAGTGCGGCGCCTATGGCTCCACACTCGGCGTACATGCCGATCAGAGCATTCTCCAGCACCAGATTGCCGGGCACAAGCCGCGCCTCCTCCATCTCGCGATGGAGCCTCTCCCCAGCTCGGAGGTGCTTCAATTTCGTGCAAGCCGACAGGGCCGAGAGGAGGGTGACCCACGTCGGCTTCAGTCTCACCTTCTTCATTTCGTCGAAAAGCTTGCAGGATAGCTCGTAGCGTTTATTCCGGTTGTAACCGGAGATCATGGCGTTCCATGTGATGACGTCCCGGTCAAGGCTTCGGTCGAAGATGGCTCTGGCGGCGTCGACCTGACCGGAGAGACAGTAGGTATGTATCAGTGCATTCTGGGTGAAGGCATTCGAAGCGAGCCCGAATTTCAGCGCGTGCGCATGGAGCTCCTTCCCGAGCAGCGAGGCGGTCTCGCGGGTGAAGGACTTGAGCAGGAAGGGGAGCGAGTGGTCGTCGGGGTCGAAGCCTCTCCGCCGCATCTCCAGGTACGTGAGCGCCGCAGGCTCAGGGGAGTTGCAGCCAGAGTACCCCCTTATGACGGTATTCCAGAGGAAGACGTCCGTTGCCTGGGGACATTCCTCGAACAGGAGGCGTGCATACTTCATGTCGCCCGGCTCACGGGCGCGAGCGCAGCACCAGACGACCATCAGCCGTCGCTCCGACGCGCCGGGGGCGGCCCCCGCGCGGATCATCCGGCAGTGCGCCTGCCTGAGGCCCTCGATCGTCCCGCATTCATCTAGAAGAAGAGAGACGGGGGAGGAGTCCCTCGTTGCCGTCGGCGCCGGCGGCCGGGGGAGGCGGACCTTGAAGCGCTCCGGCGATGGCATGATTCATCTCGGGCTTCTTCCCTCAGTCGCTCCGCCGCAGAGTTGACTCAACGGGGACTGACTGATTGTCTCTGCTTCGCGACAAGCAGCCTCGCCAGAATGAATGTCGAGCAGTGCCGAGCCGACCCGAGGGAGCCCGCCGGGACACGTAAGCGGGCACAGCCAAACCCGCGGCGGGCGGGGCACGCGGTCAACGTAAGCGGTCAAATCCCGCGCTCTTACCGTGACGTTTCAAAGCGGCGCGCCGCCGGTGGCGAGACCGATGACCAGGCGCGGCCCTCCGAATCCGAAATATGCACGGGACGGTGGTCCCAAAACGGGCCCAGCTACCCAGATTAGGGAATGAGTTAAACTCCGGTAATCACTGTTTTAACCTGCGAAATATCTGCAACAGAATACCGCGGTGACCGGGATCTGTGCACGTGGCTTGCACGAAACAGGAAGGCGGATTTGGATCTACTGGCGATCGCGTCACCGCCCCGCGATGACGTAGTCGAGACGACGGCCGTGCCCTTCCCTTGATCCTCTCTGCTCCGTGCGGTTAAGTGCACCGTCGGAGTACCGCGCTCGGCAAACATCCGAAATATCTCAGTGACCGTTGGACCGAAGATTCAGAGAGGCTCGGAGGGTACTATCGGGCTCCCACGGCCCTCCCTTCCCCTGCGAGGAGCCCCCCGCGGGGTATAATCCGTTCGACATTCCTGGCCGTTCGTCACAGGGCGCCCGCCAAGATCCAGCATGACCCGTGTCGTTGCCGCGGGCCTCGTGACGCTGGCAACCCTAATGGACCCATCAGTCTGGAGGCCGAGGGCGAGGGAGGATCGTCCATTGCGATAAATAATTCGCAAAGACTCGGCTTTTAAGCTCCCCACCATTAACGACGGTGGCGGTGGCTCTTTGTTGGCGTCCTCTCCCCGGATCCCTTCCTCCGTCATACTCCGGGTGCTCCGCTCTATATAACCGTATTATCCCCCCATTGGCGCCGCCGCTGGCCTTTCCCTTGAGAGCCTCCTCTCTATATCCCTCCCGTCTACCCGCCAGGGGATAGGCAAGGACGAGGAGGAGGCCTTATCGTCATGGAGACCGCTGCCGCCATCCGGACGGGGGGGCTATACTCCCCCCCATCCACTCCCAGCGCCGCCGCCTCTGCGCCCATGAGGAGTCTCCAAGGCTTTCTCCGGTTCCAACCCCTGAGGACCCCGCTTCGGGCGCGGCCGGCCGCTGGGCTCCCTTCGCCCGCCCTCCGATGCTACAGGCAGGTACACGCTTCTGCTAATTTTTGGGAGAAGCAGGGTAATTTTCTCTCCTCTCGATCGGTCCCAGCGGAGCGGCCCCTTCTCTTGCCCGGGGACGGTTACATTAGGGATGGATTCCGGAGGCGGGAACGTAGGGAAGCAGGTGACGACCGCAAGAACACGCAGACATGCGGAGCCGGGGTCGCCGTTCCGTCGGCGGGTGACAGCGGCAGCGTCGCCGAGCCCCAAAAATTCCTGGGCGTGGAGGTGACGACGCTGAAGAAAATTGTGCCCCTGGGGCTCATGTTCTTCTGCATCCTTTTCAACTACACCATCCTGCGGGACACCAAGGATGTGCTTGTGGTCACCGCCAAGGGCAGCAGCGCGGAGATTATCCCCTTCCTCAAGACATGGGTCAACCTGCCCATGGCCATCGGGTTCATGCTTCTGTACACCAAGCTCTCTAACGTGCTTTCCAAGGAGGCTCTTTTCTACAGCGTCATAGTCCCCTTCATTGTCTTCTTTGGGGCGTTTGGATTCCTCATGTACCCACTCACAGACGCCATCCACCCCACCGGCCTCGCGGATAGGCTCCTTGACGTCCTCGGCCCGAGGTTCCTTGGTCCAGTGGCAATCTTGAGGATATGGAGCTTCTGCCTTTTCTACGTGATGGCTGAGCTCTGGGGCAGCGTGGTTATATCGGTTCTCTTCTGGGGCTTTGCCAATCAGGTGACATACACTAAGCCCGCCCCGTCCATTCAAAGGATTTTGTTGTAGATTTCCGGCTATGATGGTCAAAGTCGGCCGTTAAAATCTGTCTTATTTTTGATTGACTTATCTCTGTTATTGTTTTCACCCTCTATTTTGCTCTTTTGCTTCGGCTCTCACCGTTGACTTTTTTTAGTTATGATTTTATTTTTTACATTGACGGGGATATTATGATGACCTTCTGATTTGTTCTGCGTCTCCAAAAAAAATCATCGTTATATTTTATATTATTTTTTGTATTATCAAATTTTTTTGAATTACATGACCGGTTAACTCTAGATTCACTCCTATTTTCTTACTGCTAATGACTTTTCGCCGCAATCTTCCCGTTAATGTGCCGAAGAAGATCTTTGGGCGCTCTGATCTGAGAGAATGAGTCAGGCCGTGATGTGTTACTGGAGTAACCGATTAAAATGCTTACCACTCCTTTTTAGTCATTTTTACCATCTTCTGCTCCGGTAGTCAAGCCAGTATGACCCGGGTCATCTTGGGAGGAACTAAGGCCTCAATGGTGGATACGTCTTCCCATTGTGAGAGCAGAGGACCTGCTGGAGTGCTTTAAAGGCTCATTTATCTGGCCGTCTGGCGTTCAAAAATATCCTCGGGTATCATTATTTTGAGTTGCAGATATTTCATCATGTTTTCCCTCTACGGCTTTGCTTCTTCTGCGTGGTTTGCATTATCATTGTACAATATCGATTTGGCTCTCCATCTTTTCTGTTTCTTGTCCCTCAATTTAATTTGCAGTTATTATTTTGATATTTTTTTAATGGGCAGTATTTTTATTTAATGTTAAAATTTCCAGGAACTGTTTTGTTTTCCTCCCTGTTTATGAAGATTTGAGAAGCAAAAGTCGCAGTCTTTTGTTAAGAATGATAAAAGATGTTTTCCAAAATTGAGTACGGAGAATGTGTACCAGCCCTCCGTTGTTGCTGTTTCTACTTTGCTTCCATCCGGCCCTTATCTGGTAAAAAGATGGCCCTTTGCTGGTCTTTTAGTTGACTTTTTTCTGTTTCCCCTGTTCTTGCAGATCACAACTGTAGACGAAGCGAAGCAATTCTACCCTCTGTTTGGGCTCGGAGCAAATATCGCCCTCATTTTCTCCGGGCGCACAGTCAAGTATTTCTCCAACCTTCGCAAGAATCTGGGTCCTGGAGTCGATGGCTGGGCGATCTCTCTCAAGGGAATGATGAGCATCGTCGTCCTCCTGGGTCTCGTAATTTGTGGGATATACTGGGGAGTAAATAAATTTGTTTTGAATGACCCCTCTCTCCCAAAATCAGATCGTAAGAAGAAGAAGGTAGGCTCGTGATGATTGATGTCCATTCGATCCCTCTTCTGCCCATTTTTCTGCATGGCGCTGATACATATTTATCTCTACATGTTTGAATATTCCTCAGGAGAAGCCCAAGCTTGGGATGAAAGAGAGCATGAAATTCTTGCTCTCATCCAGATATGTGAGGGATCTTGCAACTTTGGTTGTTGCGTATGGTATCAGCATCAATCTTGTTGAAGTCACGTGGAAATCAAAGCTTAAGGCTCAGGTATGACTCTCATCAGTCAGATTCTGCATGCCCCTCGGTGGGTTTTTTTCTCCTCAAGGAAAATTACCACGCAGCTCTCTTATCTCCTCTTCTTCCCCGCCTGCTGTTGTTGGCAGTTCCCCAGCCCGAACGAGTACTCATCCTTCATGGGCGATTTCTCCACTGCCACTGGCATCGCGACTTTCACGATGATGCTGCTGAGCAGGGTGATCCTCAGCAAGTATGGGTGGGGTGTGGCGGCGATGATCACCCCCACCGTGTTGCTCCTGACCGGAGTCGGGTTTTTCTCGCTGATACTCTTCGGCGAGCCGCTGATGCCTTTGCTTGGCACATTTGGAGTGACGCCGCTGCTGGCAGCGGTTTATGTGGGAGCCCTGCAGAACATCTTCAGCAAGAGTGCCAAGTACAGCCTGTTTGACCCTTGCAAAGAAATGGCATACATCCCGCTTGACGAGGAGACAAAGGTCAGCAGTGTTTGGTGTTCGTGCCTCCTCTCGAGATGCATTTAGGTTTTCTTTTCTTCGTGATTTTTCTGACGTATAAGTTCATAAAGTTAGTCGATTGATGTTGTCGTCCCTCGCATCGGATATCAAAGTTTCTGCGGTGTTATTTTTCCAGGTGAAAGGTAAAGCGGCCATCGATGTTGTCTGCAATCCCCTGGGGAAGTCTGGGGGGGCTCTGATCCAGCAATTCATGATCTTGACCTTCGGGTCTCTCGCCAATTCGACCCCCTATCTGGGGGGAATTTTGCTGGTGATCGTTCTGGCATGGCTGGCGGCGGCAAAGTCCCTGGATTCCCAGTTCTCGCCCCTGGCGAAGGAAGAGCTCCACCGGGAGAAGGTCTCCAAGGCTGCCGCGAAGGAGCCCCAGCTGGTGACATCGCCTCCTGAGGCCAGCGGCGGCCCAGTCGAGAAGAAAGCGCCAGAGGAGACAGGAAACGGTTCCGCCTTGTCAAACGGGACGGCCCTCCAAGTGGATGCTGCTGCTGATGACCCGTCGGAGACGTCCGCTCCACAGGCCTAGTAGACTCCTGTGTCCGACGGTTTCGGCAGGGTGGTCGGAAGGAGCTCCACTCTCGTCGGGGAAACCTCTTTGCTACAGGGTAGGTAGGAATAACAGGTAGTGGAAGACGGCGTGGAAATTTTGATTGCTTTTTATCTACTTCGATTTGTTCTCTCAATAAGCTGTGGTTCGTCGCCGTCTTGTGGCGGCTCTACTGCTACTGAGCGTTTCATCTTGCTCTATTCTGTCGAGATTTGCTCACGGTTAGTCTCAGCTCCTTCTCCAGGGAAATTGATCTCGTCCATTGCTCAGATCGGTAGCTTTCTACGCGTGAGCTGTCGTATATATAAATATATAGATTGTGCCCGGCTGCATCCAAGATGGCGACTTTCTTACCGAGCTTCCGGAAGTTACAGCCCACATCGGACGGTTCGACTTTGATTCTGACCCAACTCTCTCTCTCTCTCTCTGTATACCCTTCACTTCAACCTCACCTCACTCTGCGACCCACTATTCTTTCACCTTCGGACGGCATCTAGGAATAAACATCTCGCTTGGACGAATCGGATGATCCGCGGTGGGTGATTGGTTCCGAGCAAGGAGCCTTCTCTTCAGATTACGCAACACAAAAACGATAAAGTTGAAGAGCAAAACATAAACCAAGCGTGGTTTCTATTAAAAACATGTTGAGTTTCTCAAAAGCATCGGAGGCAGAACCTCCAGGATGTCGCCTTCTCTGTGAGTCGGCGTGTAGCGTACCCAACGTGGCCATCATTGTGCTGAGATTCATTTGGTATCCATAGATTAAACGGGCCCCAATGCTGGACCAGGGAAATGGCATCATTTCACATCTTCACCCGTCACGAACTTGAGCAGCGTAAAAATGGATGCCTTTCAGAACCCCTCGGCGATGCATGGCTCTTCAGGCCAATTACGAAAAAAAAGTGTTGCTCTTCTTGAGGAGATGATCGCTCGAGTCGTGCGAATTGGACTGACGGCGGCTCTTCCATGGACAAAAAACACGAAGGAAACATGCAGAGGATATCTCGCCGGAAGGGCGCGAAGCGATTCACCGCGAGTAGCCGTCGATCCTTCGTCTTTTTCTCGTGGGACCGATCTCCATGGCGCTCCACGCTTTCCTCGTCGGCGTTGAGTGCAGCAAGTGGGATGGGTGCCTCAAGAACCCGATAAAATCCGATTCAGGAGTACCCAATTTCGTGGATTGGAGACTCTCCTTCCTCCGGCACGCCTCTGGATCACGCAGATTTTGTTCCTCCGGTACTCCGCCGTCTCCCCCAAAGCTCTAGTCTTGCCCTCTCCTCCCTCTTCTGCTAATTTTAACTCCTCCACCGTCCCCGCTTTCTCGTCGGCAATTAGCAATCTGAGTCCGGCGATGGAGGCCGAGGTGGTCTACCTGTGCAAACGGACAGCCGTCAGCAGCCTGTCGATGTGGCCGGGGGAGTTGCGCCGACTCTCTGTCCTCGATTGCACCATGGAGCCCTACAGCCTCCGCGCCGTGTATTACTACCCGCGCTGCCCTCCAACGGCCGGCACAATCAGCAAGCTGAAGGAATCCCTCGCGGAGCTGCTCAACACCTACCGGCCGGTGGCCGGGAGGCTGCACCGGACGGCGGAGGGGCGGTGGGCCATCAAGTGCAATGAAGCGGGGGTGAGGATGGTGGAAGCGACGGCGAAGGGGAGCGTGGAGGAGTGGCTGCAGAAGGTGGAGAGGGCTCAGGAGATGAAACTCATCTTCTGGGAGGACATGTACCGCCGCTCCGACTTCTGGTCCACTTTCTACATTCAGGTGAACCACATGAAACGACGACTGTAGAGTCTCAAACAGAGTTGTTCAACTTCTTCATACAATGCGTTAGAACTGCCACAATATTGGGGACTAGAAAAATAATCCTGATGCTCAAAATTATGGCAGCTGACGCAGTTCGAACGGGGTGGGCTGGCGATCGGCATCAGCTGCGCCCACATGCAGGCGGACGCCGCATGCCTGTCCGCGCTGGTGACGGCATGGGCAGACATGAACCTCCTGGGCAAGATGCTCTCACCGCCGTGCTTCCACCCGCTGCCTCCCCCAAGAGTCGGCGGCTCACCGACCCGCCAACACTCGCCGAGCCGCCCCCTGGTCGACCACTACGCGTCGTCAATGGAATCGGAGATCCACGAGACGGGGAGGTTCGCCACAGCGACGTTCGCCTTCTCGGACGAGACGGTGAAATCCATCCTCGCAGAGGCCCAGGTTGCGGGCGACAGCACCACCTCCCCCAGAGTCTTCGCCGCTCTCGCCGCGCTCTTCTGGGCGGCAGTCAGCAGAGCGAAGGGGAAGGATCACGGGCTCGTCGACATGGCCGTGTGCATGGACGCGCGCGAGGTGCTGAACCTGAGCAAGAGCTTCTTCGGGAACGCCATGGTCTTCGCCGGAGTCCGCGGTGGAGAGATCGGAGGGGGCAGGCTCGAGGCGGCTGCGAAAGCCATAGCCGATGCCACGAAGGCGATCGATTACGAAGGGGTCACGGACCTGATGGAGTGGCTGGACAGCAGGACTTCCGAAGAAGAAACGGGTGGGCCTGCGCTGATGCTGTGCAGCAGACGGCTACTGTGCGCCAACTGGGAGGGCCTGGACCCACACTTGGCGACGTTCGAACAAGGCGTGGGGCCCATCCACGTCTCGTACTACCTGGAACCGGTGACCGGGGAGGGACAGATCCTGGTACTTCCGTCACCTCGGGGGGAGAAGACTCTCGGCCGGGTAGTCGCTGTGACCCTGCCGGAGGCCCAGCTGGGGCGGCTGCGCGTAGACGGGCACATACTTGGTTACCAAACCAAAACCCACCCTAATGACCCCGAGCAGGGCCAACATTTAAAGGCCGACGCTCGTACATGAACTCCCTGAGGTCGGCCGGCCTCTCCCGTAGCTCGTGGAGAGCGCTGTTAGAGCTGACTAATAAACTAGCATGTGCTTGCTCTCTCTCTCTCTCTCTCTCTCTCTCTCTCGCTCGCTCAGCAATTTGAGATATGGCCAAACAACAAAGGAGTGAAGCATGTTATATTTGGGATGACATTTAGGCCATATAAAGGGGAATATGTGTTGCGAACTCTATCTTTCAAGAATAAAATACTCTTGCCATTCTAGGTTCTTCTCCTCTCTGTCATCACTTTATCCAGCAACCTCTTTCTGATTTCTCTCTCCTAACTGTTTTCTTGTTTGATTGATTTCAGGTGGTGGTATCTTAGTAAAATAAGAGAGCGAGGTGAAGATTGTTGCAAAGTCATTAGATAGGACAATAAAAGGGAGCAACAAGAGGACACGGTGGTCGTCCTTAGATGCTGTAGAATATATTAGAGGGAGATAATCTAGTAAAAAAGACATTTGCAGTCATAAGAGAATTGTAAATGATGCGGCATTTATATTTACTATTTGGATAGTTTTGCCGTATTAAGTAGGAGAAATCTGTTCTTACATGACATATTGACAGGATACTTGAGTTAAGTTGCCCTTATTTTGAATAAATTATTTTTACCTTATTATCAAATTGATTTCAGCCATATATTATTTGAGATATCTATTTATCTCTGGCTAATTTTACAACACAGAGAAAATATCACCGATTGTGCACATTCACAATCTAGGCAGAGGGTGGGTAGCTTGGATTTCACAATCATCTGGTCTGCGGTTTCACGACTTTGATAAAGTTTCTGATTTATTACCTATTTTTTTCTTGGATGAACAAGTCCACAGTTCAAGTTTAGTAAAGGATTGAATTTTTAGAATCCCAGACTCAAATTTTGGATGATTTAATTTAAGTTGTCTCAGGTGTCATTGTTAAGAAGATAGGCTTGATCATACGAAAGCAGCTTCACTTTTGTTGTAGCTAATCTCAACCATGGTTAATAGGATAGGAAATCAATCAATAATCAAGGGTTTGTGAATATATGCGCCTTCCATAAGCATGAATCGTATTCATAAAGTTGAGTGAGCCGATCTATAAATTTCGATGTATTTTTGGCCACCTAATCAGTCAAAGGTTGGTGGTTAACAGTCATAAGGGTCAGGTCTCGTCACTGTCTCTGGCTTCAGATCACGGATCCTGAGTCTCGGACGTGAGAGATCAACATATCCACGTGCATAGACAACGTGAATTTTCAATCATGCGGATTATTATTCTTATAATTTGGTATGTCAATGGAATAATGTTGACCTCATCACCCTTAATTATCAGAGAACAAAAAATTTCACCGTGTGTTTATTTCTCAACATCCATAGCAAAGTTTAATTTCAAGAAAACTCGAACTTTTTACGTCCAAGTGAAGGGATTGACGGAATGAGGCTTTGTATCCAAGCCCTAGTAAGTAACGTGTCGATTGTTGCACGATCACATCATGCACTGAAATCAATAAACTGCAAAACTCTCTCTCTCTCTCTCTCTCTCTCTCGCTCGCTCTCGCTCTATAAATATACATTTGTATTTATTAGGCAATGGTAGAGAGGTCCAGGCACAATCTCCATTGGAGCCCGGCTGTAAGCCCAGAGATTCTCTGATGAGTGAACTCCATTACGTGAGAAGTGAACGATTATCTTAGTGTCCTGTTCTCCGCAAGTACTACATTTCATGCGGACTGATTTTCTTGGTGAGCGTAGATCAAAGAAGACCGAAGGAGAGCCTCCTAGCTCTCATTGTGAGGTCATTTCGATCGCTTCACTCCGGCAGCCAGTGGATTACCAGCTGGGATGCTCACGAGAAGCCCGGGGGTGACGAGGGCGGCGAGCCAATAGAGATTTGGAAGAAGCCCGAAACGGCAGATTCCCTTCGCCGGGGAAATGGAGGGAGAGTGAGAGAGAGAGAGAGAGAGGCAGATTGAGACTGCGATCCTCTTGTGGAGGAGCTCTCTTTGTTATCACTGGCCTCCCACAGCTTCAACCCACAAACAACCCCCCCGCCGCCCATTACTGCTTTCCGAGTGTAAGAGAGGGAGTGCGGGAAACGATGTAATCCCCTCGGGTTCACGCCGCGCCATTCTCGTCAAGTCAGACAGCAACAACTGATTCCAACGATCCCAGCCGTCCCTTATCCCACCCTCCTCATTGATGATCCGACAGGAAAACCCAGCCTTTTGAGGTTTTCTTCTTTTGTGGGGAGGACACTGCGCATATGAAGCCCTAGTGTCAGTACCACTGCTCTCTCTCTCTATCTCTCTCTCTCTCTCTCTCTCTCTCTCTCTCTCTCTCTCACTCAGGCATGCAAGGTAGACACATGTCCGGCTGGCCTCCGGGTGTCTTTACACCCTGTTCCACTGTGTCGCCCCCAAGGCGAGCCCATTTAAGCATCTGCACCACGCATGCAGCCTACCAGAGCCTCCACTCCTTGGTAGCCCAGCCATGGATTCATCCGCACCACAACCTCCGGTTCTCCTTCCTCGACGCCTTCTCATCTCTGTTGTTCTGATCCTCATCCTTCCTTTGCACGCCGCCCCGACTTCTGCCTCGGGCCTCAGATGCTCGGACACCGAGAGGAATTCCCTGCTGCGGTTCAAGGCCGGGCTCCGAGATCCCGACGGCCGCCTCTCCTCGTGGACGGGACTCGACTGCTGCCTGTGGAGTGGTGTCACCTGTGACCTCACAGGCGCCGTCGTCAAGCTAGACCTCAAGAATTCCCACTTCCTCGCCGACCCCGAGCCTTATGGGTTCCTCAACGGAAAGCTCGACGCTTCTCTCCTGAAGCTCGAATCCCTCGCCTACCTGGACTTGAGCCACAATAAGCTCGACGACGTTCCCATACCTGCGTGGCTCGGCTTCTTCAGGCACCTGGAGTACCTTGACCTTTGCGAAGCCGGCTTTGCCGGCGTTGTACCTCCCCAGCTTAGCAACCTTTCGACCCTTCGACACCTCGATATCTCCTATCTTGACGACCCACCTCGCCTGCATGTCGAGAGTTTCAACTGGATCTCCCGCCTCTCTTCTCTGAGATTCCTCTCCATGAGCGGGGTCGATCTCTCCGGGATCGACTCCACGGAAATCATCCAGACCCTCAACGACAACCTGACATCTTTGGCCGATCTTCGCCTAGACAGCTGTGGCCTCTCTGGGATACCACAATTCCTTTCTTCCCTAAACTTTACCTCCCTCAAAAAACTCGACCTCTCCTGGAACAACGTCGGCCCCATCGTACCGCCCTGGATCCTCAACATCACCAGCCTCGAGACTCTCGGTCTGGTCAGTAGCGGCTTCCACGGTCTCCTACCCTCTGGCTTAAGCGAGCTCCCCAACCTGGAGACGCTGCTCCTATCCTACAACAATTTCAGCGGAACCCTCCCAAGATCCATCGGCAAGCTCTGCAAGTTGCATACCTTGTACCTGGAGTTCAACAATCTGAACAGCGAATTGCCGCAGTTCCTCGATCTCTCCAGCAACTCTTCGTGCGGGCCGCTATCTGGCCTCGTGGAGCTAGACATGAGCCACAACAGAATCCCCGGTCATCTCCCCCGGTGGTTGGAGGATCTCAAGAACCTCAAGTACCTTGAACTGGAATCCAATATGTTCACCGGCGGTCTTCCCCTCGGCATTGGAAAGATGACCAAGTTAATGCACATCCTCGTGTCCGACAACCAGCTTAGAGGAGAGCTCTCGGAAGCTCATTTGACAGGGCTGAAGGACCTGATCACCTTGGAAGTTAACGATAATCGGGCGTTGGCGGTCACCCTGAGGCCTGACTGGACCCCACCGTTTCAAGTAGAGCGCTTGGGCCTTGGGGGCTGCCGGGTTGGTCCCCGATTCCCCACGTGGATCAAGAACCAGGTGCATCTCGAGAACTTAGACCTCTCCAATGCCGGCATCTCGGACACCATCCCGGCCTGGTTCTGGGGATTTTCACCTCCTCTCAGTGAAATCAGCCTCTCTTCCAACCTCATCACCGGAACCATTTCCGAAAAGATCTCGTCTTTCAAGAGCCTGACTTCCCTGAACCTCTCGACCAACCGCTTCTCTGGTCGCATCCCCTTAAGCATGACCACCATGCCAATCACCCTCCTAGACCTCTCGAACAACAACCTCTCCGGTCAGGTCCCTCTCGGCGGCGGGATGACGGCCTTCAACACGACGGCGTTTGAAGGAAACCCGCTTCTCTGCGGGCCTCCGACGAATGTGAACTGCCCGAGGGATCATGGAGACAGAGACGGAGCGCCTTGCCGCAACGGCATGACCAGAAACGCGTCTTTCTATCTGGGCGCGGCCGCGGGAGCTGCCGTTGGGATTCTAGTTACCCTCTTGATCTGGAGTTATCGTGGAAGATTTCGCCAACAGGAGGTCGAAGGAAAATCAATGGCCTTCTCTTCTGATGGTCAGATGAAGGACGGAAGACTCAAGTAAGAGCGGAGGATCAAGGATGTAACTTTCTGGTGGCTGCTACCGAGTGTAGTTGGTGCTTTTTCTTCAAGGCGAGCAAGCAGATGGGAGTGCCCTGAACGCTGCCGTCTTTAGGTGTGACTCTGTCATGGAACATCCGTGTGGCAGAATTATCTAGTAATATCGTATCGAAAAAACTAGACCATGTCCCCTCTTCCCTACTGGATACGTCTGAGCAGGTGAGGGATGCACTTACGCTTCTGCGGAAATAGATCACATGGGTCTGAGTCAAAGGCAATGAATTGGGCCCGAGTCGACGGCCTTCCGTCGTCAGGGTGTTGAGGAAATTGGTTGGGCCTCCTGGTCAAAGACCTAGGAGCCTAGAAGGAAAGAAGTCAAAGGGAGACAATGAATTATATTGCGCGAGTCAAAGCCCTCTAGAAGACCGCCTTCTGTCGTCAGGGTGTTGAAGAAAGGGGTTGGGTCGCCTTGTCAAAGACGCTGGAGCATAAAGGAAAGAAGTCAAAGGGAGAGAATGAATTACAATCGCGGGAATCAAAACCCTCCTCCTCTAGACGACCAACTCCGGGTGGTCTTCTAGAGGGAATTCTCTCGTGTGGGAACGAGGGTCGTGACCAGCGGCAAAAGTCGGCAACTTTCTCGATGCCGACGCCATATCTCTCCTAAACGACCGGAGGCGCAGAATGTCTTTTGTTTCACATATCGAAGGCGGCCGGGTTGGGACTTTGACCGGGGAAAACGGAAGCCACGAAACAATTTCGGAGAAACCCACCCTTTGAAATTTCGCTGTCCATTTGCAGAAATATTCTACGCCCATGGTCATGCCTATCACTGCAACAGCAGACGCCGCCTCGCCGGCGTCCTTTACTAGGCAGTATACGACGTCTATACGAGAGCCGACGACATTCTCATTAAAAATGAATACCAAAAGTGAGAAATACCTGGAATTCGTTGACTATTAGGGAAGGCTAAAGGAAACGGCTACTTTTCACTCATCTTCTGAACGGATTGAAAATTTCCATTGATGAAGACTAGGTAATCATTTCTTATCAGGGCAAAAGCTTCACCTCTGCTGTGTTTTTTTCTATACTCCTTTGCTATGGGCTGCCCACCCAACATTTGAATGTTCCATTCTACAAAATTGTCAAGAAACGTATGATAGCTAGAGTCTATTTATCTCTTAAGGTCTTGTAAATTTGTAGAATATGTTGAACAGACATCCAATAAATTGAAGAAAAAGTTTCAAAGGCTTAAACAAGGTAGCTCCTATCGAGACGGAATCATCACGAAGAGACATCACTAATTTTTGGAGGTGAAGGAGAAAATCCGAGGATCCCTTTTAAGAGTTTACAATAACATTAATAAAAGAAACTTTGGTGCCTCTATTCAGGAAAAAAGGTTGGTCAAGAAAATTTAGATAAGTTTTCTGGCCAAATTTGGTATACTGCTGTCAAAATAATATACTCTAAAATTTAACCACTTTGAAACTAATGGTTTCTATTTAATCTCATCCCCGCAAATAAATAGTGCATTTACAGCTTGGCTTTTAAAGGTAGCATTTTGGGCAAAAAGTAAACTTCAAAAAATAGGAGACACAAATGTGGAATGAAGGTGTAAATATTAAAAGAAATAAAATTAGAATATTCAAAGACAGCTTCTATCCTAGTCAAGAGATGAATAATTAAATCTATGATAAATAAATAAACTCATCCTTTTGGAAGAGATAACTTTGAGTAAAGATTCACAACTTTGATGCACAAGTCCCCCAAAAAAAACGATTATTGGCATCAAAATAAAAGGAATAATTTTATAAAAACTAAGTGTAGTCATATTTTTTTTTTATTCGTGTATGAGCAGCCAAAATGAATCAATAGAAAGTTATTGTATTTGTGATTCAATGCAAAAATTCCTTCAAAATGTTGGAGGCACCAAGCAATTTATGTGAAAGCAAAGATAAGTAACACTAAATTCATCTATAACGTTATTTCTTTGTATTTAAAATTTAACATAAACAAATAACGCCATTGATTTCTGTATAGATGATTGTGGGATTTTTAACATAGTCATGGAATAAAGTAATAACTAGAGTTTAGATGGATACTTAATCAACTATTTACAGTAAAAATGATACAGGTGCCCGAAGAGCATGTTATAAATCCTAAGAAGATGTATGATTCTTAAAATACGCTAACCTAATAAAGATGACATTTGGTTACTTGCATTTCAAATGTAGGGTATTATGCTCTAAAAAAGAAGTTATTCGCAGATAGATTGAGAACAAAAGAGTTTTGAATGATACATAAATAAAAGATAGATCATAGTTGAGAGAAAAAGCATCACTTGAGTAGCAAGATGCAACCATTTTTGGGTAGGCCCGTCCCCTCACTATGAATAAAAGGTAACATTTATTTTGTATGATTGTAATGGAATATTTAAAACAGTTTTCTTGTAAAAATGAAGTGCTTTGTAAATGTTCAATTTGATGTATTTCTAAACAACGAAGTTTTCATCTTAGCAGATTAAGGATGGGCTTAGGATTTCAATGGAAAGAAAAGGAGCAACAAGTGAAGCAACAACTAGAAACATACCGCAGCACAATGGGGTGATAGGACAAATGAATAGGACTGGTCTAAGGTTGAATAGAAATATGTCAAAAAGGGTTAATATCCACTAAATACGTTTAGGTAGAACTAGTGAATGCACCCAGTCCGCACCCTCCAAGTGATCTAGATGGATATTCACGTGAGTAAGGTCTCCGGACTCCGGTCGAAGTAACCCAGAAGTCTTCTGCTTCTGTCAAGAGACGCTTCATCTGATCCGCAGGGTCTTTGGATATCGTGGTTGGAATCCAGAGTGGGAAGAACACTGTCAAGGCCTTCCTCACAGGCTACCCATATTTAGCCCACGGTTGCAGGAACTCCCACTCTACACTGTTACCGTTAATTATCGAACACTCTCTGCTTGCGTGAGTTTATTTTCTAGTTGAAAATAAGGCCGTTCCCATCTCGACTCGAGGGCCGATTTGGGGCTCCAACCACGAAACCATCAGCCCTCGTTTTGTCGTGGACATGCAGGTCAGGGAAAACTCGTACGTATAATAAGTTGCCGTAGAGACAGACGGTGGGATATGGGGAGAGGGAGAGGGAGAGAGAGGTAAGGAGGATCATACCAGGCCGGCATTGTCGGGCAAAACTCACTGAAGTGAGCTAGAAGAAGACTTGCCGGAGATGGAAGACGAGTAGCAGCCGCAGCAGAGAGGATCAGGCCCACCGCCGTCACTCATCGTTCCACTTCGCCGAGAGCGCCACCCGCAAATAAGTATACTCCGGTCGTAATCTGACGTGAGGAAGGGGACAGAGGAAACCACGCAGCGGCTCCCTTTCCGATCGATTCGACGGACCAGGTCGTGGGCCGCAGGATGGGCATTTGGCGGCCGGGATCGTATTCGTGAGCTGACCGCAGAATTATTTCGGTCAAACTTTCGGTCAATAACGGGCGGCGACAAACTTTCCACCATTCCCTGTCCATCATGGCTGCGGAAGAGAAAAAAAAATGGAATCGCTCCCAGAGCCGATTGAGCTGAATCACAGAGAGTGGCGAGTACCCTTCGGCGAAGACGCCGCCTCTGACCTCATAATGGACCAAGGTTTTTCAGCGACAGATGGCCTCATCCTAGGACAAGAATAAGCTTGAACGGCTGCGATGGGCGAGTGACTCAACTGCCATGAGGCCGACAGTGCATCGTGTTTAACGTTCAGTGGTGGGCTTTGGGATCCGAAGAATGCCAGCTCAGGGACCTGGTGGCTCGGTTGAGGTGAATCGGGTGATGAGTCAGCGCTCGGTGGCGATCCCTCCGCCCCGGCGCACTCGGTCAAGACCCTTGATACGTCATTAGTTGTCATTCAACCTGACGTTTAGCGGTGGAAGCCCGAGTAGAGAGGAGATTATTGATGGGGCCGCATGGCGCGTACTATCCACCCACGTGGCTTCCGTCAGGCGGGGGGCGACTCGCTCACGTACGCAGCAGCTAGAATGATTGACCGGCGAATCCGGCTGCGGCTTCCAGATCAGACGACGATTCAATTGTGGGGGTCTGCCTCCACCCAATCGAACAGTCCAGATCCGCTTCGCACGGCGGTGATGGACCGCGCAACGAACCGCCATCATGATTCCATCTTATCTTCAACCATCGTGGCGGCTGCTTGGGGGGGCGGGGGGGCCGTAGGGGAGGGCCCGCCCGAGAGGTCGGACTTGACTTCTTGCCCATGGAAGAAGATATTTTTCTGTTGGATCTAGATCTTCAAAACCTCTGCGACTGGTCAAAAAAGCCACGCGGCCGTCTCCGTTAACCAGAACCCGCGTAGATCCTGTGACCTGTGGGGAAGGGGAGGAAGGAAGCTCGCTGAGACTCACGGCCGCTGTCCGGTCGCCGTCGCCGTTGTGGAGGGCACATCCTTATTAAATTTCTGGCTGAAGATAGGAGACGAAGACCCCTGCGATGACCCAAATGCCTCTGGTTTGGTATATAAACCCTCCCGACTGGCAACACTGAGTTCTCCCAAACCGTACGCTCGTTCCCCCCTCGGCGGCAGCTAGGGCAGCTCGCTGCTACCCGTGTAGAGAAAAGGGGAAGGGGGGAGGAGAACCCACTTCGAGCTCCGCGGAAAGGAACCTGTTTTTACGATTCAATTTCCCGATCGAAGAGAGAAATTGGAGAGTTGAGGGAGATCTGAGATGGAGATCGCCGGGTACCGAGGCGGGAGCCTCCGGGGGAGTCTCCAGGGGAGTCTCCAGGGGAGTCTCCGGCGGAGTGTGTCGGCGTGGCGTTCGCCGAGCACGAGCGACGTCTTCGGGCGGTCCAGTCGGGAGGAAGACGACGAGGAGGCCCTGAAATGGGCGGCCCTCGAGAAGCTCCCCACCTACGACAGGCTGAGGAAGGGGATCATGACCGGCGACGGCGGGGAGATCCAGGAGGTGGAGATCCAGGGCCTGGGCTTCCAGGAGAGGAAGAACCTGCTGGAGAAGCTCGTCAGGAACGCCGAGGAGGACAACGAGAAGTTCCTCCTCAAGCTCCGCAACCGTATGGAGCGGTGAGTACCGATTTTTTCTTACCCTTGGACCTCCTCGAGCACCGCAGCCCTTCGACCTCTCTCCCCCCACCCAGTTCCTGATCGTAACGAGATTCTTACCATTTTTTTCTTTTTTCCCTTTCTTACCGCCGCCAGTGTTGGGATTGACAACCCCACGATCGAAGTCCGGTTCGAGCATCTGAACATCGACGCGGAGGCCTTCGTCGGAAACCGAGGTGTCCCCACACTTATCAATTTCTTCGTCAACAAAGCCATGGTACGGTCTCTCCTCTGCTCCGTCCTCGGGTTTTCTGGGAGGCGATCTCTCTCCTTCGCCGGCTCGCTTGCGAGGATCTCACGAGAAAAAAACTATTTTTTTTGTTCTGGATTCAGTGGATGCTCAGTGCTCTTCATCTGGTGCCGAGCGGGAAGAGGCCCATCTCGATCCTCCACGACGTCAGCGGAATAATCAAGCCCTGCAGGTAAAGTCAGAGTCGATCCCCAGGCGCCGTTTCAGATCAGCAGCCTTAGTAGTTTCTCTCCCGGTCTTCTCGCCGCCGGCAAAGAAATCACTCGCTGATGAATCATATTTCTGCTTAACTGCGCAGGATGACTCTGCTTCTCGGCCCCCCGGGAGCCGGTAAGACGACTCTGCTGCTGGCCCTCGCAGGAAAGCTCGACAACACCCTGAAGGTATTTAACAAAGAACTCTGCTTTTTCATCCTCCCAGAACGGAAAAAGATCTGTAAAAGCAGGTGATTCTCTCGAATTCCGGAGATTGATAATCATCTCTTCTTCTCGTTCACGAAACCCAACAGGTAACTGGGAACGTCACCTACAACGGCCACGGGATGCACGAGTTCGTCCCCCAGAGGACCTCCGCCTACATCAGCCAGCACGACGTCCACATAGGGGAGATGACCGTGAGAGAGACTCTGGCTTTCTCCGCCAGATGCCAAGGCGTGGGCACCCGATACGGTAGGTCAACGATCTAAGGTACACTAGCCTGGACAGCCCCCGTGACCAGATGATGCTCACCTTCCTTTCCCCTCTGCGTGTTTCTTCGCAGAGATGCTGACGGAGCTGTCGAGGAGAGAGAAGGAGGCCAACATCAAGCCAGACCCCGACGTGGACGTGTACATGAAGGTGAGCCCAGAAGTCATGGCCGATGTGTACACTAAAGGCGCGCAGTAGCCGCTCTCCGACTGACAGACAGGCAGAAGAAAGAAAGAAAGAAAGACGTCGTCTCGTGACTGAACTGACTTCATCTTGCTCGCTCGTTCCTTTCTGAACAGGCCGTCGCCGTGGAGGGCCAGGAGAGCGTGGTCACAGACTACATCCTCAAGGTAGGGACGAATGGCGCAATAAATTTCATGGCGACATGCAGTCAAATCTGTTGCTCCCTTGCTTCCTTCGCCGGTGGCAATTCCACTGATTCATCGATCGACCGCTGAATCAATCTGTTGCTTCTTTATCGTAGATCCTGGGTCTGGACATATGCGCGGACACCATGGTCGGAGACGCGATGATCCGGGGGATCTCCGGTGGCCAGAAGAAGCGTGTGACCACCGGGGAGATGCTCGTGGGGCCGTCGAAGGCGCTGTTCATGGACGAGATCTCCACCGGGCTGGACAGCTCCACCACCTTCCAAATCGTCAACTCCCTGCGGCAGTCGGTGCACATCCTCGGCGGCACGGCGCTCATCGCCCTACTCCAGCCCGCACCGGAGACCTACGACCTCTTCGACGACATCCTCCTCCTCTCCGACGGCCAGATCGTCTACCAGGGCCCCCGTGAGAACGTGCTGGAATTCTTCGAGTCCATGGGCTTCAGGTGCCCGGAGAGGAAGGGCGTCGCCGACTTCCTGCAGGAGGTGAGCCAACTGCCCGGCAGAAACCCCGGCTGCTACTACTACCCTCCACTGAGATGGCGCTGACCCCGGAATTTCGTCGCAGGTTACGTCGAGGAAGGATCAGCAGCAGTACTGGGTACGAGAGGACGAGCCCTACCGGTTCATTCCGGTCAACGAGTTCTCGGAGGCCTTCAAGTCCTTCCACATCGGCGCCAAGGTGTATGAGGAGCTCAGCACCCCCTTCGACCGCAGCCGCAACCACCCCGCGGCGTTGACCACGTCAAGGTACGGCATCAGCAAGATGGAGCTGGTCAAGGCCTCCGTCGAGAGGGAGTGGCTCCTCATGAAGAGGAACTCCTTCGTCTACATCTTCAAAGTCGTCCAGGTGAGAGCGCGTCCTCCCATCCCCCGCCGCTGCGCCGGCAGTGACACGCAGACATCAGCCACGGACTCGGTCGCTCTGGGCATCTAACTAAACTCGACCGCCTCCACTTCCTTACATCGCAGCTGTTTATCCTCGCGCTGATCGCCATGACGGTCTTCTTCCGCACGAAGATGCCCCGGAACGGGATCGAGGACGCGACCATCTTCCTGGGCGCCATGTTCTTGGGCCTCGTCACCCATCTGTTCAACGGCTTCGCGGAGCTCGCCATGAGCATCGCCAAGCTCCCCGTCTTCTACAAGCAGAGGGACCTCCTCTTCTACCCGTCATGGGCGTACGCGCTACCCACCTGGATACTCAAGATCCCCATCTCCTTCGTGGAATGCGGCGTCTGGGTCGCCATAACCTACTACGTCATCGGCTTCGATCCCAATGTCGTGAGGTTAGACTCCGCCACCCACCCAGATAGATGAATGAGATGCCCCACCGCCGCCGGGAGGGAGGGAGACCTCTCTCCTTCCTCGTCCGCTAATTGATTAAATTAACTCTCGAATCGGCTCCGTCTCTGCAGGATGTTCCGGCACTTCCTGCTCCTGGTTCTGATCAGTCAGGTGGCCTCGGGGCTCTTCCGGCTGCTGGCCGCCCTCGGCAGGGACATGGTCGTCGCGGACACCTTCGGCGCGTTCGCTCAGCTCGTGCTCTTGGTGCTCGGCGGCTTCATCATTGCCAGAGGTACAAAGAAAAACCCTCCCCAGAGCTTCTGTATTTCATAATACATCACACCGAGCATGAATCGGAGGAGGCAGCGATCGTCACCGGCGACTTTCTCTTTTGCTCCTCCCGCAGAGAAAATCAAGAAGTTCTGGATCTGGGGTTACTGGGCGTCGCCGTTGATGTACGCGCAGAACGCCATCGCCGTGAACGAGTTCCTCGGGCACAGTTGGAGCACGGTAAGGAGGGCGTCAATGGCAAGCTTATCGTCAACAGGGCGGAGGGGGATTTTTCTTTATCTGAACTCTGTTTCTACCGCCGGCGCAGGTTGTGGACTCGATGGGGCAGACACTGGGCGAGCAGTTCCTGAGGACCCGTGGAATATTTGTGGACAAAAACTGGTACTGGATCGGCGTTGGCGCGTTGCTCGGATACGTGGTTCTCTTCAACGTCCTCTTCATCCTCTTCCTCGAATGGCTTGACCGTGAGTTCTTCGGGCACCGAAATCTTTCACAAAACCTCGCATTCTTATCGTTCGAAGCCATGCGTCTGAATGTCTTCTTGCTGCACATTCAGCCCTTGGGAAAGGTCAGACCACCGTCTCCGAGGAGGCTCTTCAGGAGAAGGAAGCGAACAGAACAGGAGCGAACGTTGAACTGGCGAATCGGGGATCCGCTGCAGAGGGTCAGTCAGTCAGTCTCTCCTTCTGCGTCTTCTCCCACCTTCTTCTTTCTCCTTCTCTGGTTAGGTGTATCTGAAAGTCGTGGCCGCAAATTGCAGGCGGAAGTGTGGAGATTAGGAAGGATGGAAGCAAGAAGAAGGGCATGGTGTTGCCATTTACTCCTCTCGCGATCACCTTCGATAATGTGAAATACTCCGTCGACATGCCGCAGGTAAATACCTCCCTCTCTCTCTCTCTCCCTCTCTCTCTCTCTCTCTCTCTCTCTCTCTCTCTCTCTCTCTCTCTCTCTCTCTCTCTCTCTCTCTCTCTCGCTCGCTCACTCCCTGGGGTGCGATATGACTCGGGAAACAGAACATGTATGACACAGTTTTGAAAACTTGGTTGCGCAGGAAATGAAAGAAAGAGGCGTTACAGAGGACAAGCTGCTGCTGCTGAAGGGGGTCAGCGGCGCCTTCAGGCCCGGCGTTCTGACGGCGCTGATGGGGGTGAGCGGAGCCGGGAAGACGACTCTCATGGACGTCCTGGCTGGGAGGAAGACCGGCGGGTACATCGAAGGAGACATCCGCATCTCCGGATACCCCAAGAACCAGGAGACCTTCGCCCGCATCTCCGGTTACTGCGAGCAGAACGACATCCACTCGCCCCACGTCACCGTCTACGAGTCCCTCCTCTACTCCGCGTGGCTCAGGCTCCCCGCCGATGTCGACGAGAAGCAGAGAAAGGTCAGAAGAGAGAAGAGATCCCCTCCAAAACGCTGACGACGACTTTCAAAAACCTGCTGCGGGTAATTGGTTGAGTGACACTGACGGGTGTTTTTTTTTGTTTGATCCGCCTGGACTTCCCAGACGTTCGTGGACGAGGTGATGGACTTGGTGGAGCTGAATTCGCTGAGGGGGTCGCTCGTGGGCCTGCCCGGGGTGACTGGGCTCTCGACGGAGCAGAGGAAGAGGCTCACCATCGCCGTGGAGCTCGTCGCCAACCCCTCCATCATCTTCATGGACGAGCCGACTTCGGGGCTCGACGCGAGGGCAGCGGCCATCGTGATGAGGACGGTGAGGAACACGGTGGACACCGGAAGAACCGTCGTCTGCACCATCCACCAGCCCAGCATCGACATCTTCGAAGCCTTCGATGAGGTAAATGAATGACGACGGGATTGCTCTCCCCCTACTACTATTACTACTAATCTCCGGCGGCGTTGCTGTTCCCATGAGAGATCATCCCCCTGACCCGTCTTCCCTCCCTTCCGTGGCGGTTGCAGCTCTTCCTCATGAAGCGCGGCGGCGAGGAGATCTACGTCGGCCCGCTTGGACGCCAGTCCAGCCACTTGATCAAGTACTTCGAGGTGAGTTCGAGAGGAAAATCACAACAAAAGAAAGAGCTCTTTCCTCGAGATGGCCGGCTCTGACATTCATCCGCTCGTTTTGTCCAAATTTCCCTCTACCAGAGCATCGACGGGGTGAAGAAGATCAAGGAGAGATACAACCCTGCGACATGGATGCTGGAGGTGACGACCATGGCCCAAGAGGAGATCCTGGGGTTGAACTTCACCGAGGTGTACAGGAACTCCGACCTCTACAAGAGGAACAAGGACCTGATCAAGGAGCTCAGCACGCCTCCCCCAGGCTCCAAGGATCTCTTCTTCCCTACCCAGTTCTCGCAGTCCTTCGTGATGCAGTGCGTAGCCTGCCTGTGGAAGCAGCACAAGTCCTACTGGAGGAACCCCTCGTACACCGCCACTCGCCTCTTCTTCACCGCCATCATCGCCCTCATCTTCGGAACCATCTTCTGGGACCTCGGCAAGAAGAGGTGAACCATCGTCAAACATATCTCGGACCCCTCTCCTCCTCCCCGCCCCGCCGGCGGTTCCTCCCGGGAAAGAGGAACTGACGGAACTTGCGCTCCTCTCGCAGGGAAACCTCTCTGGATCTCATCAACGCCATGGGCTCCATGTACGCCGCAGTCCTCTTCATCGGAATCCAGAACGCCCAAACAGTCCAGCCAATCGTGGACGTCGAGCGGACCGTCTTCTACAGGGAGAAGGCCGCCGGGATGTACTCAGCTCTTCCGTATGCTTACGCACAGGTGGGTCTCTCTTCTTCATCTTGTTCTTCGTCCTCTTCTTCTCTCGTCTTCATCTTCCTCCTCTTCGTCTTCTTCCTGTTCCTCCTCGTCTCACGCTTCTCTCTCCGCCTGTGTGTGTGCAGGTACTGATTGAGATCCCCCACATCCTGGTGCAAACCCTGCTGTACGGGCTGCTGGTCTATAGCATGATCGGCTTCGACTGGACGGTGGCCAAGTTCCTTTGGTACCTCTTCTTCATGTTCTTCACCTTCCTCTACTTCACCTACTACGGCATGATGGCCGTCGCCATGACGCCCAATAGCGACATCGCCGCCATCGTCGCCGCCGCCTTCTACGCCATCTGGAACATCTTCGCCGGCTTCATCATCCCCCGACCCGTAAGCCCCCATCCCCTCCCTCGTCCCATCTTCGCCGGCTTCATCTTCTTCTGTGCGCCTTACCGAGTTATATGATGATGGCGACTCTGCAGAGGATCCCCATCTGGTGGCGATGGTACTACTGGGCGTGTCCCGTGGCGTGGACCCTCTACGGGCTGGTGGTGTCGCAGTTCGGGGAGTACACGGACAGGATGACCGACGTCGATGAGACGGTGGAGAACTTCCTGAGGAGATTCTTAGGGTTCCGGCACGACTTCCTACCCGTGGTGGGCGTCATGGTGGTCGTCTTCACCGTGCTCTTCGCCTCCATCTTCGCCTTCTCCATCAAGACCCTCAACTTCCAGAGACGGTGATGAGCTCCTCCGTCCAGATTGCGCCTTTTCCGGCGACCGCCTGCACTTTCCACGACGAATCGGCAGACAGCAGCACCATCTTCTTCTTCTTATGGCTATTTTTCTTCCTTTTTATATTCCTTGGTACAGACCCTGTGGTGCATTCCCAACACAGAATTATTTATCTGAGTACGTCTCCTGGTGCGGTATCGTCTTCTTCCTCCTTGGTCTGCCGCCATGAATGAGATGGTCCCTTGAGATGCGGACCCTGATGACCGCGGGGAGGTCCATAGCATTTCTCGAGGTCAACTCGCCGGGCTAGAGAGAGAGAGAGAGAACGGGCTTTGGGCAATCAATCTTCAACACGATCTCAAATGCTTTGGCAGACGATGTTATGTTCTGGACAACAGATTTTGAAATGAAAGACAAAAAAAATAAAAATCGCGAGGAACACTGAAATCCGAAAGAAAAGAAGACGAGAGAAAATAATGGATTTGGATTGGGGGGAGGTGGACAACGGTGTTCCTTTCTCCGCTTCCTCTCTGGCCCCCGTTTCCTTTTGTACAGTCTGCTTGACTCTTCCAGAAGAGCAGGAGGGAGGGAGGGAGGGAGGGAGAGGCCAGCCCCCCAACCCCCTCCTCTACGGCGTGGCGGCAGCCGGAGGGGTCGACGGCCCGCCGGAGGCGCCGCCGGCCTTGGACGACGGGTCGTCCTCCTCGGCGGCGGCGGCGGTGGCCCCACGGTTGAGGACCTCCTGCAGCATCCGCACCACGTCCTGGATGTCCGGGCGGGAGTCGGGGACGGTCTGGACGCAGGCCATGGCCACCTGGAGCACCTGCACCATCTCCTCCTCCTTGTCGCCGTTGTTGTTGTCATACCGCATCAGCTCCACGTCAAACACCTCCGCCGTCCATTCCTCCCGCACCACCGACTGCACCCACCGCGGCAGATCGATCCCTTCCTCCCCCAGCGACGCCTGGTTCGGGGCCTTCCCCGTCAGCAGCTCCAGCAGCAGCACCCCGAAGCTGTACACGTCCGACTTGAAGGTGGGCCTCCGAGTCTCCGCCACCTCCGGGGCCTTGTACCCTGCCGCCGCCGCCGCCCGGGTGGGGGGCCACGCCGTCCCGAAGAGTGGGGCGAGGCCGTAGTCGGAGACGGCGCCGCCGTCGGGGTCGCCGCCGCCGAGGAGCACGTTCGAGGCCTTGACGTTGCCGTGGACGACCTTGGCGACGGTGTGGAGGTACGCGAGGCCGCGGCCCGCCGCCAGGGCGATGCGTATCCGGTTGTCCCAGTCCAGCGGGGTGCGCCCAGACCCTCTGCTCCCTGCATGTCGACGATGGACCAGGACGAAGAACCCAGTCAAAGTCGGTCACAGAGGACGTTGACCACCGAACAACCCAAGTTCCAAACCATCTACAGACTACGGGGACTGTAAGGCGAAAAAAAAAGAAGAAAAACAAGCCGCGGTAGCGCCGGCCGCAGCTCCGCCGCTGCCCACCACCGCCACCACCACACGATGGATGGTGTGGTGGGAGGGGGAAGGAGCTACAGAACTAGAAACGGCAGAGGAGCCATCAATCAATCACAGGGCAACCAAGTGAGAAAAAGAATCTGGCAATGTATGGAGTGGAAGCAGCCATTCCGACGTCAGATGGGCCCCGCCCACAGAAAATCTTCTCCACCGGGGAGGAGCGGGGAGGAGCATGAATGCGACAAGGACGACGCAGGACTTCCGCGCTCGGTGGCGTGTGGAAGCGCGATCGTCATTATGATGACGGTACCCCATTGTTAGCCGGAGACCGAGAGCGCACAGAGATCACGGTAGATGGAGAGACGACGACGGAAACCCATGGCGGCGGTTGGGGGGAGTGATTTGAGTATTCCAGGCTAACTGAGAAAAAATGCTCGCGCACAAGGATGACTGGCCATCAAGCGCTGGTGGAAGCGACGGCGGGATGGGTCGATTTGGGTTTGGTCTGGACAATTTGCCAGAATCGACTGAATGGTGGATCGATCGGGAGAAAACGGGGATCGCGTTTGTCATAAACCCTAAAGTACTGGTTCTGGTGATGGGGGCAGTGAAAACCGCGAGGGAGAGAGAGAGAGAGAGGCAGGGGCTCACCGTGGAGGAGGGCGGAGAGGCTGCCGGCGGGAAAGTAGTCGTAGACGAGGAGCTTCTCGTCCTTGGAGTAGTAGAAGGCCCGGAGGGGCACCACGTTGTCGTTCTTCACCTTGCCGAGGGCCTCCATCTGCACATCGTACTCGCGCTTGGACACGGCCACGTCCTTGAGGCGCTTCACCACCACGGTCATCCCGTCCTCCAGCACCGCCTTGTACGACGTCCCCATGCTACCCTTTCCCAGAACCTCCGCGGAAGCCCGCAGAAGGTCCTCCAGGTCGAAGCCGTAGAGCCTGTTCTCGAAGAACACCAGCTTGTTCTTCTCCACTCCCGCCCGTCCACCCCCGATATCGTCTTTGGACGACGACGTCGTGGCCGTCTCAGCCGCCCCTCCGCCAGATCTGGGGATTGCCGAAGCCCTCTTCGGCGACTTGGCCGGCTCTCGGCGCCGGCGCCTGCGGAGGACCAAGCAGATGAGCAGCAGCAGGAGGGCCAGCAACAGGACGGCGCCGCAAGCGACGGAGATCGCGATGATCGACGCCGTCGAGAGCTTCTTCTTCTTCCCCCTGTCGGCGGGGACCTGAGCGGGAGTCTCTTCGCCTCCCGGGGACGGCGCCGGGGATGGAAAGAAGTTTTTACAGGGAGGTAGGGGACCGCCGCAGAGATCAAGGTTTCCGGCGAATGAGGAGGCCGGAAATCGCTGCAGGGGCTCGGGGATCGACCCGTTGAGCCTGTTGTTGGACACGTTGAACTCCACCATCCCGGGGATGTCGATGCTGGGGATGCTACCGGAGAAATTATTGTTCCCCAAGAACAGGCCTGTGAGGCGGGTCAGGTTGCTGAGCGCGAAGGGGATGGAGCCGCTGAAGTTGTTGGCAGACAGGTCCATCCGCAGCATACGGGTGAGCCTGGCCACCCCCGCAGGGAGCTCGCCGGAGAGGCGGTTGCGCTGCAGGTACAGGGAGCGGAGGAGCGACAGATTGGCGAGGTCCGCCGGGAGCTCGCCGGAGAGCCGGTTAGAGCGGAGGGAGAGCACTCGGAGGCCAGAGAGACGGGACAGTGTGTTGGGGGGGATGGGGCCAACCAGTCCCGATCCGGGGAGGCGGAGAGCTACGACCTGGTTCCGATTGGCGTCGCAGGTGACCCCTCTCCATTCGCAGGGGGAGGCCGAGGAGTTCCACTGGATCCGCCTTCCGTGCCGCGTCCGCCCGAGGAAATCCAGCAGCGCCGCCTTGTCCTCCGTCGGCTCGGAGACAAAGCCGCGGGCCAGGCAGCAGACGACGACGAGGAACACCTGGAGAACGCGGAATGCCACACCCATCGCCCCCGACCTCGCCCCGTGGAGGCCGAGGAGCGAGGAAGAAGAGGGGCAGATTTCCTAGGAAATAATGCTGGGCAGGGGCTGTCCCCGGGCGTGGCGTCGAGGACAGAGATAGCTCTCCCTCTGGAGAGGAGCCGCCATGGGGAGGAGGCCCGGAAGAGCGAGAGCCAGGGAGAGTGTCGCAGAAGGTAGGAATCACGAGGGGGAATTTGGTGATGGAGAGAGAGAGAGAGAGAGAGAGAGAGAGAGAGAGGGGAAAAGGCTGCCGCTGCGGCTTTTGTGCTGCAGATGCGGTCGATCACGATGTCGAGATCTGTGATCGGACGGCGGTGAGACGCTGAGAGGCGAGAGGGACATCCTCTCTCCCCAGCTGACAAGTGAGCTGCGGGCAGTGAGGCGGAGGGGGGGGGCGGTAGATGGATGCCAGCTGTAGAGGGCCGCTGGACCTCCAGTGGTAGGCCCATCACTCTGACGGCTGCGATTGGAAGTCAAACGGCCTTCTCTCTTCGATGATGCCAGGCTGGCGGCTTCCACCTAACCAAACCCCCTCCGCCCCCCAGCCACCGGCGCCGCCGCCGCTCGGAAGCGGGCCGGGGCGAGGGGCCCAACATGTGCACCGCCCTTCGGCCGGAGCACCCACCCCCCTGTTCTCCCCTGCCCACCCATTATTATTGGAGAGGGTGCGACTAAGAAACGGGGGCGGAGAAGAAGAAGAAGAAGAAGGTCGGCCCCCGCGGAGACCCGGGTTTCCTCCTCCCCTCCTTGGCCACCGGGGTTTTGGGTCAAATCCTTGTCTTGGGCGCTGTACGAATGAGTCGAGAGGGTGAACATGCCGTGGACGCCCGCGAGGGCACTGTCTCCGACCTGGTGATCCTATTTTCCTCAAGGGGTAAGGTAGCCTCGGGGCATTGGTCAACGGCGGATCCTGTAGCCGTTGACGACGAATACATTATCTGCCCCCACGCTCTTGCCGAGTTCCTGGAGAAGATGAGACGTCCAGTGCTCGGCCGCAACGTCTCGATTGATCCGCACGCGCGGAGGAGCCGAGATCCCCCGCCAAGAGTAAGAGAGAGAGAGAGAGAGAGTCAGATGGACAGAGTAGACAGAGAATCGATTTCGAGGAAGGAGCATAGAATGTCGACAGAGGAGCACATTTCGCGGCTTCTCACGAGAACCACGTGCGCCACCTGCTCGTTGGTTCCGGTAATCTTGGCCGTCCATTTTGACGGTGCATGGAATTCGGCCCGCAGAAGCCCACCTGCGACCCACGATGGGGGAAGAAATGACCTGAGAGAGAGAGCGTCGATCATAGCTTGGAGAGATCGAAGGGTGGGAGCTGCCGTGGGAGAAATATCTAAGAGATGGGGCCCAGTCCACGTGCCTTTCGCAAGCTCCGGGCACGTCTCCTTTTTCCTCGGGATACATGGCTTCCACGTTATGATTGCCTTGGTCCATGCCTACGTGTCCGGCGGAGAGAGAAGATCCAGCCCCGGGTCCACGTTCACGTCCACAGCCGTGATCGGACCAACCTTCCCAAGTGTTCCAACCGAACGCTCACGCGGGTCCCACGAGCCGGTATAGATACCCGCTCCCCGTCCTTCCTCCCTCAACCTGTGCTCTCTTTCTCTCTGCTAACCGCATCGTCAGAGGAAGAACCGCCTCCGAGGATCACAGAGGAGCACAGAGAAGAGGAGGAAGAAGAAGAAGGCGCGCGCGGGAGAAGAGAAAGGGAAGGCCTCGCCATGGCCGTCGCCTCCATCCACTGCTGCCTCAGCGTCCCCCCTCCGAACGCCACTTCTTCGCCCTCCGGCGTCAAGCTCGCCCTCTCCCCCTGGTGAGTCTGCGTTTGCGTGATACTGTCTCCGATGGTGAGTTCCCTTTGCCGCTCCGGTGTGACGCAAGAGCTGTGATGATTCCTGCCGCAGGCCGCCGGCGAGTGCGACGGCGAGGAAGGAGGAGAGCTGGAGGGGTCGATGCGTGTCGACGGTGGCGTGCGTGATCCTCGGATCGGCCGTCGGGCTGGCGGAGGTCGGCGGTGGATGGGAGGGCTTCGCATACGCCGACGAAATGCGTGAGGCGGCGGCGGCGGGAGCGGCCTCCGGGCCGCGGGTGGTGCGGTGGAGCGACAAGAGAGAGTGTCCCCCGTGGCACACCAACTCGTTGGAGAATATCGTCCCGGAGAATCTCCCCCGGCCGTCGACTCGCCGGAGGTCGGAGGCCGTCACGATCAGCCGGAGCGCGCCGGCCGTCCTCGGCCGCGCCGCCATCGCCTCCGGCCGCGCCGGCTGCTACTCCCTCTAGGCCACACCATTTAGCCATCCAAATCCATATTCATTACTATTAATTACTGTTACTATTCTCCCCCGCCTCCCGCCCCCTCCCTTTCCTTCAATTTTTCTCCTCTGTAAGGTCCACCGGGATCGCCGCAGGCGCAGCAGGCAGGGTTGCGCCCCCAATTGATATCCTCGACGAAGAATTAGGAGGCGGGGGAAGGGAAAAATATCGGAAGCAGCCGACGACGCCATCAACAGCCCCCCCCCCCCCGGTGTGTAAATAATATCCTCGCCGGCATCACTGTGACTATCATGTAAAAGTCCACAAATTCCTCCCTCCCTTCGCCCACCTCGATCTCTCTGTCTTTCCCTTTCCGCCTTTATCCTTTGTCTTCGAGCAGGACGAGCACGGCACGCAGTACACCGATCGACACCGGTAGTACGACCCCGCGGGTGCCGGCCAGTACCGCGGGGGCCCTCGCGGGCGCCCGATGCAGTACCAGTACAAACGCAGAGGATGGGTGGCCCTGCTTCCTCCCCCTCCAGAGATGGCCGCCAATTACGAATACCACCACCACGTCGCCGGCGGGATCCTCTCGCCCCGATTAACCGATCCCCCTGGACGGCGGTCAAGACATCTTCCCGACGAAATCGCCCGTTCCTTCGCTCCCCCTTGTTGACCACGTCGTCCCGCCGCCGGCTGAATTCGTCCGAACCTCTGAATGAATTCGTCCGCCCTCCGAGCGCCCGCCACAACTGCCGCCGCACGTGCACGTGGTTCGGGGGCTGACTTTTCGGGTCAAACGAAAAAGCTCGCTGACCATGGGGCTCGCCCAGATTTGGCGAATACGAGTGATTTTAAAGTCAAAACCGTGTTAGCTCTGGAATCCCCCGAAAATTGGAGTATCGTGACGGCGGCTTCTCATTTTGCCAGCTATAAATCGGGTGGAACAGACGAAAATACCGATATAACTCCAGAATTTGAACGTGTGCGGAGGTTTGAGAGGCGGTTCCTATCCCGACCAAGGTCAACGGGAGGAGACGACTTAGACTCGGGGATCGTACGGCGAATGTGCCCCCGTGGACCTGATCGATCCCCCCGCATTATCCGACGGGTGTGAGACGTTCGGCCGCGTCGCCACGCCAAGTCAGGGGAGGAGAATCCCACGTGGCTCCCCCCCCCCCCCCTCGCGATTGGCATCTCCGCGGCCTGGCGTCATTGACCGGGGCGCCCGATTGTGCGGGGGCTCCAACGGCCAACTGTAGGGGCTTTTGGGTCACGCGCATCACCGCTGACTCAGATCGACCGGTCGGAGAAACTTTCGACCAAATGATTGTACTTATCGTGATAATCATTCTTCTTTCTTGCCCACTCCAGGAGGGACAGCTAGAGAGGCGATCACGGCCTTTCGATGAGCGACGAATGAAGGGGCACACCCCATCGAACGGACAGAGGCGCTTGAAACGGTGCGCCCCCTAGTAGACACGATCAGCGGGGGAAGTCGCGTCCACAAGGAAGAGGGTAGCGCAGTAATTACCCACGAAGGCTCGCCATTTCTCGACGCTGTCTGCGGCCCCCTCGGGTCTTCGAGAAATGGCGATAACACCCTTGTTCCTCGGGAGGAGAAGTGAGAAAAGTCGGTTATTAATCGAAAATACGGGGGTACTTACTCGAGGGGCCATGCCAACAGGGTTAACCGCTTGTGCTGTGGGCGGATCCCAGGCGTCCGATCGATGGCCCAGCTACATCAGACGGCCGCCCCGACAAGCTTCCACCAGCACGCTGCCGGAATATCATCTAGATGTATATATATTTATGAATATGCGGACATTAAGTATGGATTATTGAGAAAAAAGACACGTTATTTGGATATTTGTCTTCAACTCTGAAGTATTGTATTATTTATTTAATACTTTGGTATGAACAGTTGGAGTTGATTCTCGGAAGAGGAAGATGGATTAGAGTGTGTGACCTCGAACTATTTTACTGTGGATGATGGCCATTCGGACCGTCTTCGGAAGCCTTCGGGTAGCTTTTGGCCTTTGTCCGCTTTGCCCCGCTCTGCTCTACTCCTCTCTCTCTCTCCCTCCCTCCCACATCTGCTCCTCTGCAGCTGCTCCCGCTTCTGCTGTCGTCGTCTGCATCAGCTTTTTGTTCTGTTACGTTCCCTGGTGAGTGGGGAGGGGGCTGGGGGATGGGGCTCTCTGCGAGAGGGGATTGTCTTCTTCCTGTATTCGCTGGTCTATGATCCTCTATCGGTGGGTGCGTGGAGGGGGGGGAGAAGGGTGGAGAGTACCCCGGTGGGCGGGATTTGCTGGCGCGAAGTGGAGGGGGAGCGGAGGGAGGAGAGATCCTCGGTGGAGGAGGGGGCGATCCTCGCGAGGAAATCTGAGAACGAGAGGCGGGCGGCCGACTTCTTGACTTCGACCAGCGGTTCTAGAGAGGAGGTCGTGCCGTAGGAATTGCGGAATCATGTCGCAGAACAACTTGGAGGCCGACAAGATGTGAGCTCCGCCTCTGCTCTCCCTTCTCTCCGAGAGTCGTCTCCTCTTTCGATATTTTTCTGCCGTGGGCACGGGATGTCGCTTAGGCCCTCCGTCGGGTTGGCAGTGGGTTTTTGGAGCTTATGATTTCCGCTCTGGGGTGGAGCGAGCTCTGTTCTGTTTCTTCGTGCAGTGCCTTTGGTTTCCCTCCCTGTGTAGGTTCATGCGATGTAAATTACCCTCGGTTTCCTTGTCAGACGACGTGCCCGCCCATCGATAAACAGAATGGCTACTCTGCTTGCTCTTTTTTTCTCTCTTCTGATTCCTGTCGGTTCGTGGTCCTCGTTGAGGCTGTTCCTTTGTTCAAACGACTGTTGCCATGTCAGTGCTCGCCGACGAATTTATTTCTGCCATGTTTCTCGGCGTAAAACTCCGGGTTCGTTTATTTCTTAGTTTGTGTATGTACTGTTTCTTCGTTAACTACGCCATTTTTTACGTGAGATTTTCCTTCTTTACATATCCCGTTCGTTCATTTAGTTTTTTTTTTTTTTTTTTTGGGTGCGGCCATGTCGTCGGATTCTCTCTGTTCAACGAAGGTTCCTACCACAGGCAGGGCAACCCCCAGTCGTTTTTATTTTTATTTTTCTGGAGAGTTTGGCTTTATCTCGTTCTGGGTCCTCTTCTCACGGTGTTGTTGAGGGTTCCCCGAGTCCTTATATTTTAGTTGGATAGTAGGTTGTCTCTCGCTGGTCCTTCGCAACCCCCGGTCTCCCCGAGTGAATTCCTCTGCTTCAGTTGTAACACGACCCCTTTCTCGCTAGTCTTCCACTTGATCTTAGAGGTGTTGCTCTAACGTTGTTCTTGTTATGAACTCCGTACTGCAGGTTAGATGTCTACATTTACGATTACTTGATGAAACGTAACTTACAGGCCTCTGCCAAAGCGTTTCAAGCTGAGGGTAAGGTATCTGCAGACCCAGTTGGTGAGTATCTGAATAGTGCCCGTGGGAGTGTCATAGTGTAATGTTCATTTATAGCATAAAGAAACGTTTTTGACGTGTGCTTTCGTGGTTTCGTTCAGCCATTGATGCTCCTGGTGGATTTCTCTTTGAATGGTGGTCCGTCTTTTGGGATATTTTTATTGCAAGGACCAATGAGAAGCAGTCAGATGTTGCTGCGTCGTACATTCAGGTGGGTGCTTCCATCTTTTTTCATCTTTTTCGTTCCTTCGATGCAAGCTCTCTCCTTTGCTGTTAATCTTCTGCTGATGTGAAACGATCTGAAATCGGAATTCGTAATTTACTTTGGAGTCGAGATATCCTGTTAAACTGTTGGCTTTACAATTGTCTTTTCTACTTGTTAGGGTCACTAATTAGGGTTACCATTTTTGCTGCTGGATGTAAATGGTGAACTTTCCCTCAGAAGAGCTCACTAAATGCACTCTTTAATTGCCCAAATTATGATATGCGACGGCATCTACTTGGGGATTATAGACCGTCCTTCCCGCAGTCCTCTACTAGTCAGTGCTCACCTTTGACCTGGTAGTAAGAATAGGCATCTAATTATTGACTGGCCCAATAATGGTTGTAGCATATGCGTGGATTTCTATTCATGAATGAACGTGTATTGAGTTAAAATTGCTGCTGCTCATGATCAGATAATCCTTATAACTCATTTTCTAGAGGGTTTTCTTCCCCCTTATGTTTCTTTTCTTTCTTTCTTATTCTAAAAGTAGTTAGGTACGTACAGGTTTAGTTTATTTTACCCCTATGTCTGTCGTTCAGGGTTACTCCATTTTAATATGAAGCTGATTGATATTAAGGGTTTTACTGGTGGGAACTGAACATGAGATTTACGTGTGTGCTTAATCGAAAGTCGTGCTCATTGGATCATAGATATTTCCTTGTGATAATTTATTTATTTCTCCTATAGATCTTATATTTAAAATGTCGATCTCGGGTAATCTCCTGAGGTGCTTCTGATGCGCCAATATTTGCCATGGTTTGATCAATTTTCTTAAATCTATGTGGGATTTTTACATGTATCAAATAAGTAAATTTTGTTCTCATAATAATATTAAGTATTTTATCTTGTATACATCTCTTTGGAGCCGAACCTGTGTGATCTATACATGACCAGAATGAAGCTTGGGTGAAACTATTTTACCCCCGCTTTTTGTTGATATGATTTATCGCCCTCTCTCAGTGGAGCTTATTCTTCAGGTGACATTGTAAATTATGGCTTCGGTAGATTTTGGGCTTTTATATTTGACTCATCTTTTGTCTAGTATACTTTATAAAGCCAGATTCAATGTGTCAAGCATTACTCATAACCTTCATTATTTTTGGAGTCCCCTGTGACTGTATATCATAATTATTTTCAGAGCTATATGTCTCAGTTTATCTCTGAGATTTTTCTTGACGTATTATTGATTTTTTTCATGCCTGTAATATGATAGACTCAATTAATCAAAGTCCAAGATCAGCAGCAACAGCAGCAACAGCAGCAGCAGCAGCAGCAGCAGCAGCAGCAGCAGCAGCATCACCACCAACAACAACCATCGTTGCTACAGCCGCATCACCAGCACCCACAAATGCAACGGTTTTTGTTACAGAGGCACGCACAGCAGCAACAACAGCAGCAGCAACCACAACAACCGCAACAAGTTAGGGATGGAGCTCGTCTGCCAGACAGCGCTGCAAATGGGCTCGTTGGCTGTGACGTACTTATGTGTCAGAATCCTGCAACCGCAAGTGCCTTGGCAACAAAATTGTACGAGGAACGCCTGAAGCTCCCTATTCAAAGGGATTCTTTGGATGAAGCATCCATAAAGGTATTCTGATGGGAGTGTTTGGTTATCTCCTGGTCTAAGTTTCCATCTTACTCTCTAACCAGTTGAGCTTAATTTCCAGCAAAGATTTGGTGAAAATATGGGGCAGCTTTTGGATCCAAACCACGCATCAATGATCAAGTCAACTGTAGCATCTGACCTACCCTCTGGGTAACTCTGATTTAACTTTATGAATTGGGAATGATCTTTTCCCCTTTAAAGTTTATTTGTCCCAAAGGTTATGTTTACCTCTACTAGTTGAACTTTTTTTTAAAATGGTCTGCGATGCTGCTAATTGACAAAAAACGATCACTTTAACCCGTCACAATCGGATAGTGACATTGCTGTTTCAACGATTTTTTCTCTTTTCAGGCAAGTTTTGCATGGGACAGCTGATATGGCTGGGGGTCTGCAGCAAGTCCAACCACGAAGCCAACAGAACCCAGGACCTATGCAGGTTTCTGTGTGAAGGATTTTTTTCTCTGCTCGTTCACTGCGCTATCTTGTTCTAATTAAATATGTGCAACAGGACATGAAGGGGGGTGTCAATCCTGTATTGAATTCAAGAACTGCAGTTTCTGAAGGATCATTAATTGGGGTTCCTGGTATCATTCTAAATGTCGTATTGTCCTCAATGCCTTCTTTCTGTTGATTGTCTTGTGTTTTATTAAGAAAACATGTACACAGGGTACTATTGCTTTCATTGACTGCTTGAATTACTGTATACCATACAATATTTTTTCGATAACTTGCCTGTGAATGGTGCAATCACTTGAATGCATGCATTTTTATCAAAGTGATCCAGTTATGAATACATTGTGAAGTTAGGATTGCGCGTTTGATTTTCCATATATGTCAACTAGCAAACTGCTCCCCCTCACTCTCAGGGTCTTATTTTGGCTTACCCAATGAGAGCCATTGCCTTGTGTTTGCTCATCATGTGAAATGATGACGGTACCATCCCCGCTTGGTCTGGTTTCTATCCTGACATGATTGATATTTTGTCATTATTTACCGTAAATTATTGGCGCTGAAAGTTGATGCTATATTAGGATTTTAATTTCATTTCATTGCATTATAGCCATCAATGTTTTTTATTAAAAAAAATTATAGGGTTAAAATGAGCATTTTTATTGCAGGACCTAATCAAGGTGGCAATAACTTGACATTGAAAGGATGGCCTCTAAGTGTAAGATGTCATGCACATTTCCACATAGGCACTCTAATGTTTTTGTTTTGACCTTTTGGCATAAAGCTGTTAGATTTAGCCGAATCCTCCTTTTGATCCATTATCTGTTTTTATTTTGGTATTTTTCTTCTAGCTAACACGGTCAAAATGATATCAAACTTGATTCGAGACATAATAAACTTCTGCCAAATCTCCTTTGATAGTCGAATTTCAAATTTCAGTGCTTTTAATTTAAGTTAGATTATCGTTTGTTCCTTGGATAAAACCATTGTAAATGGAGTTGTACAGAGAATATATGCATATGACGGAAACCATACAAGGATAAACAGTCGGGAAAAAAATCTTCCTATTATCAAATCATAGAACAATTGCTAGTTATACACAATTACCCTGGCCATAAAAAATGGAAACTACCTAGGATGAGGGAACCGACCTTCCAGGAAACTCCCCTACTTGGAAACTGGCCAACAGAAGCTAACTCCTAATTACACGTTTTTCCCAAAGTACATATTTTAGCATTATTATTTTTCTCAATAATAATTCCTCTGCAAAAAGAGAGGTTTGTTTTGAATCTTGTTGGCAGCTATCTTCTCAGAGAACTTATACCATCCTCCCTGTTTGGGATGGAAGGGTGACTGTAATAGATTTGTTCAACTTATTGTTGATTTTATCTCATAATGTTCCAAGCCTCAGACACCTACTCATCATATGATAAAAAGATGATTATGTGGATAGTATTCGTGTGGATTGTGGAAAAAACTTTTAATTATTCTTCTGTCCTGAACACCATGGTTCTTCACTTTTATTTACGCTGATGATTTTATTTTTTTTGGACCACTGCAATCCAGGGCCTTGATCAATTACGCTCAGGACTTCTACAGCAGAAGTCATTCGTGCCATCTTCTCAACAATTTCATCAGCTTCAGTTATTGTCTCCACATCAACAGCAGCAGTTGTTACATCAGGCACAACAGAACTTGACATCCCCATCGGCTGGAGATATCGACAGTCAAAGACTTAGGATGTTTCTCAACAACAGGAATATGGTCCTAGGAAGGGATAACCAGTCCAACTCAGTTGGAGATATTGCTCCAAATTTTGGTGCCCCAACACCAACTGGTGCCGTTTTTCCACGGTCCGATACTGATAAGCTGATTAAGGTGTGATATTTGACTTCTTCCAGAATCATCTTCATTCTCTATGTGACGCTGGCTTGTTGTCTAGTCTCCTTTTATCTGTCTTTATTTTTTTATATGGTTGGGATAAGAACATGGGGATGCTTTATTTGTAATATGTCACTTAGATGTCTTTGACCCCTAATCAAGAAGTTCCTCACCATTTACAATTCACAGGGACCTTACCATTCCTATGAAATATTTTGGGTTTCTAAATGTAGCTAATTGTAGTTTTGTGGATCTATATCATGTTATGTTAAACAGATTTTTTTTGAACTAATGGGGTGTTATGGATGAAATTGTGGGTTAAAAATTCACCATATTTGAACGAGGGCTTCTCTACGTAACCCTATCGCTTTTTTTGAATCTTCGAGTCCTCTTGTGACATTCTCTGTATGAGGTTTGTCGTGTACACTTGGAAATGTTCGATTGGGTTATTTCTTGTCCTTTAAGAGGATCAAATAGATCCTTGAAGGATTGTCATCTCGTATCCATTTTATTCTGAGTTGTGAGGTACGAGTCACCACCATCAAAGTTGTTTGCAATTGCTGATCGTGTGTATGTTTTTCCCTGGATAGAAATGTTCTTCCTCAATAACTATCCCTTATCTCTTAAAAGAGTATATGTATGGTGTTTATCGTTTTCCTGTGACTTAATTCTCGAATTTCTCATTGTCCTGGTTGTTCCTTTGTGGTAGAGAATAGCTCAGCTACAGCAGCAGCAGCAAAGACAGAGCAGCAGCCAGCAACAGCAGCTTCATCATCCCGTAGTTTCAAGTCAATCACAAAATTCCAATCACGTTCTTCACCAGCAAGATAAAATGGGTACAGCGAACGTAACAGTTGATGGTAGCTTGTCTAACTCTTTCCGTGGAAATGATCAGGTTCATAGTTTCCTCTGGATTTGGATATCTATGCGTAGCTTACCGTATTAATATCATATACTATCATTCCTAAACTTTGTTGAACTCCAGTTGCTGTTTTGTTGTGAATCGATGCTTTCTTGTTGATCTCATAAGAGTTAAGTTAGAAAAATGTCCTATAATATTCCTTTGGTTCATTTTAAAATGTTAGTAGCTATATAGTTCCTTGGATCAGATGTGTTAATTTGTATCAGACATCCAGGCTTCGAAGAATCAGGGTGGCCGTAAAAGGAAACAACCTGTATCATCTTCTGGACCAGCTACCAGTTCAAGAACAGGAAATACTGCAGGACCCTCCCCAAGCTCTGCACTGTCAACGCCTTCAACGCACACCCACACCCCTGGAGATGTGATATCAATGTCATCATTACAACATAGCGGTGGTTCATCTAAGCCTCTCATCATGTTTGGTTCCGAAGGAGCTGGTACTCTTACATCGCCAAATCAAGTGGTGGGTTGAACCTGCTTGTATGGGTTTGTTTGACTTGCACTGGAAGAATGGCTCTGTGTATGAATTCAGGGAAATAATTACGTGCGCAATCTCTAACTAGGGGTTAATTTTTACCAGTGGGATGATAAAGGTGAATTACTTGTGGAGGATGGATCTCTGGATGATAATGTTGAATCTTTTTTATCACATGATGATGCTGATCCCAGGGATACAGTTGGACATGGGGCAGATGTGAACAAAGGTTTGTGACTTTCTGCTCTTTCGTTCAAATTTCCTGTCATGTTTAAGTCAAAAGGAGCTTAGCGTTTATGATGAACTTTAATGTGCTCCTGGCCTTGGTAATGGTAGGATTTACCTTCAATGAAGTGGGAGTAATCCGTGCAAGTTCCAGTAAAGTTGTCTGTTGTCACTTCTCTTCTGACGGTACACTGCTTGCTACTGGTGGCCATGACAAAAAGGTGATGAGAAATAAAATTCATATTATTCTTCTTTTTTAAGTCTTATGATGCACATGCTGTATTATCTGAGATCGTCTAGTGCTGGTAGGACGAGCTGTAGGGTTGCAGTTGTGCCTTGAGTGGGGGTTTAACGTGATGATTTTCCTATTCAGGCTGTGCTATGGCATACGGATACATTGAAGTCCAAGACTCAACTAGAAGAACATATCTTGCTGGTTACTGATGTCCGTTTCAGCCCCGGCATGCCACGCCTGGCTACGTCATCTTTTGACAAAACAGTGAGAGTGTGGGATGCTGATAATGTTCGTAATCTGATCTTATTTTTTAATACTATGTTCAATGCCTGTGATAGTTCAAAGAAACTGTGTTTGAATTTTCATAGGAATGACTGTGCACACTATAGTTACAAGAATAATTTAAGATTTTTATTTCCATCCGGAATATTTGCTTAATTCATGCTTCAAAATTGCCCTATCTATACAGAATCTGTAATTAATCTTTCGTTCGAACCTCACGTTTTTTGCTTCTTAATGTAAATCTATCATATTAGAAATTATCCTTGGTCATGCCATGGCCGTCACTTTCATTGTTGAAGGCACCTGATGAGCCCTTGGCCGTGGATTTTTACCAGCCCATTGTTTTCAGCGGGGGGGAATCCGTAATCTTGCGGCGATATGGGGCTGTTCTTGCTCGCTTCTTTAAATTCAGTTTTCTTCTCCTTTCTTTTGGTGCGGGGAGGCATTTGGGTGGCGAGAGTCTTGACTCTGTCAATGCACGTTGGATCATTCAATGTTTGGTAATTCAGGGGTGCTCCACTCATTTGGGTCTTATACGGTAAATAGTCAAGCTTTGCCGCCCTTAACTGTAATTATTTGCCACCCACCTGACTCATGGTCAGGAAACTTTCAGATGCTGCTTTTTCTGCTTGCCTGTTGCTGGCTTTTGCTTGCTGTAGATATGATGACACGTTTGTTGTACTCCAATCTTTTTTCGCAGTGATGCAGCCGCTCATTTTGGGTTATCATTTTGGTTTTAATCGTGCATGCAGACTGGATATTCCCTTCGTACCTTCACTGGTCATTCAGCATCTGTCATGTCTCTCGACTTCCACCCAAATAAAGAGGATCTAATATGCTCATGCGATGGGGACAATGAGATAAGATACTGGAGCATCAAGCATGGTAGCTGTGCAAGAGTCTTCAAGGTATCCATTTTCACGGCTATGTAGCCTTGTTACAGTATAGTCGAGAACAGGCTGACTTCCTTCTGGTAGTCTGTCATGAACGTTTCATAGGCCTCAAGCCTCGTGCAGCTTGTTTTTTTTTTTTTTTTTGGCCATCCACCAAAGACCATTTGAAACATAGTCAAGAGTTTCATAGCGTGGTGCAGGATCTTGCCTGTGTTTGTTTGACCATTTTGATCGCAGGGAGTCGGCCTCCTGGCTTGTTTAGAGTGGCATCTCACTCGGATTTCTACTTTCATATGGCGCAGGGTGGAACCTCCCAAGTCAGGTTTCAGCCACGCCTCGGAAGGTATCTCGCAGCTGCTGCTGAGAATGTTGTTTCCGTCCTGGACGTCGAGACGCAGGCTTGCTGTCATTCGCTAAAGGTCGGTTCTTTCTTGGCTCAAATGACAGACAGTGAGAGGGTTCACAAGTGGAAGGGGATAACAGGAAGAAGGGAAAGAAGAGAAAAGGAAAATTACGAGAAAAAACATGAATGAGACGAGACGGCTGAGGAAAGGACTGGTGAGAGAGAGAGAGAGGACAGAACGGGGATAAACTGGAGATTTAAATTGAAAAAAGCAAGAAACCAGTGAAGGTAGCGGAAAGTGGGAGGCTCTTCTGTTCTATGTTCTTCAGTTCGACTGACTTGACGCATTCCCTGATATTTTCACAACGCCGTTTTATTCTGCAATCGGACTTGTGTTTGCAGGGGCACATGAAACCTGTTCACTCTGTTTGCTGGAGCCATTCGGGCGATTTTCTGGCGTCAGTCAGTGAGGATTTAGTCAGGATCTGGACGGTCGGAGCCGGCAGCAAGGGCACCAGCGTCCATGAGCTCAATTGCAGCGGGAACATGTTCCATTCCTGCGCCTTCCATCCGACGTACCCATCTCTGCTGGTCATCGGCTGTTATCAGGCAAGTTGATCTTCACCCAGCTCTCCTTCCCTCTCTGCTTCCGCAGTCACTCGCTTTCAGTCTTCGGCGAACATCTGCAGCCCGGCGCTTTTGCTCGTTTCAAGCTGATTCTCTCTCTCGTGGGTTCTTGAATTTTTTTCCTTTTCTTCTTTGGGATTTCGCATTTGCTTGAGGATATATGATTCTTTTGCTCTGTCTGGCATTGCTTGCCCCGCGCAGTCGTTGGAGCTTTGGAACGTGGCGGAGAACAAGACCATGACGCTCTCGGCACACGAGGGTCTGATCGCGTCCCTGGCCGCGTCGAGCGCCAACGGGCTGGTCGCCTCGGCGAGCCACGACAAGCTGGTCAAGCTCTGGAACTAGCTTGTACCACCCTTCGTTGTATTGTACATACACATGTATAGCGGTGAGCATCCCTGCCTGCCCACCCCGGAAACCAACGACGCAGGTCCTTTGTGAATCCCGTCTTCTTCTTCTACTTTTACTTCTCTGCGGGTTGGCCGATACCCGTAGTCCATGAGAGGGAGAGAGAGAGTACAAAACCTTGCAAGTCGCACAAGACGCAGAGCTTGAAGAGGTCTGAAGGGGTTCTACGCCGACCCAAACTCTGCGAACCACTTCTCGTGGCGCTCGATGTCCGCGGCAGAGACACTGGGTTGTACCTTGCTCAGAGCTTCTTCAAAGTCGCACATGGCCACGGGGTCCTTGGAGATGTCGTCCTTGGACATGTTCTTGATCTCGTCTCGCGTCTTCCCCGCGATCTTCCGCCTCATTCCATTCATGGACGCGTCTCTGCAAACGTTGGTCAGGTCGTCGCCGCTGTACCCCTCCGTTTTGCGGGCGACTCCTTCAATGTCCACGTCAGGTGCCACCTGGGTTCATAGTCAACGGGGGAGCGAAACGGATAAGCCAGAGGAATGGCAAGGACAGCCCGCCGAGGGAAGACAACCGCCACGGTGAAAACATGTTTGACTTTTACAATCGTCTGAACATATAAATTCCAATTTTATTCCTTCATTTCGTCAGAAAAAAGGTCATCCAAAAAGAGAGCCATCCAGGAAGGCGCACACACGGTCAACCCCGCTGACTCGAAGACAGTTGACTTACCTCAACAGTCCGTAGGTTGATTTTGATAAGTTCCTTGCGGCTCTCAAAATTCGGCAGAGGTATGTAGATTCGTTTCTCCAATCTTCTCCTGCAACGTTGATTTGATTTGGAGAGAAGGTAAGAACAGAGTGAGTGGCCACAATCACAGCAACGCTTGACGGAGACAATGGGGTGATCTTAGAAGAAGGGTTTTCAGACCTGAGTGCCTCATCTATATCCCATGGGAAATTAGTGGCTGCCAAGACCATCACTATCTTCCGTCCGCCATCTTCACCGGTGGAGCTGTTGTTGACACCATCCACCTGGACCAGAAGCTCAGACTTCACCCGTCGTGATGATTCATGTTCACCTGAGGCGCTGGATATCAATCAATACGGACAGAATCAGTACAAGACAAGTTATGCCAAAAGTTACAGATGAGAGAGAGAGAGAATGAAATCTCTGTCATGATGCAGCCTTGGAGAAAAGTTGCAGAGCTGAAGGATTTGTACAATCGGATTAAAGAATAATAATAAAATAAAATAAAATAAACAGAGAGTCACGGAAGAGAGAGAATAGCCAGATGTTCTCAGGTCTCCATACCCCCGAGCATTGCAGAGGGAATCAATTTCGTCTATAAAGATGGTACTTGGGGCATAAGCTCTGGCGAGATCAAACAAGCACCGAACCATGCGCTCACTCTCACCACGCCATTTTGAAGCTAAAGTCGCAGAGGATACATTGAAGAAAGTCGTCCCACATTCTGTGGCCACTGCTTTAGCCAATAGTGTCTTCCCGGTTCCTGGTGGGCCAAACATGAGAACCCCTTTCCATGGCCGACGTATGCCCTGGGAAGAAGACGACCATGGCCCATTAGTAATTAGCACCTCTGAAGCTTAGAAAATCAGGCTTTGCTTATTTCCAGTGACATGTCTAACCAGCACGTCATCAAACTCACAAAAAAAAAATAATATCACATGATCTCCATGACTCTCATAAGAATTTAGCAAGGATCTACGCTGATCAACACCGCAATGGTGTAGATGTTGTTGTTGACTGATAGTAATCTGGATAAAAATAATTCTCAAAATAAAATGCATCATAACGGGCGACTGGATGATTATCTGCAAAGAGACTGCCACCCGTCGGTGAACGAGTAGGTGGTGACATTTACAATCGAAAAGTAGTAGTCCAATGAAAAGCAATTTGAAAATTATAATGGATCATTAGGCAAGAAGAAAACGAGGACCAACCATTATCACCAAAGTAAAAGTTAAAGTTACCTGGAAATACTCGGGCATCCAAAGTGGGAGAACAACAGCTTCCTCCAGAAGTCTTTTGGCTTCATTAAGTCCAGCAACATCATCCCATCTTACCCCAGGAGTGGAATCTAAGACGTCCCTTTCTAGCATCGCAGCCAAGTCTCCATCAGGCCCTTCATATTGTCCCTTCTTCGATTTTCCTTCTTCTCCATCACCGCTCTATCAAGGTCGCAAACAAATCATAGTTTATACATTTCCAATATAAAAGACGTAAACTAATCAGTATGCAACCTTGTTCTATTTTTACTCTCTGAGAGAATGAGGGGCTATAAACCACTAGATTGAGTGCACACCAGTAGTATCAGCTACTTGCTTAATCAATTTTGATCTCTTCGTGTCAAAACAGTAAATGCAATCACACCTATCGAAGAGGCTCACAAAGATCCATTTTTCCGGTGAGGGCCATAAAGGTCTCTGGTAAATAAAAACCATAATTGTTCACACTACAGAATCATACCAACAAGCATTCAGCTCATCATATGGAAAGCTGACTACTCGTTTCCATCTATTAAAATGCCATTCTAATCACTAGGTCCAGTTTCTTGGGCATCCAAACCTCTGACGCCACTAAAGAATGTTTGCAGCAGTTCACAATCACTCCTCAAATTGTTGAAATACTTTCTAAAAGTACATCTTGTTTCCACTAATGAATAATCTCATCCCTTCTCTGAGGAAGGCCACGCCAATGACATCTTAAAAAAACAATGAAAATTTGACGTTACTTTAATGTTACATGATCCTGCAATGTATAGCACATTAAAGACATCCTTAAAAAAAAGGACTTCTGTATTATGGAAACAAGAAATGGGAAAGTAACCGGAGGAAAGTCATTTTTCACATATTTATGGTAGTAATGACTGTTATTGGTCATAAGATGGTTTCCGATATAGAAAGATGTGCCTATATGATTTCATATTTCACAGTTGACTCTAGAGATTAAGGAAGCTAGATTCATTAGGTCAAACAAAAGGAGGACATCAAAACCTAAGAGAAAAATGGCTTTGTTTTTCACTGAGAATAATGACACTAGATGCCTGAGAAATTGTACCACTGAATCGGTTTTGCCAGAGTTTGATTTTCCCTTTTTCCCTGATACTCCCGGTGCAGTTGTTGATCGAACAGCTGAGCCACTTTTAGTAGAAGAATTGGGTTTTGCTCCTCGACCGGCTGCTCCAGCTCTACTGACAGAGCCACGCGCCCATACGCCATCTTGGGAAGATTTCTTTGTTCCCGCTTGACCAGCTCTAGTGGGCCTCCTGCTCCCGTATTGGTCTCGGCTTGGGGGCCTCCAGACATCAGGATCGTCCATGGTGCCGCCTGAAGAAGTTGGGTACTCATCCAGCGGTTGGAACACAAAGGACTTGCTGTGAATAGGTGGAGAAGAGGGTCGTCTGCTCCCTGGGATATCCTTGAACGACCTGAGTTCAGCATCCAATTGTTTGACTACATCCACTTCCTCAGAGAGAGCTTTCTTGCAGTTCACCCATTTTGAACGAAGTATTGGGTCATCAAGAGAGCTGAGATGCCTGATGATACGGCAGAATATCAAGGTCTATATAAAGAAGTCTATGCTATCAAGTAATACTCGGGAGAAAACTACCCGAAGAGCACACACTTCAGAAAAGTATTAGCAGATCATTACTCGGTACGGTATACCAGAAACTCTTGGTTTAGCTAGTAGCAGAAAATGATAAGCTGACAACGGCTACAACTGTAAGATAATAGTGTCTATGAAGGTCTAAAATACCGAGACATAGATCATCAGAATTATCAAAATCGAGGAGATCAGATATATTTTTTTCATCAACATGATGGGGGATGAAATCTTTCTTCCGTAAAGAGAAAAAGGGATTTCTGATAAATAAAAAAATAAAAAAGTAGACCATATCAAGTTGATTTCCGGGAGTGTGTGTGTGTGAAGGAGGGGGGAGTGGTGGCGAGGTATAAATTTCCCAATCCACCAAGTCGTGAAGTTTCTACTGTATTTATTATGCTCCCAGATAAACTCGACCAAGCGATTAGGGCATCAGCACACTGCCAAGCAATGGGTGCGTATCTTGAAGCTCCCTTGGACAATTTCGTAAGAACACAGCTCTCGTCTAAGATGAACGACTCATCGGCCAATTACGGAACCAAACTAATACGGAGTCAATAGCTACATTTCTTGCCCTCGGTAGGATGATGCAGCGGCAATATGAGCAGATCGAGAGTCTCCCGATATCGGAGTCTGTCAGGGAGGCACTCACTTGTTGATCTGGGCAATGGCGCCGTCGAAGAAGATGATGGAGGTATCGTAGAGGCCTTCGAGCGCGTACTCCCTCGCAAGCTTGACATGGTCCTGTAGCCCCGCAAGGGTCCCCATCGTCCTGCCCACCGGCGGATCTCCTGCCCCAGGACTACGCAGAACCTAGAGTCTACTTACCCCCAGCCTGGGTAGCAGACCAGCCGAGCGGATGCGAGAAATCCAGAAACAGGTATCCTCTACTCTAGGGTTCTCGCTCTAGTGCTCCCGCAGACTCGTTTCTCTCACCTCAGCAGATCCCCTTCCTTGATAGGATGTCCACGAAGACTGATCAAGCAAGCACTACCACCGATCAGCGAGAGGAACAGCCCATCCGCTGCGCGCATTGCAACCACCGGGAACGCCAACGGCGACGGCGACGTTTGAACGAGCGGGATGAAAGGAAGAGGGAGGAAGACGACGACCCCCCCGATTAACCAGAGCTCCAGAGGGCGTAGAATCCACGTATCTACAGTTTGCCCCTCCAAAGATAAATAATTTACATGTACATCCTCTATATTTACGAAAATTATAGAAAATCTCTGAAAATAAATAAAAGGTGCTTATTCTAAGAAGAATTCGATGTTTCTACTAAAAAGGGTAGCAACAATAAGCAATTCGCAACAGAAGAAAGGGTATAAAACCCATCAATTTTATAACCAAAATACTCCAATTTGGGCAGATTACCGCTGAAAGTTATTAATTTCCCTTGACCCTTATTTAATTTCCTCATTAATTGGATACTTACCCATCGAATCTGACCGTGGGCGGGTAAGCATGGTTTCTCATGACTCTTGTGGCAGCGAAAACTAGGCGAATGCTGTCTGTTTGTTGGTCAGCGCAAGCTAATGTATTTAACGAGGAACAACATAAATATTCATATATGTATATCCGCCGTTGACTAATGTTCTCTTGCTTGATTTTGAAACCCAAGAGTAAGAAAAATTAGTCTTCGCCCGCCTGGAGCTCGTGAGACTGACAACAGTCATCATCACCAGCTGACCGATTAGAATAGAAAGTCAGAAATCTACCGTAACCAGGTTGACAAAATCTGCCCAGGAACAGTGCAGGTTTTGACAAGGCGATCTAAGATTTCAATGATCATCAGCTCTCCTGCCGCAGGGGGAAAGAAAAAGTCAACTCCATCTTGATCATAGCAAGGAAACCTTAAAACATCGTCGTGAGAGATTAATGACAAATGGAGAGAACCCCCGCCCCTTTCTCTCTCTTCCCCCTCTCCCAGTCCCCAAACATCACATCTTTACAGAAGCGCCTTGCAGGTGGCCTTGTTGTGCCCAGAGCCCTTGCACCTGCTGCAGTGGTGGCCTCGCCCACCCTGCGACCGGTCCCGGGCCTGCTTCAGCACTCCCCGCGGGCGGCGGCTGCGAGGGGTGGGGATGTTGGCGCCAAAGCTGGAGCTGATCTTCTCAACATCGGGGATCGGATAGACAGACTCTGAATAGGCGACCCGGTAGCTCTCGACCCTGAAGTACTGGGAGCAGTAGTCGTAGATGGATCGGCCGAGGTGGTTGATGACGGCGATGGCGTGGACGCAAGGCAGGCCGCTGACCTGCCACCGGCCGCAAGTGCACTCCCAAGTCCCAGTGTTGATGACATTGATGGTGCTCCCACGGACCTCGAAGACGTTCTCGGAGGAGCGGAGCACGCCGAGCTTGCCTGCCCTGGCCTTCTCCTTGTGCAGCCTCAGCTCCATGGAGGGGGTGAGGGCGTCCTCCCACTTAGCGGAGGACTGGCGGCGGGTGTCGATGGCCTCTGTTATCTTGCAGCGCATGGCGTCGATCATCAGAACCACCGACATCTCCCGGTCCACAGGGATCCACGTGCTGAACGACTCCACGGCGTCCGACGAGCAATGGTCGTACCTCGAGCCCTTGAAGAGGGCGCTCGACCAGTGCTCGGGCTTGCTGGCCATGATCCAGGCCGCAGCCTCCTCTGAGATGTTCTTCACGCACTCCACCCGGGAATAAAACTCCTCGGCATGGTACGTCTGGGCGGCGCGCTCGAGCTCCTCAACCATGGCATCCTTCACCCCCTGAGACCAGGGCCCCTTGTTCAGCTCCGCCTTGAAGTCCTCCACCAGGTGAAGAAGGCAAAAGCTGTGGAAGCTGTCCTCGAAGACTTTGGGCACAGCCACGTCCAACCCATTCTCCCTGTCCGAAATGAATGTTATCGTCCGGGAAGTCCCAATTGCGAACTTCAGCTGCTCCAGGAACCAGACCCAGCTCTCCGGTATCTCAGCCTCAACGGCAGCAAAGGCGATGGGGAAGATGCCGTCATCTCCATCGACTGAAGCAGCCGCCAACAGCTTCAAGTGGGTGTTCTCTTTCAAGGGTATCCGATCCAGGAAGACCAGAGGACGACACCCGTACTCAAATCCGTGAAGAGAGGCGTGGAAGGACACAAAAATGCGGAACTTTAGGTCGGCTGATGTCGCCAGCGTTACGACACTCCCAGGGTTGCTCTCCAAGATCTTCTCGCAAAAAATGGGCAGCTGATTGTAAGCCTCCTCGTGGAGATTGAGAAGCTCCTTCTGAGCATCAGTCTTCCCTCGCCACACTTGATAGTACTTGAGATTAATTCCATACTCCTCAGAAACATCCTTCAAAATCTCCTTGGTCTTGTACAACGGGCTATCACGTAGCTTATCCTTTATGATGTCCACCAGCCATTTCTTTGTGGCTTTGGGTTGCACGTCACCGCCACCGCCGCACCCACATGTGTGTTCATTGTTCAGTATCTTGATTACAATCTTCTGCTTATATGACGACTTTGATGCATGCAGTCGCCAAGGACAGTTTTCCACAATGCACTTGACAGTCACACGGGTAAGCTCGCTCTTGACAAATTTGTAGGCAAAGCCTTTCCTCATTGCGTACTGGAATAATTTGGCTCGTAGATCCTTCACATTATCAAATTCTTGACCAACCCCTGTAATGATACTCTCTGGAGATATAGATGAGCCGGGAAGGATGATACTATCAGCAGCTGCTGTAGCCATGTCTGAAAAATCCACGACATCCCCAGGTTCCCTGCCAGAACAACCTTTGTTTCAGCTTGGAAGAACATTGCAATCAACCGTTAGTAAACAGGAGGATCATAGCTGCATTTACTCAGACATGGATTGTAAATTAACCAGTGATGAAAAGATGAAAATAAAAATAGCGTGGAAATGCTCAATATCCGAAAGTAGTCTTCTTATCTCCACGGCTTCCAACAATTGAGTAGAAACAAAGAAAATATGACAAAAGACCGAAGAAACCACAGTATTCTTGAGTACAAGCAAGGCAAAAAAAGATGGGCCAATACTTTTTAGTATTGGCAATGCCAGTGACTTAGTATTTCAGGTCAATAAAATGGAAAAAAAATACACACTTTGAAAAATATTGCAGAACAATCTCGCCAACCAATCAAAAAGGTTACAGACAGGGGAGTCTCCTATGCTCGTTAATATGAGAGATATTTCACAAGGAACACCAAATGCTCCATTGATTAGAATATATGTTAAAACTACTACACACTGTAATGAGCCTTATATACTGTCTGTCTCATAAGATGCATTCTCTAGGCGCACCACATTAATACCAGTTATTTTTTTGCTTTACGATTCTACCCGATTGCCATACATTGTACATCCAAATGACGGGCTTGAAACATTTTGGTTTCGTATGACATATGCACGTCTCAAAGAGCTGGTTTACGCAGAAAACCCCCAGGAAGACAGCATTCTAGGCGGAGTGGGTCTATTCTCCTCCTTTTTACCAATAAAAAAAAGTGCTCTAGAGCCATAAATAAAGTGTCTACGTTAAAAGTATAGCTTGAGAAGTTGTGAGCAGATCATTCATGATACCTTCTGAGAAAATATGGCACTCTTTTAGAATTACCTTCAAATACATTTGATTAAAAAAAAATCGATTTGCTTGAAAATACGCGCTCATTTCTTTTCTTTAATTTAGTCGGAGTTAACAACAGAGACAACATCTGATAATACATCTGTCTATTTCCTCAATTATTCTTTTGGGCACTCAGCGCTTCGACTGCCTATTTTTTTCGGCTGACACCAAAAACATCTGCTTGTCTCAATGCCTTTTCGTTGAGAATTCTACAATACCATTCTGTATGCTAAAACGGGAAGATAAATCTGACCTGGTGCCAACATTCTCTATAGCAACAACTTTCCCTTGTCCATCATCATCTGTATGCATCAAAGAGGGAAAGCTAGGGGTACCTCTAATCATCCTGCAGAAAAAATAACTAGTGAGACTCTGTGGAATTCTGAATAATTCATAACTTAAAAAAAGATATATAGAAACAAGTTTGAACCTATAACTATCCATGTCAACAGAAACACGTTTCCGACGTCTGGCATTGCGACCAGGGGCATTTGTTGAGGTACCTGAAGCAATTAAATGGCTGCCACTTGTCCTGTATGGAAAAACTCCCCTTTTAGCTTCACAAATATGTTTTCAGTCAATAAAAATCTTAATGAACAAAGATAGGTAACGTGGATTTTCTCATATCAATCTAGGTCCATAAAAAACCCAGACAAGCAGTGTTTAAAATCTGGCAGTTTGAGTACACGATACTACTGATGTGTTGATTACAGGCTACGGTACATTATACCTGCTGTTAGCCTTATCCAGGATATAAACGTCTACAGTTGTGGAGCTTCCATGGAAATCGATCATACGCTGCAGATCTCTGTCACTGGATATGGTGATAAGGGTTTGTCTGTTGTTTGGGAGAAAGTACTTGATGGACATTGTACTCATATCGATGTCAAACAAGCTTGTTATTTCTGACTTGAAATCATCTAAAGTCAAATCAGGGTTGAGATCGATTGCATGAGCATCACCACCACCATAGGACATAGAGCCATCATTATTTGAGACAAACTTGCCACCAAACTGACAAATGGCCACAATTCCGACTTGTACCATGGTTCTTCAGCAACTACCTGCCCTTGAAAAGTAAAATCATATCAAATCATATAGAAAATAAACGTTAAGGCACTGTTATTACCGGTTTACAAAAGAATAAAGTTCTTCCCAAGGATAAATAGAGACTATTTCAGCTCTTCCTTTATGAGTAGCTTGATATGTACATTGTATACAGATGGATCGGGTCATAGGAGTTTTACCAGAATCCTCTGCAATACCACATTCGTTTGCAATCCGAAGGTACTAAAATTGGAACAAGAGACACCAGATGATGGCGTTCTCAATCCCCTCCACGGATACTATAGACTTTGTGACCTTGCCTGACTCCTTGTCTTTCATGCCGAACTACATTGGGAAATTTCTACCTATTTTGTGTGTAACTAGGCTAACTCCCTCCCTCCCTCCTTACCTACATCTTCTTTCCCTATTTCATCCTCTCGGGCATTTTCAAAGGAAGAAGGAGAGAACAGGATAGCTATGCCATTCGCACCATAATCGACATTCCCAAGAAAAAAAAAAAATCCTCCGTCGAGTACCTTGTACGTTTTACAGTTCAGCAGGCATCATTTAGGGTTATGGTACTTTTTTTCTTACAGCCCATGAAAACCTAATGTTGCGTGAAGTTTCGGATTTGAAGCCGTGCTTGCTGCCTACGTATCCGTACTCTTCCTCATTCATTCTCATATCTCCACCCTAATAAATTGCAAAAACGATATTATGCGGGGCCATTGCGAACTTCACGTCGATCTATGCATCATGAAATAATGACAACATTACGCGGTAATGAATTTACAACTAACACGACCACACTTCTCCAAAGAAGACGCATTGATGCGTAGACGAAGACAGTGGTCACGTACGGAAGGCGAATAAAAGCATTGTACCTGATACAGGTTGCTGCGGGAGTCTCCGGTGTGGATGGGGGCACCGCCGCGAGAGGGAGTGACGAAACCCGGACAGCGACAGGAGCGGGAGCCCCGGCCCGGGTAGAGCGCTGCCGGCGGGAGGGAGTGGCGCAACCCAGCCGGCAGCAGCGAAAGCGGGAGGGAAGGAGCGGTCTATAGCCGAGGGGTGGGGAGCGAGCGCTGGGAGGGGGCCGGAAGAAGGGAGGACGCCCGAAGAGGAGGGCGGCGCCGCCGGATCGGGGAGAGTGAGGGATGGAGGGAAGAGTCGAGCGGAATCTTGCAGTCGAGGGATTTTGTCGACGCATCGAGGGGCTGACTCGATCCTGCTCTGCTCCCCCTGCGACCAACCCTCACCGCTATGGCTCTTTATTCCGGGCGACTTAAATAGCGGAGAAAATAAACACTACGGAAATTATCGTAAATACGGCAGCGAACTCCCGGAAAATTAATTTTAAAAAAATGATAACTCGATTGTCACGTGATGGTGGCGTAATTTACAGAAAAGCCCTTGCAGCTCCGAACTCAGGGCTTTTCATTGCAATATAAGCTAGTCGAGGGGCCGCAGTGACAAGTTCCTCGCCATTTATTTTTTAAAAGTTACTGCACTATTTATGAATAATAAAGTTATTTTTCTTCATGGTTTTATCACAACTAATTGATCTAGATTGGTTTTTTTTCAACTTTAAATCTTGAGATAATAATATGATTACCTCCTAAATTTTCAATACACTTACCAAGAAATATCAACCTATGTTGTTCTTCAATTATACACACGATATATGACCAAATATTCTAGATTGATTTCAACAAAGTAATAGTTCCATATTATTTCAATTAGATCGTGGATTGATTAATCATCTATGAGATCAATAAATTATGGTTACGTGTTTCACTAAATTGAAAATTGATTACCCAAATAATTTACGAACTTTGAATTATCCGCCTCACTCGCCTTGTTAGTTTGGATTCATTCGCACAAAATCTATTCACTCGTCGTTCAATAAGTGATATGATTTTTCTCTCAAAGTTTTTCCTGATTATGTCGACAACATTATTAATGGATTTAAATTTTATTTACATAATCAATTATAACTTTAAAACATTGATATTTTTAAAAAATGTAGGTTTATAAATTACAAGGTATACAGCAGGCATCGTTATAAATTATTTGAATATATTAGCTTTATTGATTTTAAACCTATAATTATTCGTATAATTAATTACTCAAAAACCCATTAAAATATAGACAATTAAGGTAAGCGTAGGTACCTAATATGGCCATATTCAAACATCACAATTATCATGCATAGTCACTTGTAATTAGTATATTATCTACTTTGCTATCTTAAATTAACTATTAATTATATTACCCACTATTATTATTAAAAAGATATGGTTACAACAATTAATATAGTAATTTTGTGTAGTATTATATTTCTCACCATTTTTCGTTTGTGAGAATCGAAGTGATGTTCATATTATTCAAATCGCATATTTCACGATGGCATGAAATATATAGAGATTGATGGGTTGATATGTAATTTTTTTTTGGTGAAAATGATTTTCGGATCTATGTTGATTCTATATCGCTATCAATTGATCATTGGGACACGATGGATTTTATGGACATATCGAGGGGGGTACGTGTACGAAAAGTACGAGAGGTTGATTTAAAAAATAATAAATTAGGATTAAAAAATCCCGGTCGACGGTTTATTTAAATACACAGATAAATATATAAAAGCGTAATGATTAAAAACCGAGTGAAAGGGGGGCGGGAAGTGGCCGGCAGGACGGAGAGCGCGAGCCCGGAGACCGAGGGGGCAGGTAAATTTCTCTTCGTTTCTCACTTCACAACCGTCTGTTGTTTGAGGTTGGCGGATATGAATGAGCCCGCGAGGCTCTCCGTTCCTCGAGGTTCGTCTGGTCGCGTATGCCGGCGGAGGTGGTGGGAGAAGAGAGGAAGGAGGCTGATCTGAAGTTGGATCCTCATGATATCGGGTTGTAGTTTCCGATTATTTCTCTCCCTTTGGTTTTGGGATGGGCGCGAGCGCAGTGAAGAAAGTAGGAGAAACAGGGAAGATGCCCGAAGCTGAGCGAAAATGATGGATGCGTCGTCGGCGGCTCAAGTTGGACCGATGCATCTTATCAGTTGCCTTGTTGGAAAGTAATATACTATCTTATAGAAATGCCAACAGAATCAATAAATGCAGTGCATAATGACTGAAGAACACTATATTTTGAGGCAGCCCATCCATTAACCACACACATTCGTATGCCTGTTCTTAACGAAATTTAATTTTTTAGTTGTGTTTCCTCATCAATATATTTGGAATAAACTGAAAATTTCCCCGAAAAGATTACTCTGCTGGGATGTTTGGAGATTTTCTTCCCCACAGAGTCACATCTTTTGTTTTCATGCGAGCCATATGTTTTGATGTTGAGGCATCGGGCAGTCAGTGTGGAACTAAAAGCTGCCAGCAGAAATAAGTCGTGCTTACTACATCAATCTTATAATATGCTGCGACTAACCTGAATTTCGTGGAATTTTTATTTTGGGTCCTCCGTTCAGTTTATCTGTGTCCTTGTCTATCTCTTTTTTTACTTTTCCTCATTCTTCTTCTTCTTCTTCTTTTCCGTTTCGAACCTGCCTACTGTTGTTTCAATCGTAACTTTTTACTTTGATGATTGGCTGGTTGGTTGCTTTCATTTCTCGGTCTTCACTCATGGTTTTGGTTCCTTCCAGAGTTGCTTTAGAGTCCCTATCCTGACTAGGAGTAAGGGATGAACGTTCTTATGGATTTCTGTATGGATGTGGTACTGCACACATGGGAGGATCTGCTTTTAGTTTTGGCTTCTTTTGCCATCGTCTGTTATTATCTTTATACTTTTTTTATTTAAATTTTTGCCTTGTTCTATATATATTTCTTTAAGCAAACTTTTTCTTGTTTTTTACTCGAATCCATTCTATTTTATCCGAGCGCACATATTTTTTACTATTCAAGTCCACTGGCTGACTTATGCGTGAACTTATTGATGCCGGGCTTTTTATTTTATTTTAATTTTTATGTTTAAACTATGAATAAAGATATGGTAATATAAGATATGCATGAACTGAAATCTCTGTATATGATTACCTAGGAACATGATAATTTAATAATATATATTCATAAATCCTTAGTAATATCTACTCAATGGTGAAGTTGTTTTTGAATTTACAGCTCTCTGGGGTGGAGAAGGGAGGGTTCAATCGGTAGGCAGAATGGAGATCGCAAGTCTGTCAGAGGCTCTCCTGAAAACCCTAACATCTAAGGGATGGTGCTTCGAGCACCCTGACGAGATGTTGGAACTGATCAAGAGCATTGTCGTCGAGGAAGGCAATCAGAGTATGGATAGGCTGCTGGGAGCAGTGGAATCGGAGCTACTGAACATGGATTTGAGGTCGTTTGGCAGCAAATCACTCCCAGATCCAGTGGGCATGAAGAAACTATCTCAACTCCAGGGTCCCTTGATCTTGCAGGCAAGAAAGTTTGAAAGATAGGGGGCCTCTTATCTTTTATTTCGGATGGAAAGGACTGTAGTAGCTTCATTTTATAATTTATTTTCTCTTTTCATAATTTCATAAGAATCTAAAGTGCAAACAGTGTACTAATCGAGTTTGAGCTCTTTTCAATGAATGATGATGTGATTAGACTTCAAAACTTGCTCTTGCATTAGACTATCCTTTTCTTTGAAATTAAACTGCGGATTGCTTGTATTGACATAAGGGGTTCTAGGAAATATGTTGGGTTATTGTTGATACTATCTCTTGTATTTACTATGCTCATTATGAGCTCGTACCTCTGTCCTTTTATTTAATTATCAACAAGACTCTGTTGATTTGTTTGTGACAGCTAAGGTGCAATGCCCTCGAGCTAGGTGGAGTTTTTACACCTTCACAATTGTTAGAATGTTCAGTTACTCTATTATTATATATTAACAGCTGTCGGATTACACGTATTCCCACAGATGTCGGCAAAGATCGATCATATTTTTCTTGAGGAGAAGGGTGCTTTATGTTGGATTTATCTGGTGCCAATTCTCTATAGACATATTGCTTCTGTCATATTCACGATGTCATTGATTTCTGATAATTTGGTATTGGTGCTCGCTCATGGATCTATAATGCAACTAGTTTACCCATTTAAGTGTTAGATCATTAGTAGAAGTGATGAATGAGTAGATATATTCTAGATCGGCCATCAAGTCTACTCTATAGTTGGACAGCCAGGGGAATATCTGTTTCAGTTCATTTATGCTTAATGATTTTATGTTCATTATGCAGGTGGTCCATGCGAGGGATATTTATCAAAGCAGCATTGATGCTGCGTTTAAAGATTCTCAATATCACCACCGTCTACTTCGCCTAAATCTCACTGATGGGCATACAGAAGTGCTAGCCATAGAATATACTCCAATTCCATCAATAAACGAAGTCATCGTTCCTGGCACTAAGGTACCACGCATGATTCTCCGCGTCAGCTATTTTCAATTTCAAACACGCGCAAGGGCGGATTTTGGATGTCCATGTTTGAGTGTGCAGTGAAATGCGGTAGCTTTTCCATCAGTCTACGAGGTTAAGCTTCTTGATGAACAGTAAATATCGTTAAATCACAAGTGGGCACGGAAATTCAGGAATATCTGGCTCACGTTTTTAAACATACACAACTGCAGTTAGATACCTGTACCAGTCCACTTTACTTGGTAGTCATTGTCGGATAAACTTCACGGTAGCCTGGTTCTAAACCCGCTTCCCTGCTGACGTAGGTTTACTCCGCTGATTATATAATCATCATGAGGACGTATTATTTCATCAAGAAATGGTCAGGTAGAATTTTCAGCATGTAATAGGTCTAAGATTGCTATCGGAAATTGTTTCTCAAACATGAAAGAAGCAAACAAAAAGACTGTTTGTATACCAACGAAAAGGGTAATCTTAGGTAATATCCTTTTTTCCAGTCTAGTTTTTTCGTTTTTCTATTATTCCTATTTCCTATAGGTGCGTGGAGAGGGGAGGTTTGTAAAGAGAGGAAAGGACTGATGAGCACAAATCCAAGACCATTTTTCTTTCTAAGATAGGAAAAGAGGAAAGTTCAAATGAGAAATGAGTGTGATTGATTGCTATTTCAGAAAAAGGAAAAACTGTGATGACAGTTAGGTACTTCCTGTTTCTTTCGTTCTGTGTAAGTAGAGGTCTGGTGGAAGTAAAAAAGGATTCTCCCTTTCAGCGATCTGTGTAAAAGGGGCATTGGACTGGGAATTCTAATGGCAACTGGTGTTTGGAAAGTATAATGCCTCTAATGATGAAAAACTCAGATTTTAAGTGGCCAGTGGATGTCCTCTGAATGAAAAGGTTGACATGTTGGGGAAGAATTTGGTATAAATTCTCATCACAAGTTGCATAGCTCTCTCTTGTGTAATCAATTATCTTGAATGCTGCAGAAATTTTGTGGGTTGTTGTGACAAGACATCCATCACAAAACTCTTTAGATTGGCAATGTTAATTGTCATATGTGGTTATTGCGTTATAAAATGGTATCCTAATCCTATCTTTGTTGGCAACTTAGAAATACTATTTAGAAACTTTGTTATTTTATAGGGAATATGCTGATGCATAATTAGAAACTTTGTTAACTGTGTCTCGTTGCATTCATGGTTTGTTTGCTCATGAGATGACTTCTGTGTTATTTTATCATTTAGCTTATTTAAACTTACAAGTCTTTTTAAAAAAAGTATGTGCACGGTCTATTTTTGGGATTTATGTTCATTTTTGGCGTATGATAGACCTAACATGATCTAGAAAATATTGACAGGTCCTGTTGGAGAACAAGATAGTTGTACGTAATGGCATTCTGTGTTTAAACTCCAAGGTTGTGAGAATAATTGGAGGTGTTGTTCAATCGCTTTTTGACGAATGGAAGATGAGTCAGAAATACTCAGGGTTTTCTCGGTCAGCTCAAAACAGCGACGGCCCAGGACCTCCCCCATTTGAAAAGCTACAGCTTGAAGCTTACAGCTTTCAACCACATGACTTGCGCGGTGTGATATAATTTCTTGTCAACATCATTTACAGTTGGCTCTTACTGAATTGCCTTTCCCAATTACTTGAGAAGGGTTCTTATTTAGTTCACACTAATGAAATCAATAACTTTCGTTGTTATGACTCCTGGAGCACCTTGGGTGGAGTCTGTTAAAACCAGTGTTAAGTTTTCAATTTGCAGTTTCAGTACATATTTTTCATTATATCAGTTCACGGCTCTAGAGGTGAAACAATCGTTAGAGATCAGTTTTCATTGTACTCTATGCTTTTTGGATCAAACAATTTTTATTTATTTTATTTGATATTAGATTGTTTCAATTTTTCTGGTCTGGCATAATCCATGACTGCAGCAAATTGAAAATCGCCTTCCCCTCTCCCTACACATCCGCAAGAATAAGGAAACAAGTTTTTACATGCGTCGGAGCGGAATTATTGTCAGTTGCATCAGAAAGCCATTACCTGATCTCGTCTCTTTTAACGACGGCATTCTACTCATCCAAGCCATCCTCTCTGACTGAACATCCACATTGGGACGAAAGCATATTGTATCTGGAGTGATGATTCCACCTCAGAAGAAATGCTACAATTAATTAATAGATGTGCATCTGTTTTCGCCCTAACTTCTGTGTAATTCCTTGATTTTTTTCTGGGACTTTATTCATTGATATTCTTATCAGCAGAGTCTCGGAATTATCCTCGCAACGATGATGCACGGGCGGTGGAGTCAAAGGGCCAAGCTAGTGTCTCGAAGACAGACGGCAGCAAGAAGATGGATTCTGCAATGGGGAACGAGGGCAAAGCTAGAAGCTCAGATCTCAGGCCGAAAGAAGGTCAGTTGCCATCCCTTGTTGAGCTTCAATTGGCATAAGTTTTTTTGCATTTTATTCAATACATGAAATTCCTTGTCAGTGATTGAAGCGACTCCAGTCCAAAACCAAGCAGCTGCACAGAAGCTCCTTCAGAAATTTAACCAGACGACAAGCCGTGAGAACAGACACTACAGGGGGGCAAAACATAGGGGCAAAGAAAGAGATGAGCCCGCTGTATTCACTTTAGACGAATGGGAGAGGAGCAGGGCTGGTAGTCTGAAGCCCATGGGGACTACCAGTGCAACCCACGACACCAGCCGTGACGAAGAGCTTGCTCGACAGCTGCAGAATCAACTGGACTTGGAGGATTATCATGTCAGATGCTTTTTCTCTTATACCTTCCCCCTAATATCGATTAAAACCACGTTTTACGGAGCGCTTTGACAATCTAATCTTCATAATCTTCAGGCAGAAGAAGTCCCTGATGTTGGCGCCGAGCAGATAAAACTGAGCATGTTCAAGTATGGGAGATCTGAAGAGACCAGTGACAATAGAAGGGAATATGGACGGAGAGGGAGGGGAAGGAGGAGCAGGGGAAGGGGGAGGGGAAGATTTGAATAGCTAGCAGCTCTCGGTCCCATTTCCCTCGTTCTGCATCAAAAAATGGTACAAAATACCTGAAATTTTCTGCAAATCAAGTAGTTTTTGTCTTTATTTTTATTTTTATTTTTATCTGAAGTTGAACCTGGGCATAATTTTGTGGGCAATCTCTCACTGGCCGGTTCGGGAATCAAGAACTGCTCACTACCCTACAAATTCCCGAGTAAGCAATGAGAAGGAGAACACAAGGAAGAAAGAACGGCGGGCATGCAAGATTGATGGTCAATTCAGCATCTCACCATGGGAGCTCCCGTCCACTTGCCACTGCAGGATTCCACCACCTGCAGGGGAATCGTGGAGAGCTGCAAGGCCTCCCAAGAATCTTTTTTAGGCAGCAATTGGGAGGGGGTCGGGTGGAGAAGACTAGGCAGTGACCATAGTTGCGAGATGTAGTATGGGCGGTCTAGAGGCCGGAGGTACCATCTCTGCTCTCTATCTACTCACTCCCACTGGTACTCTACATGCATTCTTCATGTTTCCATGGTTTTGACTGCCCTTCTATGATATGCTTTTGTAGTTTGATGCGGAAGATGAAAATGTGATCGGAGTCGTGAAGAAGGTGGGTGGATCTCTCTCTCTCTCTCTCTCTCTCTCTCTTCAGATCTTCAAACGGTTTCTTGCCTGACAAAGCCTCAATCTTGATGAATGATCCGGGCCTTCATGTTTTCTCTTGGATTTGCATGGGGAGTGGATCTCTGGTTTGACCTCATTCATGTTTTTCGGTTCTGTTGACCATCTCTGAGTTGACTAAATGCCCGAGATCTTAAAGAGCAGACGGGGCCTGGCTGGGCTGACCCAGAAGCATGCGAGATTCATCGAGCTCGAGGGGGAGCTCGATCCAAAACAGCAGAAAAAATTGTGCAAATATTGGTTTTTTATTTTTTTATTCCTACTTCTCAGATGATAACTAGCCTTTACATATGGTTACGACTCTCTGACTCTCTCTCTCTCTCTCTCTCTCTCTCTATTTATCTCTCGTCGTGTGGTGGGTGAAGGATGGGTGAGTGGGGCGGGCAATGCAGGCAGAGATATTATGCTAGTATTATTATGACGCACATATTTTTAAAAAAAAGTATGCCTGTTATACTAGAAGAGTCTATTTGCAAATATAATTCTTTTGGGATGATTATCAAACGTTATTTTAACTAGAGGACGCGAAGCATACGTTTCTATATATATGGAACCGAGAGGGCGGCTGAGGTATTCTGGTCCGCTTGGATCTCGACAGTCTGCAACCCCGGCGGCAAGGTAAACAGATTTCCCTTCACCTCTGATTGTTTATCTGCCCGCGGCTTGAATCGTGGGGGAGATGGTGTAGCCCGCGAGGCGAGGCTCTCCGTTTCCCCCTAGGGTTGCCGGTCGCGTCTGCCAGCCGAGGTGATTTTAGAAGGGATCAAGGAAGCCGATGCGAAATCGAAGATCGTCGTGCTTTCGACTTGTAGTCTCCGATTTCTACTGTCCCTTTTGATGTGGGAGGGGCTCCGAATGCATTCGTGAAGTAGGTGATACGGGAAAGATGCCCGAAGCTAGGAAGAAGGGTGGGTATTAGCTCGGGGGTCGACTGAAGGATGCGGCGTTGGCGAGTGCCCTCGAACCGATCAATTTTGTGAGTTCCCTTGTTAGAGAATTAATTGGCAATCTTTTAGAGGTCAGAGAGAGAAACTATGTAGTTCTAGAAGGTGGAAGAACATGGTTTGTTTTGAAGTAATCCATTTTTCCGTCTAAATTCTCTGAGTCAAATTGTGCTCCATTGTTAAAAATGAACCACCCAATCAACTCAAGAGGTTCCCGCCGCTCTGCTGAGTACCAGGTTATTATCTAAAAATTCAAATTCACGAGGAAACTGTCTACAATAGTAGATGAACAATTGAGTAGAAAGGAAGACATTGTCATCGGGTTTTCTCGATAAATGGAGAATGCGACCATATATGGCTCTGCACTTCTACATCCTCATGAACCACGACCTGCTTCCAGGGGTTGTGAGTTGGACATTGCCCAGATGAAGAAAAGGTGCCAGACGCAGAGAAAAGGGTGAGTATTAGTTAAAGGGGAGCAAGTACTGGATGCTGCATTGGAGGCTGGATTTGAACCATTCAATCTTACGGGCTTTTCTTATTGGAAACTTCTTGCACGATCTTTGAAATGTAACAGAGAAAAAAAATACAGTTCAGAATGGTGAAAGAGCAGAGCTTATTTTGGGGCAGCCCTTTATTCATGCGCCTTCTTTTGATGTTTAATGGAATTAGTTCTTTTAATTCTTGTAATAATCTCCTTGGAATAAACTGACACTTTCCCCAAGAAAGGCTTGCCAGAGATTCCTAGGAGTCATTCGCTTTGTTTCTTGGCCTGGATTTATGGATGCTTTCTTCTTTGAGGATTTGCATCTTGTGTCCTCATGCAATCCAACTCGTTGGATGCTCGAGTTTGGGAAATCAATCCGTGTGGAACTGAAATCAGTCGGTAGAAAAAAATCAGACTTACTGTATGTGCCTCTTCATTTTTACTTGGAGAAGGGGAGGGGAGGCACTTCATTCAGTTATATATCCCCGCGCCCTCGCTTATTTCTATTTTTAGTTTCCGCATTCTTCTTCTTCTTCTTCTTCTTCTTCTTCCTCTTCATTTCTACTTTCTCTCCTTCTTATATCACCATCGTACCTTTTTACTTTATGTTTGGGTGGGGGGTTGCTTTCTTTCCTCGGTCTGCCCTGGGGGATTTCATTCCTTCCGGAGCCACTTTAGAGTCACTATCTTGATTTATGGTAAGCATCCTCACTCACATTGAGATCGCTGGTAGATGAGTGAGAGATGACGATTCTCAGGGCTTTCTACATGAAAGGACGTCCTTTATTTTTGGCCTCTTGTGGCCACTGTCCATTATTATTCACACGCTTTCCTATGGGATTTCATTTGCTTTTGTCCTTGTTCTCTTTGTTTGCACAACATCTCTTCAATAAATTCGAGAAATTTCCTTTTTTTTATATTTAAATAATCCAAATTAATCCATGTCTTATGGTCGCCATCGTTGACTTTCATTAATCTGTCCCACCTCGTTGACACAGGCTGGTGTTGAATCCCCCTTCCTTCTTGCAGGAATAGGCGGACTGCAGATGGCGACCAAGTACATTGTAGGTTCCATCGTGGGATCTTTCGTGGTTGCCTATGCATGTGATACCCTGATCTCTGACAGCAAGCTGTTTGGCGGTGAGTTGGGAACCAAATCTAAGGAAGACCTCACCTTCGAATTTGGCTAGGCTTGCCGGTCTTTGACCCCTTTGACCCTGATGAATGTGATGTGGACCAGGGACGACCCCTTCAACTGTTGCGAACAAGGGGTGGTGGGAAGCCACTGACCAGAAGTTCCAGGCCTGGCCTCGCACTGCCGGCCCTCCAGTGGTGATGAATCCTATCAGCCGCCAGAATTTCATCGTCAAGACGGGCCCCGAGTCTTGAGGCAGGCGACCAGCTTGGAGGCCCCCTTCCTTCAGCTTCCCATTTGGAGTCCTACTGGCGATTGTTTGATGAAGCCTTCTGGTCCAGAATAAGCCAAGCCGTTGACTTTGAACCTGCACCTTAATCCTTGGGTAGGTCTGGTTTTCTTATGAACTCAAGTCCTTCCTCTTCGTCTCTCTACCCTTCTACACTCACTGGAATGCAGTGCTGATCCATAATCTATTTTCGTGGGAGAACCCATTTCCTTGAAGCTGGTGTTTCAAGTTGATCTCCGTTGGGCCGGATTCTGTGGTATTTCACATAATCTTTGGCATTTCTAGAACGTTTATTTTGCCCCTTTTTCTCGCAAAAGTCAAGACCAGCTGGCGTCCTCCAGGAGGCATTCCGACGTACGTCTCCGGCTTCGTGGACCATACTGGGCCCGGGCCCGGTTTGTCTAGGCCCGTTTATGGACAGCGGCGGAGGGGGAACATATATACATATATATTTAGTAACTTGAAAAAGCATATTATTTTTTGGTAACACTTTTATATGTTTTTCATTTTAAATTTTTATAAATGTATTATCTGCGTACTAAAGTTTTTGATATATATTAAGACGAATCAATATACCGATTATTGATGTTTAGATCAGCCTCGAGCTCTGCCATACAGATTCTATCGTGGGATATTTGCGCTTTGCCCCCTGATGAAAGCCAGAAATGACAGAAGAGCCAGCCAGCCTTCCTTCGGGCGGAGGGTATTTCGGTCTTAGACGGTACCCCCCGTTCGGACCCCCACCCACGAGGACGGACGCATGGATGTTGAAGCCATGGCATGTTGGGGCCCACTTCTGCGGGCCCTACAGGCCTCACCATGGCCTCACACCAAGTATATATTCCCAGCGCTGTGGTGCGCCACGTCACCTCGAGCCGGAAGCCGCGTGCCGGCTGTATCGTGATCTCTCACCTGATTGGCGCCGCCCTTGTGGTCTCTTGGTCCTCGGGGCCTTGGACAAAATATCTACTGACAGCGGTATCCTGTCCCGCAGGAGCGTCACGGGCAAGTAGCTTCTCTCTACGCGCTCGATGGGGAATGGCCCTTGGTCCTCAGCGGTGGACCCAATTAGGGAAAACGCGGCACCGGGGGGAGGTTTTTGTGTCCGCCCCCCTTGACTCTCCCTCTCTCTCTCCGCGGGGGCGGATAAGCTTTCATAGTCGGCAGAGCCTGGATTCTCCCCTTCCGTGAGGGAGAGTCAGATGGGAGGATTTGAAGCTTTCGTGATCGTCTGATCGGTGGATATAGGGGCATTTTGGGCACTTTCCCCATCTAACCGTACACTGGGCTCTTTGTGCAAGTGGGGGGGTATCATGATGGGGGTGGGCGGAAGTCCATGCCATGCCATGACATGCATTCACAGGAGGGGGCGGTCGACTGAAAATATCAACGCCACGTAGGCAGGGAGAGATCAGAAACGGAACGCACGGCCATCCGCAGCAGCGGCCAGCATCCATCGAAGTATCTCTCTCTCTCTCTCTACTGTCTCTCACTCATCCTCCGACCAACCAACAAATAATAAAAAGCCACAGCCTCGCAAATATCCGCTGATAACATCTCTCACATTCTTACCATCAGCGCCGCAGGGAAGGGTAGAACAGGAGGAAGGAGAGCCGGCAGGCAATGTCCGAGACTCGTTTTCTCGGGGAAGGAAAGCAGTCGGTGAGCTTCTCTCGGTTCTCTGGTCGTCTAGTTTATTTTCTGATATTTTCTGCAGTGGCTTTTCCTGATTTTTTTAACCCCTGTGGATTTCTGATGGTGTTCCTTGTTCCTCGTGGTCTAGGTGAAGGTTGCTGCCCGTGGACGCAAGATGTGAAGTGCTCTCAGTTGTCAAGAGCCTTTGGAGTTTTCTTTCGGTTTTTTTTGTTGGACAGAAAGGTTTCGCCCGCTACAGTCTTTCAAGTTGAACAAGTTTTTCGATCGAGAACGGGGAAAACAGGATTTTCACACCCTTGCTTGATGCTCCGGACATGAGATTGCTGTGGATCTGTCCAAGGATGAGGTCGGCAGCGGTATTTAAGAAAGATCACTTGAAATCGGCGTTAGACGACGATATATTTATGTTTCAGCTATGTTTGTTCAAGATGCGAAGGTTTGTTTAGTCTGCCGGTGCTACCAAATGTTTCGGTCGCTGATTTGCAATTCGGAAGTAGGTGTGTCATATATTTGGTCTGGTCCTGTGTCAGTTTTGCACGAACGCCATAAACGGAGTTGTAGGGAAAAAGGTCCGCAATGTCCACTTCATCAGAAAAGTGGATCGATGGTCTTCAATTTTCATCTTTGTTCTGGCCGCCACCGCAAGATGACCAACAGAGACAGGTAAGGAGATAGCCCCAGCTCATGAAATTCGTCCTCCTTCCGTATTTAAGTTTCTATGGCCACCGATTTGGTGCATGAATGACTCAATTTCATGTTCTGTGCAACATAAGTTTTTTTTTCGTTTTTGAAGTTGGCTGTTTTGGCCACCCGACATTCTGATGACCCAACAGTACACGTTTTTAACGGGGAAAGATGATCCAAGTATATTAGATTGCGCAAAAAACCTTACATTTTCCCTTTTTTTTCCAACTTGTGTAACTCAATGGAGCTTTCACATCCTCCCAACTTGTGCATCCCCTATCCTTCCAGCTTGAGACGTCTCACAACTTTATACAAATTCTGCATGTATTAAGGATACGTGCACATAAAATTTTTGCAGAGAAAACGTATGCCAGCTTTTCTACACATTAATTTTCTGTCAAGATGATTGTATGCAGAAAAAAATGTAATTCTTGACTTTATAGAGGTATTGAAATTTTACAGTATGTATGTCTCCATACTGGAGACAGGTATCCTCCCAAACAAAGAAACATTCCCTTTCGGAAATTACTAGGAACTTTCTCCATGTAAATTTTCTGTCCACGTGGGGGTGCATTTGAGAAAATTTAAGGAAAAAACCTCCATCGATTTGCATTTATGGTATTTCTGTATGCTTGGAATTATCGTGCCTTGCTCCCTTTAATGAGTGGTGAGAATTTTTTTTTGTCAAAAGATTCAACGTCCCCCGAACACACTTTTTTTTTCACTGGTTTGCACACTCTGTTCCCCTTGATCAAATGAAAACCTTTTACTTATCAATTAATTTCATTTGAAAAAGAAACAACACTGAAGAAATCTGTATCGATGATTTTCTTTTTGCTTGATGTCGATATCTTGAAGATTGACATCCTTTAGTTCATCAAACTTGAATATTCGGTTTTTTATAGAATCCATCTTCTGGCCGAAAGTAGTTTTGCCCTCCACCCGTCTGAACAAGGACGGTTGACGACGTAGGTGCTTGAAAGGGGAGAATGCCAATTTCGCATCTCACTATGGTGTCATTGTTGATCATCCCATCTTGCTGAATCCCTATTCCCGTGGGTTATGCATCCTTTAAACTTATGCGCGGTCTTGTTATCATGTCTAATAGTGTCATAAAAAAATTCATGATCTTGAGTTTATGCTTATTTACCTTTTCAAATATTAATTCGGGGCAAATTGAAGGTGAGTGAGTTAATTTGCATCTTTCTACCTGAATTCCTTATATAATTCTTCGAAGCATCCTTATTCCAAGTTTAACTATGATAGGATCACAAGAAGGAATAGTGGGGGGAAGAAGGGAATCTCCATGTCTCAGGAACTCAGAGTCGTCAAAACATCCACGTGATTCACTATTGATAAAACTACAGAACTAGAGCACTGAAACACAACTCATCACAAGTCAACTTATTTTTATTTGAACCTCATCAGAAATTATATTATGTTTGGAAGACTCTTGCTAATTCTATCATTTACTGTCTCAAAGGTTAAAGTTTCATTCTGATGCTTTTTATACCTTTACCTATTTAATGATGCATATTTCTGATTACAAGGCATAGAGTTTTCTAATGTATGTAGTCCCGGCACAAAAAGCCATGTGATCTCTGTCTACTAATTTCTTAATCCCTAAATTTGCATGGCGTTCGTCAAGGCCTTGGTTATGATTTTATAACTGTCAAAAATGTTGTGAAAATATTTAACGCCCAAGGGAATCTTTTAACATCCCTCCACAGCCTCCATGAACTCGTTTTCTTCCTGTAACTCTTATTTGATTTATTCAGAAAAATGTTAGTTTGTGGATGATGTGTCTGCAAAAGTTAATTTTACAAAGAATCTCTTCATTACGGTCCTACACAATATCTAAATTTTCTAACTTATTTTTATCTCTTGAAGGCACAAACGATGGCCTATGTAGAATACTTTGTTCAATTCACCTCAGAGCGATTTCCAGAAGATGTAGCACAGGTATAACTTTTATATCAATTAATTAATCATGGATGATCAAAATCCTCTAGCGTCCGACTAGATTCAATTTTCGACATGAAGATCTTGCTTTGACATTTAGATTATTTTTTCTCTCATTTTCAGCTGATTCAGAGCCACTATCCGTCCAAAGAAAGGCGTCTATTGGATGAAGTATTGGGTACATATCTCTCTTATGCTTATGTATATTATAATGAAGACAAGATGCTGACGTCTTCTACATTAATTTGCAGCGACTTTTGTTCTTCATCATCCGGAGCATGGCCATGCCATTGTCCATCCAGTTCTTTCATGTATAATTGATGGGACATTGGTGTACGACAAGAATGATGCTCCGTTTAGTTCTTTCATTTCATTAGTCAGTCAAAACAACGAGGTATGCAATAGTCAAGTATTCTATTTTTTTTTCAAAAATTTGACTGAAAACATTCAGAATTTAAATTATTAGCGTCACTAGTGTTCTTGTTCCTTGGAATAATTGTACACTTTTAGTCTAAGGTTTTAGACTATTAGAGAAATTTCATACTGATCAATAGCAGATAAAATTTGAATTAAATATATGTGCCTGCTCTATTCGTTGGCAGTTGGGTTTGAATACATAAATCAAGTCTGGAAAAAAAACCTTTTGTGATAAAAAGGCCTAATCTATTCGTTACCCGCTAATTTTTAGTTGCATAATCTGTTCTTTAACATGGTATCATAGTTCCTGGTTCCATCGGGGAGCTAAATGCTATTTTTCTTGCTTATTGTCGTATCCTAAAAGAATCAAGCAGCATGTGTGCTCGTGTGATTGAGGGGGGGGTGGGTGGGTTGTATGATAGAAGAATCTTATTGTTGAGGAGAATAATTATTCTGTGGTTAAATATATTTGGCGACTCCACTCATCGGCAGTTGATAGCCAATTCTTTTCGTACACATATCTTTTGGTATTTTAAAACGTCAATTTTGTGTATTCACTAGAGAACATGATTTTGAACTTCTAGCTGAATGTTGTTAAGCTCGTTACTTGCAGAAGGAGTATTCTGAACAATGGGCTCTGGCATGTGGTGAAATATTGCGAGTATTGACGCACTACAATAGACCTATTTATAAGGTTGATCATCAGGCTGGTGAAGCAGAAAGCCACAGTGGAAGTGGTGCTACCACAAGTGATTCGAAGGAGATAGAAACTATCCGTTCACCTAAGCAGGAGCATGAACGGAAACCATTAAGGCCTTTGTCCGCTTGGATTACTGATATATTGCTGGCTGCACCTTTGGGTATTAGAAGTGACTACTTCCGCTGGTAAGAAATGCTCATATTCCCTTGATGCATTCACTCGTCCTGATATAAAAAAGGGTATGTTTACAATGTGAAGAGTGTACATTTCTTCAATATCATAGCTTTAGCAATTTTTTTATGCCTCAACTGTGAAATTGCAAATAAAATCCATCATTTAATACTAATGAGGTTTTAGAGTGTATTCGCACTGATAATTTTTTCAGATTTTCGAAAACTTGTTCAAAACACGCTCTCACCATTGAATCACCATCTGAATTTTGTTTTGAAACATGTGCCCATAATTTGAACCAAAGCATTCCTTATTTTACTCAACTGAATGGAGGATATTTTCCATGAATTTCTGGTGACTCGAGGTATTGGAAATTATGTTTTTTAATGTCAACATATATTTAGCTAATTTTACCCTATGCATTTTCTAGGAAAATGATCAGACAGTAAAGTCTGCATGAGTGCATCTCACTCGTTTTTAATTGATAAAATAATTGATAATCCACTTATTTTATTTTGAGCATCTCACTCTAATACACTTTACGTAATGAATGAAGTAATTTAAAGGAAAGGAAACCCATACTGGTGGGGTCTAACGGATCTATATAAAAAATATCCTCACCTCTATAAAATAATATATTTCGTAATTCTTCCAACACATCAATTATTGACTACTCATATTCATTCCGATGATCATCTGCCAATATATATTGATTTTAGCTAGAGAAACACGGTCTTATTCATATTCGGCACTTGGCTTATTTCAGGTGCGGTGGAGTGATGGGAAAATATGCAGCTGGCGGAGAACTTAAGCCCCCAATTACAGGTTTATGAGACTAATCATCATGCGTGCTATTTTCGTTTATTTTTACAAAAGAAAGAAGGCTTACGCATTCACCTTTTTGAAGCACATTATGATCTAACAACACTTCGCGCTGATGTGAACCTGTTCTTGAACATATGATTGCGCGTTCTTCTCTTTTTTTTTTACTGATCTGTTTGAAATAAATTCCCTCTACTCATAGGCTGTTACAAATTCCAGATAATGGTTGACATCGTATACCCACGTGCTTCCGTATTAGAATAGTATATTACCTTTTGGTTCTTTACTTTTGACTTTTTGAGCCCTGATAACTTTTTATTATTGGTCTTCTCCACCGCATTATATCCCTAAATGACTTCAAGTTGGGTGCTTGATGTGAATTTATCTGCATTGTATCCCTCTGATTATCTGCTTTTTCTATTGCACACGACTGTCTAACTTGTTCTATGAGAAATACTCATTACTCTATTTCTGTCGGTCACCAGCTTCTAGCCGTGGATCTGGCAAGCATCCTCAGCTTATGCCGTCGACACCAAGGTGGGCTGTTGCAAATGGAGCTGGTGTAATTTTGAGTGTTTGTGATGAGGAAGTTGCTCGTTACGAGACTGCAAATTTAACCGCTGCAGCTGTTCCCGCGCTTTTGCTTCCACCTCCGACAACTCCTTTAGATGAGCATCTTGTTGCAGGGTTACCCCCTCTTGAACCATATGCTCGGCTGTTCCATCGGTAGGTCTTTAAGACCGATCAAGTCATTACCGTTTTATGCTCTCAAAAGTTCCGTCTTTGTGACAATATTATTTTATGTATCATTGGTTTTAGTTACTACGCCATTGCCACTCCGAGTGCCACCCAACGGCTTCTTCTTGGACTCCTGGAGGCACCACCTTCTTGGGCACCAGATGCATTAGATGCTGCTGTACAATTGGTGGAACTCCTCAGGGCAGCTGAGGATTATGCGACAGGCATGAGGGTAAGGAAGTTGTAGAGCCAGACTACCATACTCTCCGTTTGCTATATTATTTACCATTCTTAGGTGCTCACGATTTTTATACTGTATGTTAATGCGATCCTCATTATTAGGTGCGGCACGTTGCGTAAGGGTCGTGATGATTTAGTTGTTTGCATTTAATACCTTTATCGAATGGTTGAGGCTTTTTTCCTCTTTATTTTTTTTCCAATCCCATTGCGAGATTGCCGTGCGCTTGAAACGCATCGAACTGTCAGATTTCTTCCTATCAGAAATGCACCGAGACTAAAGTACTTCTCTCTGTCATTCCAGCTCCCACGAAACTGGATGCATTTGCATTTTCTGCGTGCAATTGGGACGGCAATGTCTATGAGGGCGGGCATAGCTGCGGACGCTGCTGCAGCCTTGTTGTTTCGCGTGCTTTCACAGCCCACTCTTCTTTTTCCTCCATTGAGGCAGGCCGAAGGAGTTGAGGTCCTTCATGAACCTCTCGGTGGTTACGTGTCTCCCTTTAGAAAACAGGTTAGACCCGAAGCTAAAACTCTGATCTTTTTCTGGTCTATATTCTCAAAGCGATGTTCATCTGCTTCTGCTGCTTTCTTGGTCCCCATGCTCCTTCCTTCCACTAACTAATACACTTCCACCCAATTGCACAACCAGATGGAGGCTTCTGGCGACGAAGCCACCATGGAAGCCACTGCCCAGGGGATCGCTTCAATGCTATGTGCACACGGCCCAGACGTCGAGTGGAGGATCTGTACCATCTGGGAAGCCGCTTATGGTCTTCTCCCTTTGAGCTCCTCGGCTGTAGATCTGCCCGAAATCGTCGTCGCATCTCCGTTACAGCCGCCTCCCTTATCGTGGAATTTATATTTGCCTCTGATCAAAGTCCTGGAATATCTTCCTCGTGGAAGCCCATCTGAAGCGTGCCTTATGAGGATCTTCGTAGCCACCGTGGAAGCAATTCTTAGAAGAACATTTCCACCCGAATCATCCGTGGAGAAGGCAAAAAAGTCGAGGATTAACGGCGGTATGTGGTCTACTCCCAAGAATCTTGCTGTGGCTGAGCTTCGTACAATGGTCCATTCACTGTTTCTGGAGGCGTGTGCCTCCATGGATCTTGCTTCTCGTCTGCTATTCGTCGTGCTGACCGTGTGCGTGAGCCATGAAGCGCTTCCCAATGGGAGCAAGAGGCCCACAGGGGATTTCGTTCAGTCTTCTGACGATATTGCGGGAGAAGGAAAGAATATCAACGGGAAGACGAACATGAAGAGCAGAACGAGGAAGAAGCAGGGCCCCGTCGCAACGTTCGATTCCTATGTTCTTGCTGCCGTCTGTGCTTTGGCTTGTGAGCTTCAGTTGTTCCCCTTCATCTCGAAGAGCAGCAGTAAGTCTTCCGACTCCAAGGACCCCCTGAGGATCTCGAAATCTGCCGGAGTTAATGGGGAATGCAATGATCTGGAGAACGGGATCGGCTCCGCGGTTCATCACTCTCGCAGGATATTAGGGATTTTGGAAGCACTCTTCTCCCTGAAGCCGTCCTCGGTGGGCACCTCCTGGAGTTACAGCTCAAACGAGATTGTGGCCGCGGCCATGGTTGCAGCTCATGTTTCTGACTTATTTGGACGATCAAAGGCCTGCACGAATGCTCTCTCTGTCCTCATGCGGTGTAAGTGGGACACGGAGATCTGCACGAGAGCGTCCTCACTTTATCACCTGATAGACATCCACGGTAAGACTGTTGCATCCATCGTCGACAAGGCGGAACCCCTGGAGGCGCGTGCCCCTCTGTGGAGGGACTCCCTGGTCTGTTACAGTGGTAAGAAGCCGAACAACTATTCGAGCAGCAGAAGCTACGAAGCAGGGGGGCCTTCCACTCTGCAGCGCGAAGGAGACGGTGAATCCGGGGCCACGGGGCCGTTTATTGGTTGCGAGAAAGCCATCCTGTTGGGAGATAATGTGGTGAACACCTCAGGGAAGACCATTGCGAGCTTACTGGAAGATGCCTCGGACTTGGCTAATTTTCTCACTGCAGATCGGCACATCGGGTTCAACTGTAGTGCCCAAGCTCTTCTGAGATCCGTGCTCGCAGAGAAGCACGAATTATGCTTCTCCGTCGTTTCTCTGCTGTGGCACAAGCTGATTGCGGCGCCAGAAACACAAATGAGTCCAGAGAGTACATCCGCTCAGCAGGGTTGGAGGCAGGTAAGCGCGGTTCACTACCCCACCGATGAATTTGCAAGCAATTCCTGCCTTCCTTCCTTTGGCGATATGGCAGACTTTTCGTTTATTTATCGCATGCGAGCACTAAAAGATTATGTCTCCCATTCTTCATCTGGGTTCAGGTAGTTGACGCCTTGTGCAACGTGGTGGCTGCATCGCCGACGAAAGCATCGACGGCGATTGTTCTCCAGGTATGCAGTGGACTCTCTCTCTCTCTCTCTCTGTGTCTCTGCCCCCAACCCGCATTTGTCTTTATTGTTTCCGTACTTTGATCGCCCTGCAGGCAGAGAAAGACTTGCAGCCATGGATTGCCAGAGATGATGAGCAGGGTCAAAAGCTCTGGAGGATCAACCAGCGCATCGTCAAATTGATCGTAGAACTGATGAGAAGTCACGAAAGCCCTGAAGCATTAATTATTTTGGCGAGTGCTTCAGATCTTCTGCTCCGCGCCACGGATGGAATGCTTGTCGACGGCGAGGCCTGCACTCTGCCGCAACTGGAGGTAATGCTTCCCCTCCCAAGAACGCATAGATGCAATTCCGTTTCTTTTAGATGCAACTTCTCCATCGCTTGAGCTCGGTTTTCTCGGATAAGCTTTCTCGCGTCGCTTCGTCATGATCGACGATATCTCCATGCATTGACAACTTCTCCCTCCCCTCCCCCCCCCCTCGAGAACCTTCATTTGGCCGCTGATCACACTCTGAAAAGAGACCGAAATCCGTCACTTCCACACCTCCGGTGGACCTGCATCTCTGTAGTTGTTGTAGGAGGTGTCGCCGTCGGACTGCCCGCGGTGTTGCCGCTATGCTCATCCCGAGAACCCCCCTCCCTCCCTCTTCATTCTGAAAAATCGAATCGAGGCAGGTGCCAATCAAGTCCTGTCCAGTCCAGTCTAGTACAATCTCATCGTATGGGATCTTTCTGTCTGTTCTGTGTTGATACTGGGTCTGTTTTCATCACTAACTGTGTTCCGCCTGATTGTTGAATCCTCTGAGATCCTTTCCCATCTATATGGAAAATACATGAGCAGCTCCTGGAAGTGACAGCAAGGGCCGTACAGCTCGTCCTCTACTGGGGCGAATCCGGGTTGGCCGCCGCCGACGGCCTCTCCAACCTCCTCAAGGTGGGCACACCCTTCTCTTCTTTCTCCAACCCCCCACTTCCCCCCTTCTCTCTCTTTCTCTCTCTCTCTCTCGTCTCTATCTCTCACCGACTGACGAGGCCCCCATGCATGCGGTTGCCTGCGCAGTGCCGGCTGCCCGCAACGATCCGGTGCCTCTCCCACCCGAGCGCGCACGTGCGGGCGCTGAGCACGTCGGTCCTGAGGGACATCCTGAACAGCACGCCGATGCAGCAAGGCAGCAATAGCATGGGCGGCGGCGGGGGGGAGGAGCCCTGTGGGGCCCAGTACCGGGGGCTGAACCTGGGGGCCGTCGACTGGCACGCCGACATCGAGAAGTGCCTCATGTGGGAGGTCCACAGCCGCCGCGCCACCGGGATGACCCTCGCCTTCCTCAACGACGCCGCCAAGGAGCTCGGCTGCACCACGGCCACCACCTGCTGACCTCCCCTCCCTCCCTCCGATACCCCCTTCTCCACTTCAAGAAGACGTCATCAGCTGGTCGGCTGGCTGGCTGGTCGGAATTAGGGCTGAGGTGTCGTCCCTCTCTCCGTCTTAACTGCGCGTGGTTGTTGCTTGTTAATGTCTGTCGACTGCCCCTCTCCCCCACCCCCGTCTCCTTTTTGTAGATATGGCGCCCCCCCTTCCATCCACCTAGTGCAGTGCAGTGCAGTGCGGGGACTGACTGACTGACTGACTCTCGTGTTGCTGGCTCACCGTCCTCTTCCTGGCCTCGTCCGTCGATGGATAGATAGATATTTTGACATCTCTCGCTTCGGCCCTCTGACCGACCTCCTGTGATTCCGAGTCTGGCTTCGCCCATGCTGGTTGCTCCCCTGGGAGGAAAGGAGCCTGACGGCGCTCCATATGACCCTCCTCGCAGAGCGTCGCCCCCTTCCCTGTCGCCGCATGGCCCCTAGCCGGGAGCACCACGTGCGGCCCCGTCAACGTTGTCCAACCAAGATGCGTGCGTCCTAGATAGACAGACCTCTCTCTCTTTCTCTCTCTCTCTCTTTCTCTCGATGTTGGGCCTTCTTCAAGGCGCGATAAGTGCCGGGCCGAATGAGCCCCGGGGGTATAATGCCTGTGGGATACATTACATACGTTTCACACGCCGTTCCTAGGAAGCAGCACGCCCCGCCCAGTGGTGGGCGGAGTGGGCTGGGGAGTGCCGCCGTGGAATCAACCAGCTGTGGGTGATAGATCACTGTTGGCCCAGATGGGGGTTATGGAGACGGTCGAGGGCGCCATTATTATTGGTGCGCGAGAGAGCGGACAACCGCGATCCTCTGGGCTCCGTGTGGGTTGTCCCCCCCCCCCCCCCCGGTGGCCTGGCCTCCTGACAACCCCCCTCGTCCACCCTGATTTCCGCGCCTACCAGGTGCCCCCTCTCTCTCTCTCTCGCTTGGGCGAAATAAATATGCGCATAGGTTACGAAGATGCGAGGGATCTGAGCAACGTCTCGTCCCCCGCGACGGGGAGAGAGAGAGAGAGATGAGGAAGGATGCGTGGGCCCCCGTGGTGGCGCGGCAGTGTGGTTGCCCAGGAGGGGAAGGAGGAGCGCGCCTGTGAGGCACTGTATGGCTGATGACGGCACGGTGAAGGGCTCGGCTTGGCCCTGTTCATCTCCAGTGGAGCCACCCGGCGGGGCACGTCACGAGTGAGCACCAGTTGACAGAAGGATTCCCACTTTTTAGAGAGAGAGAGAGAGAGAGAGAGAGTGTCGAGAGCTTTCCGGGAAATGGGCTCGTCGCAAAATAGTCCAAATGGACTCTTAGGAGGCTGACATCCACGTGGGCGATTGACGTCCACGTTGCAAGAAGACAGGTCAGAAGGAGGGGGCCAGCTCCAACACTGCCCCCCGCCCCCATTTGAACACGAGGTCCTAAGGGCCGCGGTCTTATCGGCTGTCGGAAGGAGAACCCATAGATGGGGGAGAAGGGTCACTCCCGCTAGAGGACAAGGATGGCTATGCGGACTGTTTGACCGGCGCAGGCAGCCCGAAAAGAGAGAGAGAGAGAGAGAGAGAGAGAGAGAGAGCCAAACCAGAAAAGGGACCATTTTTCACCTACAACGTAGCCCCTCTATTTAGGGTATATTACAAGTATGCCGGAAGCCCGGTACAGGGAACTGGGGCCATTTTGGAAGCCAAAACCAGATCAATTTCCCATGCAGGGGCGAGAGCGATCGGCGGAAGACCTCCGCGACGTCGCCTGAGAGGAGGTGCTGGCTGAGAAGAATCGTGATCTGGACGTGCACAGAGAGAGGTTCCTGATGACGGATGCCGGTGGGGGGAGTGGAGAGAGAGAAAGCGCGATTGTCGTCGGGGTTGAAATTACGCGTCAGGAAGAGAGAGGTTCCCTCTCGGCACCGTTCATGAAGCCCGGCAAGGCTGTGCCTGCTTGCTAGTCAGCGGACGCCACCGCCTGCAGCGCAGCGGATCCCACGGCCGTTGACCCTGCCTGAATCTCCTTGAACATGGCCATCACCTGCATCATCGTCGGCCTCCTCGCCGGCCGGTCGTCGAGGCAGGCGCAGGCGACCTTGAGGTGCTCCAGCAGCTCCAGCTCCAGCCCTGGGTCCTCGCTGAGGAGCTCCCCGTCGAAGACCTCGCTGACCCTGGACTTGGCCTGCTGCTTCACCCACCCCACCAGATTGTTGTCGTCCCCAAAGTCGGAGGAGTCCGTCGGCCGCCGCCCCGTCAGGAGCTCCAGCAGCACCACGCCGTAGCTGTAGACGTCCCCCTTGGTGGTGCACCGGAAGCTGTGGCAGTACTCCGGCGGCACGTACCCGGGGGTTCCGGCGAGCGTGGAGACGCTCAGATGGGTGTCCACGGCGCTCATCAGCCTTGCCATCCCGAAGTCGGAAACCCTGGCCTCGAGGTCGTCGTCCAGCAGGACGTTGCTGGATTTCATGTCCCTGTGGATGATGTGGGGGATGCAGTTGTGGAGGAAGGCCAGCCCCCTGGCGGCGCCGACGGCTATATTCCTCCTCGCCGCCCAGTTGAGACGAAGGATCCCTACTTCTCCTCCTCCTCCTCCTCCGCCGCCGCCGCCCTTCTCGTTCTTGTTCTTGTTCCTGCTCTTGTTGTTGTCGTTTCTGGTGCTGTGGAGGACGTCCTCCAGGCTGCCGTGCTTCATGTACTGGTAGACGAGGAGGCGCTCCTCGCCGACCTTGCAGTAGCCGAGGAGGGGGATGAGATTGCGGTGCCTGACCTTCCCGATGGTCTCCATCTCCGCCGTGAATTCCCGGTCGCCCTGCCCGCTCACGTGGATCAGCCTCTTGACGGCGACGACGGCGCCGTCCTTGAGACGGGCCCTGTAAACGTCGCCGAATCCCCCGGAGCCTACCAGGCAGTCGTCGTGGAAGCCATTGGTGGCTTCCACGAGGTCCGCGAGGGTGAGCTTCCACAGGGCCTTCTCGAAGGTGGACAGGTTCACGGCGAGGCCTTCCTGGGTGATCGTCAGCTTCCAAGCGGAATTATTATCGCCGTCGCCGCCGCCGGAGAGAGCCCCAGCCCCGCCGTCCATCTTCACCGCCACCTGCTGCCGCCGCCGCCTCCGCCGTTTCTTGCTCTCCGCCGCCAAGAAAATGAATCCCAGGATGCAGAGGAGAGACAGAAGCAACCCCAGGGCCACGCTTCCGGCGACGGACGCTTGCCTCCGACGGGAGCTCTGGTGGCGCTCGCCGTTGACTGCCGTTCTCCTGGAATCATCCCCAGAACAGGGCGGCAGGGGGAGACCGCAGAGCCCCGAATTGTTCGCGTATCTCCCGGCGGAGAAGGTCGCCAGCTGGCCCACGTTGGGGATGCTCCCGTTGAGCCTGTTGTTGGAGAGGTCGATCTCGGAGAGCATGGAGAGACCGGAGAAGGAGACCGGAATGGCGCCCTCGAGGAGATTGTGGGAGAGGTCGAGGCTGCCGGCGTTCCTCAGCTTCCCCAGCTCCGGCGGGATGGAACCGGAGAGAGCGTTGTGAGCGAGGTTGAGCACCTCGAGGTAGTACATGTCCCCTAGCTCCGGCGGGATCTGCCCCTCCAGCTGGTTGTAAGAGAGGTCGAGGAAGAGGACGGAGCCGTTGTGGTTGAAGGTGTACTGGGTGCTCCCCATGTAAATCCTGGTGAAGTTGCAGGTCCGCCGCGTCGGCAAGCGGCTCAGCTGCTCCGGCCGGATTCCGGCGAACTCGAGGAGGCTCCCGGCGCCGTGGCACTCGCTGCTGCCGTCGTTCTTCAGGTACACGTACCTCTTCCCGGAGACCAAGCCGACGGCGATCTTCCCCGACTGCTTCGCCAGCGCTGGTGGGATCGTCCCGTTGAGAAGGTTGCTGTTGAGGTCCAACCAGATCAGGCTCTTGCAGTCCCCGAGCTCCGGCGGTATGGGCCCTGAGAAGGAATTGTTGCCCACGTTGAGGATGACCAGGTTGGAGAGCTCTCCCAGCCATGGCGGAATCCGTCCCCCAAAGCGGTTGCCGGACAGGGAGATCCAGTTGAGGTTCGTGCAGTTTCTGAGCTCTGAGGGGATCGCCCCCGTCAGACCATTGTTGTCCAGAATGAGCTTCTCCAGGGCAAGCAGGCGACCCAGATCGCCGGGGATATCCCCTTCCACGAGGTTCTGCCACATGATCAACTCCCGGAGACGAGGGAGAGATCCGATGGAGGAGGGAATCCCCCCGGTGATGTAGTTGAAGCTGAGGTCGAGGGAGACCAGCATGGAGCAGTTGCTGATTGACGGCGGGATACCGCCGGCGAACTGGTTGTCCTGCAAATAAAGTTCCCGGAGGCTGTGCCCGTTGGCTCCGCGGCAGAGCCCCGCAGGAATCTTCCCGGACAGGGAGTTGGAGCTCAGATCGAGCAGCTCCAGGGAAGAAGAGAGCTCGGAGAGAGTCTCCGGGAGGGCGCCGGAGAACCTGTTGAAGGACAGTTGGATCCTCCGGAGGCCGCTGACGGCCGCCGTCAGCTTGTTCAGGGGAAGCTCACCGGAGAAGTTGTTGTTGGCGAGGTTCAGGGACTGTAAAGCGGAGCAGGCGGAGATGCCGGCCGGGAGGATGCCGGAGAGGTTGTTCCAGGAGAGGTCGACGGCCAGGAGGCTGCGGCAGGGGCCGAGGAAATCCTCCACGAACTCCCCGGCGAGGTCGTTGTCGGAGATGTTGAGGAAGGCCAAGTTCTCGCAGGCGGCGAAGGCAGCGGGGGCGATGCCGGTGAGGGAGTTGAAGGAGAGGTCCAGAAGACGCAGATTGGAACAGTTGTTGCCCGCGACGGGGACGACTCCAGTTATGCCGCTGTTAGAGAGGTGGAGCTCCCGGAGATCCCCCCCGCTGGAGAGAAGAAACCACTCGAGGGCGGCGCCACTGAAGAGGCGATTGAAGGAGAGGTCGAGGACGTGGAGCCGCAGCCGCTCCCCGGCGACGTCGCCGGAGGGAGAGAATCCCAGAGAGTTCCCTGAGAGATTCAAGTGCAGCAAGGAAGAACAGGAAGAGGAGAACGCCGGTATTCCGGTAACGGATCCACGGAGATCGTTCCCGGCGAGGTCGAGCTCGACGAGCCGGCCGCCGCATCTGGATCCCAGCGGTGGCGGCGTTAGGGTTCCAACGAGGCCGGCGCGCTTCAGGGAGAGACTCTGCAAGTGCTCCAGGGAGAGCAGAGAGGAGGCGACGGAGCTGAAGTCTGCGTCCAAGGGGATGCCGTCCAGCCGAATGCCGGAGACGCGGGAAGCGGCGCAGGAAACGCCGGCGAAGGACCTGCAGGGGTCCCCGGCGGGAAGCCAGGTGCGGAGAACGCGGCCGGGGTTCAGAAGTGACCTCTTGAAGCGGAGAAGCAGCTCCGCATCTCCCGGGGAAGCCGAGGCAGCGGAGCTAGAGCTAGACAGCAGGAGGAGGAGGAAGAAGAAGGCCAGGAGAGACGAAGGAGATGCCATCTTGCGCTCCCACTGGCATACTCTCCCACTTCCGGTGAGTGTGTGTGTGTGTGTGAGAGAGAGAGAGAGAGAAGGAGAGACGACTGAGAGGAGTGAGGATGGGGGAGGAGGGACTGGTTTCGAACTACTTGCCCATCAGGGTCCCGAAGGGTTTCAAAAGCTCGGCGGAAGAGGAGGAAAAGTCGCTTGAGGAGGAGGGGGTGGCAATGGCAGCACCGGCGGCGGCGGAGAGGAATGGAGAGAGGGGAGCTATGAAGAAGAGCAGGAAGCAGGGAGCCCTGCGTGGGGCCGCAGGGCATGTGACTCGCCGAGGGGGGCGAGGGGCAGCATTATTAATTGCGAGGGACGGACTGGGCTTCTTTGGGTGGTGGGCCCCATCAAACCCCCCTCCTCTCCTCCAATCCATCCCCGCCTGGATTTTCGCACGCACGCACGCACACACGCACACACGCCGCCGGCTCTGGGCTGCCGCCGCCGCCAACGGCCCATCTCAAGGGCAACCACGTGGCCCCCGCCAGCGCGCACGTGAGAACAGAACCCCGGCTCGCGGGACCGACGTGATGGCCCGGCCCGGAAAGCCCACGGTTCCACAACAATTAGCAAAGCCCGTATTCCAATAGGGTAGGAAACCAATACAATGCGGGAAGCAGACCGGGGGCGGAGGGGGGTTATTTACATCAATAAAGATCCTGGGAGGGGCCGTCCGAGTGCGTGTCCATGGCGGTGTCGCCAGAGACGAATGCGGCGCCGCCGGGGAAGAACCCTCCGGCGGGCGGCTCCACCGCGAGGCTCCGGCGGGGGGGGCAAGGAAAGGCGCCGGAGAAGATGATGGGGCCCTTGGCCTGGTCGAGGTGGGTGCTGTTGGCGAGCTGGGACTGCGATCTCGGGGACATGGTCGACGCCTCGTCTCCTCCGTGCTCGAGCTCATTCTGAAAGAATTCGAAGATATCAAGTCAGAGGATATCAAAAAGAATGGATTTTGATTATATTTCTATACATGGGACGAATGAATTGCGGAGGGGAACCTGGAGGTAGCCGAGCAGGTCAGCGATGGTCGGCGTCGACCCCTCCTCTAGCCGCCTCGAGATCCAGCTCTGGATTTTCTCCTGCATGAGTCGCAAGCCAAACGCAAGCCCTCCATCAATTAATTAATTAACTAATTGATTAATTAATTGGTGCCGTCCACCCACCACACCACTCATGGAGATGTAATCTATGATTTCAGCGACAAGCATGCCCCCGCAGAGCCGGCTGGCTCTCACAGTTCATCACCATCACCCTCCTAGTGTAGATGCATAAAGATTTAGAGGGAAATCATCCTCCCATACAGACATGAATATATTTGTAGCCTTCGAATTGATCGGTTCTCAGGCCCATTTCCTCATGTAGACAAGTACCAAGAAATCTCTTTCTCTCTCTCTCTCTCTCTCTCTATACCTCTTCAAAGGGATTTCCAAACCCTAAAGGTCATGGGTTGCAAAGAGCTTGACAGGTTAATAAAGTATTATTTCTATCGGCTTAAACTCAATTAAGATACTCTGAACAGTCGCCTAAAATGATCAACCTGCAAAAATCTTCGTCCAAGCAGAAACATCTTTCGATCCAGATCAGTCCGGATGGTCTAATTTTCAAGGGTAATGTCGATCTCAGTCGGCTCAACCAGACTACGAACTTTTATTGAGATGGTAGGTCGATGTGTGAGGCCAAGATAATTGGCCTTGCTAAAGCAATGGGACAGACTAAGGCTAATACTTGGACATCCAATGCCTCTGAAGGGAATCCGAGTATCTTCTTACGAATGCAACAAAAATATCCTACTGATATTGCATTCAAAACAATATGATGCTAATCCACCGAAAGAGTTTTGCCAACCAAATGTTACAACAAAAACACCATCTACGTGTGGTCACAACTCAAGCAACACATCTATATGCCTGTGTGTGTGTGTGTGTGTGCGTGTGCGTGCATGTGTGTGCGTGTGCGTGCATGTGTGTGCAAGCCCGCGAGTACATATGCTCCATAAAAGGAACTCTCACTTATAAAACGACGTAAACATAATTAAATTTCAGAGGCCCAACAGGATTTAATTCAATAAATGTATCCTTCATATTGTAAAACAATGCTTATAAACCACGAGAACAGCACGCAAATATGGAAAAGTGCAGTTTTCAATTCGAAGAGTGTAGCTTTCTCAGCGAAATTAATTTATGAACCTCTCTAGAACTTGTCCTCATCTGGGTGAATACCTTAACTATTGCAGCAAATTTATCCGCACTCCTCTGGAATACCTTTACCCTCTCTCTTTGAAGGAATAAGTAGACTGCGAGAACAAAGCAGAACTAGGCAAAACTAGGGAGGAAAAAAAATTCAGAACATGAGAATGGCTTTCATAATTGATTAATCAACCCAACTTCCGAGTTATCCAACCCCAGCGCACCTCCGAGGAAAATGGATCACCTATTCTCGAAAAAAAATAAAAAATCTAAAGGCTGCATCTGAGGACTCTTCGTTTTCTAATTGACTTTTGTGCTCATAATAAAGATATATAGGACAGAATTCGCACCGATAAAAGGAACTAATACACAGAGGCGCAAAGCTCGGAAGCTAAATTATCTGCGAGTAAATATGAATGAAATGCTGAAATACACCCAATTCTTAACTTCCCAAACGATTGAAACATATCTAGACTGCCTGGGAAACACATTAGCAGAGCAAGTGGAGACTCTAGAAGGGACTTCAGACGGTAATGAGAGATCAAAAAGCTATGAGCGGTTTATATGATACGCTGTAGCAGCAGAAGAAACGTAATTATTAGAGGCATAAAACGTCAGTATCTAACCGAGACAAAATATGATATATACCGCAGATCCTGGGAAAGTGTAGTGGAAAAAGCTATAAGAGAGACAAAGGGTCAAAGGATAGCATGAGTGAGGATTGGGGATAGATGTACACATCTACAAGAGCACAAATTCGTATCAATACTAAATATCCATTTTCATTCTTAAATCGCGAAATCCCTCGGCCTAACGCACTAGAATGTGTAACCCCATTTTCCAAGAAATGGTTGAGATAACAAATTTTCAAAGGGTTCTCACAGTAATCTAAAGCGCTTAATATCATGATAACCAGTAAATTAATCGTATATTCTAAGTGCATGTCCCGGAGGAAGAATAACAGACAGAACAGGGACAAGGCACCCTCGTAAAAACCACAGGGGAAGCATGGACTGGGTAGAATTCTACGCCACGAAACAGAGATACCGCATAAAATGGAAAAAATCGGATGCCACAAGCGAAACAGGTTAACCGTGACATGAAGGAAGCACTAAACGAATCGGCCAAATTCCGTCGGCATGAATTAACGCTCGTCAATCAGCAAGCATCGGAGATAGAACATGCAACAACATGAGCACAAGAGAAGTAGAGAGAGAAGGGAAAGCGGGGGCGGGGGAGGGGGTGTACGAACCACGCCGTGTCGCTCACCAGCCTGGAAGGCAATCTTCTGCTGGTTCATAGCCTGCGTGTAAATCTGAGAGAGGGAATTCGCGGCGTTACAGAAGCTGGAGTAAATGGTCCGATCCACCTCGTCCAAGCGGCTCGCCACGGATTTCCTCCTCTTCGCCATGGCGTAGAAGAACAAGCAGAAACAGGCAGCAGAGGAGAGATCGAAATCAATCCCTCCACACGCAGACACGGATACGAGAAGCAAGCAAGAGGAGACTGGATATAAATAAGAGCGACGATGCCCTAGGTGGGAGGAGGGAGACGGGAGCCCCACCTTTATAATCACAATCTTGCAGAAACGCCAAGGAAACCCACCCCCGCATAGAGTGAGGGAGGAGAGAGAGAGAGAGATGAGAGAGAGAGGAAGAGGAGGGGGGGGGGGGAAGGGACCTCCTTTCGTGCCAGCACAAGATAATAAAGTGCGCCGTAACAACGACTGCGGTGCACTAGCAGTGCACGGCTCTGTCTCGGGAACTTGCGACGACTCACTTGGGAATGGGCCTAGCTGGGCCCTGAGTAATGCGAATACCTTTTTAGGCCCACTCTCCAAATTAATAAACAAAAAAATAGTACTAAAATGCTAATGTGCTCTCTCTCTCTCTCTCTCTCTCTCTCTCTCTCTCTGTGCCTGGGGGCGAGAATCACTTTCTTACCACTCTGCAGCGTACCAAGGTCGAAATCATCTGCTAGTTGACTTCTCATTTGAGCTCGGTCGGCTCTGCTGTAAACAACATGATTGACCGACGCGGATGGATAAATAGATTAAGAGAGAGAGAGAGAGAGAGAGAGAGAGAGAGAGAGAAGAGTATAAACGAGGCTCATAGGTTCATAGACAGCAGCGACCCAAGAAATGGAGTTGTTAGGAAACCGGAGCGACGGAATTTCACAAGACACCAAACCCTTCACTCGGCCAAAAGTCAATGGAAGGTCCCACCGAGTTTCACAAGGCTCCTACTGCAAGCAAACACCCCTCCCCACCCCCCTTGAAAGAAGCTTCCCTCGGCGATGAGATCGCGTGATCAGTTCCAAAGAGAGGGCCCCCACCTGTTCATGGAGACGAGCAGATCAGGTAAGCGGAGCGTTGACTCCCATTCATTGACTCCCAAACTATAAGAACGAAGAACAGAATGAACAAGCCAACAGAGAAACATTGAGCAAACACAGGAACATGATGCTTTGTGAGCATGCAGAGGCTAGAAGATTGCACCTCGTCCACCATAAAGATACTAATTGCAGCGTTAAAAATGTTAGGAAGCGAGATTACTTTGAAAAATTCATCTCGAGGAAGCTGCCACATCCAGGCCCAGTGATTGCCCACCTTAGCAGTGCCCAACCCATGGAAATTCATAGAGAGAGAGAGAGAGATTGAAAAATGACGATGACAAGCTACCAGAGAGAATTTCCACAGGGTTGAATGTTTGGAGAGATAACATTTTGATACTCACAGAATACTGCGCACTGATTTTTTTTTTCTTGCTTAAAATCTACTCACAAAAGACTGAACACAGCAGATCCAAAAGGTTCCATTAACAGGGAATATGTATGCTCCAAGAAGGATCATCTAATTCTGCTTTCATCTCCGGGATTTGTTTGCCATTTCACTGTTGCTTAAATCTCAAGACGTTCTCAAAGAAAATGCATTCCTGCTTTTGTGTTCCAGTCAATGCAGCTATGCCCAAAATTCAAGACACCGGATTTTTACAATACTACAGGATGCAAAAATGGAAGGAAAAAAAGCCATTCCTATTGCGTTAAATTCGTTCACTGAGCATTGAAAGGGACCTTGCAAAGAGTTGCTCTTTGTCTAATCAACAAGTCAATCATCCATATTTATGACAGACAAACTCGAGTACCTCCAGTAGGACCATCGGGTTACACACATGTTGCCTACGTAGCTACCTCTTCCAATTCTGGAGAAAATCACTCCAACCAACAGGAGGTACTCAAGGGATTGAGTACCTCCATGCATTCAACAACGTGTCAGAGGACACATGCGGCCATACATAGAAAGTATGTCTGACCAGCCTGGCTCGTGTTCATCTCGACATGAGGTAGCAGAAAAATGTTTTCTGACCTAAAACTTTGCTAAATTCATAGATTCCAAATCATCGAGGAGAAACTGAGAAAACACATGTTCAACCAACGACAAACCAAAATCAAGCACCAAGTTCATCATGTTAACTTGTTTTTTCCCATTCCTCGTGAACTCACATTCAAACAGCTGCTGAATAACGCTATGGCATTCAAACTACGATAATCCATGAGCATGTGGCAGCTACCTGGTGAAGTGAAAATATCCACAGGTGGCTGCCTAAGGAAGGGGGAATTGGGTTCCAGCCAACAGTGTCTCCTCATTGTCTCCTGAAATTTAGTAGGGAGAAAAAAATAGTTTAAACCCCAAAAGGGGGACACATCCAAGGGTAGTAGAATCACACTTTCTTAAAGTACTCGCCCGGTAAAAATGAAAGACATTTTCTCCAGTTATACTTTATGACGCGAGTGTCAACGGGAAGGGGAAGCACAAAAGTCACCAACTGCCTATAAATTGGGGGAGGGATCCGTTTAAAAAATGGTGACAAGGTGTTAACCCAGTGGGAAATAAAAGGAAGCAAGATCAAAAGAGGAGGCAAGGTGTCTGGCTCATAAGCAACTTGTTCAAACCCGCCAATAGCTTTGATCAAACCTAAAGAAAACAGGCACCAGTCCATTGGCAACCCTCATTCTCTAACCAACCATCATGATTATTTCCGTCCAGAATAAGTAATAAATGTTTTCCGATGAAAGAAGATCACTTGCTTTTTTAGTTAATCCTTATATAATTTTTTTTGTCAAAGTCCAAGACGTCCACTACAGTTGGTCAAACATGGGTGGTGGCCCCCAAAATTTTAGCACGTCAGAAACGTTCACTGCCAAAACGAGTTGGCCACGATCTCCTAACAGCCACGAAAAACAGACCATTGTCTCCACTCAAAAGATAAAACTGAGCCAAGAAGATCCATCACCACAAATAATTGACTTTATAAAAAAAATCCCTTCAATAATCCAAACATGGCAGTGGTTTTCAATCCCAATTTCAACTGTCCCGAAAAAAGGTTTCATATTGTTTGATCCTCAGTCACGTTGGGAAAAATGTCTCAATCAGTAGAGTAAATTTATACACTTATTCTGTGAATTTTCTTGATCTCTTCCACGTGCATATTCAGACAGAAACAAGAAATGTGGATACATTATTTCAAATGGATATTCGATGACATGACAGATTAAATTACGGTGAAGAAATACTCAAACCAAAAGAGACTAAGTGCAATACTCTTCTCGTTTTCAATTCCTTATTTTAGAATAAGAATGTGATACTACGAAACGAGTTTACACAACTGAACCCTAAATAATAGTGGATGCTGAAGCTAAGCGTGGTCAGAGATTGATCTCGGTGGATTTCTTCTAAGTACATGATCAAACATCAACAAATTCAAGACAAGTGCGACGCAACCCATTCTACTACAGAGAGGATATTTCACTTAAATGTGACAATGAAAGATGGATTGCCTGAGAAAGGCTTCTCAACTATCTGCTCTAGAGGGAGGTTTCTTCCGTGTTTTGGCGGTACAACTCTCACACGATGACTGCAGACCCCATTTTTTGAGAACAAGTGTGCAACCTCAGAATCCCTGATAATGGACTGTAATTGGCCACATTTGAAACAATTATTCCAACCATGAAAAGCTAGCTGACAATACATTAAAATTTATACTTGCCTTTTGAAGTCATGCAAATGTATGTAGCTCATTGTCTTAAAAAAATAAGGCATCACTAAGGAAACTACATTTGGGTTCGGTACGACATCAAGATAACTAAGGAAAAAGGAGATATTTACTTTTATTTTTTATGATCCACTCCAAACTTTCCTCGAGGCTGCATGGATAAACCAACAAAATGATTTCCAGCTCTTAAGGTCTCATGGTACTACTATCAATTATTGTTCAAGGTCCATACATGAATAACATTAATCTGGTCACCGTCCACAATACTACATGATGCATATATCAAATCGAATGCCAACGTCAAATTTCAGCAACGAATTGTGTAAAAATTCTTGTAAAACTGGCGTGCACTGAATTAGAACACTATTTCCATTAATCGTTAGTTTTTCCAGAGATGTAGAACCTTGATGGAAAAAAAAAATGTATTGGATGGGAATAGCGCTACTCGCACAGGGTTTGGAAAACACCCAGAGTAGGCACTCTCGTTCTTTACTTCAACGAAACATCTAGAGAACTTTCAGCGAACTGCCGGCGAATAAGTTAAGTAAATCTTAAAATTAAACATCTTAATCCAACCATAAGCATACCATATAGTTTCTACTGCTGCTGTTGCTGGTTCTGTTGCGGATTCGGGGGGGGAGGCGGCATTCCTGGCCTTGGTGGCCCATAAACTGGTATACCGCCACCAGGTGGAGGGGGCATCCCCGGTCTTGGGGGCGGCGGCGGACCCCGCATCATCTGTGGCGGTGGCACCATAGGTCGCTGGCCAAACTGCGGTGGAGGTCCCGGGAAGGACGGTGGTGCACCAGGTACGCCAGGCCTGCCTGGGAATTGCATTGGTCCAGGAGGAGGAGGGCCCCGGCCCATGGTTGGAGGCTGTCCAGGGAATCCAGGCATTGGGGCGCCAGGAGGCGGACGCATGACCGGCGGCTGGGGGTATGCGACAGGTCCCGCCGATAGCTGTGGCATCGGCGGTCGGGACATCTGAGGCTGCATCATGCCGGGGGCCGGTCCGCCGACACCCCGGACAGGCCCCGCCAGTCCCGGCTGGGCCTGGATCAGCGGGGCGGTGGGGATCCCGCGGCCAGCAGCGCGGCCCACGCCAGGTCCGGCGAGAGCAGCAGCGCCAGCAGACTTTGCGCGGGACTCGTCAGGCGGAGGAGGTCCCTCGACCGTCATGGAGACGACCTCCTCTCCGCGAAGGAGGACGAGGCCCAGGGTGCGGCGATCCTCACGCTCCTCGTTGGCAGTAGCTCCGCCGCCCTGCTGCTTCTTGGATCCCTTAGTTGGGGGGAGCTTCCGGAACTCCTCACAGTCGCCGAGTACGAGGTTCATGTGGCGGTCGAAGGCCATGAACTTGCCCACCAGCTGGCGGCCGTCCTGGATCGTCACCCGCATCCGGTAGTTGATGTACTGCAGCATCTTCGACCCCTTGGACATCGACATTTTCGCAGCACTCTGTGGGAGCAGATGCAGCAGCAGTGGAAGAGAAAAATTTAGGGAAGAACACCCCGCCTCCGGGGAGATGGAGCGAGAAATGGGAAACTAGGGTTTTAGACTTTACCGGGACCGACGAAATGAAGACCCCCCGCCCCCCCGCCTTCGGGAATAACCAGGATCCGAATAATCCCGGGTTTGCCCGAAACCGCTAGGCAGATCTACATAGACGTCCTCTCTTGGATGCATATTGGGCCGCTCAGCCCAAAACTCCGAACGATTGAATTTAGGCCTGGGCCCAATATTCCGTTTGGTTTCTGTGGGCCACGGACTCGACCCAATTACCGTAGGCGCAAGAATTTCAAATCCCCCACCGACCACAGACCAACGACACCACCCAATTCGGGACAGCCTTGAGCCCGCTGTCGAGGACGTGGAAAGTCAAACTCTCTCTCTCTCTCTCTCTTCCCCTCTACCAATGGATCAAGAGCGACCATTCGTACCCGGCTCCTCGAGGCGGCGGCGGAAATCATTGGGTCCTCCCCTCGGGGGATCCGTCAGAGTGTGCGGCAGCCACGTGGAACACCACTTTCCCACGGGTCTCGATTTGCGATTTCCTCGACAAAACCCGCCAGCGTGGCAACGAGCACCTCGGAAGCCCCGGGGGGGGGGGGGGTCGTGCTGATGTGGTCTGCCACGTCCGACTTATGGGCCCCAGTTATCTCCCTATCAACTCTCATACGCGTTGATGGCGGATCGACGTCGTACGTTGGTGGGGCTACGGGGTGAGTCCCCACAGCATTCATCTGCTCCGACAGGACGAGGGGGAAATGAGCGGAGTCGAAGAAGAGGCCGGCAACAAGCAGTATATTTTGACCATTGACCTTGGAAGTCTCTTCGATAGAGAGAGAGAGAGAGAGAGAGAGAGGAGGTTGTATTCGTCGATGGCCCCGGCGGCCAACCGCCCACCGCCCACCGCCCACCGGGTGCCGGCGCAAAGACCGCTGAATTCGCCGGAAACTTATAAATGAGGACCAGAGAGAACCACCGCCGGAGGTAGTTGGGAGCGATGGGCTGGGGTGGCGATGCAGTGCTTGCCCGGCGGGCATCCTGCGCGTGCTCGGCGGCGCTCGATGTGCGCAGGTGGCGGTGGAGGGGGAGCCGCCTGCAGGGGGCTCAGCGCAACGCCGGCGGCTACTACTGCGAAGAGGAAGAGGAGGAACTGGCGCCGCTGGAGTCCAAGGGCCGGCGGGGGGTGACGGCCCAATGGCGCGGCATCTGGCGGAGGATTGTCGGAGGGAGGACGGCGCCGCCGTCCTACGACGAGGAAAGCTATGCCCAGAACTTCGAGGACGAGGGCGGTGCCTGGGAGGAGCCGGAGTTTCTCCCAAGGTCCTTCTCCGCCGTGTACGCCAACCCCTCCGGATTCCTGACGAGGTTCGCACGATGAGACCTGCCGCCCCCGGCCATCGTCGACCTCCTCTGCAAAACGCTCCTTCCCTTGTCCGCAAAGATGTGGGTTTGACTTCACCCACCGCGCCAGCTCTGATCGCCCGAAATCTGCCCAAGTCAACCGCAGCTGTAAAGACACATAGATTGACTGAATCTATATCGACAGGCCTTCGTTTCTTACACACACACACACAATCCCCACTCGCTTCTTAATAAAATCAGCATTTGAGCCTCCGACTCCCGCCATGCAGATAGATTAAAGAAGAAAAACTAAGCCGAGCTCATCTGGTTCAGGCGGTTGAACCACACTGAGTGGAGGATCATGTGGAACAGGTCGTACTTGACGGGCTTGCGGCGCCACAGGAAGTGCCGCCGGACCTTGTGGACGGCGAGTTGCAGGGCGAGGTACCTCTCCCTGGGGATGGAGGAGAGGATCTCCTTGAGCCTGGGGATGTCCGCCTCCGGAACCACCACGGAGAAGGCCCCCCAGTTGAGGACCTCGAAGAAGGGGGGCGCGTAGTGGTCGGAGATGATGACGGGCACGCAGCCATGGAGGATGGCCTCCACCACGCGGGGGCTGTAGACCTGGAAGCCCCTGGGGCAGATGCAGAACTTGCTGCTCTGCATGTAGCGGGAGTAGGTCTTCCTGCACCTCGCTCCGCAGACCATCCTGCCGAAGATCTTCATCGAGGGGTCCCTGTTCTGCCAGTGCCGGACCAGGGTCGGCCGGAGGTAGCCGTGCATCCTGCCGGCGTAGAAGGCCAGGAACCGCCGCGCTCCGGCGGGCCGGCCGGCGAGGGCCGCCGGAGGGCGGAGGGCGTCTAGGACGTTGACCTGCGGGAGGGACACGTCCTTTCCCAGTTGGAAGCCCTCCGTGGTGTCCGAGTTGCAGAGGACCCTGATGGAGCGGCTCATTGTGCGACGGGTCAAATACGGCACCTGTTCGGGGGGATGGAAGATGAAAGAAAATAGATATGGGTTTAAAAAAATCACTGTTTTTGTGAATTATCTTGAAAAAAAAAAAAAAAAAACCTTTTGGAGACATTACCCAATCATGGCAAGCCACAAAGAAATGGTCCGAGCCGCCGGTTCTGTTCCAGAAAGAGTATTCTGCGGAGATATTCTGGATGTAGCTGTTGAGATACTGAAGCAGATGCCTTTTGCCGTGGGGTCCTGGCACATATGATGAGAACCGGAGGATGGACGAACTGAATGGCATGTAAAAGAGGTGCGCCTTTTGAGGATCATCCACGACAAATTTTGACCTTTCTTCCATCAATTTCATGAACCAGCCTTCAGAGGCGTAGATCCCCTCGAGCATTGGATCGTGGAATATGGGTTTCTCTCCTTCCTTGTATATGTACACCTGGAGGGTCTTCTCCATTAATTCATAGCTCCTATGAAAAGAAAAACGAAGAAATAAAATCTTAATCGGTTCTTGTGGTTCTTGTGGTTTATGTGCCTCCTGAAGAGTTCATCATCCTCTCCGATGAAATTGAGGTGCAGGAAGAAAGTACTCCCACGAGATGCAGAAAGTGCAGGATGATATCAACGCAGTATGGGCAAACTGGAACCAAAGGGATGGGGATGAATTGTCCTGCATGCGTGGAGATTGCTCACCTCTTAAACGCTGAAAGGTTCCAAAATGCAAGCGCATGAAGCTCTTGATCGTCCTCTACCATGGGAGCATTCAGCATCTGTCGTCTGGCATCGAGCATTTCTTGATCTGGGGGCGCAGACCAACGGGGCCTCTGCAATACGTGCACAAGGGATGAGGCATTTGAAAATTCCATCAAAGTAGATAGCGCCAAAGTCATGTATAAAAATAAATAATAATAAATAATAAAATAAAATAAACAACACACCATTGTACTTAGAAACGCCCTGTTTCTCATCAGTATCTTCTTCATATCTGATATTGACAGAGTCTTTGGCTCCTTACTCCTTTCAGGAAACACGGGAGAATCAGCGGTCGCCCTAGAGTAATTTTTCAGGGCAGGGAAACTTCTTCCCAATAGACTCGTGTGACTGCTCTTCGGATTTTGTTCTTTCATGTGATTGTTTAACTGTAAGATCTTTGCCGTGACATTTGTGGCCACATACTTTAAACGAATGGTATTTTCTTGCATGTAACTGTTGGCATACGAAATATAAGAAGACAAAGCAAGTGCTATAGACACAGAACTACTCTTTGCAACTTTAAATTTTACTCACCGCAAACTGGATTCATTGTGAGTAATATTGCTCGTGACGGATGCAATTTTACTAATTCTCTGAAACTTCTCCGCTGAAGAAAGACCACAACCAAATCTTTTTAAGGCTGGAGATTGGCATTTGAAACTTTGAGAACCACCCAATGCAGAAGATATTTCTGTTCCCATTGCTAGGGACAACGGAGATTCTGGCAAAAACTCTACTCGATGTATTTCTTGAAAGTCAGGGTCATATCTGCGTTCAAGGGATAAAATCTGCAATTCTAGAACAAAAAGTACTACAAGCGCCATCGTGAAGATCAGTCTCCTTTTTCTTGTTCGACTCATCTTTGTAAAATAAATGGTCCAGGCTGCCATTGAGAGAATATCATGTCATATATCTGCATGCCAATCTCCTCCTCACCTTCAAACAAGAAAAATAGCTAGAAATTAGACAAAATTTAACAGATCAAAGAAATAAGTATTGCATGACACTGATGTACCGCATAAATACTCAAGAGAGATCAAACATAAAATTTTAAAACATCGAGATGGTGTGGAGAACTTTACAGGTGACGTCAATAATTAATATGCTTAAAATCTAACCTAAATGTTAAGCAAAGGATAACAGGGAAATACCGATCTGTGAATTAAAAATCGGATAGAAAATCTGAAGGGATAAATTAAAAATTGAATTATAAGATTAATTCTTAAAAATCAGGGATTATCCTGAAAATAATGAAGAGATTGTTAAAACACCAGTCCACTCGTTCTTCTAACCTTCTGATGAACGTGAGTCATCTTATGGCACATCAAAGAAGCCAGGACGAGAAAGAGTATATGCAATGAAAACATTTTTGAAGCATCAATTGGAATTTTAACATTCAGATTAAAGGAATCCTGCCCAGTGGCCAGATCTCGGCTGAATAGATGTCATCTCAAGCAGGATTTCAAGGGTTAGGTTAAAAATAACCAAAGTCAAGCTGGTTTGCGGGCTTTCTCAGCACATTGGGCCTCTTACTGGAGGATAACTATGAATTCATACTAAAAAATTATTTTATTCGCACAATCATTATTTACTAATTACCTCAGTATGTTGCTGGCAGTAAGATTCCTAGTCCACTAGTACTGCTGTTAGCCCATTATGATGTTGTCATTCGGACTGAACGGAGGCCTAGGAACACCAACCTGAGCCAAGTCCGAACACGGTTCTGTCCGGGTTGCACAACTTCTGTACGTGTTGAAGACCCAGACCGAGTTCAATGTACTCGGTCGACGCCACATTGCGCCGGAATCACCTTGGGGAGAAATCCAGTCTCCCCCATCAAGTGTAGATGACTCCAAAGGATCACCAAAAAATTAAAGCTCACCTCACCCCAACTCTAATCTCTTGTTTTTAGGAGTGATTTTCCAGTCTCCTCTGCGCTCTAGTTCGCGTTCGGGAGCGACTGACTTCAGACGCATCAATACCTGCATTTAGAGATTGGAGTTGCTTGATTTACCTATAGATCGAATGGCGCGTCTTCTCATTCGGTCCAAACCTGCACTAATGCGACGGATCCAACAGGAAGAGAAGAGGAGAGCTAGAGATGGGGTTGCCCTCCGGTCGGCGGAGACGGAGAGCGAGAGCGAGCGCTAGAGGGAGGGAGAGAGAGAGAAGGGTGCAATTCAGGGAGGGGAGAGAGAGAGAGTGAGTGAGAGTGGAGTGAGTATGACGTGGGAAGTAGCCTCAAAATCCGGGCCGGGGAAAACGAGGCCCGAAAAATCCAAGTAGGACAAGACCGGCCCGGCCCGATAAGCATCGAGACCAGCGAGATCCCGCCGTCATCTCCCGTCGCCGGCCACCTGGCACAAGGAACCGCCGGGAAACGGCACGAAGAGCTCCGGCAGGTTGCATCAAACCCCTAATTTCCCTCGATCCTTTCCTGTCTCCATCGCAATAAGCAGAAGGCGGCGGGTCGGTGCCTGATGGATGGCGTGCGCACAAGGAAGCGCCATCGGCTGTCGTGGGATGTCGGCCCGCCCGAGACGCAGGTGGTCTGTCTGAACTTCTCTACTGTTCGATTCAATGAGAGAAAGAAGTGAGGAATCCTCTTTGCGACTCTGACTCTCCCACTCCACTTGTTGCTTTTCTTTCTGTTACTTCGAAAGTAGCTGCTTCAGCTTTAGCCACGCGAATTTTCGATATTCCTTTTTATTTCTCATCAAATGAATGGCATCTTCTTCTGGAAATCCTAGCTATGCTTATCATGATATTGGGGAATCTCATTGCTATTACTCAAACGAGCATGAAACGTATGCTTGCCTATTCGTCCATCGGTCAAATCGGATATGTAATCATTGGAATAATTGTTGATTCATGATTCGGGCTCGTTGCCTTACCTGGGGATAAGTCGGCTGTCGGGTTTATCTTCGGCTGATGAATCGGACTGTTGTGTTGGGTGAGTAGGCTGTCACAGATGGAAGAGTTCCGACTGCGGCGCCGCCTTCGTCACCGCCGCTCAGGGAGGACGATAGGGAGGGTCACTACGTGTACGACCTCGGAGAGAATCTTACTCCACGATGTGAGCGGTTTCCTTTTGTCATTTCTTTTTTCTCTTCTAACGATTGATCTCCGTTCCGAGCTGTGTAGCATAATTTTTCATGATAATTATTGACTCTTCAATGATTATATCTGCCAGTAATAAGGGTGGATCGGTTAGTACGACCATTATTGTTCGTGAACAATTTAGCTCAAAAGCCCTCGGAGTTATCTAACTTTAAACTTCTTTTTGATAATCAAACCCCAAAACCTTCGGCCTTATGCAACGGTTAAATCAAATGCATCGCCTGTGATTTGGAATATGCCAATAAATAGATTAAAGGCATACTGGTAGTATATTTTTATTATGATTTGCATTATTGTATTCCGATATAGCACCAATAAAGAAGAACTAATGGATATGGCTTCTCATCCTTTCTTTATACCATCGACAGTCATCTATGCCGGGGTGTCATGAAGCATGTTGCTTGTTTCCTAGTTTGATATCTCTGCCACGATGATGCATCAGTTCAGTGAATGTCTGCCTACTTTTTAAAAAAATAATCAGAAAAGTTTTCTGACCGTCTGATTGCAAAAATGCCTAACATTCTACCCATGGGCGATGCAGATAAAATCCTCAGCAAGATGGGAGAAGGTTTGTGATGATCTATCATTGTCATTCAGGTCTCTTCATTATTTATCTTTATATTTTTACATTCCCCCCTCGGATGTTAGGACTGCAGGTACTTTTGGACGTGTTTTAGAATGTTGGGACCGTGAGAAATGTGAGCCTGTAGCGATAAAGGTAGTGCGGAGCATACACAAATACCGTTATGCTGCAATGATTGAAATCGATGTCCTCAATCATATTGCTACGAATGAAAGAGGCAGATCGTGGTATGTGTAAATTTTAATTTCCGTTTCAACCTAAGATTGAAATCTGCAATAATCCAGTGGGTTAGCTTCCCCTCAATATCGGTTATTCATTTCCTCGTGTCTCTGTTTATACAGCTGTGTACAGATTCAACACTGGTTTGACTATCGAAACCACATATGCATTGTGAGTATCTGTTTCATATTTCTATTTAATTAGTTTCCTTAATCATTTAGGCTTTCTTTCTTCTTCTGGATGCAATTTGGAACTGTGATTGTGCAGGAAAGAATGATACCATCCCGTGCCTAGTTGCAACTGTTCAGTGAATTAGGTGGTTTGTTTATATGCTGTTAATGAATTGGCAGTAGAGCGCAAACCATTTTTTGGATATGAAATTCTTTTCATCCTTGAACAAGGGCTGAAGTTCTAAAACATCCCCTTCTCCCCAATAATCTGCAACCATTAGTCTGTGAGGTTGGTGCAGGGACTGAGGTGGAGTTAATATCTCACTGGAAATGGGGATACTTTTTTTTAATTGCAATATCCCTACAGGTTCATTTCATAACAGGGAGCTAAGTATTAAACAGTTTCTTTGATGAACTTTAATGGTGTTACCAGGTCTTTGAGAAGCTTGGACCGAGCTTATTTGATCTCTTAAAGAGAAATAAATATTGCCCATTTCCTGTGGATCTCGTCCGGGATTTTGGGCGTCAGCTTTTGGAATCTGTCGCATGTGTGTGGATTATTTATTGGGCTCTTTGATTTCTTTCTGTTTGTTTTTTTCCTGAATGATCTTGCCATCTGTTTCTGAACCAGTTTTCGTGACATTTTGTTTTTTGTGCATCTGGAACGTAGATATACACGATCTACGCCTAGTTCATACTGATTTGAAGCCAGAAAACATACTTCTTGTGACATCCGAGTATGTAAAGGTCCCGAGCCAGAAGGTACTTTAGTCATCTATAATACTTAACGAGGTAAAAAAAATTTCCCATATGTTTTGACTTGATAGTCAATAAATTCTTGGGTATTATACAGAGCAATTTGCAGGGGGGAACGCGTTTTAGGTGCTTGCCGAAGTCAAATGCAATAAAGTTGATTGATTTTGGTAGTACTGCATTTGAGAATCAGAGCCGTAGTTCCATTGTTTCAACAAGACATTACAGAGCACCAGAGATAATTTTAGGTAAAAAAATTATTTTTTATGGCAAAACGTTCGTTTTATGTCCATTTGATCCATGGTCAGGCCATCCGTGGAGAGTTTTGTGAACAATCAAATATCTTATCTGGGATGATCCTCAACAGGAAAGGCAACCATATATCTTTTAAGTGAAAAAAAACATTCACTTTCCCATTGCCTTTTAATAGATCGTATCAATAGGCTTTTGTATTCTTTGGCACAGTTTAATTTCTTCATCTCCTCTTTTTCTTTTCTTCATGTCTTCCAATATTTTTTCCGATATTTTGATGTTATTATTATGAAACAAAGTGAGATTTTTTTTAAGTTAAATTATCTGGTAACTTTCTCAGGAATGAAAGCACCTTTATTCGCTTATCGCCTTGTGCTCTGTTTTATGACGAACTCTAGTATGGTCACCCTTTTTTTTTTCATTTTTTCTTTATAAAACAAGGTAATTTCTTCTTTTTCTTAAGTTAGGTCTTCTTTTCGCCTTCCAATGGAATGCGTGTCTGTGTGTGTGTAGGGATTCCATTTCTGGCTGATTTTGTATAATTATTACGGGAAAATGATGTTCTTTTTAGACTTGACCTGTTTTACAAATTTCTTGTTGACCTCTTCATTATTTTTTTCTTCAAATCCATACTTTAATCCGAGTTTGTATTCGCTTATTACTGCACTGCCTTTTTGTTTCTTGGTCTTGATTGTTGAATTAGTGAGCTTATACTTTTTTGCTCCATTTCAGTTGATGTCAAATTACTTTCTTTATGTCCTGCCTTGACATATCGTGCTGATTCGATTCGGCATCATTCATGTATTTGAACGGGTCTGAGGTTTCAGTAGCTCAGCAACTCGCTCGTTGCCCTACCTCTTTTAGTCCATGTACCTCTCTCTGTCTTATGCCATTACCTTTTCTTTTCTTTTTTCCGTTTTGTTATAGAATCATCTTGAAAAGCAAAGACAAACCATTGTGAATTAAAAAGAAACGAGTGTTCTATGTTTTTGTTTTTTTTTTAAATGGTTTTTTAGTCCCAAAAAGGAACTGGTTTTGCAGACTGATTGTTCCCTTGTGCTTCCCACTAGTCCATCTCCTTCACTCGGCTTCATTTGAAGCGACGCATACTCAAGCAACTTTTTCAACCTGAAAGAAAGCCCTAACATAATCGAAGTGCATGCTTAAAGTTTTAATTTTCATGCCGTGTGCACCTCAGGTTTAGGATGGGACTATCCTTGTGACCTCTGGAGCATCGGCTGCATACTTGTGGAGTTTTGCACAGTACGTGCCCTGTTTTTTCCCTCTCTGGATTTTTTTTCATCCTTTGATATATTGCCTGATGGTACTATTCTGTGGAGAACTGGTTGAAGGGGGGAGCGCTTTTTCAGACCCACGAGAATCTGGAGCACCTGGCAATGATGGAAAGGGTCTTGGGGCCGCTGCCGCCTCGTATGGCCCAAAAGGCCAAGTATGATCATGTTTTCAGTTAATCTGCGGTTTACACAGGAAGCTCTAATAAGCTGCAGTTGAATTTCTCTTTTAAAGTCAATGCGTTCCATTCCCTTTGTGGATTGTTTTCTTTCTTCAGCAGCCTCATGGGCAATGCAACAAGTCTCAAGAGGAGCATTCTTTAAGGTTGTAACTTCTGCCTTGACCATGATCTCGCGCCTTGTCTATCTGTAGCCCTTCTGCCGCGAAATATTTTACCAGGGGAGCAGAACTGAACTGGCCAGAGGGCGCTGCGTCCAGGGAGAGCATCAGGGCCGTGGGGAAGCTGGGTAGACTGAAGGTATGCTGCTGGTGATCTTCTCCTCGAGGGTTCCATCCCCAATGCGGCCCTCCCGCCCTTGAGACGACCAAAAATGGCAGCTGTTAAGCCGCTTGCTTTGCTTCCTGATTGACCTCTCCGAATGCAGGATCTGGTTGGCCGGAATGCAGAGTGCTGGGGAGGCTCCTTCACGGACTTACTGCGTGGTTTGTTGAAGTTTGAGCCGGCTGAGCGACTCACGGCTGAGGAAGCTCTTGACCACGCGTTCTTCCAGCAATCCGGCCCGGCATGAGAGCTGAGCTGGATCCCGGTGAAAGAGGTAAAAGCTTCTCTACCTGCCCATGTCATTGCTTGCTTCTGGTGTCTGCCGTCAACGCGGATGCATCCTCCGGCTCTTTCCTATGCTATATATATTATTCTCAATGATTTCCAAAATTCCACCCCCAAACCCAGAAAAATCGCCTCGTCCGGATCCCGCCAGCGAATTGCTGGATTCCCAGGCATCGTTGACTCCCCAATTCCGTCGTGTGATGCGCACTTTGCCGCATCCCCATGGCTCGAATCTGACGTAGTTCTTGGGTTGGAATACTCCTCACGTAGCTTTTATACCCTTATTTTTAAGAAAAAACTGTACGTTCACGGGGTTGTCTTATTTAGAAGGCCTGGCTATGGGGCAACATCGCAGTGCCGTATGTCGGTGGTTAGCTGACTTTTTGCTCTTGAACCCCTTCGTTCCTGTTTACGTGCTTATTCGCCTGCCTTCTGGGTAAACTTTCCCACATAAAGAAAGGAGCCATTTTTACTTTTTTTTTTCTTTTCCGTCGCATTAAGGTCGCCTCTTCTTGTGCTCGGCTGACTGCGACGACCTTTCGGCCGATCCGATTAGATAGATGTTCGAATTATTTGGTGAATAGTCCGAGCATGCTGCCGTGGAGTCGCAACTGATGCGTTGACTTCTGGGTTCCCTCGAAATGCAGGGGCGAGAGGGAGACGGAGAGGGGTTTACTGTGGGTAACGCGACTGTAAATAACCCTCCTTTATTATTATCATTTTTATTTTTTTGTTTTTTAAGCAGACGAGCGGGTCCCATCCTTGATATGCTCTGCACGTGAGATACGCCCCATTTGGCCATGGCCAATCGTTGAATGTTGCGTTTCAACTCCGCTGCCACGTCATGGCGATTGGGGCTCGTCACCGACGAACGACAGAGAGAGGGGGGGCGAAGAAGTTGACTTGGCGAAAGCGATGGCGATGCGGTGATTATAACATATTTATTTTCATTCATTTGGATTAATGTTGGACGGGACGGTGATGTGACTGGTGAGGGCGGTCACCAGATCTGGCGTGTCGCGAAAAGAAGCTCTACCGGCGGCCCGGCACGAAAAATCTCTCTCTCTCTCCCTCTCTCCCTCTCTCCCTCTCTCTCTCTACGTGCGGAGAGACAGAGAGAGTAGAAAGGGGCCAGCGGCGTGGACGAAACTTGAAGAGTATTTAGGTTGACCATTAAAAGGGTATGTGCCGGGGAGAGGAGGAGAGCGTACGTCAGCAGAGCTCGTGGTTGACGAAAAGGTTGGGAGTATTTGAAGAGGAAACCGCTGGAGATGAACCACGTATGCCGGCGACAAGGCGGCATCTCCCGGTGGCGAGAACAGAGTCTCGGATATTTTTCTGGAGTCCCCGTTGCCGGCGGGTTTTGTCCTCGGAAGTCATCTCCTCGTCCTCTGCTTGTCGGCGGCGTGAGAAGCCCGCGAATAAAAGGGAATCCCCTCTCACCAGCTGGGGCAGCTCCGTCCGAAGAGCTCATCTCAGCTTTCTAGAGACAGAGCGAGAGCGAGAGCGAGAGGAGAAGAAGAAGATGGGGAGCGAGACCAAGGGGATGCTGGAGATCCAGAAGGATAAAATGACTGAGATCAAGTTCACCAAGCTCTTCATCAACGGCGAATTCGTCGACGCCGTCTCCCGTAAAGCCCTCCCCCTCCACCCCCGCCGTCTCCGTTTCCTTCCCTGAGAAGAAGAAGAGAGAGGATCGATAAGATGTCCGTGTGTTGTCCGCAGGGAAGACGTTCGAGACGACGGAGCCGCGAACAGGGGAGGTGCTGGCGAGTGTGGCGGAAGGCGACAAGGAGGACATCGACCTGGCCGTAAAGGCCGCCCGTGAGGCCTTCGACCACGGCAAGTGGCCCCGCTTGCCCGGCTCGGTACTTTCCTCCTCCTCCTCCTCCTCGTAATTCTAATCTTCTTGGTAATCGTCATCGTCGTCTTCTTCCTTCACCTCCTCACCTCCTCCTCCCTTCCGATGGGCTGGTTCTTCCTCCTCCGTCTAGCGGGTTCTTCTCCTTCTTCTTCTTCTTCTTCTTCTTCTTCTTCTTCTTCTTCTTCTTCTTCTTCTTCCTCTTCCACGAGGGATGGGGCGATGAAATTCTCTGGGGGCTGAGCGCAGGAGAGGGGGAGGATAATGAGGCGGCTGGCGGATCTGATCGACGAGCACGCGGAGGAGCTGGCGGCCCTTGAAAGTATGGATGCCGGGAGGCTTTTCACCCTCGGCAAGATCATCGACATCCCCGCGTGCTCCCGAAACCTGCGTTACTTCGCCGGCGCCGCCGACAAGATCCACGGGCTTACGCTGAAGATGTCCAGGGAGCTCCAGGGGCACACCTTGAAGGAGCCTATCGGAGTTGTCGGCCACATCATTCCCTGGAACTTCCCCTCCACCATGTTCTTCCTCAAGGTCAGCCCCGCCCTCGCCGCAGGCTGCACCATGGTCGTCAAGCCCGCCGAGCAGGCCCCTCTCACGGCCCTCTTCTACGCCCACCTGGCCAAGCAGGTACCTTTGCTCTCTATCCGAAACAACGAAAAAGCCGCTTTCTCACCTCCTCTCCGATCTCAGGCCGGCATCCCCGACGGCGTGCTTAACGTCGTCAATGGCTTCGGATCCACCGCCGGCGCCGCCCTCGCCTCTCACATGGACGTCGACAAAGTGGCCTCTCTCTCTCTCTCTCTCTCTCTCTCTCTCTCTGTCTCTACAGTTGTGAGCAGTAGTCAGGATGTGTGCCTCGGATTTGGTGGACAGATTAGCTTCACGGGGTCGACGGAGGTGGGGCGTCTGGTGATGGAGGCGTCGGCGAAGAGCAACCTGAAACCGGTGACGCTAGAGATGGGGGGGAAGTCGCCGCTGATCATCTTCGATGACGCCGACGTGAACGTGGCGACGGAGCTGGCCAGGATGGCCGTCTTCTACAACAAGGCAACGACGACCTCCCCTCCCTCTCTCTCTCTCTCTCTCTCTCCTTCCAGTTTGTCGGGAAGACCCGCCGCGGCTTACGGCAGCTGTCTGAAGTTGTAGGGGGAGATCTGCGTGGCGGGGTCCCGCGTCTTCGTCCAGGAAGGAATATACGACGAGTTCGTGAGGGTCTCCCTCGAGAAGGCCAAGTCCTGGAAGGTCGGAGACCCCTTCGACCCCACCGTCAACCAAGGCCCTCAGGTAATCTCTCTCTCTCTCTTTCTGCTCAGGAAGACCCACCTCCGCCATGATTGCCCCTTCTAATGGCCGACCCTCTCGAGAGAGATGAAACTACTGAAACTTTTTCCGGGGCTGGGCGAAGAAACTCGTCGTTCTAATGGTGTCTGTCCTCTTGGCGGTGAAGGTGGACAAGGTGCAGTTTGACCGCGTCCTCTCGTACGTCGAGCACGGGAAGCGAGAGGGAGCCACGCTGCTGACCGGGGGGAAGCCCTGCGGCGAGAAGGGCTTCTACATCGAGCCCACCATCTTCGCGGACGTCAAGGTAGTCAACACCCGCAGGGGGGTTCGAATGGGAGAGGAAAAGTCTCAACCCCATCCTGATGCCAATCCTCTTCTTCCGCAGGACGATATGATCATTGCCAGAGAGGAGATATTCGGACCCGTCATGTCTCTCATGAAGTTCAAGTAAGTCACCGCTGATCCTGACTTTCCACGTCGACTTTGTATGCCGACCGTGGTTGACTTTCTGTTTCCGTGGGTTGCCTCCTCCATGTATGCATCCATCCAGGACGGTGGAGGAGGCGATCGAGAGGGCGAACAAGACGAGGTACGGGCTGGCGGCGGGGATCGTGACCAAGGACCTGAACACGGCCAACCGGGTGTCGAGGTCAGTCCGAGCTGGCACTGTCTGGATCAACTGCTACTTCGCCTTCGACGCCGACGCCCCCTTCGGCGGGTACAAGATGAGCGGCTTCGGCAAGGACGCGGGGATGGCGGCGCTCGACGGCTACCTCAACACCAAGGCCGTCATCACCCCCATCTTCGACTCCCCCTGGCTCTGAGATGCACGATGATGACGATGATGTCTTATTTATGCTAAACCCCCCCCTAATAAAAAGCATTTGTCCGGAAAAATAATCGAACTTTTAATTGATTAGTCTGTCACTCCCCCACACAATTATTCTGTTGCGAGGAAATATATTTAACTACTATTTAAATAAAGATAAACATTTGTGTACTTTGAGGCGGAATTAGGATTAAACCGACAATTTTTGGTCACGATCCGACGTATTGCGAAGATAATTGGAATTTATTTTGTAGCTTTTAATGCTCCCCCTCGCGTGTAAACACGCCGCTCAAATCTCGATACCGCTTAAATTCCGAGCGATTCCCTGCGCATTGTTCGTTCGGCTGCGCGAACGGGGAGGGAGGCTGGGGAATCTTCCGTCCTCCGACTGTCCTCAACGCTGACCAAACAGGCGGCGGTGCCCCAGTGGGCACGCGGCACGTTGCCGAGGAGCCGCAACGCGCCGCGCGGTGCGGCGGACTTCCGGAGATTCGAATCCTCTCTACTCCCCTCCATTAAGCCGCCCCCGCACAGAGAGAGAGAGAGAGAGAGAGGATGGGGAAGGGTCTTCGCAAGTCTCTGCGATTGTACGTCTCGAAGCTCACAAGGCCAGTCGGAGGAAACCGACGGGAGGTCACGGGCCAGCGCCGGGCCCACGGCCTCGACAGCGGGAACCAGAGCTGCGGCGCCACTCTCCGCGACGTTGACCGCTTCCTCCTCGAGAACTTCCGCTCCATGTACACCACAGGCGACCGCGAGGACGACCCCTGCAACCTCGCCGCCGACGAGTTCCCCCCGCCGCCACTGCCTCGCTTCTTCGTTGAGCGCGCCCCACCGTCGCGAGACGGCGGCGGTGGAGTGGCGGTGGTCACCTTCTCGAGGGACCCCTGCGAGGACTTCCGGCGGTCCATGCAGGAGATGATGGAGGCGCGGGCACCGTTCGACTGGGACTTTGCGGAGGAGCTCTTCTTCTGCTACCTGGAGCTCAACGACAGGAGCCTGCACAGGCACATCCTCCGCGCCTTCAGCACCCTCGTCCTCACCGTCCGACGGCCCACGGCGGCAGTGGCAGAGCCCGGCGGCGCACCAGACGGAGGCGTTAAAATCCCTGTGGGGACCTGTATCTAGAAGTCGACGCCCGAGGAGGGGTGCCGGCCTCCTTTTAGGGGATGATCAGGTGCCCGGCGGTCATAAAACGGGCTTGAAACCTTGCAATCGAGCTCAGAAATAAAAGCCACTCTAACCTCGTCACTCATAGCGTCAACCTTCAGCACCAAAAAAAGAAAAGTTGGAACAAAAGAGAAATCCCCTTGATGATGTCTGGGTACCTAATTGGAAATTCTATCGAGTGCCCCTCCTGCAAGACAACGGGAGATGAGTAATCTGAAGATCTTGTCTCACATACCAAGCACAACTACTTGGTAATAATCTACCTGACCATTGCAGCGACGTCGAGCACAATACGGCCTCCCGGCGGCGGCTATTCTCCAGCAGCCGGGAGATCCCTCGGGCCGCAAACACCAGTTAGTCTGCCCTCCGCCGGCCCCCATCTCCGTCGGGGACTGCCCTCACATTTGGGTTGTAGCCGGTGTTTGCCGTTGGCCTTTCCCTCAACCTCTTTCTCATCTCCAGCCAACCCATATCCCCCCTTCCTCCGCAGGCCTCATCCCAGCCTTCGTGCTTCCTGTGACCATCTTTGGGTCGCTCCGCACTTGTCTGGACGCTGTTCTCTGAGTGATCTTGATCGGTGGCCTCCGCTGTGGAGTCTCCCTCGTCGTCATCCTTCTTTGAGATACTCATCTTCCTCTTCCTGTAAAGCAATTCAAGCGGATGAGAGTTCATCCATGAAGATGACAACTGATCCTCTCCGCTCAGAAATTATGAGTTCTCCGAAATAACTTCATCTGAATTTTATTCTTTCGAAATAACTTGTTAATTTTCTTCCTTATTCTAAGAAGGTGAGAGAGAAACTTACTTCTCATCTTGTATCGCCTCATCGATGGATTCATAGTATTCATCTGCAGATAAGGAACCAGGGTTGAAGCAGCTTAAATAAAGGAAACCTTGCGTGAGAGAATAGACCTAATTTATCAGATTGCATGGGCATCGTATTAGATGTCATATCTGAACAGCCGTACCAAATGTGTAGCTGACAGGTCTGCGTTCACGGCAGGAACGCCTGCTCTGGATGAAGTTACAATTTCTGAGCCCCTCAAAGAGCGTGGCCTGCCTTTGTCTCCGTTTCAGTAATCTTTCCTTCTTCTGTCACAGTGAAGCAAATCGATTCAGTAGGATTAGATGACCTCAGCATCCCAGTCGTGTTTGGACTCAAAAGCCTTTAAAAGCCATATTTCGCCAATTTTGGGACCGGGAATTTTTTTGGTCTCGCTTGTTTATATTCATATTTTTCATGTAACTTTATAGAAAAATCATCATTGAACTATGATACCAAGGACGCACACGCCAGATAAATATGAATGAATAAATAGGGTCCGATTGCCTGAAGGAGATTAGGCCCTGAATAAATGATAATGTAATCAACTCTATAGACTTTTGAAGATATCTTAAAGCCGTAAATATAACAAAATGTTGGAGATAAATATGCACCTTCTCCAGTTCTTCAACAACAGGCATGATCTCATCCTTAACAATGCTCCCTATGGCATGTTCTGAAGAAATTTTGCTACACAATAGCTTATCCTGACATTGCAATATCAAATTCACGATCACATAACTGCACAAGCCTGCGTGAGATATGTAATAATACTTTCAGCCTTACTGCGATTTGCTGAAATTCTTTGAGATTGGTTGCGAGGGTTTCCCATTGAAAAGTCACTCTCGGTTGTGTTAAACGTCCCCTGCCTTTTGGCTTGGGCTTATACTCAACTTTAGGTACATTTTTATATAACCTATGGCCAATAACTGAATCCCCATCGTACCTTCAACAAAAATAAAATAAAATCAAGAAACAACAATGTGAGATGCGAACTTTGGAGAATCATTCGATCAATAGAAAGCACTAAATTCTTTGAAGAGCCAATGAACAACCAATTAACAACAGAGATAGAATAAATGAAGTTTGGAGGAAACTGAATGGATCCTAACTCGCTATTTATACTTTTAAAACAGTTGTAGAGGAGCAAAATTTCGAGCTGAATTTCATCTCAAGGAATTACCAGTACGTAGTCCCGTTTCCATCCTGATATATACTATCTTTGCGAAACTTAGAAAGCTGGCCACCACGCTTCACCCCCTCGTCAACATAACTCAAAATATCATCTTGCTACAGAAAAAGCACATGGCTTTCAGGTGACAAAATATACCTTGAAGGAAAGTAAATCTTGAATTATGAAGAAAGTGAATGTAATGGTACTCAAATTTCAGTAGGGGAACATACATCAAGCGATCAACAGATAAACACATTCCCAAATCATATACCGAAAGAGAAAAATACAAGCTCGGATTGATTTTCAAATGGAGAACGCGATTTCATTCGAATAAATCAGGCAGGCTGAATTACCTGCATGCGGATTTCGCAGAGAGCTTTTAGGATCAGCAACCTTGTCATTGGATCAAGCCCCTTATACGTCAAAATTTCCACCCTGTTTAAGCAGAGACACAAAACACCATTATGTTCTGAGCCTCTCTTAAGATGATTAAGGGCTAGTGAACATGTTTCAATGAAGATTACTTCCACGTACCCATTATTGGCCACTAAAGGAACCTCACCTTCGGCAACCTGCGCTAAAAATAGACATCATGAGAGAACACTCAATATCCGTGAATAAAACGAAAGCATAAAAACCATACCCAAGGCCACCACATCTTAAGCTTTTTACAGAGTACTGTCACCCATGCATCAGATTCCTCCAGATTCTTGCTTACAGGAGGTATACCCTGTATTGTATTTAACAACGCAATAGATAAGCATAAGAGATATCTCACATTAGCGTATGTCATATGATTTTTGGAAGGAGACTTTCCATCTTCACGTAGAATCTCGTGATATCAAAAGAAAAATATGTCATTCATAAGTGCCCCGACAGATGCATGGTGAATAAAAGGCCAAATACGTAGGACTGGAAGGAGAACGAACTCGACCAGCTAAAACTGAACACAAAACTAAACCCCCAAGGAAGCGTGAAACAAAAAAGATGCGCGTATGTCAGCAAGGCAATGGAAAACTTTAAGCGACAAGAATAAACAAGAAAAGAATGGCCAGATACATGCGGTAACTGATTTGATAGAAGTATCTAGACCAGAAAGAATTGACCGTGAAGCAGAGCAGACGGCAATCGCAACATACCCGACCAAGAAAACACATAGACGTAATTCTACCACAATATTTATGATTGAAAACCATTAGAGAACCGTCATTTTTCAAGAATCTGGTTAGGGATGCCAGTTTTCCATCCACCATGGTCAGAAATGAGAACCTGTAGAAAACAAAATTGATTGATGTGTGGAACTGTCTACTAGTTGAAATGCCTTTTGCTGTCTATATTCGTGAAGTAGTATGATGCTAAGCGGCGAATCCAGCAGTTTAAAGCACGATGAGTACAGACAGAAAACATACTCTTCGGTATCCCATATAGTGAGAAAATAAACTGACATTCGAAAACAGAAGTTTTAATGGGGAATTGAAAGATATATTTCGTTTGTACACTCGACAATTAAAATATAATCAGTGCCAGAAAAAAGATAACTTTGAGCAAAGAATACCTTCCGGGAAAACACAAGATAAAGTCAACATAAAAGACAAACCTTCAGCAAAGTAATGTGTATATGCGCCAAGACATTGCCTGCCGTCATAAGTGCTATTTCCATCTCTTCGGCCGAGATCTTCAGTTCACTGAGAATGATAGGCTGAAATACCTGAAGAAGTTCAACGGGGTAAAATCAGATATAGAAAGAACACGGATGTATAAGGATACGCCAGAAAATAAATTATGAAACACATCATACATGTAGAAAATTGAGAACCGACGCCAGCTCCCATCGGCCACGAAGCTGGAGACGACACAAGTCCGTTTCAGAAAGAGGTGGTTCCAGCACGGTGACTTCGTCGTCGGTCGTGTCCTCCCGATGACCGGTATACTTCACAAGCGGCGGCCTACCTCTTCCGCGCCTCTCAGACATTTAAAACAGTCGAGAAGCGGCGGTAAAGAGAAAGCTGGGCTTTCACGAGATACGACCAACCGCAAAATGCGGCGAGCGATCGGAGGGGACTCTCAGAGAATCGGAAGGGTCGATGGCCAGCGCAGCGGGGACCCGAGAGCGGAAGAAGATGAGAGAACTAGAAGGTATGCCGGACGATGGAGCGAGGGCGGGAAGTGGCCTCCGGACTCAAGACTTTCGGTCGCCATTTATATATCTCTCGCCCTCCTTGACCAGAACCAGTAACTCTCCAGCCACTTGGCGGTAATTTCTAGGGTTTATGGTTTCTCCTTTGACGAGAGGACGCCACGGCCTCCGATCATCTCGACACGTGTGAGACCTCCAAAAAAAGTTGGCGCCAAAATCTCGAATAAAACTAGAGTTTATAATTAATTATTATTTTATTTATTTATTTTAAAAAACATAATTTCTGCCGACGGAAGCTCGGCGATCCCAGTGTTTATCTGGGCCAGTTTAGGCCCAATACTGGGAGGGCCGGCTGCCACGTGGAAGTCAGTGGCTGACCTACGGGGAGAGTGGACAGTTATTTATATTCGGTAGACCCCTCCGAAGGAACATCATAATCGGACGGCTCTTCCGCGTCGATTATAAGATTTCACGGAAATGGACGGAGTAGATGGCGCCGTGTCATGCGGGAGATCTTCAGGCTCTCCGTTCCTTCTGGAATCATCGGCTATCTAACCCAGGAATGGAGCTTTCTAGAAGAAGGAAGAGGCTTTATTTTGGCCCTCGCAGAATCGCCGGTGTCACTAGCAGAAGCAGAGGAACGAAGGGATCATTTCCTTGCCCGGCCGCGAAGGTACGTTCTGCGACCTCAGCTCGTAATGTCTCATAGATCCCAATGTTTCTGGTTCCTCGGAACCCTAGATTTCATCGGAGGTTCGCTCCGTTTATTTGCCTGTGAACGTCTGCTCGTTTTTTCATGTCCTGCCTTCGCCGCGTCCATTGTTCTTCCCTCTAGTAGGGTTTTTGCTTCTTGCTACGGGTCAGGACGTGCCTCTCTCCGTTCGTCGCATCCTCGTGAGGAGATCACATGCTTTATACTTTTTTTTCGAAGTTTTATAGAGTGTGAATGTCTGATGGCTTGTTCGAGCCACTTTGTTGTCTCTGCCCGCTTAATCTCTTTTTTTTTCCCACTATTTTACCGTTCGACAGATCGCTATTCATATCCCCGGTGATCAGGGATAGCACCGACTAGCGACTCGAAAGGAGAGTCATGAGCGTTGTTGGGTTCGATTTTGGAAATGAGAACTGCATTGTTGCCGTGGCCCGGCAGCGAGGCATCGACGTTGTTCTCAATGACGAGTCGAAGCGGGAGACGCCGGCCGTCGTGTGCTTCGGTGATAAGCAGAGGTTTATCGGAACCGCCGGTGCCGCGTCAACCGCGATGAACCCCAAGAATGCCATCTCACAAATAAAGCGCTTTATCGGTCGCAAGTTTTCTGACCCCGAGCTCCAGCGTGACATCCAGTCCCTCCCTTTTAACGTTACCGAGGGTCCAGATGGGTTTCCGTTGATTCATGCGCGGTACCTCGGTGAACAGAAGGTGTTTACCCCCACTCAGATATTGGGAATGGTTCTGTCTAATCTAAAGGGAATAGCTGAGAAGAATCTCAATTCTGCGGTTGTTGATTGTTGTATAGGGATTCCAGTCTATTTCACTGACCTGCAGAGAAGAGCTGTGCTGGATGCAGCTACCATTGCTGGTTTGCATCCTCTCCGTCTGATGCATGAGACCACTGCAACTGCCTTGGCATACGGCATCTACAAGACGGATTTGCCGGAGAATGATCAGCTTAATGTTGCTTTTGTCGACGTTGGACATGCTAGCATGCAGGTCTGCATTGCCGGATACAGGAAAGGACAGCTGAAAATATTGGCTCACTCTTTTGACAGATCTCTTGGTGGGAGGGATTTTGATGAAGTCCTATTTCAGCACTTTGCTGAGAAGTTCAAGGAAGAATACAAGATTAATGTTCTGGAGAATGCCCGTGCCTGTTTGAGGTTGCGTGCTGCATGTGAAAAATTGAAGAAGGTGCTGAGTGCAAACCCTGTGGCTCCGTTGAATATAGAATGCTTAATGGACGAAAAGGATGTCAGAGGGATTATCAAGAGGGAGGAATTCGAAGAAATCAGTGTCCCAATATTAGAAAGGGTCAAGAGTCCGCTACAGAAAGCACTCGTAGATGCTGGGCTTAATGTGGACGACATCCACTCGGTGGAGGTTGTTGGTTCAGGTTCTCGGGTTCCAGCAATCCTTAAGATACTGACGGAATTCTTCGGGAAGGAGCCAAGACGAACAATGAACGCTAGTGAATGTGTTGCTCGTGGATGTGCACTTCAGTGTGCTATTCTGAGCCCCACCTTCAAAGTGCGGGACTTTCAGGTATTTCATTCCTATGTTTCCTGCACTTTTCAAGTATTAGTGAGTTTTATGAGGGACCGCTATCATTCATGGGTCTGTTTTTCTCTTCATTTATTAGCAAAACGACCATGCATATGAGAACCGCTGGGAACGCGTTACCTTGAAATATTTGCATGTGTACATGTACATGTTATCCGACTTCAACTATTGAAAATCCTTTAATTTAACTTGTTATAAGCATTTAAAGGCCAGATGGACAACTCCTAAACATCTCAGTTCAGTATGCCGCTTGTGCATTCCTCATGTTCTCTTTATGCCTTGAAAATTTGGCGAGTTTTTTCTTTCTCTTTTTGCTTGCTCTGAGAACTCATACATGTTGATCTCATTGTTTTTTGGTATCAATGACATTCCTGTGGGTTGCTGTGTTTTCATTCATGCTGCAAGGATTCTTTATTTGTGTAAAAAAAATAAATCCTCGAGTTTTCGTCATAGTTGTTTCGGTTTTCTGTTGATTTTTCATGTCTTCAGAGTTTCTAGAGATTATTTCAATATAATGGTGATCAATGTGCTAAAAGCTGGTCGTCTCCAGAATGTGCAGTCTGATTTCTGTTTTTTTGTCATGAGGTTTGCTACAAGTTTTTAACCAAGTGTATGGTTTATTCTGCCAATATAAGGTGCACGAAAGTTTCCCCTTCCCAATTGGTCTATCTTGGAAGGGTGTTGCACCTGATGCGCAAAATGGAGCTACTGAGAATCAGCAAATGTCCATTGTGTTCCCCAAAGGGAATCCTATACCTAGCTTGAAGGCTTTAATAATTTTCAAGTCTAGCACCTTTTCCGTGGATGTTCAATATGTAGATGCGAGTGACTCGCAGGCACCTTCAACTATCAGCACATACACGGTAAATGCTACATACATCTAAAGCTCTTCTTTTAACCTTTTGTTGCCCCTCTCTAATTGATGTATGCGAATAATTCCTTCATTTTTTTTTCTTTTTGTATAGATTGGTCCTTTCCAGTCTACAACAGGTGACTGTGTAAAGATAAAGGTGATGGCCCGATTAAATCTTCACGGAATCGTGTCTGTCGAGTCTGCAACTGTAAGTTCCAAATCGTGTTCTCTGGTTTGATGCTACCTGTTAAGAAGTATCGCGACTGTTCTCCAATTTTGATCCATCTTCCGTTGTTATGTGGCCTTCAGATGCACGAAGAAGAAAATGTCGAGGTGCCCGTAGGAACCACGAAAATGGATACAGAAGAAGTAGCATCAAATAACCCGTCCTCTGTGGAAAGTGACGTAAACATGCAGGACGCCAAAAGCCCCTCTGAACCTTCACCTTCTGGGGTGGAGAATGGTACTCTGGAGGAGGATGATAAGCACAAGCCCACGAAGATGGAGACGGATGCCAAGGTTTGTGTCACTGCTTGTCGTTGGTTATCCTGAGGCCATGCAGGTTTGAACGACATGTTGATAGGCCGTCTTATATCTGACTAGGTCGAGGCCGTGAAGAAGAAGGTCAAGAAGACCGCCATCGCAGTCGCCGAGAATGTCTACGGCGGACTGCCTTCTGCGGAGCTGCAGAAAGCGGTCGAGAAGGAGTTCGAAATGGCTCTCCAAGACAAGGTGATGGAAGAAACCAAGGACAAAAAGAACGCCGTCGAAGCCTACGTCTATGACATGAGGAACAAGGTACGGACCAGCATCCACCTGTTTTGATCCCCTCCCCCTCCAATTCCTCGGTGTCTGACAGCCACACGGGCCCCCCATACCCCAGCTCCACGACAGGTACGAGGAATTCGTCACCGCGTCAGAGAGGGAAGCGTTCACCGCCAGGCTTCAGGAGGTGGAGGACTGGCTGTACGACGAGGGAGAGGACGAGACGAAGGGCGTCTACATTGCAAAGCTCGAGGAGCTCAAAAAGGTAAACCTTGCGTCCTCTACATTCCTCCTCCTTTCTCCTCTCTTTGTGGCCTCTGCTTGACCCTGCGTGCCGTACGCAGCAAGGAGGCCCCATCGAGGAGCGCTACAAGGAGAGCCTGGAGAGGGGGCCAGCCATCGACCAGCTCGTTTACTGCATCAGCAGCTACAGGGAGGCCGCCCTCTCTGCGGACCCCAAGTTCGACCATATCGACATTGCGGAGAAGCAGAAGGTACACTGCGGCTGCCCCCGCCCCTCCTCCTGCCCCTGCCCTCCTGTGGCGCCTTATTGGAACCCCTGCTTGCTTGTGAGCCTGTGACTGATTGATTCGTCATTCATTGGACGTATGTTGCTGATGGGTGGTATAGGTTATAAACGAATGCGGCGAAGCCGAGGCTTGGCTTGCGGAGAAGAGGCAGCAGCAGGAGGCCCTCCCCAAGTACGCCACTCCCGTTCTTCTCTCCACCGATTTGAAGAGGAAAGCCGAATCCCTTGACAGGTATTTTCTTTTCTTCCCCCATCCTCTATCTCTCTCTCTCTAAACTGGGTTGGTTGGTGTGTGCAGGTCATGCAAGCCCATAATGACGAAGCCTCGTCCGGCGCCGGCAAAGCCTCAGACCCCACCGACGCCGCCGCCGCCCGCCGAGCACCCGGCGGAGGAGGGCGCGGAAGAGCAGAGCACCGGCGACGCCGCCCCCGCCCACCCCTCGGAGGCCATGGACACCGACAAGCCCGGCGAGCCCGAGCCTTCTCCCCCGGCCGCCTGATTATCCCTCCCCCCCTCCCCCCCGCACAGCGTCGTTGTTAATTTTTCCTCTTTTTTTTTTTTTGATGGGCCTGTTTGAAACCGCGGTAGTTTTCCTCTCGGACTCTCTTTGACTCGTCCTTTTTAGCTGATTTGTAGCACCGCGTCACCCTCCTGTTTTATAGACACACAAGATTACCTTCAAATTGCCGGCGACACATTCTTCCGAGTCCATTCGGTAACCGGGACCTCTCCCTCCACCATCCTTCCTGACGCTTTTCAGTGTGCGCAGCGAAACGTGTTCAAAATGTACGGGGTAGATGCCAGCTGGATTAGTTACGTCGTTAGAGATTCGGAATATCGGATCGGGTTGGGGCGAATCCTTGTGGGGTCCCTAGTGGTATCGGGAGGCGCACCACCCCCCCCCGGGAATTGGCGCCAAAACCTCTCCGTTTGGATTACGTGTTGTATAAAGACGAAGAGCCGGACTTAATAGTAGCTTCGACGCATTCTTCTCCCCCCGTCTGCTCTCTCTCTCTCACACAGCATTGTCGACCTACCTGCTCGACGGCCATTGCCGGGTTGGAGGAGGGAGGGAAGGTCAAATGCAGCGGCAGAAGTCGATCCTGAGTTTCTTCCAGAGACCTTCCCCGGAGAACCAGTTTAAGTCCGGCGCCTCTCTCTCTGGCGCGCCGGTCCCCTCTTCCAGTTCCGCTTTGCACCGCGCAGGGTCTCAGCAGAGTGGCTACTCCGCGGATGATAACACCTCCAATGAGCATATGCTTCCCCCGGTTATCAGGGGGACAGACACCCCGCCCGAGAAGCCTCCTCGTCCTCTCATTCCGTCGAGATTGCCTACGGGTGGCAGCGGTGACGTTGTTGCTCGGCCTTTCGCAAGCATAATGCATAAATTTGTGAAGAGAGTGAAGTTCGAGGCGAACCCCATGGGTTGCGCCTTCCCTTCGCTTGAGTAAGCATTCTCGTTTCTTTTGTGGTCTCAGTTGTTTCTCTCGATTAACTCTGTCCAAGTGGTTTATGGTCCAAACTTGTGTACCGATTAATGTATCCCACGAGTTCTTTATATGTGTGCGTGCATGTAGAATTGCTCTTACCGGAGTATATGATTTTCGGGAAATATTTTTTTACCTTTGTATATTCCCCGTCGTATATGGCTTCGTGTTTTTCTACGGTTATCAGTTAAATGGTCTGTCCATGTTTGGGATATTCGCCAAACTTTTGTATTTATTTTATGTATGATGCACCACAAGCCTGGCCTCTACTCTCCCTAAACAGTTTCCTTGATGAAAAGAAATGTATAATCCTACCTCCTGAGTTTGAGTTGTCACATGCGTCGAAATGTGCATTTGCTTGGGGTCGAAGCTGACTCCGGATTTTCACCCCTTTTGCTCGCCAGGACTGTGGACGATCAGGGTGCGGTCAAGTGTCTCCCAGAATCAGCTAAAAGAGATGGGATTCACGACGACTATGTGAATATCGAAACAATGAGCAGTGATCCATTGAATGTATCTACTTCAGTTGAGGCAAACAACAAGAATGACGGCGATGGAGACCTTGTATCACTCGAACTTGAACCTACAACTCCGGGGCCAGAAACTCCAGCGATGAGGCGATTTGCTCCCCGTTCGAAGAGAATGCAAGACGAAGTCGATTCTGTCAATGAAAATCAGCATTCTCTTTTCCTAGAATCTAGCAAGAGGATGAAGCTGATTCGTGAGTCAGCACAAAACAAGGTGGCTGATGAGAGGGTCTCTGAAGCTGCAGGCAGTAAATTTGAATGGCTAAACCCAGCCTTCATTAAAGATGCCAATGGTAGAAGACCAAATGATCCTCAGTATGATAAGAAGACTCTATACATGCCTCCTGGTGAATTAGCCAAGATGTCGGCTTCCCAGAAACAGTATTGGAATGTAAAATGTCGTTACATGGATGTTATTCTGTTCTTTAAAGTTGTAAGTTTCCAGTCTCTGATTTTTTATTTAAAATATTTTTCAGTTTTCTTTTTTCATGTCATATGAGCGTATTCTTGTTTTTTCTGTCCCCCCTCTCGGCATCTGCATATCTTTTAAGCTTTCTCCACCTGTCATTGTTTTTCTTTTTCTTTTGTAGACAAATATTTCGACACTTCTATCTGGTGTCTGATTTTATTTTTGACATTCTTCGTTCCTAAAATTAGGGGAAGTTTTATGAGCTTTATGAGTTAGATGCTGAAGTTGGGCACAAAGAACTGGATTGGAGGATTACACATAGTGGCGTGGGTAAATGTAAACAGGTAATTTTCGATTTGATCTGTCGCTGCTTCCGTTGTTATGTTTCTTATTTCAAGTTACCTGCATTTCAATATTTCTGCACTGTCTACTGTGCATATGATATTCTGTTCTTCGAATTGTGATTTTGATTTGCATATTCCAAGTCCTTCGATTTACATTCAGTTTGCATATTTCGTGAGATTTTGTCTAGCTTACCCTATCAGAATTATCATGAATTTTTTTATAGTTCTATGAAATGGTCGTTAGGAATCCATAACTTTTTGACCTTTTTTCTTTCTCAAAACCTTTATTTACAAGTAGGATATTCGGGATACATTTTTTTTCAAAAGGACTATTAACGACAGGAATTACTAGATCAGTATTTGGTCAGTTTTGAGGAACTCCGCCCTCTTTTGACGTATCCTAATTACTTCCGTAATTTTGTAACGTGATTGAAACAGAGATCTGTCCCTAGCAGATCTATCGTTTACATTTTTTGTTTCTTCCTGTTTACTCGTCTTAAGAAACTCCTGGACTATTTACATTTTCTAAACAAACAGGTTGGCATTTCTGAGAGTGGAATTGACGATGCTGTTCAGAAGCTTATCTCTCGAGGGTAAATGTTGCTATTATCTTTAAATTCTGATGGACATTCTCAAGTATGATTGGTATTTTTTGCAATTTTTCAAAGCATTCGACTGCTTGCAGGTGGGGAGAAGAAAATGACCGATATCATTACTGGTATCTACAGGTTGAAAGAAAAAATAGTAAGAAAGAGAAAAGCATGAAGAATAAAGAAGTAAAAATGCGAATACAGTAATAGAAAATCATATTCTTTTCAATTCACTCTCGATTTATGTCTTCAACCGGGGTTTTTTTCTTAAATTTGACGAACATTCTGAAATTTTATTTGATTAGGGTTATATATATATATATATATATATATTGTATAATTAGGTCTAAATGAATATAACAGAGTTAACAGACTGCTCAGAAATTTGTTTGCAAAATATGTTGCACGGGTTCTCATCAACGGTGGCAACAAAATGTGGTCCTGGTTATGGTTTTAATTTTTTTCCTGTACAATGAAATGCCATTGGATTCTAATACAATCGCTACTACCAGATAAGTCTGACCTATAATTACGCATAAATCTCACTCTGTTAATAGAGATGTTTCAGATTTGCGTTAACTATTTTTTTATAAAAAGTCCTGCAGTTACGTCCAACGAACTTTGAGCTATTTTTGAGTGTCATTTCATACGTTTGTACTGGATTGCATATTCTTGGACCATAATTCTGATAAATTAGATGAAATACCTAAAAGTTTCTCCTCTTTAAGTATAAGAGGACAGTTGAATCTGTTTAAAATAGAACAAAGTATTGTTAATGAGTGGATTACTGTAGACATGGTCCTATTATTAAAGGAGGACGTGAACCTACTAATAGTTATCATTTCATGTCTTGATATAGGGAAGGGCATATGCATGTAATATCATTCATTTATGATTGTGGCATACAGTTTTCTCCATTTTGCGCGTGGTGGGGTAGAGAAAGAAATATGTAGATATTCAATTGTGACAGTCAAGCTTCATTTCACACCCTTTTCCTAAAAAGTCTGATTTTTATTCATGCATCATTATGTATATGCACTTTTTACGACATAGCCTACTGCCTTCATCATATTTTATCAGTCATTAGTTATTATCGTTATTTAGTATTATCATTTTATTATTTAAGGTATAAAGTTGGTCGGATTGAACAAGTTGAGACTGCCAATCAAGCCAAAGCCAGGGGATCGACTTCTGTGAGTATTTAGAATGCATCTCATTGGTATTGCTCGTTCTTGTTTATATTTTTATTGAATCTGAGTTGGGTAAGAACATTCACGGAGGGAACCAACATATCCTAACTTTTGGATGCATATTGTTACTCTTGCCTTTATGTTGCCAGCTATTTTTTGTGCTCGCATTTGATTTATTGGGAAGCGTGGCATACCAGCAATCTTGTACCTTTTTTCACCTTAGAAGGATTTTTTCTTCGTTGCAATGGGATACCAATATATCTTTCAACATAATACTTCCGAAATTGCACTTAAATCAGAAAAATGTTTTTAATGGATTCATTCTGTACATCATCACACTTAAATGAGAAAAAATGTTTATAATGGATTCATTCTGTACGTCATCCATTCTCATCACGAATATCATGGCTATTTCACTTATTACACTTTCAATTTGGCAAGATTTCTGTTGTCTTGAGGCTCATTGCTAGGATTTCGAGCAGGTTCAAATTTGTCCGAATCGAAACTTTAAATTCTTTCCAGACAGAAAAGTTGTGAGGATTTCCACCTTGGAATTTTTATGATCTGGTTGAGGTGCATCCCATGCAGAAAGTGCGAGAGATTCGATTGGTGATGCGTCATTCTCTGCAAATGCAAGAAACTAGTAACTCTCACTAATTTTTCATTTTACGGTGCTACATCCACTTGAATCGGGATGATCTCACTCTTCGGCTGAGATGTTTTTCGAAATCTGAACTCGCTCCAATAAGGTGGCAGCCGTAATTTTTAAAATTTTAGGTTTTTTTCGTTGACCTAATTTTCTTGTCTTTACATGAAACACGCTTATTTTATTATATTCTATAAAAAAAAAAATCAAAATTCATTACATTAGGCTGGTTCATGCCTCCTCCATCGTACCCATCTCGTGGTTAAATTCTGCGGTGAATTTTTGGTCTACCTTCATCTTCTAAGAAGTAGAATACTTTTATCTTTAAGATGACAAAATTTTCAATTGCCTTTTTCCTTGTATTTTTCAGGTGATCCAAAGAAAATTAGTCCATGTCTTTTCCCGATCAACTATGACTGATGGATGCATTGGACCAGAAGCTGTTCATCTCCTAGCATTAAAAGAGGTCCACCATTTTTCGCATTGAATTTTATTCCGCAGAATTCAACAAAGCATACTCATCATGAGCAGTAATATGCTGACCCATCTTTAATCCAAACGATCATTACTAAAATGCCTCAAATCTCCCCCAGTTTTTCATCAATGCCACCTTCTTTGTGCCCAACATAGATCGATGATGATCACAGAGACTGAAGATTAGGTTTATTCATCGTACGGCAATGACAATCCTAGAAACTGCTGATTGGCTTCATTCAACATACATCAATGATGATCCCACACATTGAAAATAGGACTCATTTTTTATTTTTATTTTGTGATTCTCGTCTGCATCCAGGGAAACAATATCTCAAAGAATGGTAAGACCGTCTATGGCTTCGCTTTTGTGGACTGTGCGGCATTACGATTTTGGGTCGGCTCTATGGAAGACGATGCTTCCTGTTCAGCTTTGGGGACTCTACTGATGCAGGTAGGCTCACCCGCCCAACCCTTTCGAGCTGTCCTCTCCCACAAGAAGCAAGATTCTGACATTGAACCTTGTTCAGGTTTCACCCAGGGAAGTGCTTTACGAAAACAGAGGTTTTTTCCTCAAAACCAGCGGTCTGATTCTCATAAAATCTTCTATTTTACCTTTAGCCTGCAACTCATTGTGTTTAGCTGCGCAGGCCTCTGTGTGGACTCTGAAAAGGCTCTCAGAAAGTACGCCTCAACAGGTACACATAGGTCTAGATGTACGACAGAAAATTACTCTCCAAACACGTGGATCTGACGCCAGCGTTATTCGTCACATTCAGATTCCCGTCCGGTGCAGTTGACTCCTGCAGCCTCCAGCGGCAGCCTTCTCGGTGCTTCTGAAATCCATGAATTAATTACCTCTAAAGGATACTTCAAAGGCTCTTCTTTATCTTGGTCATCGGCAGTAGGCGGTGAAAGACACCAGGATCTCGTCATCTGTGCCTTGGGTGTACTGGTCGACCACTTATCGCGGTTGATGGTTCGTTCTCTCTCTCTCTCTCTCTCTCTCTCTCTCTCTCTCGCTAGATTCATATTTATGTATTTCGCTAGATATGACTTGCTTCATATCTCATCCCTGCCTGCCTTTAAACCAGCTCGGTGATCTTCTGCGTAATGGAGATATCTTGCCATATCACGTCTACGGAAGCTGCCTCAGAATGGACGGTCAGACTCTCGTGAATCTGGAAATCTTCTGCAACAATGTCAACGGTGGCTTGTCAGGCAAGCATCCTTCTTTCTTCTGTTTTCTTTTTTTTTTTTTAAGGCTGAAGCATCAGAAATTTGCCCGTGAGGGGCTCGGCGTCATTTCTTTCCTTTTTTTTCTTTTTTTACCGTCTATTTTCCTGAACGCAGGCACCTTGTACAAATTCCTAGACCACTGTTTGACCGCGCCCGGTAGAAGGCTCTTGAGAAGGTGGATCTGCCATCCATTGAAGGACGTCGAGGAGGTCAACGACCGGCTTAATGTGGTGGAAGCCATAGCAACAAATGAGGGTCTGGCCTCCCAGATTTCGGAGGGTCTGCGGAAGCTCCCTGATCTGGAAAGGCTGCTGGCCCGCGTTAAGTCCAGCCTCGGCTCTTCCTCCACTCTCTTACTGCCGTTGGTCGGAGAAAGAGTGCTCAAAGAAAGGGTACTCTTCCAGTTGACCAATGCCCCCCCTCCCCCCCTCATTCTTACCCTGTCATTGTCAACCCTTAACGTCTTCCTACTCACTGTGCAGGTGAAGTCGTTTGGGCATCTCGTCAAGGGTCTGCGGCCGGGGGTTGACTTGCTGAAGGTTCTCCAGGAGAAGGGCTGTCAGATCCCATCGCTGTCTAAGATCCTGAACTGTCCGGCGATGCCAGAGCTCCACCAGTTCCTAAGCCTGTTCGAAACCGCCATAGAAGCCAGTTTCCCTGACTACCAGGTTCCCCTCCCCCGCCCCCATCATGGATATCTATCTGGTTCCTCTGTTTTGCTGTCGGATCTCTCAGTTCCTTCTTTTCTTCTACTTCTTCTTCTCTTCTAGAACCACGCTGTGAAGGACGGGGATCCTGAGGCGTATCGCACCCTTGCGGAGCTCTTCTGCGAGCGGACCGCCGAGTGGGCCCGAGTCAACCATGCTCTCTCCTGCGCGGACGTCCTGCGGTCCTTCGCCGTGGCGGCGGGCATCTCCGGTGGGCCCATGAAGCGGCCAGTTCTTCTGCCAGCTGGCGACGAGAACAGAGGCCCAGTGCTCGAGATTCGAGGGCTCTGGCATCCCTACGCCGTGGGGGAAAACGGGGACAGACCGGTCCCGAATGACGTGTACCTCGGCGGCCACAGTGGCCGCTCCGCTGGACAGAATCCACGCACACTGCTGCTGACGGGGCCGAACATGGGCGGGAAGTCGACCCTGTTGCGCGCCACGTGTTTGGCGGCTGTGCTGGCCCAGGTTAGTTAGCTGGTTTCTCTCACTCACTCACTCACTCACCCGCAATTTATTCGCCACAAAACGAAACTGAGGTTTCTGACGGTTCGTTCCTCTGTCGTCTGACTTTGAGCAGCTGGGCTGCTACGTTCCTTGCGACTCCTTCCTTCTCTCAATCGTGGATGTGATGTTCACGCGACTCGGCGCCGTAGATCGTATCATGTCCGGAGAAAGTGAGTAAGCTAAGCTTCTCTCTCTCTCTCTCTCTCTCTCTGTGTCAGGGTTAACCTCGTGTGTTCTAGATGATTCTGGATGCCTGATGGGAGCTTCTTGCAGGCACCTTCTACGTGGAATGCGCCGAGACGGCGTCGATTCTCCAGAGTGCGAGCCAGGACTCCCTGGTCCTGCTCGACGAGCTGGGGAGGGGCACCAGCACCTTCGACGGATACGCCATAGCCTACGCCGTCAGTCCTCTGACCTTTATCCTCTGACCTCTTGTGACCTTTGTTGACCTTTGTTGACCTTTGTGGACCTCCGATCCCAGGTCCTGCGGCATCTCCTGGAGCAGGTTGACTGCCGGCTGCTCTTCGCCACCCACTACCACCCCCTCACCAAGGAGTTCGCCTCCCACCCCCGAGTCAACCTCCAGCACATGGCCTACATCTTCCGCCAGGACGGGGAGAAGGAGCTGGTCTTCCTGTACAAACTCGCAGCGGGGCCCTGCCCGGAGAGCTACGGGATGCAGGTGGCCCTCACCGCCGGCATCCCCCCCGAGGTGGTCAACTCCGCCGCCGCTGCCGCTGCCAGGATGAAGGCCTCCACCACCGAGAGCTTCCGGTCCAGCGAGGCCAGGTCAACCTTCTCCACTCTGCACGAAGTCTGGCTCCGGACCCTCCTCGCCGTTTCCTACGGCGGCAGCGGCGGCGGCGACCCTCCGGACGAGGACGCCTCCGACACTCTCCTCTGCCTCTGGCACGAGCTTCGCAGCTTCTACACGAGTCAGCGGCCGCAGCAAGAGATCCGTGTCAACTTTTGAAGCGGGCCGTGGCAGTTATCTAATCCGATTACTGGGCCCACAGTTGTGTTTCAATGTTGGGCTGGGCCAAATTTGGGCGGTTAGCTAAGCGATTACTGGGCCCACATCTTATATCGGGCCCTCATGTTTTGGTCGCCCTTCATCTACCGGAGGAATAGGCTCTCTCTCTGTCTGTGTACGTATTTTCTGTTGTCTATGGCAGTTTTGGGGCGGGAGACATGGGGTATGGAGAAAAGGCTGGGTCCGTGGTTCCGGCAATCTCGTCCGTTCGAAGTTGTGGGGCCCAGGGTAAAGAGGGGAAGAGCAGATATTTACCGAGGGTTGGACGGCGCTGATCTCGATCTCGGCATCGTCTTGCCACTTGGCCGGATCGCCGACGAGTAGCTTCGGACTAGCCGCTCCGGCCAACCCACCCACCCATCGCATCCCCCTCTCCACTGGAATTTGGGACTTGGTGGGGGAGGGCCGAGAGGGATTAGGGTTTTCTTCCGACTCGGATCAGAGGCTAGCTAGGGCTTCATCCTCCTCTCCCGATCCTGGTCCTGGTCCTGATCCTGCTGCTTGGGGGGGCGATGGACGACACCGAGGACGACGCCAGGTACCCGCCCAATCCCCACCACCATCGGAGCAACTCGTCTACCCATCTCCACAATCTCCCTGGCCGGAACTCCGCCCAGGCCCTCCCGCCCCCCCGACGAAGGTACCCGCGCGGCGAGGAGGAGGACGACGACGAGGCGGAGGAAGACGAGGAGGTCGAGGGTTCCGAGGCGGAGGAAGAAGGAGAGCAGAACGAGGTGGATCAGTCTGCAGAGGACGAGGTCGAGGACGATGAGGAGGAGCAAGAGGAGGAAGAGGAGGAGGAGGAGGAGGAGGAGGACCGCCGCGGCGGCGGCGGCGGCGGCGGAGTGGGGTCCGGTTACCGGCCGGTCAGAGCGGAGGGGCCTTTGAAGAGGCGGAGGAAGCGAAGGAGACTGGACAGGCTTGCCCTAGGGTTCGAGTTCGCCCCACGGGTGGCTGCTGGTTCCACGCCTTCAGCACCCTCCGCATCGAGGCTGCCTCCTCGCAATTCCCCTGCCGACTGGTCGGAGGACTCGACATTCGTGCTGCTCGACGCCTGGGGGGATCTCTACCTTCAGAACGGCCGGAAGAGCATCCGGTCGGAGGAGTGGGTGGAGGTTGCTAAGAAGGTCTCCCAATCGTCGAGAACTGCCCGCTCTGAGGCTCAATGCAGGAATCGGCTCGATACCCTGAAGAAAAAGTACAAGAAGGAGAAGACGAGGATCTCAGAGTCCTCCGGTTCGAACACCAAGTGGATCTACTTCTCCAAGATGGACTCGCTGATGTCGCCACCTCCACCCGCGTCCGCCCGGCAGCAGCCGAGGCTCCCCTGCGGCTTCGACTCTGGGGAGTACGTGTTCATGAACTCCAAGGTTTATGTGAGCCGATCGAACGACTTGGACGAGATGAGAGACAGTCCGGGAGATTCAGAATGCGAGGAGGAGGACGACGATGACGAGTCCGACGGGCTTCCACCAGAGAGGCCCAAGCCCAAGGAGAGCTCGGAGTCGTCCTTCAGGATGCTCGCCGATTCCATCCAGAAGTTTGGGGAGATTTACGAGAAGATCGAGGATAGCAAGCGGCAACACATGGCCGAGTTGGAGAGAATGAGGAAAGAGTTCCACGAGGACTTGGAAATGCAGAAGAGGCAGATACTCGAGCGAGCCCAGGCCGAGATTGCCAAGATGCGACAGGGTTCCGACGAGGAGGATGACGACGACGACGACGACGACGACGAAGGGGAGGGACAGGAGGATGACGAGGGCATCAACAACGAAGACGAGGAGATTGATGTTTCCCTGGAGGAAGGGAGTGGTTGAGGTAGGTAGGCAGGCCCCCTTCTCCCGCGCTTCCTCCTGCTCTCGTCCATTGTTGTATGGCGTATCTAGCTCCCATCAGGCGACGATTGATTAACATGAAGGCTGCTTCTTGACGAAGAATTTCATTCCACAATTTGTCAGCTTTGTCCTTGCTAATTTATGTTGTAGAGTCTTCATCTGTGGATCTCTCATCCTCTACCCCATGCTTCACCATGAATCATGAAACCGGTGGGACTCGCCCAAGGTTACCCCATCACCCTGCGATTTCTCTCGTGGGATGGTTTGATCCATTGATTCCCTCCATTTCTTCTATCGCTGCCCTCTGTTCATCTCGACTCGTATTCATGTTCCGGGTGGAAGGGCCTCCTGCTCTGAGCTATGCTGGATGAACTGAATAATTTCTCGAACCATGGTTCAGCATCTGTCGAACTATGCATCAGATGATCCAAATGATTGACCCAAATGCGGCAAAAATCTGTGGTGGGGCCTCACGAATCTCTGCTCTACGATGGTTGTTCTGCGATGCTAAGAATATCCTTCTGCAGTGGCTAGCAACTGGATGCCATTATGTTCTTCGTGCCATCATCTGTTGACAATCACGGTGGAATGCTGGTATCAGAGCCCTGTTCTTCATGATTATCTGATGAGTAGTGGTTCTTCTTAATGTGTTTCTGGTTCGAATGAAGGAATGGAGCTTTTTTTTTTTCTGTTCTTGTTCATTGTGACAGTAGAATCACCGAGTTGCCCGATTCCGCCTCCATCGTTTGTTCTTCAGAAACGTCGTCTTCCCTCATATCATACAACCATGCTTTTCTCTCTCTCTCTCTCTCTCTCTCTCTCTCTCTCTCTCTCTCTCTCTCTCTCTCTCTCTCGGGGTTGACCTCTCATCGCTTGGCCCAGCTGTCAATGAAGGAGGCGCGTCCGTCTCCATTCTCGAAGCAATCTCCAGTACTAACTTGCAGTTCATCAAGCCGATCGGAGGGAGAGCTCAGTCGACCGTTGCGGCGGTCTTTCCTGTAGAGAGACAGCGGAGAGGGGAGGGAGAGTCCCCCTCGATGGTCGCGTTTGATGGGTTGACACGTGGCTGGGCTTGGGGGCGATCAAATCCCGGGATTCTTCCCGCCTGAAATGGGCACCTATATAAACACGGGTCTTGGGGAAGATTCCTGGCACTCTCCTGTGCAATTGATGCGCTCTGCTCTCTCATCCACGGCGCCTACGCAGGACGATGGAGGAGAGCGAACTGGCACTCTCCAAGTCGCCTGCGCGGGAGGCTTCGCCTTCGCCTCCGGAGGCTGAATCTCTCCTGGCTGCTCTTGTCTATGGTAGGACGCCCTGAAACCATTGATCCGCGGCTGTCTCGCTTTGTTTTCCGGCGTTCTCTCCGTGGTAGGTTCATCTCTGACGAAGCGATTTTCGTTTTCGACGCTGGAGAGTGTTTAGCACTCCGTGTGTTTTTCTTCTCATCTCCGACGGCTGCTTTGAAGTGAGGAGGATTGGAGCGAAGTAGCGACGCACGGACCGAGACCCGGTCTCATCGCCGATCCATGCGAGATTTCCTTGGCATGCTAGGTTTTCAATAATTGCTACAGATCTCATTAGTTGGTGGATAAATACACTTTCATCGACTTGAATATCCATCCAATTATTCCAATTCTGAATTCTCATGGATCCGGCTAGGGTTGTCTATACGAGCCAACTATCTGATCTCGATACCTAGTCCTCTGCATGCAAGCACTGTTTAGATTTTATGACCACAGGGAGCGGATTAGGTTGGCATGTACTCGCGATATAATCAACAATTTCCCGTCCAAGTAACAAAAGGATTGTATGATAATCGTGTGGAGATGCACGCTTTGTTCATCCACGGAATCGAACCGGTTCGAGGGATGTGATGAATCATTTCTCCAGTAAAGCAGGATGTGAACAATGAGGCAAATAAGATTTACTATTATAAGACATAGAAGCCTTCTTCATGCTCTTGTGGCTGATCGATGAACGACGAGCCTATTATTTATTGAATAATCTCCCTGTTTCTGGCTTCCGCGCTAAAAACAGTCGGGTAAATGCGTTCTTATCTTTTCCTTTTACTACTATAATGTGTTTCTCCATCAATGCAGACGTGTCACAGCAGGTGCAGTCAGTTCTAGAAAGCATGCTCAAGCTGACAAGGTTAGAGACGCATCACAGTCGCATGTTATTTTTTCTCGTCGGCGTACCCTTTTTTGTCTCACAAAAATAAATAAAAATCAACAGTAGTATCCACCAAACGTCCAATCGAATAACGGAAGAAATGATGAAGTGCAAGGAGACGGTCGAAGAGAAGAGGAAAGCGCTGGATGAGGAGAAAGACTGCGTTCAGAAGGCAGCTTACGACGCCTTGCAGATGCTCACGGCCCAGGAATTCAGCTAGAAGCAGCAGTTGGACGCTCCGGCAACCGCGGCGATTTACGGCTCTTCTTGGATCGGACGGATGAAATAAACCGTGAGTCCCTCTCATACGATCACCCAAGTTGACGCGATCTCTACGTTCCGTTGTTTCGTGCTCAATTCGAACTTTCTTCTCTCAAATGATTACTCGGACACTGGTAGACATTTTTTGCTCTGCTTTTTCAAAGAACCCCCCCCCCCCCCATTTGCGAACAAGCTACTCCCCCTGATGTTCTTCTGGCCGGCCGGGGAGCCCCGAGCACGTGCGCAAGGGTCCTTGCCCGCACGTACGGGTGCCTCCGTCACAGGGCCTCTCATCTTCACCGTCCGATGCTCTGCGGATGGTCGGTCACAGCGAGAGATTTGCCCTCCTGAAATCACACCATGTCCGGAAAGACAAAGGCGGTAGGGACCCGTCCTCGCGTGGTCCGCGCCCCCTCCGCCGGCAATGATGAACAAGCGGTTACTGACGGGCGACTATGAGCCGACGCACCCCTGCCGCCGACGGTTACAATCCCTGTCAACAGCGTCGTCGGGTTCACGCCGGTGAGCGCCTTCAACCCTCTCTCGCTCTCTCTCTCTCTCTCTCTCTCTCTCTCTCTTTCTCTCTGTGAGCGATTGATAGCAGGAGGGAAGGGAAGGGAAAGGAAAGATAAAAGGACGAGCGAGTCATGACTTCCCCCTTCCTCCTCTTCCCCTTTTTGAACTCTGCTGCGGAGCGACACGAACTATCAAATTTTGCAGAAAGTCCCTGCCCTTTCGCCTTTTTCAGGGTGGTCGGCCTCTGGGAATTTTCTCTCCGCCCACACCCCCCCCCACACCCCCCCCGCTCCACTTTTCTTTCTTACTTATTCACCCTCCGGAAGATAAGGGGTGCCGCTAGCGGATCCGACCGAGACCCGTCCCAGTTAATGAACGGTACGGGCCGATGCCTTTACTCTATCAACAACCAATAGTAATAATAACAATAATAATACCAATAATACCACTAATAAATTGATAATATTTTCATGTAATATGGTTAAGTCTGAATATTTCGCATGCTTTCCGGGGCCCATGTACGACCGGGCGAGCCGAGCCCAGTGGGCCGCACGTGTCGGTAGACAACAGCAGACATCATCTGGCTCCGCCGTCGATCGTCTCATCTCACGGCGCAGGCATTAAATACGTGGGGCGATCGGGTCTGATCATTCAGAGCGATCTGACGGCCCCTATGTCCTCAGCGCACTCCATGTCAGTGCGTCTCAGGTGGTGGCCCATTGCTAACGTATGCAGAACGGAGCTGGCCTCGTCCTCCTGACAACCACGAACTGTAAGGGTGAGTCTCAGTCACGGAGGAGTACTTCTCAAGCCTCCTCGATTTCCATGCCTCTACAGAGAGAGAGAGAGAGAGAGAGAGAGAGAGGCAACGGTGGTGAATTGTACGCCGGCATTCCAGTATCCTCTGCGATGGAAAGAAGAAGAAGAAGAAGAAGAAGAAGAAGAGGGGAGGGAGGAAGGAAGGGAAAAAATTATTTTTTCTCTCTTGGATGATGATCCCCGGCGGCGGCGAGCCCACTTCAGGAGGACGGACAGTAACAATCCTCCACCGCGTCCTCTTCTTCGTCCGGCATCCCCAGCGCGCGGCAGCCGCTGCTGCAGAAGGCCATCTCCCCTCTGCAGAGGAGGACAAGCGACAGGCGTGAACAACGGAGAAGCACTTGGACTCAGAAATCCCACCCCTCCCCACCCACCCATTCATTCATCGCCTGCTCCATCGGCGATGCGAGAGGTACACTACCTGTAAATGTAGACGTCCCTCCCTTCCAGGTCCCTCTTGCAGAGATGGCAGGCCTTGAGGAACTCCTCCGGCGTCGGCAGCGGTGCCGGCGGCTCCTCCTCGGGGCACGCCACCGTCCACTCCAGCCATCTTCTTCCCCCTCCTCCGTCGCCGGCGTGGCTCCCCACGACGCGGTCCCCGAAGATGTGCGTGGTCCCAGGGTTTTCACCTCCGCGGTAGATTACGCAGGTGTAGTCCTCAGAGCGCTCGATGGGGACTCGCAGAGCTGAGTTGACCTGCGTAGTCGGTGCTCTGAGAGGAGGAGCGGAGACTGGCAGCTTGGCGGCCATGGATTCGGTGCCCTGGAGGAGGAGGAGCAGGTCGGCCAGGCCGAGGGCGGCCCTGTCCAAGGCCGGCGGCGATCGAGGAGACCGGAAGGCCTTGCCGTCGAGGGGAGAGGTGGGGCTCCTCGCCGGCTCCTGCTCCGGCGGCCCCTTCGTCAACCCGATGAAGAGAGCGGGCACGCCGAAGAAGGATATCACCTTCGTCGGTTTGCTCCCGTCGGCCATCACGGTCTCTTCCTCCCCACTTGCCGTCGTCCCCATCCTCTGAAACAAGAGACCGACAGCAAGAGAGAGAGTAAGTGCAGAAGAGGGAGAAACTCGGCGGTTCCAACGGACGACGAGCTCTTCCGGTGAGGGCACAGGCGACCACCTCGAGCTTCATCGTAAAAACAGATTGACGAGGGAGAGAAGAGGACGGAGAAGAAGAAGGGATCAATCGACCTGAGGAGCGAAAGCCATGGGACGGGAACTAGTGAAGAGAGAGAGAGAGAGAGAGAGAGAGAGAGAGAGAGAGAGAGAGAGAGAGACCAGTGAAGAGAGCCAAGCAGCCGGAGAAAGGGGCGAGGGCCGGACAGTGCTCCTCATCGAAAGGGGACGCGAGCCTCCGAATATAGAGAGAGAAACAGTGACACAAAGAGATCGTACATAGGAATAGACGAGAAATGCAGGAGAAACCTACTTCCTCTCTCTTCCTCTCTCTCTCTCTCCTATCTATCTATCGACAGAGCTGCTGAGGAGAGAAACCTGTCACATGAAAGTGGAGATAGATTGAGGGCCCGAGTCTTGCGCTGCACTGCTCTCTCTCTCTCTCCTCTCTCCCTCTTTCTCTGTCATGCACACGGACGCACCTCTCGCTCTCCCGCGGGTATCCCCAACACGAGGGTCGGGGGCCCACATACGATGTTCTTTTGTCAGAGATGGGCCCCGCTCTGTTTATTACTATTATTATCACAAGTACTCGCACCATAATAAGCATCATCATCATCATCATTACCGTCGTGGCGAGGAATCCGTCCAGTGGGCCTTGCTTTTTCGGCGATGGGCGTTGTCTCCTTCCGCAGCTAATGCGGGCGCTTCCCCCCGATTAATTACCGAGATAATCCGTAATTAATCATTAATTCTGGCGGTGCCTCCTCCAGCAGTGTCTCATCCCGTCCATCCTCATCATTCTCCATTCCGCCACGTGGCACCGGACAACGGGCTGCCGTGACGGCGGGCAAGTGAGATCTCTACCATGATTATTTCTTCCGATCTCCCATGAAGTCACCAAATCTCCAACTGTGACACGTCACCGGTCATCATTGACTGGCTCGTCACCGATCTCCTTACACGCGATTTGTGTCTTCGGACAAGGTTCGTACTCCTGCCGTCGACTAGGCACGTGATCACCCTTCCGAACCCCGAATTAGTAAATTCCCACCCATAACGCTCCACCCTCTCTCTCTCTCTCTCTCTCTCTCTCCCCTAATTGATGACGAGGAAGAGAGAGAGAGAGAGAGAGAGAGAGAGAGAGAGATCACCTACCGAAGCTTGCCATCATCGTATTAATTATGATTAATCCACGATCTTCATTCTTGAAATGTCAAAAAATTGATCATTTATGAAAAATAGCCTCGGGACACGTGGCGGAGGGGCATGCTTCTGCAATATGGGCCATGGGCTTCGTAGCGATCTGCCCAGGGATATCTCGTAGCCCTCCAGGGCCAACATTTAGGTCGCTTTTTGTGCCTTGCCCAAGCCCAATATTCCGAGCCCATTTAGAAGATTGAGGAGAACGGAGGACAGTTGGGCCTAATGGACTGATGTGAGTGGTTTTAAGGCCTTAATGAGCTGGTCCCCAGTGGAGACCGTGCAGTGGGCCCACTCATGCTTACTATTTTGGGCTTCCATATTACTGTTCATAGGGACGGCCCATAATGAAAAGCGTTTCCCCTCTCTACCATGATTGCCCCTACAATCAGGATTGGAGGTCGCCATTTCGTAATGCCACGTGTCATCCTCTCGATTAATCAAACCTTGATTTACTGTGGAATTGACCACGCCATCTCGCCGTCCGGTGCGCAAACTGATGGATAGATAAATCCCTCTCGTCAATACTCTGGTCAACCCGGGTCAGATGATTTCTCCGTTGACCCCATCTCGGGGAACACCCGAACGCCGTCTTCGATGGGAACGTGGCAAAAGAACAGGCAAACTCCAATCTTTCTAGAACGGATATCCCGAGATCTTAATAGATTTCTGAGTAAAATTCTATATTTAGATCGATTACCTGGCATCCACGTGGCAATACAGACCTCACTCAGCCCTTAACCCCGCCCCCCCTTCTTCTCCCGCTACTAATACGGGCCCGCTCTCCCTCCCCGCGAAGAACTAACTCGCTCTCTCTCTCTCTCTTCTGTTCTCACTCTCTCACTTCCATGGGCACCCACGAGGGGAATCGGCGCAGGGTGGAACTGTCGAAGAGGAGGACCTTCGGGGAGTCCTTGAAGGCGTCTCTGAAGGACATCTTCTTCCCCGACGACCCATTCCGGCAGCTCCTTGGCCAGCCGCCGTGGAGCAGGGCGTGGAGGGCCCTCAAGTACGTCGTCCCCTTCCTCGAGTGGGCGCCCAACTACACCCTCCACAAGCTCCGTTACGACGTCCTCGCCGGCATCACCATCGCCGGCCTCGCTATCCCCCAGGGAATCAGCTACGCCCGCCTCGCAGACCTCCCTCCCATCTACGGTCTCTGTGAGTATAACAACTGCCACGCAGGTTTATAGAGAGAGAAAGAGAGAGAGAGATAATGCCGGTTTCTTCCTGTAGATCCGAGCTTTGTGCCGCCGTTGGTCTACGCCCTGTTCGGGAGCTCCAAGGACTTGGCCGTGGGCCCCGTCGCCGCCGCGTCGCTGCTGCTGGCGTCCATCATCGGGGAGGCGGTGCAACCCGAAGAGAACCCCTCTTTGTACCTGCACCTCTTCTTCACTGCGGCGTTCTTCACGGGTGTTTTCCAATTGGCGTTAGGTTTGTTCAGGTGGGCCTTGGGTTTCTTTCACGGAAGAGGCCGAGATTCAAGGTTTCCGCCCACGACAAGGATCTGATCGGGGTTTCTGGTGGCAGGCTGGGAATCCTGGTCGACTTCCTGTCGCGGTCGACGATAGTAGGGTTCATGGGAGGGACGGCGTGCATCATCATACTGCAGCAACTCAAAGGAATGTTGGGGTTGCGGCATTTCACCACAAGCACTGATCTCATCTCCGTCATGAGAGCCATCTTCAACCAGACTCATGAGGTTAGCCCTACGATCCTCGTCCCGGGGATTCCATAACCGCCCTGATCTGCTTCTTAGATCGGACATCTCTCTCTCTCTCCCTTTCTCTCTCTCTCTCCTGGGAACACGTCTACTCGCTCTGCGGTTAACACGGCCGTTGACCGGCGGTGGAACCGTTCCGGGAACCGGCGTTACAGTCGGGATCTCATCGGCAAACTGAGAGAGGATGGCAGGCATCTCCTGAAGCTATATCCTCGTAAATAATCTCGTGGTGGCTCCTTCTACAGATGTATAACCGAGCCTTCCGATGAGTGAATCAGTCTGCATTAACTATTATTCTTCTGAGTGATATGCAGTGGAGATGGCAGAGCTCGGTGCTGGGCGTAGGCTTCCTCTGCTTTCTCCTCTCGACGCGCTATCTGGTAATAAGAGAGCCGAGAGGGATTCGCAGGGCTTAGCGTAATCCAAATGTTCTAAACCAATTAATCCTTTCTTCTCATACGCTTCTTCTTCTCCTCCTCCTTTCCCTCCTCGTCCTTCCCACAAAATGCAGAAGACAAAGAAACCGAAACTTTTCTGGGTCTCCGCCATCTCCCCGCTTCTGGTGGTGATAATCGGCGGAGCCATCGCCTACGCTGTGCACGGGGAGAACGAAGGGATCCCCACAGTTAATCTCCTCCCCATTTCTCTCTCCAATACTACCTCTTTCGGCAATCATCCAGGGCATTGACCATACACCCGGTTTCGTTTTCTGGGTCGTCATTGATCCTAATATTCTGACAAACTTGGTTCTTTCCTACTTGGCCACATATTCTACTTTCCTTAAGGTCGGTCCTCTGAAGAAGGGTCTTAACCCGCTGTCCATTGGAACACTGAACTTCGAACCCCGCTACCTGACGACTACCTTGAGGGCGGGCGTCATATCCGGCACCCTTGCGCTGGCAGTAAGACTCTTGACCTCTTTCCGGCTACCGCGGCCGCAGGGCGTGCCGTAAGACCGTCTCCTCGTGGACTCGCAGGAGGGGATAGCCGTTGGACGGAGCTTCGCCATGTTTAAGAACGACCAGATAGACGGGAACAAGGAGATGGTAGCCTTTGGGATGATGAACATCGCGGGCTCCATGACTTCCTGCTATTTGACAACCGGTGCGTACTCTACTCTCTTGTCAAAGTTTGTCATATTCTTCTTCGGGATTAATTAAGATGAAATCTATGCTCTGCGAGTGTAGATATAATTTACTTACAGACATCTTCTTTACTAGATTGATGCTATAATGTGATTGATTACATGTTTTTCGTTACAAAGAGCGTTGACCGCCGATTCGATAGTATGGATCTGAGGGTTGAGGTGTGATAAAGTAGGGTTTATACTTGGTCTGGAGAGTGCGTTGACCGTGGGTCGGTAAGTATTGATCTACGTTAGTCTTGTCGTCAATGGGTTTAACACGTTGACAGATATAAAGAAATGAAGCAGAGATTCTGCCCAGACATGAAAGTGCGTTGACTGTGGTGTTGGGACCGTCACGTAGGCCCCTTTTCAAAGTCAGCAGTCAACTACAGCGCCGGGTGCCGGACGGCGATGTCGAACGTGGTGATGTCCGCGTGCGTGATGATGGTCCTCCTCCTATTGGCGCCGCTCTTCCAGTACACCCCCCTCGTGGCCCTCTCGGCCATCATCATCACGGCCATGGTAGGGCTGATCGAGTACGAGGAGGTCTACCGCCTCTTCAAGGTGGACAAGTTTGACTTCTGCACCTGCATGGCGGCCTTCATCGGCGTCGTCTTCTTCAGCATGGACATCGGCCTCGCCGTCTCTGTAAGTCTTTTCCCCAACTCCCACAAATTCAACCCACAAATATAGTACAATAATCCCACATTGACCATGGTTCTTTGTCATATGGATGACCCTTACTGTCTGTAATCTATACGACGTGAAACAGGTCGGCATTTCGGTTCTCCGAGCTCTTCTGTATGTGGCCAGGCCGGTCCCCTGCAAGCTCGGTCGCCTTCCGGGAGCGGCGGCGTTTCGCGACGTTGAGCAGTACCCTGATTCGCAGCCGGTTCCCGGCGTGCTCGCAGTACAGCCGAGCTCCCCGATCTACTTCGCCAACTCCGGCTATATTAGACAGAGGTTTTGTGCTCGTCGACTCCCTCCACCCCCGCAAATGATCGGACCTTCTGTTTGCGATAAATTGTGGACTGACCTGCTCTTGACTAGGATTCTGAGGTGGGTCGAGGAGGAAGCGGAGGGATCGAGAGGGAAGGAGGATGAGCTGCACTACGTCGTGCTTGACATGGGAGGTGGGCCTCGGGTCGCCGAAGGGTGCCGTCGACTGATTCTTTTTGAAGGCCCGGTGAAATTTTGATCATCGATGGGAGCTTATGATAATGATGATAATGATGGTCATGCAGGCGTCTCCTCCATCGACAAGACGGGGATCGAGATGCTGCAAGAACTCCAGGCAACTCTCGATAGAAGGGAGATCAAGGTACAGTCTCCATTGTCTGGAACTGTCCGGCCCAGCCCCGATGAGAGAGAGAGAGATGGGCTCGGTCGGACCGGACACCAACGACCCTGAATATATGCAATCGTTCTGATCCTTTTCCTAAAAAGGTTTGGTTGTCTCACCCTTCCAGCTGGCGATGGCGAACCCAAGGATAGAGGTGGCAGAGAAAATGGTGGCTTCAAACTTCATTGGGAGGATCGGAAGCGACTGGGTCTTCCTCTCGGTCGAGGAGGCAGTGGAGGCCTGTCGCTTCGTCATGCACGAGACACCACCACCCGCAGATGGACCTCAGAGATCCTAGAGGGAGAGAGGAGGAGGAGGAGGAAGATTCTACAGTTGTACAGAGGGGTGTTCATGTATCAAGTAAATTGGACATTGGCTTTTCGTGCAGTTAAACGTGGATGAGTTGCCTCCTGCGAGCTACTCTCATGTGGCGTTGGGTCTTTCAGGATTTGCCACGCTGGCGCTGAAGCCTGCTCGATCCGGCACTCATTTTGCCTCAACTTGAGAAATCGGGCCCTACAATAGATGGCTGGCCGGGCTGAGGGCTATATAAAAGCCTGTAAATTCACATTCCTATGAAGCCCATGCTTGACCGGAAGAAAGAGAGAGAGAGAGAGAGAGAGAGAGAGAGAGATTCAAAATTTTATTTATAGAGTCGTAAAAAAAATACAAATGAAGCCCAGGCAACTTCAATTGTGTTTATTGATAAATTATTCATTAGGAAATAATACAAAAAAATGAGGGCATATTCCCAGAACTTGACTCCGATGATGCGATCCAATGAGCATCACAAGTGGGGCTCCATTTCATGGCAATTTTCTAGATTAATGCTCAGATTAGTCGTCTTAACCGACACCCGTCGGTGATTCTCACCAGCTACAGGTGGTGGCCCAGAAATGAAGATCAGGGTTGTGCGTTCATCATCTGAGAAAAACCCACCGATTTACCATATTGCACTTAAATTTACCAGGCAGCGTAAAGAATAAGTAATAACCCCACACAGAAAGCTCCAAGTAAAATCTTAAAGCAGATAGACACCTGTTTAGTCTCCTGTAGATCGGAACTTCTGATTCAAGCAAAGAACACCGTCAATCCTGCATATCAAAAAATATGAACTTACGTCGTAACAAAAAAAAAATGAAGATGAACAGAGAATTTCGACAAAGATGGATGAGAATTTTCGTACATTCTTCCCGATTGGTTAACTGCTTCAATCTTTCCGTTCTGACGATTGATGATTTCTGGTCTCTGGGTCAAACCCTTTGATGCTTCTCTTTCACCAGGAAAAGGAGTCATCAGCCAATGAAATTTTTTTGCGTCTGGCTTCTATCCACAATCCCAGGGATGACGCGAAAAAATTGATGGGCTCTGGTGTTCTTTCAGAGAAGCTAGAAACGCCATGGTGCCCATCTGAGACCCAGCAAGGAAGACCAGAAACCCATCTTCCTTCTCTGTCCTCCAATGAAGGAAACCGTTCGAGAAGGAAGAAGCTGTTAAGCCCTCTCTAGTCTCTATTTGAAAGTCAACGTATCTAAGACCTTTAGGTGTAGCCACAAAAGCTCGATAAACAAGCGCAGTGGTCCTCATGTACACAAGAGAAATAAACTCAGGGTTTTTATCCAAAACAAAAGCCTGAAATATAAATTTGACCGCTGGTTCCTGGTGGCCTCCCTCAGTCAAATCCTGCTGACCATCTTTCCTACTCCTGGCACAGAAAAGTCCTCCCTTGGGTAAGTCAGAGAAACAGTAAGTAGGAAGCCGCAAGATATGAACCATTCTATTTTCCTCTGTCCTTGTACGAGGAAATAGCAAATATTTACAAACATTTTCAGTCTCGTTACGAGTAGATGAGCCCAAAATCCTCATCACCACCTCTCTGAGAGCATCCTGCAATTGGTTTAAGAATCCCGCAAACTGGGAGCTTTCTACTGAGCATTCTGATATGCCACTGTCCTGAACCTCATGGGGTTGACTGTATATTCCTGCCTTCACTGATAGAGAAGGTTTCACAATTTTTAACAATTCCACAGAGCCCCCAAATCGTTCTTTCTGGAAACTTTTCAATTTCATGGTCTCTGACCTTCCATATCCCCGCACTTCTTTCCCCTCCTGGGAAAACTCAGCAACAATGGAGCTCCACCAAGCATGGTCCCCGGTTAATATCTCATTTCGGTTCTTCACTGCGCCATCCATGCCACTGGACTTGCTGTACATGCCCACCAGAGAGCTAGACACATGAGGATCTGAAGCAAAGCCTGTCTTTAAAACAGATGCGTGGACCTGTTTCCCCAGCTTGAGAGCCAACAAACTCACGCAACATCTAAGAACGCTGGCAAATGCGATGGGGTTTCTACTTAATCCACTTTGATGCATCTGACAGAAGAGTTTCATGGCCGGCATGTTGCACCTGTTCTGGGCATAACCTGATATCATCACGGCATATGAATTCGAGTCCCAATAATTCATGCTGTAGAAAGATCTGCAGGCGCTCTCTACATTCCCTGACTTCACATAAAATTTTATCATCGCATTTCCAACGACAACATCAAACGATTCAAAGCCCCTCTTGATGATGCAGGAATGCAGCTGCTGGCCCATCACCACCAGCCTTAGATCAGAGCAAGCGCCAAGGACAGCAGAGAAACTGAACTCGTTGGGGATGAACCCCAGTCCATGCTCTGCGCAGAAGAGCTCTATTGCCTTTTCTGGCAGAGAATTCCAACTATACCCAGCAAGCATGACATTGATGGGAACCAGACCGTGTGGACAAGGGTAGCTGTAGAACAACGCAGTGGTGCTGTCAACATCCCCGCACTTTGAATACATGTGGAGAAAAGAGGCCGCAAGGTACTCGGAAAACTCGATGCCGAGTTTGAGCACGAGGGCATGGCACTGCTGACCAAGATTCATGGTTCGGGTGGCACTGCAGGCGTTGATGATGGTGGCCAAAGCATGTTCGTCCAGCTTTATTCCCTTCTTCCTGCAAGATTGAAAGATCCCGAATGCTTCTCCAAACTGAGCATTCTGAGCATGCCCTGACATGATGGCCGTCCATGAGATTATGTCATGTTCAGGCATCTCCAGGAACGCTGCTTCTGCATCTTCCATTGCCTCACAATTAGCGTACGTGGAAATCAGAGCATTGCTTACAGAGAGATAAGATCCATGCCCGTTCTTCAGAACATGAGCGTGCACTTGGCTGCCCTCTTCCTTGAAAAGGCAAAGGTTCAGGAGACTGACGATTGCTCCCGGGCTCATATTCAAGCCTGACCTCAAGAGTTGCTCCGCGTGCTTCACAGCTTCAAATCTATGGCCGTTGATGTAATATCCTACAATGGTCAGAGCAAAAAGGCATGCGTCTGGTTTTCTTACCCTCGCAAAGAGCTTGCCAATGGCATCAACTTCCCCGAGCCTGGACAGAAGCTTCACATGCTCAGCGACAACGAAGTTATCCGTGTCCAATCCGATCTTAATCGAATATGCATGGAGATTCTTACAAAAGTTGATCATCGCTAAAGCCGAGCCGGTGCCCACAACTACCCTCATTGCCACCAGATCCATGACAAAACCCATGCGGCACATGTCACGAGAGAGATCCATAGCCTCCGAGAAGAAACCGTGCTGAACATAACCAGAGATCATAGCATTCCAAGACACAAGACACTTCACAGGGATTTCATAAAAAAACTTGATTGCCTCGACTATAGCCCCATATTTTGCATACATACTGATCAGTCCAACCTCCACAAAGCTATCAAACACCAACCCGATTTTTATGATGGCCGCGTGCACCTGGGTCCCAAGCGCCGAATTATCGGAGTTTGAGCAGCCCTTGAGAACTGAGGAGATGATGAAGTGGTTCGGCATCAGTCCACTCCTGTAAACCCTCTTGAGGAGCCCAAACGCCTCTAGATCAAGGCCGCGGCTCACGCAGCCCGAAATCAGGGTGCACCAGGAAATGATGTCTTTGAGAGGCATTTCGTCGAACAGCTTGGCGCACTCGTGAAGACGCCCGGCCTTTGCATACACGTTCAGCAGAACATTGGAAAGGAGGGGCTCCGCTCCCAGCCCCGACTTCATCAGGTGCGCGTGAGCCATGCTTCCTATCGCAATGTTCCTCGATTTGATGGATTTCCGGAGTAGACTCGCGTACAGGCGGCCAGCCGATGGAGGGAAGATGCCGTCGAGGGGCCCCAGGAGGTCCAACACGTCGGCCATCTTTCCAGCTTCCGGAGGGAGCATCCGCTTCCGACTAGAGAAGGCGAGCTCCCCGCGTCTGCGAGCGATGGGGCACGCGCATCTGGCATGGCGAGAGGTCGGGACGGCGCTGGACAAATACCCGACGGAGGCATTGAAGGCAGACTTTAACATAACACTCCGGCGCTATGCGACGAAGATGGCTCGGAAGGTGCTCCGCCTTGGCTCCGCCGGAGGAACGGGAGCATCGTGGAGGACGACGAAGATCGCCGGCGGCCGTAGAGAGCGCATCTTTTGGCTGGGAAGACGGGGATCAATCAGTTCAGTCGTGTGGTGAATGCGGGGATGGAAGCCCGCCCCAAAGGGCCGGCCCATCGGTGTCCAAGAAGCCCACTTTCTGAACAAGTCGATATCTCCGGCGTGCCGGGATGCCGGATGCCGGAGAGGGTGAGCCTCCCCGCTCTTCTCCCCAGCGAATTCCTAAGAGCATGATTCCGCTATCGCCTCCCATTACGGGAGCTTGCAGTTGAGTAGGGTTCCATCTGATTCAGCAGCTTTTTCATTAATAACCAAGCAATTAGCTAGATATCCTCTCATCGTATACAGGCGCATAGAGCGACCATTAGATGCGGCATACTGACTTCAGCATGTGTCATCTCATAGTTGAAGTTTCTCTGATTTTCCTATGCATTATTTAGGATTAGTTCTTATCGTATTACCTTAATCTTTTAATTTTTAATTTTTACTTTACTTATGGTGTTCTTCATTTATTTGCTCAAAACTCATTCAAAATATGAACTTGATTCAAAGCAAAAACTATATATTTCTGTTAGAATAACTCAGCTTTTTGTGTTCGGTGAACAAATGGCATATAATTTTTAGACGATCACCACATCATTTGCACATAACCCTACATACATATTGATGATATATTAATCATCTTGTGGGCTTGGCTTAGGAATAAGACGGAAACTAGTTAAAGATAAGACAAAAAATTCATTACCTCATAATATTATCATAAGTGAAATAATACATTTCTCGTGGTGCAATCGTAACACTTATCCTAATACGATAAAGACAGAATAATATTTTTCCTCTACGATTCAACATGATTTTCCATACAAAAATACTGGGTTAGAGAGAGAAAATTTGTAGCCAAAACTTTAGACTTTGCATATGATAAATATATCAATGAACACTAAGATAAGGGGAGAATTGAACATAATAAATGACATTTTGTGCACATGATCGGTGATGTAGGATACAGTTATGAGAAATCAGAAAGATCTAGAACTTGTAGGTTAAACAGCTAAAAAATCCAAAAGTATTATGAATAGGGTGACAACTTCTAATTTATAGTTTATGATACTTTATAATTATCTAATACCTATTTAAAACCCAACTGATTCAACCTTATCGTGTGGTCCTAGCATTAATGAAGTCAACATTATCTTAATTATATATATATATATTAGAATAAATGACATTATTAAGGGTTCATCCAAGACAATTTCTTGTGTACTTAGAGCATGCATTTAGCACAATCTTGGTCTCATGATCTACTTCATGTCAAGGTGACAATCAAGTCAAGAGGGCCTCTATCACCAGAAAACCCAAAACTCTTCTAGTATATGCGTAATCTTGAGTAGGAGGCTCCTTGCTACGCTATCTATCCATTACTATGCACAAAATTGGAAAAATAAGAGGTATTATTTCCAAATTATTGAGAAAACATGCTATTTTGTCCTTTGTCACATTGATTAAATAATTATTAAACTGACTTCTCTGTGGGAATAATACTCCATAGATTACCGAGGATGATTTAATTTTTAATGAAACAGACTAAAAAAATTAATGGGATTTTTAATTTTTTAGAAATAATTATCTCATGGGACAGATGGATGTTCCTCCCAGTGGCAGCCTACATAACGATCCCCATGTTGGCCCCTGACGGCTGGGAGACGCCTCACTGGCGATGGATCGGCGGCCGCAGGGGCTCGTCACGCGGGTCCTCGACGGAATCAACAGAGAAGCCATGGGGGCATTGAGAATTCTGTGGGGGGCGCTCCGGATCTCCCTCAGGAACTGGAACCTCTCCCTGCCCATCATCGCCGCCGTTCTGCTTCTCTCGTCTCTCCTCTCCCTCTCCCAGCTCCTCCTCTTCGACGCCCCTTCTCTTCTGCAGGTACCGCCCCCTTTTCAGGTGGCCGGAGGAGTCCTCAGGTGGCCGCTGCCGGCGTCCTACTCCAATTTCCCGGCGTGGAACAACGTCCTGGTGTTCGCAGATTTCGGCTTCCTGGTGGCCCGCTGGAGCTTGGATCTCTTCTCGGTGACGGCGACCGTCTTCGCAGCGTCGGCGGCACACAGAGAGGAGCGCCCCTTCCTGAGGGATCTACACCGGCGGATCAGGAGGGAGTGGAGAGGCCCCGTGGTCACCCAGCTCTGCGTGGTGATTCTCCGAACTGGTTACCGGGGTCTCGCGGAGCTCTTCGCCGACGCGCTGCTCCCCGTGGCCGCCGGCGCGACGGGGCTGCTGCTGGCGGCGCTGGGGGCACTGCTGGGCCTCGCCAGCGGCTTCCTCTACTACTTCCTGGACGTCGCTTGGGAGTCGAGTCTTGCCGCCGCCGCCGTCGATAGCTGCGCCGGGTTTCGCGCGCTGGGTCTGGCGGGGGAGATGACGGAGGGGCGGCGCCTCCGGGGGATGATCCTGGTTCTTATTAACCAGGCAATGACCGATGCCGCCTCACTGTTCGCCGATCCCGCCGCGGGCTTGATCGCGCCGGGAGCAGCCAGACTGTCGCTCGAGCTCGTCTTCGGGAACGTAGTGGAGCTCCTTCGCTTGCTCAGACTGGTGGCGTTCACCGTCCTCTACTGCGACTACAGGAGGAGGAGCCGGCCGGAGGAGGGAGACGACCGGGGTCAGTACTCAAGGTTGACCGGTTCTCCTCAGCGTTGACCTGCCCGACATGGTTCTTGCCCCCAATTCGGAGATGGGCGGGTTCGTAGGGCAATACATCTGTGCTGCTGGTCTCTGATTCAAGTGAAAAGCTCCATTATTTCTCTGATTCAAGGGCGATAAACAATCAAAGCAAGCCCTGCCAACCTAGTGCCCACCGGGGAGATCCCATCAACCTCACACAAGAACAAAAAAATTACAGGATCGACTAACCCTAGACGACGACGACGACGACGACGACCGATCGACCTCGAAGGAAGGCGATAATAACCCCTCCCTCCCTGACTTCAGGGAGGGAAATTTACACCGGAAGTCCACCCCGCTGACCACCGACTCGACTCCTCTCGGCTTTCTGATTACAGAGTAGCATGCCCCTCCCTCCCATCATCGCTTTAAAAAGTCTCCACCCCTCTTCTTCTTCTTCCTCCGAGCAGGATTCAACACAGCAACAATATCTCTGCATTTTTTTTTTATCTTTCGAGCAATGGACGGTCTCGATGATCTCTCTCGCTCCCGCCTTCTCCTTCGGAAAGAAAGACACCAGAATTGGGCATTGACCGCGGTGGCGAAGAGGGCTTCCAAGGGAATCAAGGCGGACCTCGCCCAAAATCGGACGGCTAGGAGATCCGGAGGGAGGAGGTTTCTATCCGAAGGGATTCCCTCCGGCAGAAGGGAAACCAGGAATGCCCGTCTGCGGGTGCCCGGCCGCTAGCTGCAGGTTCGTGCCTGGAGCGCCAAAAGCAGCAGGTCCGAGCTGGTTGTGTCTGCACAGAAATCAGTATAACTTGTAGAGAGAAGGGGAGATATGAACCGGGATCTCATTTTACTAATCCGTGCAACAAATAGATCGGAGAATAGATAAAATTTAGGCTTAAAAAAAGAGAAAAGAACAAGATGGCCTACCCCAGAGCGGGAAAAGCTCCGGGCACTTGGTGGGTTGGAGCTTGTTGCACCGCAAAGAAACCTATTTATTATCAGCATGAAAAAGCCGTCAGAAATGAAGGCCGAAGCTTCGATGCCAACGATGATGACAGGGGAAATGAAGATGGCGAGGTCGCAGAGGGGGGATTTTACTCGGCGGGACTGCAGATGGATAAGATGGTCGCTGGGGAGCTGCCCACTGAGGAGGAGAGATGCCGTAGCCTGCGCCCTGCGCCAGAGCTGATGGATCTCCCATGTTCAGCCGGGCTCCTTGTAGGGACGGAAACTGAAACAGGAGCGAAGGTTTTACTTTGGCAATTTTTTACACACTTGCATGAGATGAACACGAGAGATGAGGAACAATAAATCCGTTCAAAAGCAGTCAAAACAGTGCAGATAACGCTCCGAACAATTCCTCGGTCAGTAATCGAGCCCCAAGATGGGATAATGATTCAAAACAAGAACATAAAAAGACGGTACATACCGAATGGGCGTGAGGCATCATCGCTTCATTGGAAAAATCGAATGGATTTGTGGACTTTGGCGGTTGTGGGAAAGAGGGCATAGCCTGCAGCAGGGGAAGAATAAATATATATAATGATATGATGATCATAGGCTTAGATCAAGAAAATGGCGAGGAGATACTCCTCTCAAATTATTAAAAAAAATAAAAATATACCGCCATTGTAGGATATTGCATGCCGTATCCTCCTCCCATGGGAACACGTGGACCCACATGCCAACCTGGATATGATGCTGGCGAATAAGATGCTGCAAAAAGGTCCTGCGTTTGTGAAAGTATTTTCAGAAATATGCCACTAACGTTGACCAGAACAGAAGGAGAACATTCATAAAAAAAATTTTACCGCTGGAAGTTCCCTTCTTCCACTGTTTTTACCGTCAACAGCAGAAGGCTGTGAAGTGCCCGCAATGCCCGTCCCTCCTGGTGGAGTAACAGCAGCTTGGGGGGGTTGACCAGCGGGTGTGGTCAAATCTAATCGAGGACTGGGCGCAAATAGTGAAGCATGTAGCTGTGAAAAACAGTATGTGGAAAGATTAGCACATCATAATAGAACCCTAAAAACAACATGTAGGACAACCATTCCTTAACAAAACCATGAATCAGAGCAAATAGCTCTCACTGGATCTAACTTGCCTGGCTACTTGGAGCAACCGCTGACGGAGGACCAAAAGGTCCCACAACAGAAGGCTGACCCAGATTAGGCGGAAATAGAGAAGGCTGATTCTGTTGGATAGCTGGAACCTGGGCAGCATCGTTAGCTAAAGAAAAAGGATCTACGCCGGCACTAGGCAATGATGACACAGTGTTCACAGCTGGAGCAGGGGGAATGGACAGCTCGCTCAGAGCTGATTCCAGTGGGCTAAGATTTGAAGCAGGCTGAGGTGGTTTCGGCTGTGGCACGGAATAAAAAGACGCCCAATTTCCACCATTAACTTGCGAATCTGTAGTTGGCTTGGGAACAGGTTGTGAAGATGGGGCGACTGCAGGTTCGGGATTTGCATCAAAATCAATTAAGCTCCCTAAGTCGGGCCTCTTTACTTCAGCTGGATTTGAATCAATGGAAGCCAAGCTGTTTGATGATGTGGTCCTCTGCAACCGAAAAAAAGATGTGAGATAAAGTACAAAATGATGTAAGACGGACAATCAAACAAGAACAAAGACGAGAAAATAGGAAAAGGTTGGAAAGTTAAGTGACGGGTATCAATCAAACGAAGTTATTATGCATCCTAGCCCAAAGTTAATATGCAAATATGTTTTGTACAGATTGAGAGCCACTTCACTCATCTCCCAAGGAAAAAACCACTTGAGGAAACGATGAATTCCAGTAGAGAGCCACCTCATTATTGAAATTTATAGAACTGGAACAATTCTTTGCAACATAATAATTTGTGCTGCATCAAACAAGATCATTACAACTAAATTTCATAGCAAAATAAAAGGACCAGGGAACACTTCAATGATCCTTTTATTTCCACTATTTTTTTTTAAAAAAAACAGGAAATCGAATCCGCCTGAGAAAGGGTCACAGCTAAATTCATAGGAAAATTTCAGGGTTATCTCAATCAAACTGCAGGCAGAACGTCACTTCCATCCTAAATATGTAGGCCACTGTGCCCTAGCTAGCCACTACCCCTTGAGACACCCCCATCAGCTACCGCTCCCTCAATGCCTGTACTTGACAGTGAATTAGAGAGTCGACTCTCTTCCTTTTCCTTTACTGGGGTTTGTCTTGAACATGTAATGGCAAGTACTCGTGTTAGGTACAAGAATACAAGAAAAAGATTTTCGCCCAGACAACAAGGCGGCACAAATCAAACTACCCAAATGTGAGGTCTGTTCATACCATTCTTTGATCAACACAAACAGGCACTGCAACGTGTCCCCAGAATGGAAAGAGTTACGTTATTTATAAAATTATTCTTTAAAATAATATGCAATCAATTATTTTTAATTTTTCAATAAGATTTGGGTATATGTTTTTTGATGATGTCGTTATGGTCATAAAATAATATGCAATCAGTTACGTTTTTTAATTTTGCAACGTGTCCCCAGAATGCCATATGTCGTTATGGATGCCACTCACTTATGCACTGCTGTTTTTTATTTAGTAAGATTTACTTTGTAATTGCTATTTTAAAAGAGTAGTGGCAAAAGCCACCTAAGAAGGCTGAGGATCTTAAAGCACATTGGCATTATTCGGGCAAAAAAAACATCAGGGACTTTTAATGTTTCTCCCAAAGATTTTACATTGAGGAGCAAATCAACAAAATAACATAGATTCGTTCTATATTATAAATCAAGAAGAAAATAAGCAGCAAAGAGTACAATATATCCATTGAGGACCTGACTGACCACACAAAAAATGAAGACAGACAGCAAATCTGCCTAAAACATAAAAGAGTATTGCAAGGCAAGAACCGAAGGTAAAAAAGAAAATATAAGAATAAAAAGAAAACTGTACATCGAAAGCTCACCTGTGTCTGTAGGGATCCATTAACAGCCTTTGTACCATCTGTTTTAGGAGGCTCACCCACCCGGAGAGGTGGAACATCCTCACCCAAAATCTCTCTAACTGGGCGGACCATAGGAGGACTTGGAACTTTGGATTCTTTCTGATGGTTCGCAGGTCTTCCTTCTGGCCTGGGTAGACCATCTGGAAATCTACGATCCTCAAAACTTCGAATCTGGTTACCATTTCCATGTCTGTCATCTTGACGCCTCTCATCTACAGCATCAAACCTGCCAGGGCTTCTCCTGTAATCACTGCGATCATATCCAGGGCTTCGCCTTTCTTCATAACTTGATCTAAAATTTCTGTCATCGTTTCTCCCACCAGAGCCAAGTCGCTCCATATTACGACGATCGTATTTATCTTCAAATGGTGGGCTGCGTGAACCACCTCGGTGTGCATCTGACTTCTTGTTTTCATAGGAATCTTCCCTCTCACCCTGCACCATCCACATTTTTGAAAATAAGGCGACAATACAGTCATCAACCACCCAAGGCACAACTGCTCTTCGTTTAAACAAGTATCAAAATACTCTACAAGTCGTTAAACGGATATTTAAAACATAGACATGATTTTCCTTTTTTTTTTTTGCTCCGATTGGTGCAAGTGCCATACACTAACATAAGTCATCTTTAAAAATAAATTACTAGTTCCCAATTTTTTTCTATATATTTTTTAAAAATAGCTCAGATAGAGGGTTTTGTTCAGCAATTGTTACACCAAGGCATTTCGTATCTCCGGTCAAAACCAAAATGTTCATAGAGTACTAAAGACCTTCACTCTTGACGGCCCATCAACACTCCTCTCCCCCGTGTATCTCCGCTCAACATATACATGCTTGATGAAGTCCCTGAGTCTATCCACATTACTGCAAAAAACAAAAAAACAAATAGTTACACGAAGCAGAACCTACCATCAGAGGTGCATCTAAAGTCGCACAAGTAAATGAAGAATTAACCTGCTATCGGGAAATGAGTGGCGCTGTGGGTCCCACTGCTTGAAATAAATTTCTTTTGCTCGCTATTAAAAAAATATTGTGCATCTTCAGAACACTAAAAGGAAGAATATCACAATACCAGGAAACAAATTATCGCTACTATCAATTATGATGACTATATGCTTAAATACCTCATTACCCCCTTCTTGAAGAGCATTAACTTCTTGTGTAGTGAACTTGGCCATTGACACAGATTTCACACGGTGGGTGAATTCACGGCTGCAAATTTTCGGAAAATTCAAGGGTAAGTAAAAAAATCAGCAGGAAACCAATCTATACTTCATAAAATACCCTTCGTCATCAAAAAGCGCAAGGGTCGCAAAGTGGTTTATAAATGTTCTTATCCACTTTCCGTTGATTACTTGTTTATCGTAATATCAAAAATATGTCAGAATCTTGTCAAAAATCCAGTCAATGACAGGTTTGCCTGATTTTCTTTCTGGGGAATGCTTGACTCACACATCGGGTTCTGGCGAGTCCTATCTCAATCTTTTCCTCAAAGGCCTAACTAAATCTCTCTATCCCGGTCCCAGCTTTGGCTAAAGCGAATGCTTATCTTTCCAACCAATGGAACAAAAATCCATGGTTTCCACTCAGTATAAAAGTGCTTATTCGGCCGGTTAACAGGGAATGAAAGAACCATCATGATACAATTTCATCAACTCTGTGGCCAGCAGATGATGTATCGACCACGTAAGTTGACATGAAATCCCTTAAATCTCACTCACCACATGTTCTAATTGGATATTCCAAGTACGATTTATCCATGATAGATCATGAAATTGCCTAACATTCTTTGAGTTACAGGAACTAATAACATTTTTCAAGGCAAAATGGGAAAGGAAGCAAACAAGTGACTTACTGAATTCCACTGCAGTTCATGCAAATAAATGTCCAGAAATTGGTGCAAACATATTGTGGTCCCTGATAGATATAAAAGTTGTCAGATCCGAACGGTGAGAATTAGAAGCATATGCGGCAATATATATAGATAATGCTCTCTAATGCTATAAGTTACAAAATGACCACATATTCGTTCCTCCAAAATGAGTTTTAAGTACAGTGAAGAGCATTTAAGATGAGATATACGGTATGAGGCAGCCATATCAGCAAAATATGCCCTTCTAACTTCTTAACACTTTTCTTTTGCAGCCTCCAGTAAACTGTTTGAATTACCATTAAACTAATACTCATAAAAACCCTATTTATTTAAATTTATATTTAATTATTTGATTGTTCATCGTCGGCACAACTTACAGAAGTGAATATGAAAATCAAATAATTGCACAAATCCCACTCCTGTGTAGTATAACATTTGGCATAAGATTAACCATATCTTCTTATCATGAACAGAGCTTTTAGATTTCATATGGAACCTCAATAGTAAATCATGGCATTGAATGTTGAGAATTAGACTAGTTCTTCAATAAACCACCAAGTAAAGGCTCATAATTTATCCTCTACTCATGCAGGATGTCTCATGAAGTTTTTCCTTCTGAAAAAATAAAGTAAATACGTAAAACTCACTGGCATCAGATTTTTGTGGAAATCGCAGTGAAGAAAAAAATGTATGCCCTTCACCATTTTGTTTCACAGTAACTTTTAAACTTAGGTCCATGGTAACAGAATCAGCGACTTTGTCAATGCAAAAACAGTGGAAAGACCTCATTTCTTAAGGCTGAAACACATAATTTCTTGATTTTATCTGAAAGTGCACACAAGGTTTGCTAATCTTGAATATGGATAAACGTAAAATAACATGTTTCTGATTCATTTTTCCTTACTATCGACGAGCTGGGCTATTCACATCGCCACATTCATGAAGCTTTCACCACACAAGAGGAAAGAAAAAGTCATCAAGTTTGAACTAACAGAGCTATAAATCAGGGTACTCTGAGAAATGAACACGTATATCACTGACACAACTCCAAGTACAAATCAACAATTCATAATGTCTTTTCACGTCGGAGACACATGTTATGATAAGAAGAGTGGATTCGCGCCAAAATCCATGTGCTGTCTGCATAAATCAACTTTGAATGCATGTAACAAGCGACATGTACAAAAATTTAGCAAAATCCTGAATGATGAAAAAAGGTTTTCTACTGTTATCCGTCCCTAGAAAAGTCCCGAATGACGAAAAATCCTGTCCCTTTAGATTGTGGTTATCACACACAAGCAGTCTGTCCCTTAAGATTGTGCAAGCTTATTTTATACAAGCATATCCCTGTAGTACTCATGGCATATAAGTTCACTGTTCTTTTCCATTTATCTAGAAAAAAGAACAGTGAATTTTTCATTGCCTTGAAAATGTAAGGCATAAAACGCCTAAAACTCAACCCCCTACAAGGCACGCTTCCGCTGAAATGTGCAGAAGACCAAATAATTAATTATAGCCACAGGACGAGTAACCAAGAAAGTCCGGGAAACAACAGGGATCAATGGCCCATTAAAACCGGAGAGTTTAAATTAAAGTCATTATTTTCGAAGTTTGGAGCAATAACGGTGCGTAACCCCAAATAATGTCGGGATAAGCCATGTTATTTAGGACGGTGATATAAACTAGGTTGCTGGCTAGATAAACAAAGGATGAAAAATTAAAACATAGAAGAGGGATATTCTGGGGAACAGTTGAGTACCAGACTATTGCAGTTGATGCATCTCCTGTTAGCAGGAAGCTTCAGAAGGCCTCGTATAATCTTCTCGTTCTTCTCGTCCTCCTTCACCCGACTCGCCATTCTGTCCCCAAGTCACCGTAATTGCTCCTTGAACTGGAATCCGAAGCGCATGATTATTAGTTTAGCCGCAGAATGAACTCCAATTCGCAACGCAAAATGGCCGTCCAATTGCCAGCGGGCTTGCGCCATAAATAAGATCCAGCTCTCGATTTTTCCCGAGCAAGACAAAAAAACGACAGGGAGATCTCAGGACTAAGATCACGTGGACGACTCACCAATTCCTCTCCAGATGAACGATTCCGGCAGACAAGGACGACGAGGAATCTAGCAGCCGACGATCAAGCACTCCTGTAATGATCACGGCGGAAGAGTAAGTCTTCAGGAGGCCACCGAGAGATCTGCGGAGATCCCTCGTCCTTTCCAGTGCAGGAAGATTTTCAACCGGAAACCTCCACCCTTACCCCTGCGATCCCTCTATTCTCCTATCCCCTTCCCGTCTCGTAGAACATATCGAGAGATCGAGAGAGAGAGAGAGAGAGAGAGTGGTGTCGACGACCGTAACACGAGAAACGTCGCCGGTTCAGCCGGTGGACGACGGCCAAAACAAAATACCCCCCAACCCATATTAACTACTTAAATACCCCTATGGAGCGGGGTTGGACCGTGGCAACTGACAGCTGTAAGAATCAACGACCCGCTTCCCACGAATCTGGCCGGACGGCGGCGCGCCTTACCGAGTCTTCCCCGATTCCCGCCCGGTCCGACTCGCGACTCGGGCTTGTCGGCGTGAGAAGCCCTGCGGTACATTCCACCGATCCTCGACGAGTTCAGAGTTCCGTTTTCAAAATGTCCGGAGAGCGTTAGATCTGGGTCGCACCGGGTTAACCGCTTCCCGTTGCGGGCCCCAGTATTGAAGGCAACTCATCCGACGGTCCAGATCGGCGGATCCGTGGTCTCCGCAAGGAAGACGCCAGCTCGGATCTTCCTGCACGTGGGCGGCGTGAGAGAAGAAGGCTGATGTGGACGTGCTCAAACAACTGGAAGCTTCCCGTAAGGCAAATCCAACACCAGCCCGTTCTGACGTGGCCGCCCCCCGTCCTCACGTTTGTGGACAACTCGTTGGGAAAATCGTTCCTTGTCGACTCGGACGTCCGATCTAAAGGGGACGCTTTGCCTCGCCTCCGCGAGCGTGGTCATTTTTCTTTCCCTAAAAAGGCATATTTCAAAAACGGTTTTTGCTTTTTTATAATATATTATATAATCCTATTTAAAAGATAGAATGTGGGTCAAAAACCAGGTGGGCAAGACCGCAGCCAGTTCAGTCCACGTGCGAAGCCACGTGCCCGGAAGGAACAGAATGATGTGCGAACGAAAGACATCTCGTATAAAACGTCTGCTTATCTATTTTTGCCACGTATATCGACACCCGGTTTAACCGCTCACTTTCACCATGTCTACCGACACGCTGGCGCGCACGTCACATGAGTTTCAGAACCAGCTCATTGGCGTACCAAATCAGCTTTGCCACCCATCTCATCATTAACGAACGGTAGAAAATCTTCCACGTCGCCTCCGCTCTTCATCAGACTGGTCAATCTTCATCGCAGTATATGTATTCGCATACCCGAGTACATATTCCCCCCTCGCCCCCAGTGTAAGGCTAAACTCGTAATTTCGTCGTAATTCCCCGCATTCAAAGATCCGATGTGGAGTGAGGGGGCGTGCGTGACCTGCACGTGCTCTTTCAATTCCGCTGCAAATTATTGAAGACCGCACGAGCTTCCACGTGTCTAGACTCCAATAATTTCCAAACTCCAGAGAGAAATCGAGACGACGATAAGCGTGGGCGCGGGTCGTTTCACATTTCCCCGCCGCCTTCCTCGGGCAAGGCCTCCAGACGGGCCCAATACAGCTCTGTGTGCCGACCTCAGTCTTTCATGAACAGTCAGTCAGATACGGGACACTGAAGAGAGAGAGAGAGAGAGAGAGAGAGAGAGAGAGCAAAAGAAGTGGTCTAAGTCAGTGGACGGGGGAGGCGACTGCAGGAAGTGTTTTACAGAGAGGAACGTGGAGTCTATGAGGTGGAGGTTGGACGGTAGTATGGGAGAGAGAGATGGAGAGAGTTTGGGGGGGAGGCAGACGACTTGACCCAAGTCACTGCAGGGGGAGGAGATTTTAGGCTGGGAGTTACAGAAAGGAACGTGGAGTCAATGATGGGGAGGTTTTCATGGCAGTATGGAGGAGACAAGATAGCCCATATATACATAAGTGCGTGTATCTAGAGAGAGAAAGAGAGATCGTAGGAAGAAATACAGAAAGCTACGTGGAGTCCGTGACGCTGAGACTGCATTGTTGTATGCGCGAGACACGGAGATGATAGAGAGAGGGAGAGAGAGAGATATCACCGGTCACTGCCTTTCATGCGAGGAATTTCGTTCACTTTTAAGAGGAGATCACTCCGGATGCTCTCTGTCTCTCTCTCTGTCTCTGTCTCTCCCTCTCCCCGCATGTATATATAAACTGATATGGACCCCTCGAGCGGCGACGGCTCACGGATCGTGAACAGAGAGTACCTACCCATGGTCTTATCATTCGATCGCAGAGCTTCTTGAAGTGGCCTCTTCAGCGCTCGGAAACGACCCCCCATTGACTGGTTTTCATTGGGGCACCTGTTCCCCCACGTGGGGAGCCCGCCCTCGTCTTTTACGTCACACGTGTGATCTCTCTCTCTCTCTCTCTATCCATCTCCCTCTTCCCTTTTCCGGGGCCGGCACTGGGCGCTACACCCTCGCCCATCTTCCCTATAACTCCTTAGTTCAACTGCATTCCTCTCTTATGGTTTTCACGAGGATACATTCTCTGTACCCCTCTCGCCTTCCCCCGAGACTGTCGGGGTCTTCTCGCGCCAGTAGATCTCCCACCGAGTTCTCATCGCCATTGAAATATGGGGGGAACGGACCTCCTCAACAGGTTTCTGGGATGCCTCTCCCTCTCCGTCTGCTGCAACTCTCGCCGGTGCAGCAGCTCGCCGGACGGCAAGGATCCCTGCGAGCGCAAGGCTTTGACGGCCAGTGAGCAGACCTTTGAGGGAACCAGAACTTTGGCCTACCACCTGCAACCAAAGGTAACTCAATTCCGTCTTCTTCTTCTTCTTCTTCTTCTTCCTCCTCCTCCTCCTCCTCCTCGCGTTTATCCTTCTTCTGGTGGTCTTTTGCAGACCATTGTTCTAAGGGTGTCTATGCACTGCAATGCTTGTGCGACCAAGGTCCGGAAGCACATCTCCAAGATGGAAGGTAAGTACGGATGCCTCTCTGTCTCTCTCTCTCCCTCTCTCCCTCTATCTCCTCTCTCTGTCTCTGTGTCTCTGTCTCTGTCTCTCTCTTTCTCTCCCTTTCTGTGGTTCTGCTCAGAGTTCGCAGCTTCATCCTCTCTCTCTCTCTCTCTAACAGGAGTGGCGTGGTTTGAAGTGGACCTGGAAAGCAAGAAGGTGGTGGTGGTGGGGGACATCACGCCATTTGAGGTCCTGGAGAGCATCTCCAAGGTCAAGTTTGCGGAGTTCTGGACGGCGTGAGGTTTGACCTTCCGGCAGAGATTTTCAGAGCCGTACTCCTCCCACATTCTACCTGCGTGCTCATGTGAGTGTGATTCATCGGCTCTATCGGTCCATTTGTTCTGTCCAGTAGACAATATAGGCCCAATATGGAACCGGTTTTGGGCCAAGTGATTTTATGGGTTCCTTGCACGTTAATGGGCCCAAATGTAACATACTTCTGTTCAAAAATCTCCGAAAACTTGCGTACGGGCCTTTTTGGGCCGGGAAGCCAGACCGGGACGGTCGAGAATGGTCAGATCGGCCCAATATCCAAAGGGCATGGACCTCGTCAGGTTTGGCCCATAATATGGAGCCTCTTAGAGTCACACGTGTCTCTCCAAGTCGCTCTCTCCTCCTCTCCCTTCCTTCTCCCCCTCCCCATCACCGTGTTCGGTTACCGGCCGCAAGCTGCAACGAACAGAAAGATCTTCGTTGACGCGCAGAGAGAGACAGAGAGAGGGCACAAACGGTCTTGTTTGGTTTTTCTTCTTCGTTGACGTATAGGGGAACGCTGTTAAGCTCGGCGCCGGGGAAGTCGAGGAAAGATGGGTAGCGCAGTCGCCATGAGAGTTCTTTCCCTGTTCATCTTTTTTGCTCTTCTCTGTTTCCCCTCGGAATCCCGGTTCCTGTCCGAAAACCCTAACCATGGGAACACCTCCGCCCACGAACTGCTCCGGGTCCATGGATTTCCCCCGGGGCTCATCCCAAGGAACGTCCTGGGATATTCCCTCAACGACGCCACCGGCGAGTTTGCCCTCGATCTCGGGGACAGCTGCCGCGTGAACCTCCCCCCGGATAATTATCTGGCGGCCTACTCCAGGAAGCTGACAGGGAAGCTCCAGGACGGCCGGATCGCGGAGCTGGACGGGATTCGCGTGCGGGCCTTCTTCCGATGGTGGTCAATCACGGGGATCCGCTCCTCTGGAGACGACCTGGTCTTCGAGGTCGGTGTCGCCTCCGCCAAGTACCCGTCCAGGAACTTCAACGCGAGCCTCGAGTGCGAGGGCCGGAAGTCAACTTGAGGTGAGAAATCTACACTGCAATTTTGATTAAAATCCATCGCTGGAACTGATTTGATCGTCGCCTCTACATACTACCTCTTGATCGATTATCGAGCAATCGTCTACAAAACCGTTCGATCATTCAACAGCGGATCCATCAGTCACCGCGTGGAATTTCTTACCCCATCCGGAATCTGCAAAAGGGGTTGAAAATAGTAACAGAACTCCGCTCTCTTTCTGTGGAATCTTCATCTCCTATGCTTCTTCGACGATTACCAAGACGGTTTAGAATCATTGTTTTCCTTGAGTTTTTCTCTCCGGGATTCCTTCCTCCTCCTCCTCCACGATCACAGGGCCAACAAGAGGTATGCGATTAAGGAGTATTCCAAAAGAACTGACACAAAGCTATCTTCCTGATCATGGAATGGAATTCTTCCTCACCATGGGTAGTTCTGTCTCCAGTAGTTCGTGCATAGATGGGATTAGTTCTTTCTCAGAGAAGATGGTCTCGTGGATGATCAGAGCTCGACGGCATGATCACCTGATCTCCTCTGTTGCAGCAAATGGGGAGACCGAGTTGACTTTGCCCATTTCGAACACTGTTGTTTCGAATCTACCGGGTGTTTTCCTGATATCATATGCTGATTGGCTTCTTAAAAAGTCAGCGGTGTCAATTATTAGCACAGCTGCTCTTCGTTTTCGGTCAAAATCTTTTCGTTTAGCCTTGTAAAAATATGTCAGCAGCTTTCTTGAGGAACTGAGAAGATTAGTGACGGAGCACAGGACCCACCTTATCTTCTCCACCCCACTCCACTTATCCTTTGCTGCGGCGTGTTCTATGTGCGATCAGCAGGTGCCAGATAAGGAACCAACCCCTTTTTCTTTCTCCATCTCCCTCGATCTTCTGTGAATGGAGGAAGGAAAGGTGGGCGCCATCTGTCGCAGAAAAAAAACTGTTCAATGATACACTAACCAGAAAAAGTCAACAGCTTTGGAGTTTTCCATTCTGTCAAAGTAAAACTAATTCCTTTAGTGTTATTGCACACAATACGACCCGCTTGATGTGTACAGTCTTTGCGTTTGTAGCAGATCTCAGTGTCAACCCTATTGACAACCCTGTTGGGATGGAGATCTTCCCCTGATCCTCGCACATTCTCAGCTCATCCACAAAGTCAATGCTGTTCTTGAGATTTATGAAAAAATGCTTCCTTGGTTCATCTGTAAAGACTCTTGTTGGATTCCTCTTCAGAGATATTTCTGATGCAGCGTCTGAGCTTGGGTTCTGGATTTTCCTCAGGTGGGATGGCGGCGGAGTCAACGAAGAATCCAAGCTCTCTAACCTCCTCTTCACTCTGCCATATGTGTACTATTTATTATTATCCGATTGGGAGGGGGCTGTCCCTGTATCCTTCATCTCATGTGTAGATGGACTGTACAATCTCTAGATGATTGGTAATATTAGTTAAGATCTGTACCGTTCCTCTTCTGCCGGGTTTCGGGCTTACCATCAAGGCCCGAAAACAGATGGGCCCGGAGAAGAATGGTCCGTTGACTTTCTCATCCCAGCTTTCGATTTTCCATGTGTTGTTCATGCGATGGATAAGTGGGTGTAGCTCTAAGGTTTCGAACGGAGTAGACCTTGGGAGATTTCGGGCCGCGCTCAAATTCGGAAAAGGCCCGGAAAGTTGTCTCTTGAGGGCCCAGCCCGAACCCAGAAAGTAGCCTCCTAGGGCACACCCTTAGTGATGGACGGCTAGATCTGTATGGATCGTATCACGGGGATTTAAGTCCGTTGATCGGACGGTCATGGTTCCTTCGGAGAGGAGAAGGCTTATTCTAGTTTATGGTTTTCCGTGGGTAATCTGAACGCCAAATGGAGGCTCTCCTCTGCAACGGATAAATGGATTTGTGAGAGATTCGACTCTGCTCTCTCTCGCCCGCACGTTCGCTCCTCCCTCTCACCGAGAGACAGCGACTGCCGCATCGAAGCAGAGGAGGGAGGATGCGGCTTCTTCTTCATAGTACGCTGACTGCTCCAGCGCTTCTCCCTTTCCCGAAGCCGTTCCCTGGAGGAGGTGTGCCTGCCGTGCTCTGTCTCCCCTCCTACTACTACGTTTCCTCTGGCGATCTTCAATTTCCAATTTGCGCTGATTTCTTCCACGATGTTCCAGCTGGTATTCTTCAGAAGAGTCCTTGTACCACCCCTGCAGGCTTTCTTTTGCCTGGGTCAGGGCAGACGTATGAGAAGCTAGCGTGCTGCGCCACTTCGTTGCCGTCGCATCGTGATGCTGTTCCTCGTCTCGTCACCAGAGCTGTATCCACTGAAAGTAAAAAAACGCTTTCAATACGATATTTTTGAATTTAATATATTTGAATGAATGTATTGCTTCTTTAGTCTGGGCAGTTTAGTCTTCCCGAAGGTGCTCACTCCCACTCCCTCGAATGATGTCCTCTGTTATTTGTACTTTGGTTATGAGCAGAAGATTTTTTTTAAAAAAATATATTTGTTTTTTTTGCGGTTTTAGAGATGATGTAAAGGAGTTTCTGTTGTTGCTTTCCATCATTGAAAGTTAAGTCCAGGAAGAAACAATTTTATTGCACGATTTACGTCAGACATAAACAAAAATCGATCATACCTTAGTCCTTGACTAGATCGCGAGCTTCGTGACGTGTCTAACCACAAATCCTATGTGCTTGTTTAGACAAGACGTATTATTCCAAAAAAAAAAAAATCTTAGATCAGGCGCTAGCCTAGGCATAATATATCAAACAAGAAGAAGGGAAGCATAAAAATAAAATTTAGGACGTTCAAAGAGGTGTTGTCATACTAGAATATTTGTAGACTTGTTTCTGCTTATCAGACTCTGTAGCCCGACAATATTAAACTCAGGAGCTCGTTTTCTCTTTAAATATGGTTTGGGAGATCACTGAAATGACATGAATGTTAACGAACCATGGGTAAAAAGCATGTCATTACCTTGCTGTAATGGCATGTTCTGTCAAAGAACTTTTTGTAAAGGCTTTCGGAGAGAATACTTTGCAAGTTATTTTGAGTGCTTTTTTTTTTCTTCTTCTCTGTTCAGTGGTTAAAACCAACCAGCCTAATGTTTTTATTTACTGTAGCGGGCTCCTCAAATGTATCCGTGGACATGGCAAACAGAGATGTGTTAACAGCCTTGTCTCAGATCATAGATCCAGATTTTGGGACAGATATCGTTTCATGTGGATTTGTTAAGGATCTGTCTATTGATGAAACCTCAGGAGAGGTGATTAAGAAAAGTGGGCTTTCTACAAGTCAATTGTGTATAGTTTGATGTAATTTTGTTGACAAGGCTGCGTGTATTATTTCAGGTTTCATTCCGATTGGAGCTCACAACACCAGCATGTCCCGTAAAGGACATGGTAATTGAAATTCAACCATCAAGATTTATAGTCATGATTTTTTAAGCTGGTAGAACTTGTTTTCTTTCACTTAGGGGAACTCTCATCCTAAAATTAAGGGTCATATAACGTTTATCACATTTGTCGGAATTCGAAGTTGCGAATGAGGTATTTAATAGTCCAATGATTCCTTTATGACGCTTATTGCAAGGGACAAGGTTATACCGGAAGAGATGCTGGGTTTTTTTAGTTTGTTGGTTAGCATGCAGGAAAGTATCCCTCCCTTCTAAGACGAGACTATGACCATGTGCATTCGTCCTCCTGAAAGAATAATGTTGTGATAATAACAGCTTACAACGCCTTTAAAGACTAATGGTCGTAAGTCTCTAACGAATATTTTTTTTTCATCTATCAAACCATCTGGGAATTAAGGTGAGAGAAATACTACGTCCAAACAAACCTTAGGCTTGAACCGGTGTAAGACTTCTCTTAAGTGGACCTTTACCTTTTTTTATTATTTGATTATTGTTACGTAAGTCGAGGGTTATAACATTCCAATTCTAATGTCTAATAATTAAAGGGTTCTCATTAGTGTCCATATTGCGGGATGGATGTTATATTCGGTAAAATATACATTCAACTTCAAGAATGTATATTTGAGTGCTGAATTCTATGTCAATGTTATTATACTTGTTTTCAGTAAAAGCTGTCAGGAAGGTTAAAGGTCACCTCTCAAAAAAAGTATTTCTAAAATATAGTTTGCGTTATTGACAATTCCATTAACTGTTTATTTGTGAAGATATTGAATGGCGTTGTTTGTGTTTTCTCTCGAATTGTATTTTGAAGTTGGTTGTTATACACATCATCTGGTGATAAGACTATATTCATCTCATCATGCTTATCAATTCTTTTAACTGGAACTGTACGAACTGTGTCAATCTTAAGTTGTAAATATCAACTACTTCATGCACCTGACATTGTAGATCCATTTTTTTATGCTATATCTTAATTATAATGCACTTTTTGTGTCTTTACTCATACTGAATCAATTTCTGCTTGTTAGTTTGAAAAAAGGGCCAATGAGGTAGTTACAGAACTTCCTTGGGTGAAAAAGGTCAACGTGACAATGTCAGCCCAACCTGCAAGACCACTTTATGCCGACCAACTTCCCAAGTGTTTACAATCAATTTCGAATATTGTTGCAGTGTCTAGTTGCAAGGTAAATTTATATATCCTCCTTTTGACTTCAATCTGCTACTGCTCATTTCATATAATGGCTTTTCAAGATATCTAGTTCGCAAATTAAAGATAGAATTGGGAGAGTTACACTGTTCCAAGATCATTTTAAGTCTAACTCATTCATATATTAATCTTCTTAGTTTCAAGTATCAAAATCATCTTACTATTGAAAGCAATACAAAATTATTTTCAGCTATGTCCGTGCCTTATCATGTGATAATGACCAGAAAAATGGTGGAATCATACACTTTGCTTCTAGATGATATATGGAACATCCAGCGTTGACGCGACATGCCTTTTATCTGCATATATTTTGAGCTCAAGTTCACCCAATGAAGCACATCAGTACTTTAAAATCCAAACCAAAAATTTCATTCTTCCGATTGATTGTGTAGAGTATACATTGAAGTTTTTTTCTGGATGTTAAGAAGATTATTCCACGAAAATCAAAATGAAAAAAAAAATGGTTATGACCAATTGTTTTGCACTAATCACACCCGTACAAGGTGAAGTTACCTGTTTGAGTTAACCTATGATAAGAAACGTAAAGACTAATCAGACCAACTAGAAAATCGGGTTGCTTAAAGTTTATTGGGTTGGACTGAGTTTTCTCGATCCAAACCAGCCTGTGGTTTTGTTGGGACGACCGTGCGAGTCAATCCTAAGGAAAACTGAGGCACGTCTTGAAACTTGTCTATATATTTATTCTATATGTAAGTTTCTCCAATCGGATCTTATCTGGTGGATCTAAAAGATCAGGGTCTGGTTGGAGTGGTTAAGCATTTGAAGACAAAAAGTTGCGTAGATTGGAACCCAGTTAAAATTTGGTTTTGTTGGATTCAGGTCTACAACTTCTTTCAATTTGGGTTGGGTAAAACTCCACTTGAACCAACCTAACTTTAGTTGCAGCTCCAAGGAGAGACTCAATCGAAAATCCTTTGAAACTTGTTTGAAAGTCCACCTCTACTCTCTTTCGTGATGTTTAATCTCATATGCGTGGGAACAGCCCTCAACCGCTACCTATGACTTCAAGAGAGTCTAGGAGTTAAGAAAAAGTTGCAAGGATAATAAAGGAAGTCAGAATAATGATTCTTGAGATTTTACAGATCACAGACCTTCATACATGATAAAAACATATTTTATGCTGCAATGGAATTCCTTATTTTATTTTATTTTTGTACTTATGTGAAAAAAAACATTTATTTAAAACATTGGCATATTATTAATAGCACGTTGTTGTCAATGATTATATACTCAAGCTGTGCAGGGCGGTGTCGGAAAATCTACAGTGGCCGTTAACCTCGCCTATACACTGGCCGGCATGGGTGCCAGAGTCGGCATATTTGATGCTGATGTTTATGGTCCGAGCCTCCCAACAATGGTTTCACCTGAAAATCGATTGTTAGAGATGGTATTTGTTATTCTCCACGTACATATTGGTAGATACTTCAAGTTCGATTTTAGTAATCTTGAATTAAAGCGGTTTTTAGAATCCAGAGACGAAGACCATAATCCCAACTGAGTATTTGGGCGTCAAGCTGGTATCATTTGGATTCGCTGGACAAGGACGTGCAATAATGCGGGGTCCCATGGTTTCAGGGGTTATCAATCAGTTGCTCACCACTTCTGAATGGTATGTTTCCTGTATCACTTGTACTTTGCTAAATATTTTATGTTGACATCTCCACATTGTTGATATAACCACAGGCCTGATATTAATTCTACATTGAATATCAGTCCAATTATCATTTTTTTTTCAATGTCTCTTCAGGAAAAGTATTAGCTCTAAATATTACCTTTTTTTAGTTTTTTACGTTAACATATATAGATTGCATTTCCTAAATTAAGACTAGAAAATACTCTCCTGACTCGGTCAGCTCATGTGATCCTGCTCTTCTTTTTTTTTTTTATCGGAACCAAATCATGTTGCATATCGGGATTGGCTGAACTAGTCGAACGAATGTGGAAGCATCCCAACGAAGTTAAACTTGTTAGGGAATCAATTCGATTCGTGAGTACTGACATTGATTGATATTGAAAGTAACGACTCGTGAAATGAAGGTGGCTATCTCAGCCTACATTTACTGTTAGACTAGTTCAGCCAATCTCATCTTATAATGTCCTACTAAATAAACGCAACACTTGAAAAACATGTGTCACTAACATCTCTCCCCGTCTGTATTTGGACCATTGTACATGAAAATAAAATAAGAAAGGCTATTGGTGCACCTCATTTATTCTTTTGATTTCTGATGTACTGACTTGGCATGATGCAGGGGAGAGCTAGACTACCTTATAATTGATATGCCTCCTGGAACCGGTGACATTCAGCTTACTTTGTGTCAGGTGTATTTTTATTCATTAACATAGTGCAAACATTGCTTATGCCCCCATTTGATTGAACTTCTCTCTTTCCAGGTGGTTCCATTAACTGCAGCTGTGATCGTTACAACCCCTCAGAAGCTTGCTTTCATTGATGTCGCCAAAGGTGTCCGCATGTTCTCCAAGCTCAAGGTATCCTTCCATGTAATAGAAACATAGAACGTCCAAAGCTTTCAATCCTATCAATCTGACCAGCAAGCACGCAGAATAGGCAGCATAATCCGTGCACTTAAGTCAAGCGAATCTATACATAGGCCCTGTGATAGTAGCTAGCCCAGACGATACAACCCGTTTCAACAGATTAGATTACGCAAGTGAAACCCACCCATCCACGCCCATAATCACCATCTCTTATGTTGACCAACGTTGTTGCAATTTCGCAGTGTATTATGTTGATGTTTTTGTCGCTGGATCAGCATTCATGATTATAATGGGCCTATCTGTTTTGAAGGTTCCATGCATTTCAGTGGTCGAAAACATGTGCTACTTTGATGCTGACGGCAAGCGTCACTACCCCTTTGGTGAGGGCTCGGGGAGTCAGGTGCGTGTGCGCCTCTACATATGTGATGTGCTAATCTAGGACTCCCTGCTTACAGACGCCTTCATCCATTTTGTATCAGGTCGTTCAACAGTTTGGGATACCTCATCTATTTGATCTTCCCATCAGACCATCGGTATGCCCACGCGCCTTAGCTTAGTAATTGAGGGATGCTCCTTCAGAAAAGACTGCTGTAAGCCTTCTCTGTCTCTCTCTGTCTCTCTCTGTCTCTCTCTGACAGCTATCAGCCTCCGGGGACAGTGGAACGCCGGACGTTGTGAGTGATCCTCTAGGTGATGTGTCCAAGATTTTTCAGGATCTGGGGGTCTGTGTGGTCCAACAATGCGCCAAGATCCGCCAAATTGGTAAGTTGACTTCCTGTGGCTAGAACAGTCCCACATTGCTTGTCATCTGCGATAACAGAGATGGTCCCAGTAACTCTAATACCTGTCAATGGCTTCATTACTGCACTATCACAAGCTAATTTTAGTCGTGGATGGTGAAACCCAAAAGATGCTTTACAGAGAATTCAATGCCCATTATTCTCCAAGAACAGAGTCTAAAACGTGTAGTTATTACTCTCAAAGTATACCTGGCATTATGCCGGGTGGGTTTGAGGCCAAAATGATGCCCCGAGGTGTTCTAGATCTTCATGGCGAGTTTAACCCGAGTATCATTTGCTCACTTATTGGCCCATTTATCTTCGCTTCCACAGTTTCGACGGCGGTATCATATGATAGATCGGTGAAAGCGATCAGAGTAAAGGTTCCCGACTCCAAAGAAGAATTCCTTCTGCATCCAGCCACAGTCAGGCGAAATGACCGCTCCGCCCAAAGTGTCGTATGTATTTCATCCTCTGTCACTTATTTCTGCTGGGTTATTTTGATTATAAATATTTTAGGCTATTTCATCTTATGGGTTTCTGGAGGGTGGGAAAGTTTCGAGAAATATAAAAATGAGATATTTATTTAATATTCTAAAATCATGTTCTCATGATTTATTTGCTAATTTCTAGCTCAGACCTGATCATGAATTACTGCAATTACTATCACCAGCAGCAGCAGCATTACTACTACTAGTTCCTTGAAGATAATGCTCTTTCTCTGTGCTGCTTTCGAGATAAATCCATGGCAGGGAGGGAGGGAGGGAGGGAGGGAGGGGGAGAGAGAGAGAGAGAGAGAGAGAGAGAGAGCTATATGTATATATATATATCTGCATGCTAACAAGGGGAACCAGTTATAACATAGATGATTTCATGCCTAGAAGTAAGCCGATCGTGACCTGCAGGATGAGTGGACTGGAGAACAGAAAATACAGTACGGGGATGTTCCTGAAGACATCGAACCAGAGGATATCCGGCCGATGGGGAATTACGCTGTCTCAATAACATGGCCCGATGGCTTTAGTCAGGTCAGATATCCATCCATGTTGCTTTCATTTATATAATTTAGTTATATATATGTATATATACATGTTTATTTATTTTTATGGTTGCTTGCACTTAGAACATCATAATCACAAACGGCATTTCCTCCTCAAAATTGTGCCAATTATTGGAATATTTATTTGACACTTGCCTAGAATGGTATCAATTTCTTGGTTTTATTGTTGGTATAATTTTCTGATTCGGACTGTTGCCTAGACTCCTATGTCTAGTAGTTGACCTCCGCTGTCAGATGGATGAGGTTACCCCTTATGAAGCTCTTACCAAGCTCAGGTGCAGTAAAATCTAGGCCGGAATTAGCTATGACTAGCCACGTGGGTGATTCTGGAACCGCCACGTGCTGAGAGAAGATATATCTATTTTTTTGCTGGGTTTGATTTTGTGCTCCCGAATGAAGTACCCTTGCGCCTGTGAGATCTTCTCAGCCATAGATGATCCTATCGAATCCACGTGGCGAGAAGATAGTGGGCCACATAGAGACATGGCCGGACCGAGATCATCCGCAAGAAGAAACTGGGCTCCGGAAAGAGCCTCTCCACATTCTCTGAGGCCCCTTGTTCTCTCTCTCTCTCTCTCTCTCTCTCTGCCTCTTGATACCTTCTTCGTCCCCTCCCCTGCTTCCCTCTGCAGATAGCGCCGTACGACCAGCTGCAGACCATGGAGAGACTGGTGGACTTTCCGGAGCCGTTGACGTCACACGCGAACGCTTGATGAAGGCCCCGTCGTCGTCGTCGTCAACCCATCTGGCGGGGGCAGGAGGTGGCTGTCGAGTTGACTTGGGACCCCCGTCCAGATCGAGGACTTGTGCCCGCTTCTGGGTCAACTGCTCACGAAAGAAGCCCTCGTTCTCGTTTGGTGGGGGGGGACTAGGGTTCGATGTCCTGCCTGCTTGTAACTTCTTCGGCTCTGGAATGGTGATGCATCATCATTTCTCGTATTTATTTTTTGAATGAGCCCAAAGTTGCAAGGCTCTCTCTCTCTCTCTCCGTTGACATCTTGCCCTCCATGAAGGCGCCGTCACGAGGAGAAACGGTCGTCTCTCTCGTTCTCTCTCTCCCGCTGCGTCGATCATTAATGGGCCGTTGTACGATCGAATACTCTCTCTCTCTCTCTCTCTATATATATAAATATATATATATATATATCACGGGGTTCCATTCTCTCTCCTTGAGGAGAAGAAGAAGAAGAAGGGGTGTGAAAGTATCAACTCAGAGAAAAGAAAGGGAAACCAAAACGAAGGGGGAGGGGACCCCCACGGAACGTCGGTCATCTGGGCAGCGCGGCCCGGTGTTTATTTCGACATTCTTTCATGGACGAATGAACTCGCCGGAGTGAAGGGGATGGCAGCGTAGGCCTGTTGAAAAAGCAAAGCAAAAAGAGAGCCCACCTACCGCACGGGCTGCTGGTTGTAATGGTTCTTCTCCTTCTTCTTCGCGGCTGCCAGCTTCGCGCTCCTCGCCGCCGCCTCAAGGGCCGCCGCCTTGGCGGCGCCGTCCATCTCCTTCCCCGACTTCTTCTTCTTCATCGACGTCATCTTCTTCAGCTTCTCCTTCACGTCGACGGCGGCGCCGCCAGTCTCCTCCTTGACTGATTCCACCCCCTCCGTGACATCCTTATTAACCTCCGAAGAAGGCTTCTCCTTCTTCTTCTTCTTCCTCGCCGCCTTGCCCTCCGCAGGACCCGACGGATGCTCCTCCCCATGGCCGTTCTCCTCAGGCTTCTTCTCCTCCGCAGCACCTTCAACATTCCGAAACCATCAACATCATCCCTTTTCGAACCGGACACCAACGGGGGGAAGGAAGCTCACCGGCTCCGGCAGTTTCTCCGTTGTCCTTGGGGGCTATCCCGAGCTCCGCCAGGACGGCGTCCAGCTCCGCCAGCTCCTTCTTCTTCAGCTCCTTCTTCGAGAGCTGCCTCTCCGTGTCCTTGGGGGCCAATGGAGGTGGCGGCCTCCTGAGTGGTTCATTGGGCTTCTGTTCCTCCTCGTGCTCCTGTTCCTCATCTTCCTCTGCGTCGTCCTCTTCCTCATCCAGACCGTCTTCCTCGCTTTCAGTTTCCTGCACATCGTTTCCACAGCATCGATAGACCCCCCAATCAAGAACTTTCATCCATGGCAGAGCAAAGCAAGATCGAGAGATGGAATTTACAGCAGGGATTAACGATCTAATTTTTCGGACCATAGTATCAGACAATCTGATTAATGAGAAGCAAATTGAGTCACACCAAGTAGCATTGCAGGAGCAGCTTGAGAGGCCCCAAGAGGCCCTCATAGGACCCCATCAACTGGAATAGAATTAGATCATACCGGTGTCTGCTACCCTTACCTAAACCATTGACTTGTTCCTCAACATAATTTAGCTTACAGAATGGACACTAATAAAATATGAGCAGTGAATTGACGAGGAGGAAGATGAACTCATTTAAAAAAACTCATTCTTCAGAATTCTTTAACTGGCTGAATGCAATTAATGACAGAAAGAATAAAAAAACCTGAAAAATAAATTGATGACAAAGGGAATGTGAGAGACGTAAGGCAATGAGCAAGATGCAAGCTAAAACAAAGAATTAACTCATTCCTAGGTATAATTTTACTGGCTGGACGAAAACTAAAAAAAATAAATTTATAAAAATGGACGATAAATTGATGAGAACAGGAAATGAGCTGCTCAAAGTGATGAGGAAGATATAATAATTACTTTAAAATTAATAATTCTACATGATAAATAATCAAGGATATCTACTGAAGCTGGATTACAACATGTTTCCCAGCAGATTTGTCAAAACCTTATGATTCCTAACAATTGAGGCTATGGGATGAATGATTCAAAAACGGTTAGTTCATAAGGCAGTGCCCCAGGAGAGTCAATTTCAATATCATATCTTCTCCCTGCATGCTGTGCAATTGAGTGTGCAGCTACGTTTCTTCCCTCTTCGTTAAGGGTAGGAATTGGGACTTAAGGATGAGTCTGACGACCATAACAATCAAGAGAAAAATACAAAACAAATGCATATAGAGGAATGGGCGTCATGCGATGATTATCGGTTGATACAGTAGACAGAAAGCTTTGATTCGGTGGTTTTTCATGGCAGAAGAGCGCGCGTCATGCGATGATGATTACAATAAAATCATTTATACCAGACGCGTGCGATGATAAAGCTCAGATATAAATTAAAATCATTCCTGAAGAATACATTCAAATCATGGTAAACGAAAAGAATTCAAATCTAGGAATGACACAATTTTCAAAAGAAAAGAAAAGAAAAACCTATATAGCAACAGGAGTATTAGCCATAAAGCACGCGTAGACAGACAGACCTCCACAGCAGCAGAGGTGTCGTCCTTCTGTTCCTCAGATGATCCCCAAACGTGCTGGGGGGGTGCTGTGGTTGCAAAGTAGTCGTCATCGTCGTCGTCAACATCTGCCCACGATTTCACAGTCAGCGGCGATGGAGCCCAGAAGACCTGCGGTTCTGGTTCCTTGGACTGGCTCTTGGTCGGTGTCTTGGTTTTCGATGAATCAGACTTCTTCTTTTTCCTGAGGCTGTCGAGAGCGGCGAATACATTGGTGTTGTTCATACCCAAGGACCCATCGTCCCTCCTGATTCCACCTCCGACCATCTCCGTCCTCGTCCACAAATAGCAAAGGCTCTGACAGATCCACCCCCTGGGTAAACTCCAGCAGAAGAAGCAAAGCCTGCCGGAGGACTCGCGTCAGATCAGAACCTTGGTTTCTACCTTTCTCGACGGATCAATGCCAAAGAACGAGGGCTAGGATGACAAAATTCCCTGACTCAGTTTAGTCGCAGGATTTTAGGAGATACTTCTCTTTCTTCGAATCTAATTTTGAATCGCCACACGACCAAGCATCGATACAGCGGAGAAAGAAGCCTTCAAGAGAGGCACAACCCGTCGGCCGCCCACAGAAACAGGTAGGGTTTCCACAGCTCGCGGATTGCAAGAAGAAAACCAGGGCCTCGTCGAGATAATTGTTGTCCAACCAGAAAGTCAGCAACGGCTGGTATGGGTTGCCCCGAGAAGTAGAATATGAGGAGAAGATGGGTCCTCCCCTGCCCTCCAGGAATTGATTCGGCCAAGCTTTCCTCCCCGCAGGCTTATCGACCTAGGGTTGGAGGACTTTTAGAGAGAGAACAGAGAAGAGGCAGGACGATGAGAGAGCCGGTACGCAATAAAGATAACGCCCAAGGGGACACGATAACGACGGCTTCACGGACGACGCACACAACGGAACCACAGAGAGAGAGAGAGAGAGAGAGAGAGAGAGAGACACGTGGTATTCGAGGGGGAGAGAGAAGCCTACTGAGAGACGTGGTACGCATGGGAGACGGTGAAGCATGCCACGTGGCTTTGGGCACGTGCTACGTTGATGACACGACAAAACGAAGTGAGGCTGCAGTCTTGACGTTCGACTTACGGATTCAGAGCCGGGGAGGAGTGCCACGCCACATGCTACTAATGGGCCGGTCAAAATTGTTGGGCTTCGACGGTGTCCGCCAGATTCTGAAGGATATGTTGCACGGCCCATAGCCCATTTTTCTGTCCAAGGACAGACGGAGACCGGCTGGAAAAAGGTCAACGGGGGTTGAAAATATGTACAGCGGCCATCCGTAGAGGAAGGAAGGAATTCAAAATTATTGACCGAGTGCGCCGACAGGAGGGAGGGAGGGGGGGGGAGAAACGGCAGAGAAAGACGGGGGGGGCCGCCCGGTATAAATCAAGTTACGCGACGAAGAAGAGGAAGATCATGAGAAAGACGACCAGCACGAAGAAGATCTTGATCATCAGCCACCGGTTGGAGGATATGCCGTTGAGGTACTTGAGCAGCGCCCCTTGGGCCCCCTCCACGTTTGCCAGCGTGTCCTCCATGTTCTCGTCGATCCTGCCACATCATCGTTCACTCACAACTTAGAGATAGAGATAGAGATAGAGAGATAGAGAGATAGAGAAAGAGAGAAGAGGAGAGAGAGAGAGAGAGAGGGGGGGGGGAACCTAATGGCGAGCTCTCCTTGCTGGGAGACCATGGTGGCCAGCTGCGTGAAGATACTGCTGAGCTCGTGAATGGTTGACTCGACGCTTTGGAGGGCTTCGGCCCGGCTCTGCATGTATTCGTCTCGCACCGGCACCAGCTGCTGGTGCATCAGCGGCTGTGTCGACGACGACGTCTCGCCGTTCACATGCCTCCGGCTGTTCACGAAGAAGGACCAAGGCCTCAAAACCAATCCTGAATATGATAATCCTCTCTCTCTCTCTCTCTCTCTCTCTCTCTCAAAGCTGACTGTTATTATCTAAAAGTTATAACGGGCTACCTCAGAAAGGACTCAGAGGATGAGGACGAGGGGCCATTCGCCCACGGAGGGGGGGCAAGCGGGCGTTGACGGGCGAAAGGATTGGTGGCGTCCTTGCGGGAGAAGAGCTGCTTTCTGTTCTCGTGGACCTTCAATTTCTGCAGAAGAAGACCGCAGACAGAGGAGGAGGTCATGACGGCGCGAATGGATAATACCCAGAGACGGGCGAGGGGTTGATCTACCTCGGTCCGCAGGGTCAACACTTCTTTGAACTCCTTCGTGGTGCTCATCAGGCGGTTCTTGAGACTGTCAACGACGGTGGTGGAGTGGCTCGTGGTGTCCCCGGTCAGGCCGCCACTTTCGTACTGCGTGTTGCAGAGGAACTGCAGGTCCACCACGGCCGAGTTCAGGGCGGTGATGTCCTGCTTAATCACGGCCGTCATCTCTTGGATCTCCACAGCCGGGTCGTCGTAGGTGCCCGTCTTCTTGGCCACTTCACGCACACACAGAGGACACGGCAAGAGAGTTACAGAGATGAAGAAGACCTTGAGAAAGAGAGTATATCGACAATTTTCACCCATTACACTGCGCATCAAAGAGAGAGAGATAGAGAGAGAGAGAGAGAGAGAGAGGTAGGGCACATAACCCACCATGGAGTTTTCTCTTCCAAAAGTCCCAACAATGGACAATTATGTTCATATTCTGCGTGTTCATATTCCTGAACCCACCCAAGTGACCCAGAGGGGGGGGGTTAAAGCAAAATAACCCGTCAAAGCTAGGAGTCGGCTTTCCATATCTACTGTTAGTTCATCTTAGCCAAATATCATCAGACTGGGTTTATTAATGCCATATTATACCTAGCTTAAGGGCTACTGAGAACCAAAGAAGAGATGTTCGACGGTGTCTCCTCCCTCGTCCCATGGCCTACAACGGTGTGAATAGCGTTCCTTGAAGAAGTGGCAACCAATATCAGGTGAGTAGTCCCACAAGCGAAACGCTCCACAATAAAATTATTTACTAGCTTCTCCCTCTTGTGGGACCCGAAAGATTATGAGAAACCTCCACCTAGTAAAGCCGACTAAACCAAACAGCCAGAAGACATCTGTTTTCTCTCATATCAAACCTACACACACGTAATGTTATAGAATATATTTTGCAAGATCTGTTGCTTTCTAGTACCATTTCCTGGAAACCACGACCACAGTTGACCCAAGGGAACTAATAAAGCCCTCATCTCCGTGATGACAACCAGACGCATAAATTTCCTTCTATCAGAACCTAAGCCCCAGGAAACTCACAGCACAAGCAACCACAGTATAAGAGCCCTGAGCAAGAGAGCTATTGCTTTCATGTTAGACAACCTTGTTTTAATCTCTCCCCTCTCAGAAAATCTTGCTTTCAGAAATATAGCCCCAAAGCCACATATTTATAGCTCGTCCATCCACAACTCAACTTCTTCTTAATCACAATCACATCACCTGTACACACAAACTCAGAAGAACTAGTCCAGCTTTTTCACCTACAGAAACTTGCCATATTGTGTTACATCACAGGTTGTCAAACCCTCGCCAGTAAGGACCAATCACAGCTGAAAGTCAAAACTAAATTGACCATCTATGTGGGTAGGATATGTATCTGCTTTCTAGTTACAACAGCATGAACTGTTCCTAAAGCTGCATTCAAATAACATCTCATAAGAGTTTTTATCCAGATAGAGGGCCAAAGAAGTATTGGGTTACCCGTTGATGTAAATTGTGTTGATAAATTGGATGGGGTTGAATATGAAATATCAATCCACATATAGAAAAAAATGCACTACAGATAAATGTTGACAGTACGCAAGCATTTCGTAGAATGAGATTCCATTCTAAAACATACTCTAACATTACACGAAGAAGATGCCAATTTCATTTCTGCACAACAGAAGAGTAATTATCAACACAATTTTGTGCTGGAGACGACTACCAACATTGGTTTGATGTCCAGAGGGAGACAACATGGAAATAACCGCATTCACAATTTTTTTAAAAGGGTTGCTGAGCCAGTGACAATAGAACAAGGAGCGAGGGGATCGATCTAAGCGAACAGAAATATCACAGTATTTCAATGTGCCATCAGATATATTGCACTTTTCCATAAGGTCCAGAAAAGTGTTTAGAATGGGTCATACGATCCAATCTTCCTTAAGAATATCATTTAAATTTTTGGAGATTCCAGAATATCTAGTCATCCAACATTATGGAATGAAAAATTCAACTCCATCCAATTTGTGATGAAACTACACACATACAAACCAACTACTTTCAACATCAGAGTCAAATATTAAGCCTCATAAGAAATTTCAGGGAATTTGTCAAATCAACCCAATGATCCAAAACCCGGTTGTTAAGTTGACAGACAGGAAAATAAAGATTAAAATAAGAAGGCAACGAGTAGTACAAGTAGTAGCACCTGAAAATGATTTGATTAATAGGATAATAAATAATGAGCTGACATGTGAGAACTTTTCACTTCGCTATTTTATACGTAGAAACATAAAGCTGCTTTTCTCTCTTTCATAATGTTGAATGGAACCAGAGTCGGAACAATGTCATCTCCAAACTATGCAACTAATACCATATCAGATTAAGATGTAAGTGCTGTTCCTTAAGCCACTATGAGGTCACAATTGGGCGCGATTACAGAAAATGGAACAGGATTTATACCCTCCATCGAATGCCAGGTTAGTTACATGGAACAAAGTGATTATCACCATTGTAATTTTTGAGAAACATACACCTCGAATGTTCTATCATTCTCGCGGGAGTTTAAGCCCTTCATTTCTCTTTCTGTTATGGTGACAACGAACACCTTATAATAATTGAGGAAAATATTCTTACGACGAGGAAACTGACTGATAATCAAAGAAGAGTAGAATCTATACACAAAAAATAATTCAAAACGTAAGTGACGATGATCGTCTAACATTGACTTACGCATGGCAAGCTTTGAAAGCTTCTGAGAAGTCTGGTGAATTGCAAGTCCAATTCTCGAAGCTCTTTTGTTGAACTCTGACTGAATGGAGACGGCAGATCGAGATCCATCTAATTTCGTTTCACTGTTGTTCGATGTATTGGGCGGAGGGAACGACTTCTTCAGCCTCTCGGCTATAGAGAAAAATTCATGCGTCCTATCTCGAAATGAATGATCCGATTTCACGGACATCCTGTGAAACGCTGGAAAGACGTCGCAAACCGCCAAAAATTCTAATAACGACGGAAATAAGATACTAAGGAGTTTGTAGAATCCACACAGGAGCACCTGAAATCAATTACTCCTGGATCTCAAGTCCCTATTTCGACAATTTTTTCCCGAGCGGTACACCACGACGCAAAAAAATTCCGGATCTGGCTCTCTAGAAGGACAACTGACGACACAAAAGCATATTTTTCACAAAATCAACCTCAAATTCATGCATAGAAACCAATTATAACGTCTCGCGGCCGCGGGGGTTCACGCCGGATCTCGCCGAGGATCTCCGAGAAAACTAGGGCTTCCGTGCCTAACAAGCACCAAGGGATTAGCAGACACCAGAAACCGGGCAAGATGCTCCTTCGACGATCTCAAGCGCGGCCCAGAGAGCCCGGGAAAGCGACGCGCCACGGAATTGGAGGACTCCGGAAGAACTAGAATACGAGGCGCAGCAGCCCTCCCTCCTCGGAGATGCATGAAAGGGCGAATAAGTCGGCAGTGACGATGCACAGCTGGCAAAATAAAACTAAAAAAAAGTTGTGTTTATTGCCTTTATACCCTTTATAAAACAGTTATATCCATATACTTTGTCCCAATGAATATGTATTCTAACCCTTTGGTATTCAAATACTTGTAAAATCACCTTTCACTATTACAAAAATCAAATACTTGTATATCAATAATCACTTAGGCCCAATCTAATTCCAATTCATAAAATTTATCTGGTAAATTCAAGAAGAAAAATAAGCCATTGATGAGTCATCATTTCTCATTAGTGTTTTGTGATTCATTATCTAGTATAAATTATTTTGTAAAATTTTTAAGAGTTGAGAGAGAGAGAAAATTACAAACTTAATCAAGCTATATCATTATATGTGCTACTTCAATCTCAATAACTATAGTGAATATGTACATATTACTATGCAAATCTAAGGCGCCAGGTCAATTGTGGATGTTCAACATAAAATGAAAAACCTAATAGACCACAACTTTCAATGTTTAATTAATGCATCTCTTTGAGATTTTATCAAAAAAGGTATTTCTAGGTTATCTTCATTGAATTACAAATTTATGTAAGCTTTACTTTTATTATGGTAATTTCACAACTTGGTCATTTGATTCTTCATGATTGAATAATCTACTTGAAAAAAAAAAACTATTTTAATTATAAATAATTATGTTGATAAAGTCTACTCAAAGATTTTACTATCTAACTTGTGATTCATATTTATAACATAAGAGAAGTTCCTCTTGTGCTGCAAACATCTATTCTGATTATGTATCACAATGGTCTAAACTTTCACCCTCTTTTACTAGCCTTTGTTGACACATTTCAAGTTCTTTTTCACTTGAACATCCTCTCTTCCCCCATCTCTCCACAAATGGCTTTCCCAACTAAGCCCACTACATTATGAGTCTTATGACTAACCCATTAACTTCTCACATACAGTTTATGAGTAGTTTAAGTCATGTTGATGATTCTCATAATCATATTGCTAACATTTTGTGCATAATTGTCTGTTACACTATCATGTTACATGTCTCCATATTTACATTGTCTTTCCCACTCAAGAACTCTTCATATGCATCTTTGTTCCTACTCATGATGCATGATGTTGTGCCCCTCCACACATGTCTCTTATGATGCAACATGTGACATCATGCCATTAGTCTGCAAGGTTTATGTCATATATTTCTAAACTTTGTTTTATTTTGGTAGTTTTTATTTGTTTAATATTATACACAACTACAAATGAGCTTCTTGTACTTGACAAGTGTCTCATGATATCACGATAAATCACCATAAGACATATTTTCATGGTTCATAAGATGCATCTTTGAATCTCATTTTATCTTAGAAGTGTCATTCATTTACATTGTGTATATGTGCAAGCCTCTTGTACTCTATGTGCATACATTGCGCCACATCACATCATAATTTAATGTAGCAACTTGTGTTATGTATGTGCCAATATGTGCATATTTATATGGCCACATATGATTTCATATTGGCAGCAAAGCTTTAAGTCCAAAATCTTATTCTACTTCTCCTATGTCATATTACTCTTATGATAATCTTAGGTTAGAACAAGTGATGATTTAAGAAATAATAGTATAAATGTTACTTTGATCCCAAAGTATTAGAGGGAGGGGGTGAATTTGTTCTACATTTTCTTTTAACATGTAATAAGCAGGTCAACACACTGATACACAGTGGATGAAGCAATTTGGGTGAACATACTTATCAGAAATTAAAAAATGGCATACATATTGTAGTGGTTCGATCTTTATTAATCTACATTTACTCACCAAGGTTTCTACCCTTTGTTTTCATCATTTTGTTTTAGAGAATAACAATTAAAATTCATGAGATTGACAAAATCATTTATATGCTAGATTTCATGAGTCTACTTTCTCACATTTGATATCAAGTCACAAGTTTGTATTTTCTCTCACTTTATTAGCAATCATCTAAGCAAATTTTATCATAATTAGATCAAACTTATGTGACATTGAGTTGTGTTCTAAAATATCTGAATTCTAATAAAGCTCAAAAACTTGAATGTTGGAATGAAAATATATAAGATTTGGTTTGTCAAAGATCATCTAGCTCAACTCATATGTTTACTCAAATAAAAGTTTATATAATCAACTTGTTGAATTTGTTGGAACATTATTTGACATATGAAGTTATGATGATGGCAAGCATATATAAAATAAAATATGCAATTATGTCGGTGATTCTTTATATATGAAATGTATATGAATATCTCATTAGACATGAGTGTGAAATTAATTCACTACCAATTTATGAATAATACATAATAATGATAATACATGTTTAGGTGATACAATAAGGAATGTATTTGAGTCTCATATTTTTAATTATGTAATTTGGATGAATTTAATGTTGGAAATCATTACTTTGTTTGCTACTATAGAAAATAATAATATTTATGAAATTTACCTAAAGAAGTAATATTTTGCATCATATTTTACACGAATTACTAAATAAAAATATTTTGAGGTGATTTGGACTAAATGTGACTAAAAAAATATTACTTTATTTATAGATGTTTTTTTTGCATTATTTTAATAATATATTATTATTATTAGACACTTTGAAGTATGCATTAATGACCATGTGTCTTGATTTTACCTTGTAAGATATTCAAACCTTTTAAGTATATATGTCTCTAATAGTTCAATTTTTTAGTTAATTTTAGAGTATTTTAATATTCAAAATAATGAAAAATAGGAGAAGGTTAAAAATAAAATTTATGTATGAATTCAAGCTCTCTCTAGTGGCTAATAGGTTTCAAATCATCATCCCTAGCCTTTATATGATCTTTAGTTTATTTCTACAACTTTTGTAGATAAACTGAACAATCTTTAAGACTTGGTCAAATGACAATAAGATATTGAGACTGGAGTAAAATTAAATTCAATCAAGATTTTTCTTGACCAATTTTAAGAGTCAGTGTTTTCATCATTCAAATAACTTCATTGCGTGAAGAGGACAAAGAAAATCAACTACATAAAAAATCTCACAATGAAAATTTTCTTTAACTTCGTATAAGATAAACAAGTGATTGCATCTCAATTTAATTATTCAAGGGAACGAATCCTTATAATGAGTGGTAGGTCAGCTAAAGTCATGAATCTATAAAAAAACATTTAAGTGAAATATTGTGGGAGTTTAACTCAGCAATCAATGATTATTGATTAAATGATTAGTTTAGTAGAGCCCAATAATAAAGTGTTCTTAAAGAGTTGAATTAGATTTAGATTAAGAAACTATAAGATCAAAGATATGATATTGATATAATTGAAAATTTTCAAAATTAACTCAAGATAAATTATGCTGCTTTATCTAATTAAATTTGGCCTTAAACATAACACTATCGATAGACTTTTGACCCATGACATTTTGTAGATATATTAGTATATGATTTATTTATTTCTTGTAATCTTATAACGTATTAAGATTTGTTATAAGTTATCAAAGATGTTCTAGCATGTGTAAGCACATTCCAATATATTTCTCATGTTAGATCTCAAAAAGAATCATTGTTTATCTCTCTTGAGATTTGATTCATTGGTTACTCACTTGATGAGTCAACATAATGAATCTTCTATGATAAAATTTTCAATCTTCAAGTTTGACTCAACAATAGTTGTTCCACTTTGGACTTGAGTTAACTTTATTTTGATCACTTTTTTCTCTTTTATTATTATTTGTCAACATTAAAAGACAAACCAACAAGACAAACATGTATATGCAGTGAATTATGGATGTATACAAGTATCCATATGGATATTCCATTTGATTGAAATCAATGGGTTGTGCTTAAGAAAAGTTTAAGTCTGATTGCCTCGTAAAGTTGAGCCTCCCTTTACTCAATCATGATTTGAATACTAACAATTGACGATGCCCCATAGGAGGCATATAAAGGGGTCTCCACTAGTATAGGCTATATAGAATTAAGAGATCATATTTGAAATGAAGAAATAGACCACAAAGAAAGAAAGAACATCACTTTTTATTTTCCAAAGAGGGTATATCAATCTTGCCTTCTCTTTGAACAGCTTTTATTGATCTATCCTTTTTGGCATCATATTTATTTCAAGATTTACATACATATCTACTCGATGGCATGCACTAATTGCATTCAAACAAGTAATGATTTGAAGAACTTGGTAGGAACATGGTGAAGTCATCAGCATATTCCTCATGCATCTAATTTAACATTATAGGTATCCCCTATGGAGAAGGTTCCCATAAGAAAGATTATTAAATGCCTACCAATCATCAAGAACTCTCTCTCACTCTCTCACTTGCTTGCTCAATTTAAGGGTGCTCATAGGGATTGTGTTTGGGTTTTTTTGGTTTACTAGAGTGTTTATTTAATAAGTTGCCCTAACACGTAATGGAAAGGAAAAAAGATGATAATATTATGATTAACCATAATATTACCAAATGTATACCATTATTAGATCTAGAATGTCCCAATAGTTTTTTGACTTACGATGGCATAATATTTGTTAGAAGAAGCATTTTTTTTATGGAAATAGAATATTTAAATAAATCTTTCCTTAAATGACTTATGTAAATAGAGAGAGAGAGAGAGAGAGACAGAGAGACAGACAGACAGACAGACAGAGAAACAAACAAACATTTTTTCATTCTAAGAGGAGGATTGAAAAATGATACATCGAATGTTTTCCTAACAAACATGCTTTTATTATCGGCAACTTAAATAGAATCATTCTAAGAAATGCCTGGTAATTTGGTTGGCACGAAAAGAGACATTCGAGAGGGACTCCGTAGGGGTGGTGGTGATCGAATCGCCGGCCTTTTACGTTCAACCAAATCCGTACATGGGTGAGGCATATGGTGCTTGAGGTCCACGGAAAGGTTAACCTTGTAACATTCTTGCCGTGTGGAAGGGCCCATCCATTCTTGGTGGAAATCAGCTGGGCTAACTAACCCAATGTATCATCTCCTTCAAAAAGGAGTCATTTTTATTGGACGAGTAAATGCGCGTGCCAAATCCAATGCAGTCGGGAGAGGAAGGAAACACCTTCCTCTGATCGGGGGGAACTTGAAGGCGCGGGGGCGGGCGGGGGAGGGAGGAAGAAGCCAGGAACTGGGCCTGGCTATCCAGAGTGCAAATCCACCCAGTTTATACCAGCAGGCCCAGAACAAACTTGGTTGGCCCATCCTTCCTCAAAAAGTCCAGAGCTCTGAGCTTTCCGCCATGGCCGCCGGAGCGGCGACCGGGCACGGATGCCATGGAAGTTCGGATCCCTCCTCGCACGCCGGCAGGCGGCGGGCTCTTTCCGGACGCCACCGTGCTCCGCCCGGGGACCCGAACGCTGCCTCCTTTCTCTCCTCCGCGAGCGCCATCCCCGCCGGAGCTCTGTCATACAGGTTCACGCGCAGCTAATAACCGCCGGCTGCCACCGGAAGCCGGCGGGTGAAGCTGCGCTGAGGCTGTGGAACGCCATCCTACGGCATTATTCCATGGGGAGCTTCCCCCAGGAAGCTCTTCTCCTCTACGGTCAGACCCACCACCACGGCGGCGCCGCCGACTCCTTCACCTTCTCCTTCCTGATCAAAGCCTGCGCGAACCTGTCCCAGCCGGAGAAGGGGCGGCAAGTTCACGGCATCACCATCAAGAAGGGCTTCCACCCGGGTGTTTACGTACAGACCGCCCTGCTGAACATGTACTGCGAGTGCCGGCTTCTTGACGAAGCGGGTCAAGTGTTCGACGAAATGCCCGATAAGAACCCGGTCACCTGGAACGCCATGATCACGGGGCTCGCGAGATATGGAGAAATCGACCGCGCGAGGCTAACCTTCGAGCAGATGAATCATCGAAATCTCATATCCTGGACGTGTTTGATCGACGGCTACACGCGGGCCTGCAGATTCCATGAAGCTCTGCTGCTCTTCTGCCAGATGATGGCCGAAGGCCTTTCCCCGACGGAAGTCACTATTCTCGCCATCGTTCCCTCCATTTGCGGCGTCGGCTCCCTCGACCTTGCTGGGTCGATCCACGCCTTCTGCGATAAGGGCGGGCTCGCCATTGCCGACATTCGCGTCTGCAACTGCCTCATAGATATGTATGCCAAGTGCGGATCAATCGACCTCTCCCTCCGGGCCTTCGAGGAGATTTCTGGAGGAAGAAACCTGGTATCGTGGACTTCGATAATCTCAGGGTTCGCCATTCACGGGCTGGCGGAGGAGGTCATGGAGCTTCTCGAGGGCATGGAGAAGGATGGCTTCCGCCCTAATCGTGTGACCTTTCTGAGCATCTTGAATGCCTGCAGCCATGGAGGGCTGGTGGAGGAAGGGGTGAAGCTTTTCTCCAGCATGGTGAGCTTGCACGGCGTCGAACCCGAGATCAAACACTATGGCTGCGTAATCGACATGCTGGGGAGGGTCGGCAGGCTGGAGGAGGCCGAGAAGATGATCCTGCAGCTGCCCGTTGCGGCCAATGTGGTGCTTTGGAGGACTCTTCTGAACTGCTGCGGCATTCATGGGGATTCGGAGACTGGGAAGAGGGCGATGAGAAGAGTTCTGGAGATCGAGAAGGGATACGCCGGGGATTACGTCACGTTTTCCAACACGCTAACCGGTGCTGGTAGGTTCGGCGATGCCGAGGGAGTCAGAAGGCTGATGGATGAGAGGGACGTGGCCAAGATTCCTGGGCACAGCCTTGTCTGATGGAAGGGCTGAAGTTCTTGATGGGTCCTTAACTCTTTTTTTTTTTTTTTATGGGTCTTTTGAGGTGTTTAATTAAAGTCGAATCATCTGAAAATCGATATTATTTTCAGGTACTTCAGGTCTGTGGTCGCCAAAAAAATTCAATAAAAAAGTAAAATTTAAAAGAAAAGAGGCCGCAATATGAACAGAAACTTAGGCGCCAGATTTGTACAAAATGGGGATGATCTACTGCGATCCTCACGTTGTCCTCGTTCAAGAACTGCCGATTACTGCTCGGACTCCATGATTCCTTCTTGTTCATGATCTTGACGACTGCCTCTCTCGCTCTTTCTCTTAAGGGGCTCGATCCATCTCCGATCCTCAATCACAGGCCAAGATCCCGCAATCCCTATCGGAAGAATCATCGATGCACAACAATCATCAGGATTCCGCTTCTTAAATCACGGCAAGGGGTTTCTTCTCGCAGTTATGAGAGAGCTCGCGGCCAAGAACTGAGGAACATGAGCCTCGTCCCTTATCAGAATCTAAACAAGAGAAAAAAGTCTCTGGTTTTTCTAAATCTCTTCCCGTTCTCGGGAGATAGTCCATCTCCAATCCTATTCCCACAACTTTTCTTTATGTACAGGGAAGCATAGGGGACTCTCGTCTTCCGCCGATCTTCTGCAAGTGGAGACCGTCGATCGCCGCTGCCGCTAACCCAGATGAGGAAATTCCTTCTGCCGCTGGTTCGCGGAGGTAGAGAGAGACGAAGAGGGTGGAAGCCGCTCAATCGGAGACGGTGTGGTCGTGCCAGCAGAGGAGCATGGAGATGCAGCGGCCGAGGATGTAGAACCTGGTCTTCTGCTGCTTCGCCACCATGCGGCACTTCCTCCACAGGCCGCACGAGTTCCGCCGGTGAGCGCTGCGGTAGGCGGCAGCGGGGGCGTAGTAGAAGTGAGAAGAGGAGAGAGAAGAGGAGACGGCCATTGCCAGAAGACGGTAAGCAGTAGTAGCCTGCGCTGCGAGAATAGGGATTGATGGAGTTGGAGGAAGTATCGGGGCAGGTGGGGGGTTATATAGCCTGGTAATGGATTGGATTCCTCAGAAATAAGAACCCTATATTTTCTAGAAGACGATGAGGATCGATAGAGAGCGGCGTATCGCCGTGAGAAAAACATCTTCTTGCCGACTTCCAGGTGGACCCACGATGCTAACGCCGCTCACTCCCGATGGCACGGCCGACATTCGAGAAGCCCACACCCCACCGCCGCCGGGGCATTCCCTCTCAGTGGGAGCCGCCTCCGACAGCCACACAGGAAGCCCCGTCATCCACCATTGTTTACTCTTAGTAGATGCGAAAAGAGGCTTCGCCTTGTCAGATTTCTGCCGACCCTGCCCAGGAAGACGACACACTCTCTCTCTCTCTCTCTCTCGCTTTCTCTCTCGTTCTTTTCCTCGCACGCTCGTTTCGGCGGCGGGGAGATTGCGTGGGTAGCGAGCGTGTCTAAACGGAAGAGTCAGCGAATTGCGAGCTGGCAACCGCCAGGTTTGACTTCGATGAGAGCGAGATCAGTCTGGATTCCTGGATGAACTCAACCTACCGGCGTTTCAAAATTAAACGTCTGGGAATTTTCGAGAGGGAGAAAAGTCGGGGCTTCCATCTGAAGAATTGGCTCCCCCCACGAGCCACGTGGTGTTTTCATCTAGAAGGAAGCGGTGGCAACTGATCGTGCCAGGGCTTAAATTTATCGGATTTTCTTTTTTCAGGATTTAAATTAACACTAGCTCTATGATTACTGACACCAAACCAAGTTATTACCAAAAGTATTGTTATTTCGAAAATTTTGAAATATATATTAATTATAAATAAAGAATGAATAGCTAACTAAAAAACATTAAGGGCGTTGATAGGCCTTGTTTGTGGAAACCAAGCTGCCATTAGATGTAGATAGTTTTCTTACTGAAATTAAGTAATTTAAAACCATTTTAAAATAAGTATATATATATATATATATTTAACATGGTATTTAAATTTGCCATGTTTGTTTGAAAAAAAAAACATTACGTTTTGATTACAACTAGCCGACAACTTTCATTTTCAAAATGATATAGACATGAGTTGAGGTGGAGTAATTTTATTCAAATTGTGCCAATGGAGGAGTATATTTATTCCAACTGGTGTCAATATAGAGTTGCCTATACATGGGTCCCACACCCAAGTCGGCAGGCTTGGTGTTGGGACCTAATCCCAACATAATTGGGTCAGGTTGGGCTGGCTTTGTGCTTATTTGGGCCATCAATAAACTACATTGGCCCCAAGAGGAGTCATCCAAAATCTTGGACAAGCAACAACAATCATGGTGTATATGTGTAAGGATATGAGAACATCTATAATCCTTTAGAGGAAGATTATCCCACTCCTGCCAAGTCCAAATTTGATGAACATGGTAAGATTCATTCCTCTAGCTGCCATGAAAAGGTTGAAGGAAGAAAAAGAAAAGGAATTTGATAGATATCCAATAGATCAGAAAATAAATAAGGTTCCTCATAACCCTAAGATATTATCCTATATCCTACAATGAATTGACAATGATAGTATGTTAGTATGAATAAATCATTTAATTTATTGATATTAGTGGATCTTGACCAATGATGCATTGTTGTAATTTTATCTTGATCTATCATTACTCCATCAATTGAGATATAATGCCCTAAGTAATCAAGATATTCTTGGATAAACTTATATTTTTTTTAAATTAGTATAAAGCTGATTGACTAATGAGAGCACATGAACTTATTAAAGATGTTGTTTGTGATTTTACTTGATGTTGCTGAATTTTTTTTATAAAAGAAATTAAAATATATTTGCAAAAGGGATGGTAAAATATTTGATTCATTAAAAACTAAAAAGTGGTGGGGCATTGGTTAATTCAAACAACATTACTAAAAATTCATAATGGCTCTCATATCAAAGGTTTTCTTATATATATTTTGAGGTCCCATCTTTATTTGGTGATACATTGATTTGAAGTCTAGTTTTGAGATAATTAATTTGCCATAGGATTCATCGAGAAATTATTCCACCACGTGAATTAGAAATTAATTTAGGATAATAAACTTATCGAGAGCCATGTAATCCACTCAAAACCTCTAACTCACATCCTTTTTCTTGTATAAAAGAATCGTGTTGAAGCCACAAACATCACAACTATTGGAAGAGAAAGACAGGGTGTCAATAGAAAAGAGCCATGATTCTTGATTGAAGAGAGATAATATATATTTATATTAGATTAAAAAACATATTTTATTCATTCATTAGTCCTTATATAGTTGTAACTCAAGAGAGTTAATTTCAAAAATCATGTATAACTTATATCAAATCATGAATTCAACTTATTTAGAGAAAGAAAGTGAGATAGGAACATAAAAAAAAAGTTAAACAAGGTATACTTATAATTTTTCTTCTACAACATTCTCCATGAAGTTGGTGATATTAACTTAGAAGTAAGTTTCTAAAAAATAAGTCCACTCAATCTTTTGGTGAGGATGTCAATTAACTAGTCAAGTGTGGGCCTATATGACATGTATATATCTTTGTCATTTAATTTTCTTTTAATGAAGTGTTGATTAATTTTTATGTGCTTGATTCAATCATGTTGTACTAGATTATGGGCAATACTTATTACAGTTTTTTTATCATAGTACAAGTTAATTGAACCTCTTGTGATTTGAGTGTATGTTATTTATTCCTTGTGACATGACTTAATTATGATTTTGTATAAGGAGGAGTTACCATTTACTATTTTTTGCTCCCTTTATGTGACGAGGTTCCCTCTGAGGAGTATATAATATATTGAGGTTGATTGTCGATCATAAATGGAACTTGAAAAATTAGTATTAATATAAACTTATGTATCTACATTATTTTTCTTTTAAAAGAAAAAATATTTACCATGAGCTCCCTTCAAATATTGGAGAATTATATCTACTACTAGTTAATGGTCTAAAATGTGATCTAATTTCTCTTTCCATGTCAAAATCACTTCAATAATTTCACTCTATTACAATAAGTTTATTCGTCCAATTTAAATTCATTTAGGATATTATGTAATTTTAGGGTAAATCCCAATAAGTCAATGGTTTGGATTAGTTGTGATGAAGAAGAAACTATATTAGTCAAGTTAGACATTCACATAATCTTTCTTTCAATCAATGAGTATTGTGCTCCCACTCTCCAGTGAGAAATATGGCAAAATAGGGTCAAATAGAGAAAAATAGAGTTATTTAAGATTAGATACCAAAAAAGGAAGCATTTTCCATAATGAAATAGTCTACTCTCTCACATTCATATAGTGGAGGAGAGGTATGGAGATAGATTAAGACACTCAAGTAGAAAAATGAACAACAATCCCAAAAAGAATAACATCATACAATTAAATGATTTATCCAAAGTAAATGAATAATAGGTAGTAAATCAGTCAAATAATCCTTCAAGGAGTTAGAACAATCTCATCAAATGGAGTTTTAATATTATATTGAAGCTGCAGACATCACAATTGTTGAAGAGAGGGAGGGTAGCCATCAGTAGAAGAGAGTTGTTACTCTCATTTAAAGAGAGAGAGAGAGAGAGAGAGAGAGAGAGAGAGAGAGAGAGAGAGAGAGAGAGAGAGAGAGAGAGAGAGAGAAAATAAAAGATTAGATTAAAAAACACAACCTATTTAATCATTGGTATTTATACAATCATAGCTCAAGTGAGTCAAAATCTATAGTCGAGTATAACATATATTGAACTGTGTATTTGACTCACTTAGAGAGAAGAGGGAGAAGAACATAAAAAGAAAACTAAATAAGATATAATTATAATTTTTCATTATCTGACTCATTGAGTTGACAACTGAACTATGAGATTGTTGAATAATCTATACACTCATCTCTTGAACTAACCTTTCAATATTGTTCTTCTAGAAGTGTGGGTAGTGATAAGGCCAAAGATTAACTGGTGGGGTGCTCAATTAAGGTTGATTGTGTGATCCACTTCGCCATAGGGTGGTAATGCTTATACATATTTAAACACTTGGGAAATTCTTGCATTAGTCCCTTGACCAAAGGTGTTAGAAATATTATCTCCTGGTTGTCTGATGATGTTATATACAACTATTGAAGTTCTATGATCCACGAGTAACCTTTGGTGATGTCATGAGCTAGTGCTGATGTCTTCAATGAAATTTCAGATTTATTCAAACTTGAGTCGCCTTAAAGATCCCTCACCTTGTCTTCACATAAGAGATTTATGAATAGACAACACAGACACACTTGTGTGGGGTTAGGGTTCTCACCTGCTACATATCTATAATACAAAAATATAGATGTAGAAAGTTTTGCTCCACCTTTGGTCATTACATCTCAATCATTACTCCCTTGAAAATACCTCTACCATGAACTTGGGATCCATTCTCCAAGAGTATTTCATAATTTTTTATGTTTGAAAGGAGTAATGGAAGTTCTATCACTAATTCATTACACACAAAATTATTCATTGCCCCACAGTCAAGTATCGTAACATCCATGTCTTGTAGATATCCCCTCAATTTCATAGTGGTAAACCTACCACCAAATTTTTGTGGTACCACTACAGATTTGGGGAGAGTTTCTCCTTATTGTTCCTTTGCTTCTTAGTTCTTTATATCCCACTATTGGTCATCAGCTTTGTCTTCTTCATGTGTATAAAGGCATTTGAACCTATGGAGTAGACCATATTTATTGTTGTAGTGAAAATAAAAGTATTTTTCTTGGCATGCTTATAACTTTGCCTATATCAAATTTAACCTCTTCATTTATGATCACATGGCAACCTCTAGATTTCACATGTCTCATGTTTGCTGTCCCACTATTGAAGTAGTTGCTGACCTACTTTGCTGCAAATATCGATTTTGATGTGCATATGGTCTATCTTACTATTCATTTCTCCACCATGTGTTTGTTACTAGTTGTTGTACTATGTTCAATTTTTTGACAACCCCTAGATTCTATGTTAACCAACAAGTGATGGAGTTTCTATTCAGTCATTTAGGAAAAACTCATACTCTCGCGCAATCCCACAATCCAAATCTTGTATTTCTTGGGAAATAAGTCATTTGACCTTTGATAGAATTGCTCAGTTCAACTTGTTTGAGCTACAAAAATCAGTGGTGCACACTGCTTGAAGAGAACAAGCCAAAACGTATGAGTAACTACTTCTTGAGGTCTGGCCAATCAATCCTTGAAAGGTAACTGTTTATTGTCGACATGTACCATCTTCCTATTCCTTCACTACTCAGCAATGCATCTTGAAATACAGTTCAACACGAAATATCCACCCCTTTTGAGTTGGCCATGTTGAAAGGAGAAAGTTCCTATCATCTTCCTCGTTTTCCACGCTCCCCACCCACGTAGGGTTCAAAAGATATGCCGAATGTCGCTCCTTCTTATGATTTCGTCACTAGATGAGGAGATTGGTCACATGCTGGGCCGGCCCATGATCATCGTCGATCTGGTCCCCCTTTCTTGTGAACCACACTCTTTTCTCTTGATTCAATCGTTGGAGTAGATGATCAAACAGATGAGAGAAGTCTTCTTGTGAATTTCATGTTTCTTCCTTCAAGATAGTGATGACAATTTTGATTTTTTCTCTCGTTCTCAATAGATTTTAGGCTGTTATTTTGGAACTTGAGTGTCGTCTCTCCCTGGCCATCGGCTCTAATACCAACATGGTATGACTCCTTCCTCCAGCTGCCAAGAGAAGGGTTGGAAAAGAGAAGAAACTGGATATATATTCAGATAGATCATGAAATAAATAAGGTTTCACAGAACCCTAACAGAACCCAAGAAGTAGTTCGAGAAGCTCCCATCCCCTCCCTAGCTTGATTGAGCCCTAGCATCCTGTTCTCCAGAAGATGGATGTCTCTCTCATGTGTTCGAGGGTCCTTAATACCCTACCCATATACAATGATCTATCTGCCCCTCTCTCATCCTGTTCACCCTTTCAGTGGCGTCGTGAAAAGGGTTTGTCTGCTGGTTTTGGTGCTGTTAGAGATGCCATAACCGAGCATGTTCTTAAGAAAAGGTGAAACCTCCACACAACTCAGGAGACAAAGAGCAATCCCCAGTTTTTCGTTCAAGTTAAATAAAAAGCCCAACCAGGCCCCAAAACCAATAGCCATCTCTTTTCTCATATAAACCCCAAGATCCAATAAATTTAGAACAGAACCACGAACAATGAACCTGTTTCAGAGCCTGATATGCTTGATTCCCTCTCTCCTTCTCGGAAAATCAGTCCTCCTAAGACCCAGTCATCAGACCCACAAGCTTCTGATGCCTGTCAATATCAAGGCTAGTAGAGTGATGATTTATAAATACAAATCGAATGAACAGAGGGAAATTACGTATTACAATCCACATAAAGCTCACGTGAGAACTAAGCCAATATCAATTCTATAATTTGCAGCAATAACCAATAGATATATGTATACGAAATTTCCAAGAGGATGACAACTTCCCCCATTTCTTCTACACAAATTACAATGGGATCGTTGAATCAGCAAGATAAAACGCATGCAACAGTTGCTTTGTAACAATTTTCACCGTAAAAATATAAATTTGCAACTTTTGGGACAAAAATGGACTAGTTAGACGAATGGTTTGAGTATAATCCCTCCGAATCACATTCTCCTTAAGCTCACACTCTTCTTCTTTTGGCTTACCGCAAACCGCCTGGCCATGGCATGGTTGTAGAACCGCCTCATATGCTCTGAAAGCCTCTGGATGGCATGGAGGTTTCCAATTTCGGCCAGCTGTGAGAGCAAAGAATCGAATTTTTTATATGGCAGTTTGATACCGCAGTCTATCACCTCACCCAGGAGGAGACACGCTTGATCTGATCTTTCACAGCCAAACAACCCATCGATCATGATGCAGTAGGTATCAACGTCCCGTTGGCATCGCCTCCGGTCCATTTCGCACCAGATTGCAGAAGCCCTATCCGGTTCCCTCATCTCATAAAACATCCTGATCAGCATATTATAAGTATGAACACTCGGCTCACAATCCAGCTCAATCATTCTCTCACAGAGCATCAGTGCTTCCTCGGCCTTCTTCAAGTCACAGAGAACCCTGATGAAGCAATTATAGGTGAGTATATCCGGAGGGTAACCTTTGTTGCCCATTTCTTCAAATAGCTTGTAGGCTTCTTCGAGCCTTCCGACCAAACACAACCCTTCAATCAGCTCCTTGTACGTTGAAACATCAGGGAGGCACCCGGTGCTTCTCATATCGGACAGGAGCTTAAAGCACTCGTCCATCTGATTGGCCTTGGCAAGCGCTACGATCATAACAGAATAGGTCTTGGCGGTGGGTGAAGAGATGGTGGAGCCCTTTGTTCTCATGAACTCAAACAGCTCTCTCGCCTCTGATATCATCCCCGCACTGCAGAAGGCATCAATTGCCGCATTGTAAGTGAAGTTCTCTGGGGTGTGACCCATCTGTAGCATTTCCTCTAACACCTTCATTGCCTTTCCGGGGTCCCTCACTCTGCACCACCCGAAAAAGAGAATGTTGTAGGTGTCTGCGTCGGGGGCGAGCTTGTTCTTGACTCGTTGGAGCAGAGTTTCTGCTTCCCTCGGTAGATTACATTTGCACAGAGAATCCAGAAGCAGATTGAAGGCATGGATCTCAGGCTGGTTCTTCAATTTTATCTTCTTCTTCTTGGCAAACTTATGAACACGTGTCAGGTGCTTCTCCGTGTAGGCTCTCAGGATGCCCAGAAGGGCTTCCACGGGCACTGCCGCCTTGTTCGTTCTCTTCATGTAATCCAAGATGTCACAAACGACGCCGAACTGTTTCGCCTTGTATTTCGTGCTTGATAATATGTCTATCATGTCATTGTACGTCTGCCGCTCGTGGGTGTAGCCGCCTTCTTGATTTCCAGCCCAGGTGAAGAACCTGAAAGCTAGTTTCTCGTCGTAACGGAGCCTTTTGATAACCCCGTCCACAAATTCGGTCGTTAGTTGTACATCGAGCGCATCCAGGGCCTTCTCCAGATCCTGGGCACCGTCGGAATTTGACAATATGATTTCGTGCGCCTTCTCGGAGTCAACGACTGGAGGGTTTTCGTCGGACTGTTCCGACCTAGGGTCTGAGGATGGAGCTGTCGAGGAAGATGACGACCCGCAGAAGGGCCTGGAGCTTGGAGAGGTATTTGACAGAAGCAACCATGGCGAGCGAGAATTCAGAAAAAAGTTCGGAGGATGGACTAAATCCGGGCGATCGGAACAGGAATGCCCGGGTGATTTGGAACCGACTGGACGAAGATTCAACTCAGTCGAAAATGGAGACCCCGAGAACAATGGAGACGAGACTCCCCGACACGAGATAAACGGCCATGGCCGGTCTCTCAGCCCCGACACTGGGCGGGAGCCGCAGATGCAGCGCCGAATCCAGAAACCAGAGGAACAGAAAGGCGAGTAGAGCTTCATTAACCCATCTAACTTCCCATAAAATAAATCAAAGGAAAACAGCAACAATCGGACAATCTATCGACGAACGAGGAAGGAACCAACTAACGCACGCACCACGATAATGACTGGTTTCGATGTCACTGACTTGAACTCCTCTGAGAACACGCCGGCGAACGAGACGATCTCTTCACTCCCCAGCTCGAATTCGCAGACCATCTTCTTCGACGACGAGGATTCGACTTCTCATAGAAGCCCCTGGGCATGGCGGCCGCTGTAAATTCTAGACTTTGGCGAGGGCAGAAAAGCGTGGTCTCCCCCGTCGCGTACAAATCTTTAGAATCCATTCCGAGAAAGAGTTCCAGAAATTCCGTAAAAATATTATCATTAAAATAAAGTTATTTTTGGTTTCATTTATTGCATTTGAGAGTCGCTGCGCGAGATAGCAACATTTACTAAGAAAGTGATTAAAAATAATATGTAAAATGAATAATTAATATTTAAATAATTTAAATAATATTTTCTTAAATATTAAAACTCGAAGTTGCTATAAATGAAAGCAACTTCTATTGGGACAGTCATAAATAATAATTAATTAAATATTACCGGCTGGGAGGGATAAAATCTAGATGAGGTCAAAGTTTCTAATACTTTATTTTTCATAGCACACCTTTTATAGTAATACCAGTTATATTTTGACGAAAATATCGACCCGATGAAGGGCTTTTTAGTATTTTATTTTATTTTAAACATGGAAATGACCACATATAATAATATAAATTATATTTTTCTATTGCTCCCTTCCCTCATAGGGATATAGATGATGGGTTATTTTATTAAATCATATTCCATTGATTTTGACCATTTTATGGGAGTAATTTATTAAAAAAATTAAAAAAAACATTTTACAGCACATAAACGCAAGTCGACGTGGAGTCGTCGCCACCAATATTTTGGTTTATTGGGAATTTAGTCGTGTACTCGTCCCACGTGTAAATTTTTCAGCCGTCCCTTTCTCGACAGCTCTGGGACGTACCATCGTCTTACGTCTAACTGGGGCCAGACCGCTTAACGGTCTGATTTGATTGGTTGAGCGGTTTGACCAGGTGACCCCACCAAGCCGAACCGACCTCCAGAGCTGACCATCCCCGCTGAGGATTTCTATCCGATGGAAGAGATGACGTGGCCATGGATTTAAGAGTGCGACTCGGCACGTGTACGAAGAGAGCGGGAAGTTACCGGCACGTGTTAGGCGGGCAATGCCCAGCCATTTAGTTCCTTCCTCTCTCTCTCTCTCCGAATTTCTGCAGACCGTGGCGATCGGAGATTCGTCGGAGCAGTTCTTCCGGGGGGTAGAGGAAACAGATCGAAGACGAGCTTTTCTTCTTCTTCAATGACGGTTCCATTGCGAATGGCGGATGGAGGTCCGACGAGTTGAAGGCAGAAGCTCGTCGAGATCCCCCGGGGCGTGGTGGCGGGAGGATACTGGGATTTGAGGCGGAGAGACTTTTCGCGGAGGCGAGAGGGGTTTCTGCATCGGTGAAGCGTAGGTCAGGCCGAGGGGTGTGAGCAAGGCGTTTCCGGAGATATTCCGTGTCGCGGCTGGGAAAGATCTGAAACAGCGTGGAAAACGAGAGCGGAGGAGAGGTTGAAGTTGCAGTTCGGCTCTGGGTTTTGTCTTGTTTGATTGAAGGGGGGTTGGCGGTGGTGGGGGTGGGGGTGGTTATCGTTGTCTGGTCGTCGAGATCGGCATGGGCGTCGATTACTACAATATCCTCAAGGTGAACCGTAGCGCGACCGATGACGATCTCAAAAAGTCGTATCGGCGGATGGCAATGAAATGGCACCCCGACAAGAACCCAAACAACAAGAAAGAAGCAGAGGCCAAGTTCAAGAAAATATCAGAGGCATATGAGGTTAGCTTCTTTGATCATTTCTGGTCTCCTATTTCTCTGTCATCCGAATCTATTTCTTTTAAAACTTTCCGTGGAAAGAGAATTCAAGTAGAAGGGTGCATTGGACGGTAGCTCTTGTACAAGGAGCATAGAATTCGGAGCGTTTTGCCTGATGTCGTATCATCCTTTTATCTATAAATTTTGCAAACCAATTTTTTGATAATTTATATATATATTTTTTTGCCTGATGTCGTATCGCCAATTTATTCAAGATGAAATCCGAAGTTAAGTTCATGTGTTTTTTATTTTAAGGAATTTATCGTATATTAAATGATAGTACCTGAAGAAATTCTGGAGTGCACGAATTTACCTTGAATTTTGGTATGCGATTTTCGAAATTTTGTTAGTCTAATAAAATAAAATCCGAAAAATTCACTTTTATGGAACGAGTAGTAATTTTTTTTTGTCTCGATTAAAATACTATTATTTAGTTTATTTTGAATTAAAAAAGCTATAGAAGGGAAGAATTTACAGGGTGCAAACACATTCTAAATTTCTTTAGTCTTGGTTTAGGTCCTAAGTGATCCACAAAAAAGGGCAGTGTATGATCAATATGGAGAAGAGGGCTTGAAGGGTATTCCCCCGCCTGGTTCTGCGAGTGCACCTTCGTACTCAAATGGAGCCAGCGACTTCCATTTCAACCCCCGAAATGCAGAGGATATATTTGCTGAATTCTTTGGGACCAATCCATTTGGTTTTGGTTCTATGGGTCATTCTAGGTCCACTAGATTTCAAGCAGACGGTGGTGGGATGTTTGGTGGTTTTGGTAGGGCGGACAACATATTCAGGTCTCACTCTGAAGGGCCTGGTGCTGGTCCTGGAGGTGCACACCGGAAGGCGGCGCCTGTTGAGAGTAAACTGGCTTGCAGTCTTGAAGAGCTCTATGGTGGGTCAACAAGGAAGATGAAGATCTCCCGGAATATCACTGATGCTAACGGGTACGAGCTTTTACATTTAAGATTTTTTCATGCTCTTGAATTTCAGGTATTTCTTTTAGGACTGCCGAGTTGTGTTGTTTGCTAAATTATTTGTTTTTTGTTGCAAACGCTCGTGGTTGAAAAATATTAGTAGATAAATTTTCTATTCTCCCTTGAAGAGTATTTGTTCCCATGCTTGCATAAACATGTAATTATGACAAACACCATGATTATGACGATATTTTTACCTAGTTCGTATAGGCATATAAGAGTCAGCCCTCAATGAGTTCACTTTCACAGGGCGTCCATTTAATGTCGATGGGAAGAGTTTAAAAGAAGTTCTCACAAAAGGCACTCCGTGGAATGCCACAATGATGCTCAAATACGCGTCTAATCTTAAAACCACTCGAGGGGAAGGCTAAGCTGAGAAGTTCAAACCACCGGCCTATCAAGTTCAGTTCTCTGGTCCCTTTCTGCCATTTGCACCACAAAAGCCGCACTCGAGGAGCCTTGTCTTTTTGATCTCTGGTCAGGTCTTGAAACGCTTAGAGGCATCGTGTTTGTCTTTTTGTTCATGACTAAGTTGCAATTATCATTGACTTTTCACCACGTGTTTCGGGCTTCGGAAGCTGCTTTTTAGTGTGATCGAGTTATTTCTGTCATGCATGCAGCTCTTTGTTGAGCTCATAGGAGAGGATTTCTTTCGTGATGGGGGTGATGAATTATGGCGTTTCGGGTTCAGTGATGCTAAACAAGGTTTCCAGAATGAAGATTTCTTCCGACTTCATATGTCGGTGACTTCAAATTAACAAGCAAATCTGCATTATTTTTTAGTGCCAGAATATGTTCAGTTCATATTTTGAAGCGATGAACTCTTGATAATATTACATCCGAAGATATTGTTTAATCCTAAATTGCTTGTCGTACTTTTCGGCATCTGGAGGCCATATTTGTTTCTTTTACGTTGTCTTTGGACTTACCCTTTTACCATGAGTATCTGAGACGTCGAGCCCATAATTATATTATCCAGTGGCAGATCAACATCCGTTGACTATCTTTTGTATATCTTCTACGACTAAAAGCAACGGCTGCACTTATTGACCTCCGCTCACACCTATCACTGGCTTGTCTTGTCTTATTGTCTGCCCAAAGCCTCATTTTTTATCTATTTAACTCAATAAATAGATTATTTAGTTGGACTTTTGTGTTATATGCCCCCGAAGATGGTGATCTTCAGATGTACGGTCATTGGCCCCACACTTGACTCGTTTGATAGAAGCAGTCAAAAGAGGTTCATTGGTTCATCTCTGCTGAATTAGCCGCACTGGGTCATATATGCCTTGGCCTCTCTTGGATTCTACCGAGTTCTGCTCTGACCTATTATATAGTCAACGAGATAGGAAAAGGGATTCCCTTCCTCATTCGAACGCCTGTCCTCTGGAAGCTTGTGCCCTTCTCCTGTGAATGAAACTTCATCCCTCAAAGGATTAATTTTTCGTCTCGTAGCGGACTGTTCTGAAATTAAAATACTGAGATTATTAGCTTAGCTTCAGTTTTACACGTTGACCTATTTATGGCTAATTATCCCTTCGGGCTCATCTTTTGACCATCGATTGCTGGCTGATGGCTATCAGTTGCTGATGCTCTCTGGGAGTAGAATCATCTCTATGATAGCTTGGATGCCGTGTCTCGTTCATCCGGATCAATTGAAAAGTGTTTTTTTCGGCCGAAAATCCATTGATGCAGCTGTAGATCCCAGCTATCTGCGCCGATTTCCCTTTCTAATATATATGTTCTCTCTCTCTCTCTCCCTCACTCTGTCGGATGCAGGCGCCTGGTGCAAGAGTCGGAAATCCTGACGATCGACGTGAAGCCGGGGTGGAAGAAGGGGACGAAGATCACATTCCCAGACAAGGGCAACGAACAGGCGAACCAGCTTCCGGCGGACCTGGTCTTTGTCATCGACGAGAAGCCTCACGAGGTCTTCAAAAGGGACGGCAACGACCTCGTCGTCCACCAGAAGATCCCCCTGGCGGAGGCGCTCGCCGGCACAACGCTGACCCTGCGGACCCTCGACGGCCGGGAACTCGCCGTCCCGGTGACCGACGTCGTCAGCCCCGGCTACGAGCTCGTCATCGCCAAGGAGGGTATGCCCATCGTCAGAGAACCAGGGAGGAGGGGGAACCTGAGGATCAAATTCGACGTCAAGTTCCCCTCCAAGCTCACCTCCGAGCAGCGCGCCGCCCTCAGGCGCATCCTCGCCGGCGAGCTCTGATGTGATGGGCGACCCATCTCCCCCCCTCTCTCTCTCTCTCTCTCTCTCTAAGTTATGAAGTCTGTCCAGAGCCAGAAGCGTTGGTTTTCTCCGTCCCCTTTGACCGATTATTTTTGCGCAAGATTGATTGATCGATTGCTGTTCCCCCTGGAGATCATCCGGAAGTTGTGTGTAATACGTTGCTTGTTTTTAGTGTAATCCCTTTTGCGGTCTGCCTTGAAAGCCTCTGGATCGCTGTCTTCTTCATACCCGCATATCTCTGGATGATCTAATGCTCGCCTTTAATGCCTAAAGAGAGCGAGCTAGAATCATTAATGGCTACCGGGGGAGGGAGGGGGCGGGATGGCCGTCCGGTTCTTGAAGTGTTGACTATATGGACAGAGTAACATGTCCCATGGGTAATTCCAGTAAGGAATCTAATAGTGAATTTAATAGCTTCGGCTCACTCGAAATGGCATTTTTTGGGAGGCCATGATGGGGAGAATCAGAGGGGTCTCTGATCCGGTCCACCAGGCGGCGCCGCCGCCAGTAGCTCCTCCTGTTACTCCTCATCATTGCTCCTTCTGGCAATGGCGGCCCAGCAACTCCGCCTAGCCATCTCTCGGACGTTACTGCTCCTGGGCGGCGCTGTCCCCCCGACGCGTACGATCCAACGGGGGCGGCGGAGCCCGCCGGAGCAAGCAACGGGGTCCTCCGTTCGATGTGTCGCCTCCCTTGTCTCTCGTGCCCCCGACCGGCGGCATCGGATCGCGCGCCGGCGACCTCCCCTCCCGTCGTTTTAGCTTGCAGGTTGCCGCTTGAGGGAGATCCATCTGGACCGAGGAAGAGAGAAGCCGGCTGGGGAATGGCCGGCGGTGAGGCTATCATGACGGAGCTGAGGTTGGGGCCGCCAGGGGCAGCGCCGGAAAGCGAGGAGAGGAGGAGGGAGAAGATGAAGAAGAGGGCCTTCCCGGCGGTGGGGTGGCCGCCAGTGTGCTCCTACCGGCGGCGGAGGGCCACCGGCGACTGGGGGGAGAAGAAGAAGAAGAAGAAGAAGATGGAGGAGGAGAAGAAGAAGAAGAAGAAGACGTACGTTAAGGTGAGCATGGACGGGGCGCCTTTCCTGCGCAAGCTGGAGCTCGACGCCTGCGAGGGCTACGCCGGCCTGACCGCCGCCGTCGATGAGCTCTTCGGCGTGGGTAATTTCTTCACCACTGAAATCATTCCCCTATTCAGAAACACCTCCCCGGAGCTCAAATTAGAGGAAGCTCTCAGGTGGGTTGGCCCAAAACGAGTTCTCTCTGATCTACGAGGACAAGGAGGGCGACTGGTTGCTGGTCGGAGACGTGCCATGGAAGTGCGCTTCTTCTCCTCTTCTTTCTCCTCCGCTCCCCCGGCATGCTGGCCGGCGAGCATGCCATCTAATCGGAATCGTTGTTTTCTTCCTCTTCGAATCGGTGGCAGGATGTTCACTGCGACCTGCAAGAGGCTAAGGAGCATGAAGAAATCCGAGGGGAAGATCACCGCTACTTCGGGGCGCGTCTGAGCTGCTCGCCGGACGTGAAGAAGACACGACGAGCTTGACCCATCCAAGCCCTTTTCTTACGTAGAAATACTAAAAATGTATCGAAATCATCAGGCACCTGCTTCATCCTCTCTCAGTAGAGAGAGAGAGAGAGAGAGAGAGAGAGAGAGAGAGAGGAGTTGACATATAGGCCAGTCAACAAGTGCTTATTTGGCGACTTTTATGTGGGAAGAATAAACCGTTAAATTCGCGCGGCGTATTAAGACCAAAATCTATGGGTATTTAAGTAAGAATAGAAAGAATCACCCCGTTTCCAAAGAAGATCACTGAAGAGACGGAGGGTGATGTTTGACGGGAGGTCGCCGTTAAGACCGAACACCCCGAACTCCCCCCGACAAGGCACAGAATATTGTCCTAAAATATTCCCAAGATATCCGCCGGTCGCATCACCGCTGCTCCCCCCCAGAAACCCCTCTCTCTCTCCTGATTATTCCTCGTCTTCCCAGAATACCCCCAATATCCCGAAAATACCCCTTGTCCCTTCCTGCTCCTTCGAGGATTCCCTGCTTTATCCGATGTGACGTTCGGGGGATATTTTAACTTGAAGCCACTATCTTCCTATGAATTTCATGAAAACCCCTTTTGTGACCAAATTTGTGTGGCGTACGCTCACCCGATGGTTGACTCACCGTGGGATAGATGGGTTTGACCGGAGGAAGGGGCCTAGGGTTGCGAAATGGAAGGGCATTGGCCAATAGGCGGCCGAAACGTGTCGGCGATAGCTTCGAGGAAAGCGAGGCGGGAGACAAACCCCCGACAGGCCACGTTGGCGGCTGGTCGCGACGATGGATGCTCCTGAGAAGTAGGGCCCAAGAGCCGTGGCGGCTCGGCTGAGCCGAAGCAGACGGGACGGCTGATAGGATCTGCGGCTCAGATGGAGGAATTTCGGTGATCGGACGGGCAAGATACGCCATCCGAGCCGAGGAGAGCCGTAGCCGGTGAGCCGCCGCCGCCTTCTAGGCCTGTCTCCCACCAATACGGACGAACGGCGACCGCTCACCAAAAGGAGAGACGAGGGTATAGGTAGAACAAATCCGAGAGAGTTGCAGATCGAGCCGGAGGAGGAGAGAGAAAGCTTCCGGAGAGAGAAGGCCGCCGGAGAGGAGGGAGGAAGGGGAGCTTCTGCTGAGGAAGAGGAGGAGGAAGAAGAAGAAGAAGAAGAAGAAGAAGAGGGTGAAGATGTCGGAGGAGGCGGCTTATGGGTCGCCGCGGTCGGAGGTGTCGGGGTTAGATTTCGAGGAGACGGAGCTCAAACTGGCCCCGCCGGGCGGCGGATCCAGGGTGGTCGGCGGAGCGGCCACGGCGGAGAGCGAGAGGAAGCGCGGGTTCTCGGAGACCGTGGATCTGAATCTCTGTGGGACTGGGACGACATCTGCTGCTCAGCGGAGTGGGGACGCAGGAGATCCGTCCCCAGATTTGACGGATTCCAAGTCCTCCGCCGCCGTAAAGCCCCTCGCTAAGTGAGCACTGCTCCCCTCTCTCTCTCTGTCTTTCTCTCTCTCTTAGTGCGGTCTCTATTTTTTCTCTCGTATTGAAAACCCGCGGCGGAGTAGTCGTTTGGGGATCTCCTATTCTTCGTGCGAATAGTTTTGGGTTGGAGCTCCCTTTACTCGATTTGGATAGGGTGCTTTCATGGTTTTCGCCGGGGATTTTCTTTCAGCCTTTCGTCGGATCGAACACGTCAAAACGAGATTTCTGATATGTGTTCTGATTTCTCCGTGCGATCCAGAGCACAAGTTGTGGGATGGCCGCCGGTGAGATCGTTCCGCAAAAACGCGCTTAAGAGCTGCACCTATGTGAAAGTTGCCGTCGACGGGGCGCCCTACCTGCGGAAGGTCGACTTGGAGCTTTACAGCGGCTACAAGCAGCTGCTCGCCGCCCTGGAGGAGATGTTTTCCTGTTTCACCATCCGTATGTGCCCTCTCTCTGGCTGCTGCCTTCCCTGATCTTCGAAATCACGGCCCTCCTGTTGCTATCCGTTCCTTGTTGTTTGACTGCTCGTGACCCACCTTTTTTGCAGGTAATTACCCCGACGAGATGAGGTTGGTGGATACGGTGAACGGGACGGAGTACGTTCCGACGTACGAGGACAAGGATGGTGACTGGATGCTCGTCGGCGACGTCCCCTGGAAGTAAGCCCTCCGGCCTCAAGCTCACGTGTCTCCCTTTCTGTCATCCGTTCTTCGCCTGCCTGCAATTCATCCGCTACGCGCTGTGGATTCTTGGTGGACTACTCCAAGATCATTGAGTCAGGAAACCGGTGCAAAAACCTCGCTATTAAAGGGTTTGTGAGCTCAGAAGTTGATTCAGAAGTCAGTTTAATAGGCGAAGAACAGTGCAGAAGATACACTCGGGCTTCCGTTTCCTGCGTTTCCCCCTCTATGAGCCCAACAGTTTCTGCTTCTGTGGATGCCCTCTGATCTCGCCCTTGTTCATTTCCTTGGCGCAGAATGTTCATCGAATCCTGCAAACGTCTCCGTCTGATGAAGAGCACCGAGGCCGTCAACCTGGGTACGCTTTCTCGAGAATCTCTCCCTCACTTGATTTCTGGGGCTGGGAGCAGATTCCTTCCCACCCACATCCTCATCACCCACCTCGGTTTCCTTTGTGCAGCTCCAAGGGTGCCTAAGAGACCCATCAACCCGAAATGATGCGGAAGCGGCCCCGGGCGACCTATACATGAGCATGTACAGGGATTGTTTTCCTCTTCCGTCCCTTACTTCTCTCCCTCCCTTCGAGCTCCGTGCGAGGTTCTTCAAGAGTAGAAGAAATAAGGGATCTTGTCGTCGCAAGTAATGCTTCTCTCTACTCCGCTTTGTTCAGATATCGCATGGCCACACTGTGAGCAGATTACAGTTTTCCATATCTCCCCTGTTCTTGTTGTTTCTCCCTCCTGAACCCCTGCATCTATATGATTCTACCTAATCATGGTTATCTTTCCATCACCCACCTTCGTTGAAGAAGACCTCGTCCGAGGTATGTCTGTCCTCTCTCTCTCTCTCTCCTGCATGATCTTCTGAATCTGGCTGTCCTCCATGGCCACAGCCATTAATGTCCAGAGCTTGGCCCCGCTCTTCCTCTCTCTCGCTCTCTCTATCGGATCAGATTGAGTGGTCAGAATCTCATTCGGTTCGGATCAAACCGGGTACAAATCAGGACGGTCGACTCCACGTGTCGCGGTCGGATTCCGATGACAAAACGGGCCTATGACATATAATCAATGCAAGTAGCCAGTCCTTCCACCGTCGGTACCGACAAACATAGCGAGAGAGAGAGAGAGAGAGAGAGAGAGAGAGAGAGATTCCGTCTAGACGAGAAGCCTAGCATTTAACTGGCATTTGAAAATCTCCCTGAGAATAGATAGTCCAGGCTACGAGCCTCTGAATGGGGAACCCGGCGACGGGGCGGGTACGTGTCACGTGGCCACTGGTTCCCCTTTTTAGAAATGATTCTCGTCACGGGCACCTCGGGGCCAGTGGACCGGCCCACAGAATAAACGAGTTCGCCAATCAGGACAGCCCATTTCTTAAGAGGGAGCTATTGGGCTCCACTGAATTAGAATTCCAGCCGCAATCCTAGGTCCATTAGGGCAGTGTGGCCCAATCTGGGCCCCGCATATGTTGGTCTCTCCAGCCAGGCCGCGTGGACCGGATTGATGGGATCTAACTACTACGTTGAATCCCTAGACGTCAAAATGTGCCACCGATCTGTGGAGGCACATCTAACGGTCCACATCGCAAGTCCCAAATCCTTCGCGCCGGGGTTTTTAGAACTCGGCACTCGTGTAGAGAGAGAAAGAGAGAGAGGGGGAGAGAGAGAGAGAGTGAGGGGGGGGAGAGAGAGAGAGAGAGAGAGAGGGGGGGAGAGAGAGGGAGAGATAGAGAGAGTTGACATTGACGACGTTTTTCTCTTCTTCTTCGCTGAGCGGCCGCCATAGCGACGACGCCGTGTTCGAAGTAGGTGAGTGCCGGCCTTCTCCTGTGCTTCCTCCGGGTCGCTCATGGCGGCGGTGTCCCTTTGTTCACCTCTGTGGTTCGTCGGAGGTGGCGTGGACTCCTCGGAGAGCACTTAGGAGCTTATACTCACGATCTCCGACTCACCAACTAGAGGCCGCCACGGCTGTCCGTGATCTCCCCGAAATCGCCAGTTCGGCTCCTCGGATCGGCACCATCTGGTCGCTCTCTGTCCAGAGGTCTAATTTGTATGTGGTCAGATTCGGTGGTGCTCTTCAGGTTGGATCTCGCGGGGATTCGTCGCGCTGTCTCAATCTCGAGATCGATCAGGGTCCAATGCTGCAGCACTCATCTTAGGAGTGGGATCTTCTGTAACCTTGCTTGTGGTTAGTTGTTTATTCCGTCTCTCCTTTCTCTTTTTTTTTCGAGATTTAGTGTGTATTTCTTATCCTTTCCAGTCGATCTCACCTTTTTCGTCGGTGTCTAGGGTTTTTGGCCACCAGAAAGCCATCTCCCGTCAAACTCTTCTCCTGTAATTTAATGTACCTTTTTTTTTTCCCCTGAATCCGTGAAGGGGGGTGGATGACACTGAAGTTGTTGGTTCCTCGGGGGTAATCTCTCGGCACGGCCGCTGCGGACGGTGACGGCATCTTGTCTCCGGCGGAAGTCCTGGGATTTTCAAACCCTATTTCTTGCTTGTCCGGAGGCCTTTTTAGTTTTTCTAACCATCATCCCTTCCGCTGGAGACAAGGTTGGCCAATATGTGGAAGCAATTTGTTCGCAAGCTCCAGAAGAAGTCTTCGAAATCAGATGCCATTTCAGATCCCTCGTGCAGCAGTCGCAGCAAAGATTCTGGCGCGTCAGGCGACTCGATCCAAAAGACGAGTGGATCAAATGCCGCCTCTAACAGATCTGCAACTGCAGCTGTTAAACGAATGTCCTCGGCCGTCTTCCCAGCTAGTGTTGTAGCAGGAATAGAACCCCTTCTTTCTTTCAAAGACGTTCCAAACCAGGAGAAGCAGAATCTTTTCATCGGCAAGCTGAACCTGTGCTGTGTAGTCTTCGATTTCAATGACCCGAGCAAGAACCCTGTCGAGAAAGACTTGAAGCATCAGGTATTGGTAGATCTTGTCGAGTACGTTTCTGCTGGGACCGCCAAGTTTTCCGAACAGGCAATCGCTGCGAGCTGCAAGATGTTTGCGATTAACTTGTTTAGGGTGTTCCCTCCAAACAATAGGTCATCCTCTTCAGGTGGTGAGAATGAGGATGACGAACCGAGTTTCGACCCAGCTTGGCCGCACTTGCAACTTGTATATGATTTGCTTCTCAAATTCATTGCCTCTTCTTCTGTTGACGCAAAGATAGTGAAGAAGTATGTGGACCACTCGTTCATCTTGAGATTGCTTGATCTCTTTGATTCTGAGGACCCAAGAGAGAGAGACTGCCTGAAGACAATTCTACATAGGATTTATGGGAAGTTCATGGTCCATCGGCCCTTCATTCGAAAGGCTGTGAGTAATATATTCTGTCGGTTTGTCTTTGAATCGGAGAGGCACAATGGAATTGCTGAAATGCTGGAGGTTTTTGGGAGTGTCATCAGTGGGTTTGCCTTGCCTCTGAAAGAGGAACACAAGATGTTCTTGTGGAGAGTGTTGATTCCCCTCCATAAGCCAAAGGCAGTCGGCGTTTATATGCAGCAGCTAACTTACTGTGTGACGCAGTTTATAGAGAAGGACCCGAAGCTGGCAAGCACAGTAATCAGGGGCCTGCTGAAGTACTGGCCCGTGACCAGTAGTCAAAAGGAAGTGATGTTTCTCAGCGAAGTGGAGGAGATCTTGGAGTCAACAAGCATGGTCGAGTTCCAGAAAATTATGGTCCCACTGTTCCAGCGCATTGGCTCCTGCCTCAGCAGCTCCCATTTTCAGGTATCGGTAATCTGGCTTTGTACTATTCTGTTTTTATGGGGTCTTCTCCTACAGTATTCTCGTTGAAGAAGCTCTCCTTTCTTGTTTTATTGCCATCTAGCATCACACTCGCTCATGTTAATTCCTTTTTATTGTGATGATTATCTATCAGGCATTGCTGTGATTTCCTCGTTTTTTTTGGTGGGCAGGAAGGAGGGGATCTCGCCCCTTGTAGTTCCTCTTTTTTTTTTTTGTGGTATTTTTTAGGGAAAAAAAGAAAGAAAGACTCCAGTCATCATGGTTTATCGTACTTTAACCGTAGTCATCACGCAATGTCTCTACATGGTGTATAGTGAGTATAATTGATGGCGCATTAACATAGAAAACAACCACCAATGATCACGATTCTCCATTAATGGCATATAACTGTTTTTTCTTACCCAAAATGGCCATTAATGGATATTAATGTTGAATTAGGGGTGCTACTGCTCGAATCTTGGGGTTATGAAGATTGCCCTGTTGTTCTCCCCAAGAGCGGACCAAGACTAGATTAAACCCTGAAAATTGGCTCAGATTTTTAATGTCCCAATTTTGGCCCAGAAATTAATGGAGCTTATGACAGAGGGAGCTTCAGACCGCTTTTATATAAACAGTTCATAAGAGTCACGTCTTTATCTCCTTAAAACGCCTGTACGTATATTGTTGACATGAGGCTCCCATCAGTTTCATGAATCATCAATAATGCATATTTCATCAGTGCATGATCGTCATAGTTGTCGTTGGGCCCTAGCTTCCGTCATTGTTGGAGATTTCTTCCAAGGTGTAAACATTTATGAGCCCATCAACATTCCATGATGATTGCACGCAAAACATTGGGCTTAGCTGGGAATTCTATCCTCATAGCCCGAATTCCTTGCCCAGTAGTTGGTGGATCATCTCCGTCGAAAAAATGTGGTGGATTCCCAAGACTCGTTCTTGATTATTTTCTATTCACCGTGGGAATTTACGTCAAGAAGGGGAAGTTAATTTGTTCGCTTGGATTGCAGAAGATCAACTGGGTTGCCAGAGGGCGTATGCCTTTGATGTTTTCTTTATCCTCCTCTCTTCCATCTCCGTTGATCGTCGACTGGTTAATCTTTCAGGTTGCCGAGAGAGCCCTCTTTCTGTGGAACAACGACCGCATCGTCAGCCTGATAGCTCCGAATAGACAAGTCATCCTTCCCTGCATCTTCCCTTACCTCGAGAAGAACACCCAAACCCACTGGAATCAGGCGGTGCTCAACGTGACCCTGAACGTGAGGAAGATGCTCTCGGAGATGGACGAGGAGCTGTTCGTAGCCTGCCAGACCAAGTTCGAGGAAGAAGAGCAGCGCCGGGCCGCCGCCGGGGAGATGCGTAGGATCACCTGGGAACGCCTCGAGACCGCCGTCGCCGCCATGAAGCCCGTCTCCGGGTACATCCCGGTCCTCGTGAGTAATCTCAGATAGAGAGAGAGAGAGAGAGAGATTGGGTATTTTTCTTCCTCGTAGTCTGTCGTTGTTCTCTTCTTGGAAGGGCCGCTCCAGGTCGGTCGGCTGTCGCCAAACGAATATGTATAGTCGTCTACACTGCTGGCCCTATTTTGATATCGTAGACGTCCCATCTCTAATTAGCACGGATGGATTAAATGGGCAATAATGGGCCAATTTATTGGACATTTGGCCCGTTAGGCCCATTAGTGCGGTGGTTGTCAGTCCTCTGCATAGTGGGAACCCCCCACTATTTGTTTGGGCCTCGGCCAATGGAGCCATTCCTCGTCATAATCGACTTTATGGGCCGTATCGGTGCATCTATTTAGCCCATTTGTGAACCCAATGCCATCCATATCCCGGTCCCAACACGGAAGCTCAAGACCCATCTGCTCTCGTGCAAACTTCCCTCTCTCTCTCTCTCTCGCTTGGAGCCTATCCGAATCAAGTCCGACAACGAATGATGTCACTTTCAGGCCCATTTGTCTATACGGACTGCGACGCCCTTGACTCACATGGGCTGCGTGGCTGTAGTGCACTTTCGCTCGAGGGATCTGCCCAAACGAGCGACGGACACGTTCTTTACGTCTATCACGTGAAATTTATGGAACACACAATTAATTGCAGACGTCAGAGAGATAAATCGCCACCCCGCCTGGTACTCCCAGCGGTGACGAATTTCCTGTTTAATTATATATGAGCGATATTTAATCTCCGCCCACCGCCGAAGCCCGACGCGAGTTTTTTTTTTTTTTTTTTTTTTTACAGACGTGAAGTCCAACTTTAATTATGTACTCGATTTAATTTATCCTGATGAGTGGTTGATATAAAGCGAATATATAATTTGTAAAAGAATATTGAAAACTGAGAAAAGGTGGAAGCCCATCCAATCCTGCAGGAGCGATAGAGACACGACTCGGAGCGGATGGGGAGCCTTCATATCGAAGGAAGGCGCCCCCATTTGCTTTTGGTCTCAATAAATACCTCCCCTCTTCCCCCCCGGCCCTCCTTACTCTGTCTCTCTCTCTCTCTCAGCAGCGGAAGATGTACGCGCCGCTGGAGAGCCAGGGAATGACGTACCTGGGGCACGTGCAGAGGCGGCACGAGGAGAAGGGCTTCCTCTACGCCTGGTAAAGCACTCGCACCGCCGGTGCACCCATCGTGAGGCTTCCTGCTGCCGGACGGGTTTCCTCTGCTGCTGCTTCTTCTCCTCTTTGCTCACCTGGTTAAGTCGTGGTTGGCAGCCTTTTCGCCCTGTGCTGCTGCTTCTGCTGCTTCGAGACCTGCGAGTGCTGCTTGGACTGCTTCTGCTGCTGCGACTGAAGGGTCTCTCCCGTTCAGCAAGCAAGAAGACCCTTGAACAAAGGACACGATACAGTCTACTCTCTCTCTCTCTCCATACATACATATATACACATATACTTACATACAACCATATGAACCCCGTCAAGAGAACAATTTCAGTGTAGGCACCTCTACTGATAATATTAAGCGAAGTACGTCTACATGATGTCAGTTCAACGACCCAGAAGCCTCTCTCTCTCTCTCTCTCTCTCTCTCTCTCTCTCTCTCTTCATGGGATCATGACGGAGATGAAGGAGAAGTGCAGGGCAGAACCCTCCACTCCTTTAGAAGACGTAGAGGCACGCGACGGAAGTGAGGAATGTGGTCAGGAGCACGGAGACGAAGTTCACGGCGTCGTTGTCCAGTATGCTCATGCCCGAGATCCTTTTCACAGAGGGCCCGGGTCTCCCCACCACCTTCACAAAGACGGCAAAAATAAATCAATAATTAAAATTTAGAGCTGATCGGAAGAGATTGCCCCCTGAGCTCTATTGGATAGTTCCTAGGAACCCACCCATGTCCAGGTTCGTTTTAGAGAGACTTGAAGCTCTAAAGAACCGATTCATGGAAACCTGCGCTGTGCGATGAAATCGACAAGGGCTCAAAGTGACGCAAAAATAAATAAATTAAAAGGTTGAAATATAGCTTTTAGGTGGAAAGAGACAGTAAAATCCTAACTTTTTTTCTTCTTTTTTTCCAGAAAAAAGTCCGGGAAAATTTGCCATCCCCTGTTTAGTGATGGCTCGTGCCGATCAATGAAACACAAAATCGAACACGAGGAGGCATATGTAAACGAAGAGGGTAGACTGAATACCAAAATAGACAAAAAAAATCCAAATGGTGGAGAATGAAGTACCTTCTGACGAATGCTGCAAAACCCACTGAACTGGAGCGTTGCACCCAACAAGGAGTCGATTACACTTCCAGATAGACCAGCGGCCGTGGCAACAGGTATCACCAGGAGTTGCCGCAGAAGTGCTTCACTCGAGCATCTGGCGGTTAGAAATCCAGTAACGACGTAGGCAAGACCAATGATTCCACCGCCTACTGCAGCCGCAAAGAGTCCCTGTAATGTAACTCCACCATTCGTACCTCTTTGAACTTTCTGATTGCGGTGAAGAATGATAATCGGTTACTGAGGCTTTCATCGGTATCAAACCATAGAATTGACGAGCAAATCTTCGCGTGAAATCAAGATGAACGGGGCCAAAAGAGAGGACATGTTCGCAGGATTAGGTGGCAACTGGCAAACCCAAATTCTAAAAGGAGATATTTGGGTTCCCAGTTAGATGCCTAAACTGGTTATATATTGGCCTGGGATCATACCACTGTGCCCTAAAAAAATTGTTTCAACTTCATCATAAATTTATTAAATTCACAGTCTATGCAGTCAATTCTTTTAATTTATACTCTTGGGTTTGACGTAGTTTTATCAATTAATCACAGCTCCTATTTAAATGTTTGATGAAATTTTAATAGTGGTATATACCCATATTATCTTATTCCAGTTGATGAAAAGTAATGCGAGGCATGTCTGGGATGTCGTTTGAATGTTTGAGGATTTTGGGAATTGAAGATTTTGGAGGGGCTTGACTTCTCTGGCATAACAGGACCGCAGTTTGTAAATTGTAATCAGTGAGAATATTCATGCAGACATAAATCACGCACCATCGAATAGTTTAAACAGTGGGTAGCGCAGGATTCTCACAACCACAATTGAGATCCCATTATTTGATTAATCGTTGTCCTGGAATGACTTGCGAACCAAGGATCTATGTAAATCACACATTTACAAGGAAGTGGTACCATTAACCATTAACTAATTTATTTATTTTAGAACATGAGATTTTCGTTTGTTGAATCATAGGAAGAAACAATAAATGAAACGGGCAGAAGCATTCGAGAGAAATAAAATAAGTCAGATGTAATTACATTATAAATATGAATATAATGAGGAAGGGAAACAGATTCTATGATTTTCTTCATTAACCTAATTCTTTTCCCTGACGACAAGAAGCTTAAATATAACTAGAAAGATACAATGCCTCAGAAGAAAATTTATCACCTTGAAGGTCGTAATCAACCGAGGCTGGGCGTTACTAAGAATCCCGAGTTCTGAAGACCATGTATCTCCGTTGCAACAGGCATAGTGTCCAATAATGCCGCCAACTAGACCAGTTACTGTCCTCGACTCTCTCGCATCTAAACAGGAAGCTTGCCAATGAGTCAATGTTCCAACTATCAACACCAAGAATGTCGCAATCGTGCTGTTAGCCAAAACCTGTACCCTATGGATAAAGACATCAATATTCTCATCTTAGAGAAACTAAAATACAATGATAGCAAGATCCCTGGCAGAGCTCGATATAAAAAGTAAACAATTAAATCTCGGCATTAGGTACCACACAATATTGAACGCTCCATTAATATGTGATTAACCATAAGGATCCTAGTTGGAGTCTAAGGAAATGTATGTCAATGGTATCCTGTTAAGAGAGCACGCGTTGTGCTTGACGTGTGGTCATTCCACACATAGAGAGCTGGCATCTGATGCTGTATGAAAAAAATTAATTCCAAGAAAAAAATTTTGGGCGCAGCCAGAAAGCGAAAGGAATTTCCTGATATTTAATCTGAAATAAAGGTGGTACTCTGTTCATTTTCATGAGTCAAGGTCAAAATCACTCTGGCCAAGTGGAAACTTATTATTTGCATACCTAGACTTGCTCGATCCACAATTAAGGAGAAAATTTAACCAAGTATACCACTTAATGTTCGACAGTAAATTCGTTGGAAAAAAGGAAACCCAAGGCTAATGAGCTCACTCACCAATTCCGCTGTCCTCCCTCCTTGAAATCATCTTCAAGCCTCCGCTTCACCTCTGTCCCCAATCTCGTCGCTTGTGAAGAGGTAAAAAAGAAAGCCAAAATAAGCGCGCCGAACCTTCAATCGGCAAAAACATGGATCACTGCCACGGTACAAGCGAAATTCCCAGAAACTGCCTGTGCTCTCGAATTCAAGGACGTGACGAATAGTGGAGAAGCACACAAACTATCCACCAGCGGCAAAAAAGGGCAAATGTGTACCTGTACCCTGCGGCAATGTGAATCGCCAAGACTACGAAACCTGCCGCGGCTCCGGAGCGATCCAGAGACTTGCGCCTTACAGCCCTAAGCGTGATCAGGGACGACAAGATAACAGCGACAACGGATCTGATCAGCACTCCCGTCACTTCTGCCGCCATCTCCTCTTCCTCCGATCCAAGGCCAGCGGACTCCAGAAGGGGACTCCCAGCTGTCTATCGTTTGACAAGGTGAGTTTGGCGACTGAGAAATACTCCAGAACATCGTGGGAGACCAGATATTTTATTATAAATAAATCCTATCTATTTTTTTTTATGCTCTTCAGTCCCCAAAACTGTATAACTCCATCTTTTTAACTATGGTTAAACTAACTTATCTGTTAACTGAAAATTTAAAGGACCAAAATACCGCTCTTCCTTCACCGTACCTCGGTTCCTCTGAGGAGGCTAGGTCTTCTCTCGTTCTCCACCTCGGGTCTCTATCTTCCGACAACATTTGCTCTCCCTATCGCTCTCGTACGTCTCCTTCTCTCGCTTTCTATCTGGCCTGCTCGCTCCACTCTGCCGCCTCGAGCACCGACAGTGTTTGTTGTAACAAACAATTTTGATTGCGGGAGAGAAGTAATTGATTCTACAGTGGAGGTAACTCTAGTCTATGTTGATATATCTGAATATTTTTATTTGAGAGCATATAGGAATGTATTTATTAGAATTTATTGGAATCTGTGATAATATTTCTCTTGAATGTATGGAAACGTTTAATGATGTCAATATATCGAATCTTTTCCTTTTGAATTCAGGTGAACGATTTTTCTACTTATATCGGCATGCTTGATTTCAATATATATATACACTAATGACTTTAATTTTCAATTGTGAAAGCTTTTCCTCCTCTTCTTCGTGCCAAGATTACAACCTCCGGAACCAGGTCGTGGTCAATAAGCACCTAGAGATATGGAAACATAATATCACATGCATTCTCCATTAATCTGGAAAAATCAATATGGACGACAATGGATAATATCGGATCGGTTATTAAATATTAAGATGTGTAAGAAGATGCATTTATAATCAGGAAATTAGTGGCTTGGCATTGGGTTGGCTTGTTAGTTTATTTCTAATAATGGGGTATAATTTGACTCAGATAATGCATTGAATCCTCGTAAGCTTATATGCATCATAAATACGAATAGTAATAAACTGCTATGATGAGCATGGGAGAGTAACTCGTTATAGGCTGATGCGGCTAAAGAGATATATTTCAGAAAGGAAAGTGATTGGAGGTTCGTTCAAATTGATATATATATATATATATAGAGATATATAATATCTCTGATTTGAAAATAAAATATTCTACATCACAGAATTCCAGTCATTAATAAATTGTTATGTTCTTGCTTCAAAATTTCAGCTATACAAAATCCATCTTATCTCGAACAGATTATACTTCACCGTATTCACTCTCCAACTAAATAGGCTGCTACCTTTTGTATTGCTATTCATTTCCACACCAGGAAAACTTGTTTCTTCTGGATTAAACTGTCTTCCTAATGGATTTGGTAATTTAATGATGGGCATATAAATGAACTAAATACTCATTTTCTCCAGCTGATTGTGATTTTGCCTTTCATCCTTCCAATTTAGATTCAAACTTATGGATAATCCCTGTTAACTCTTGTAGTGTTATTCTCCTCAGGATCTATGGGAGTCATTGATACTTTAATGAGAATTTAAAGATGGACATTATGTAAATGAATAAAATCTCAATTTTCCTCCAGCTAACTGGGTTTATCTTTTATCATTCCAATCTGAACTCTAACTTGGGAATTATTCCTGCCAACTCTTGCAGTGTTATTCGCCACAGGAGATCCGGGAGTCCTAGATACTCGAATGGGAGATTATTCACCCATTTTGCAACCGAATGCGTTACCATCGTTAACCATATCGTTTTCTCGGATTCCAATCCCAGAAGTTCTGTACTCTTTCGATTTATGCGCAATTATGTGACTACCAGGGATTTCAGAGGCTATGTTAATCGTTGAATTTTCTGTTCATTGTCCTTTTACCTTCTTGTTCCTCATTGAGCTTAGATTCTTTCTCTCAGAAAGGAACAGGAATGGGGATAGAGGATCCTCCTTTTCTCAAATCCTGAATCTTTTGAACTAGCCACGGGGTTCTCCGTTGATTTAAGTATAGAAATCCAACTGCTGATTCGCAGGTCATCACCCAGTTATTCCTGTCTTGTTTAAATCCCACCCCATTAGAGATAAATTATTTTTGAGACAAGCCCGGCTTGTTTCTGCTGTATGCTTTTTCAAATCTAGTTCTACCGCCACACTTTTTCCTTTTATTTTTAATCATGAATAATCTCATATATAGCCATAAAATTATCCGATAGGTATTTACCAGCTGCAAAAGCGGATTGATTTTCTTGGCCATTTTCTCGTTTACTCCTTTTTGACTGGTTAGACCGCTTTGGTGATAATTTCGTAGTGTTGGTTCCTCGATGAAGATCTCGTCCATGGTGATCTCTGGCCTACAATTATTCATTTGAAGCAAAATAAAAAATTAAAAAAAATGGAGTTAGTTTCTTAAGAAATGGTGAGGGATTGACTTTCCGGAGAGGTTACCAGACAGGTATTTTGGGTAAGCATTACTAGAGAGAGTAGATAGAGCCAAGGAATTTCGGTCTATTAGCCTCCTTCATGTATAGCACACGTAATTTTCTTTCAGTTACTGTCTACTGGATGAGAATGTGATCGGAAACTTATGACCCAAAGAGGGTTGGTGCCTTCATCGAGGATTTTCTTTCAGTTAATTTTCTTGTCGCTATGTTGACCAGAGGGATCTGGAGAATTCTCTTGCCATAGAATTGCCCACTGCTACGGGTAGCTGCTGATTTCAGCTCATGGCAGAACATCGCCCGGGAGAAAGATTATTCATATCCCGAAGCTCTGAGTCTTTTGTCTAATGCCAGGTTTTTATTGCCCAAGGTTTATGAAGACTATTCATGATGCGGAGGCGGAACCGCTGACTAATCTCCCATGCCCACTGCTTTTCTTATGGTCGCCATCGTTGACTCTCATTAATCTGTCCGACCTCGCTGACGCCTGGGTGGGTATTGACTCTCCTTCCTTGTTGCAGGAAGAGGCGGACCGCAGATGGCGGGCAAGTACATCGTAGGTTCCATTGTGGGATCTTTCGTGGTTACCTACAGGAAGATATTTGGCGGTGAGTTGGGAACCGAATCTCGGGCAAAAATCCTCTCCTTCGAGTTTGACTAGGCTTTCTGGTCCTCGATCCTGATGGATGTGACGTGGACCAGGGACGACCTCGTCAACTTTTTTGGACAAGGGGTGGTGGGGAAGCCACCGACCAGAAATTCCAAGCGTGGCCTCGCACCGCCGGGGCCGCTGGTTGTGATGAATCCTATCAGCCGCCAGAATTTCATCCTCAAGACAGGCGCCGAATCACAAGGTTGACCGCCGCGCCAGCCTGGAGGACTGAAATGGTGGGAGGTTGACCCCATTTGCGGTGGTAATGCCAGTCGTTTCGTGAAGCCTTTGGGTTCGGAATAAGCCAAGCCATTGGGTTTGACCTTTTGACTTCTGGGTTCACTACTCCCTGACCAGTTGGCTCTCTTGATAAGGATGATGAATATAAATAAATAAAAAAGACAAAAAAAATAGTATTAGAAGGAATATACACGACCGTGTATCACTGCTTCGTAACTGTAGTTTTATTTTATAGATGAAACGAAGATGTTATGATAAATCCCCTCTGAATCCCTCAGTACAAATCCGAGTTTACTGGGCAGTCAGCGCCTTCATCCTCGTCAACAGTTGGTCAAAGTCGTCCTGCGACCTGATGAGACTGAGCCTGACGTAGCGGCTGTCTGCTCCGTAGAGGGTCCCCGCCCGTGGGATGATTCCCCCCGCCCTTATCGCCGATGAGCAGTCCTCATCAGCCTTCCTCTCGCACTTCACCCACGCATAAGCTGCGCCCCAGGGGAGTCAGTACTTTGAGAGAGAGAGAGAGAGAGAGAGAGAGAGAGATGGTCACTGACCTGGAGAAGGGTCCCTGGTGGTGCGGAAGTAGTTGCAGTACTCTGGGGAGAGCTTCTGCAGGGAAAAGCGGTCGGAAGAGGAGACGATGGCGTTGAGTTTAATCCACCGATTCCTTATTTGAGAATACCCAAATCGAAACATGTCTTCACTCTTCTTGATCTGTGAGATCGTCTGCTTGAGGACCTTGAGAGCCCTCAGCTGGGTTTCGCGGGAGATTCCCAGGGTGTCGGTGTCTATGTACTGCAGAATCTTGTTGTAAACCTTCACGTCCTTGATTAGCGCCCAACTGTGGGATAAAAAAACGGCGGATTGAATCCGGTGATCCAGAGTAGGAAGCTGAAATGCCGAGGAAGAGTTGAGGGGATTACCCGAATCTGCTGCCGGCGTGGCCGGTGATCTTGGATAGAGTGAAGAGCATGAGGTCGTCGTCGGCGGGGGATTTGATGGCGGAGTAGTGAGGCCAGTAGTAGGCGCGGTCGTGGATGACGGCCGAGCCGGCGAGGGCTGGGGCCTGCCATCGGCCGTCCGGGTTGTTCGGGGAGGTCACGAACTCGATGAAGTCCTTTGTGGAGGCTTCGGTTGAATTCAGCCACTCGGCTGTGGCTCCCTTCCACTCGAATACTTTGGATCGCCAGTACTCCGTCTGGGTCTGGTAAGCCTGTGAAGAAGGAGAAGAAGAAGAGGCCACAAGGAGAATTAGAAGAGCCTGCAAGATGAAGCAGCAGGAACCCACAAGGAGGAGAAGATGGCGTAGAACTCGCAAAGAAAAGTAGAAGAGAAGGAGGAGAAGAAAATCCCACTAGGAGGGTAAGAATAAGCAGAAAACAGAGGAGGAGGAGGAGGAGAATCGGATGATCCGTGTGTGTGGGAGCAAGTTAAAAGCAGGGAATTCTCACAGGGTAGTAAGGGACAGTGGCGACGACGCTGGAGGGCGACGAGGAATTATCCGGGGCGAGGGCGTGGAGGGCAGCGTTGAGCAATTGGGTCGATCCGGCACCGAATACTATCTGCTTTCCTTCGGCGGCGGCGTTGCCGACGAGCTTGTGGAGAAGGCGGATGTGCCGTTCAAGCTCCAGGGTCATGTAAGGTCTCCCGTCCGCATCGTAGCTCATCCGGTGCCACCCCGAAATCACGACAGCGCTACCCTCCGCGTGGCGCCTCCAGTAGGGCTGGAGAAACAGCGGATCTCCACTGAAAGAATATTCATCCTGCGATGAGAGATAAACAAAAGACGACCCTCCCTGCAAGAATACTCTCTCTCTCTCTCTCTCTCTCACACACACACACACACACACACACTCTAAGTCAAAAGAGCTTCTTGAGGGATAGAGGTGACGGCACAAACCTAGTAGCGTCAGCAGAACAATTAGGCCGGAACTGCGAGCAGTCCGGCCCTGAGTAGCAGTTGTTGCACTCACACACCGGCCTTCCATTATCGCGTACCCCGTCCACGAAGGCCATGCCATGCCCGGAGCAGGAGATGGCCGCCACCGCCTCCGCCTCCGCCGCCGCTCTCCTGGTCCAGGTGAGCTCCGCCTTCCCGAGCACCAAATGGGACCCCGAGAAGAGACTAATCCACAAGGGTGACAGCACCCAGATGAACACTAGTCCCCATGGTCTATCCATTGGAAGCTAGGGTCAGGGAGAGAGAGAGAGAGACGATATCACATGGCTTTCCATGAGGCCAGTCCTTAAATAGTGGACGCAGCCTCGAACAACTTACACCCATTGAAATTTTAAGATCATTGACCGTTCGAACCTGAAAGGTCAAAGCCTCTCTAATTGTTCGAAATATCAGTTGGTCTCCAAGACGCGTCGAACATCCTTATCAATGTGGAGACGTCGACTCATGCTCTGAGACAAAATCACGATGAACTGCAAGGAAAAATCACGATGCGCTCGCAGCTGGGTGTGGGGCAAAAGCTGCAAGCGTTCAATTGGGAATTTCCTCTCTCTCTCTCTCTCTCTTTCTCATTTCTTGCCCTCGGAGTCAGCGCAGAGATGCGAGTTTTTCCATAAAGAGTACACGACAACCTCCATTTCATCCGAACTCATCGCGCAGAAGAAATACCGAATTCTCTCCTTCTCTCCCCAGATTTTTACCCCTAGATGACAACACGATAAAGTCTTCGGGAAGAAAATAAGAGGTTTATCTCTTCCATTCCCCAAGTGGTGACGACGTCCAGACCCATCGCGGAGAAGAAAAGCTGGCCTCTCTCTCTCTCTCTCTCTCTCTCGCTGCGGGTTGTCCCCTCAGCCGTCAAGAGACGAGGCATCCCTTGCGGAGAATACAAGAAAGCTTAAGTTCCTAAAAATTCCCACCTAGGAAACTGCGCAGCAATCCATCACGGAGAAGAAAAAACTGGCCATCCGTCTGTCAAACGCCCTCATCCTTGAACTATTCTCATAGCCGAGTTAATATCTGAATCGGGCTAACTCTTAGCAGTCTTTATGGAGTAAGATCACAGCAAAATGGGTCCCACTAAAATAACATCCGAAAACCAACTCATTTCTCTGCTCTGTGTCTCTCTCATTATCTTTCTCCCTCTCTCTATTATTAAATGCTCTGTTATTCTATCATATAAAATTCTCTCTTCCTTGACGTATTATCGAAATATTAAATATTCTCTATCGACGGATTATCATTATATTGAATGTTCTCTCTCTTGGGTGACGGAGAACGTGGCGTAGAAAAAGAATCACAGACGGATGCGAGGAGAGAAATGCTCCGACGAAAAGGAAACGGGCGGTAGATCGTGACGATGAATCATGGAAGAACTGGTGAATAGACGAAAGGTTAGGACGAAGAATCAAAGGGAAAACGAGGAAGAAGCAGAAAAATTGCAAAAGAAATCAACGAACGTGTTACTGATGTGGCTCATCGTTTCAGAGAGGCCATTAATGGCTGAACTAAATGCAGGAGAGGAGAAGCCTTCCGCTAAGGAGAGAGGAGCATCCCGTTCGCGGACTGATTCTCACGGACGGAACCGCCCATTTATGTGCGGACCGAGAGAAACGGAAACGGCCGATAACGGATTCATTATAGATTTCTCCTTTCTCGCACTTCCCTTGCTGCCGTTGGTCTCCTCCTTTCCATTCTACCACCGGAATAGCCGAACATAACCCCAGATCAATGATAGCCGCAACGCCTGAAAACCATCATCCTCAAGCCGCCGCCAACGAATTTTCTACCTCCCTCTCTCTCTCTCTCTCTCTCTCTTCAGTTGGCTGACCCTTCCTCTGCTGCCGAACAGATGGCACACCAGGGGGGCTGCCCGAGTGCATAACGGATCGACCAGTTGGGCCGGTTCTGGACCGACCCGGTACTGTATAAGTTTAAACGAATCCGCATGACGGGTTAGTAATTTGGCGTGGCCCAGATTCGAAGTCGGCTTAGACAATTCAAATAGGCCCAAAGCCTTAGAAACAGCTCGGAACTGGACAATCAGCCCGAGGGAGGAGCTCTTAGTGGGTCGAATAGGCCCAAAACCTAGAAATAAAAATGGGGCTAGAGCCTTGGACCGAACCTCATGGCCTCGTGTTTGTTCGGCCCAATTAGGGGACTCCGAATGGCAGTTCTCACTTTGGGCCGGGCGAATCTTTCAGCCCAGTTGCCTGTTCGGTGAATCATCCAGCCGCACCCTCGAAGTGTTAGGCAGGCACGCTGGGAGGGAGGGGGAAGAGGGAGAAGAGCGGGCCGTCCATGGAGGGTGAAGGGGGCAGGCCTCGAGCCGTTTTCATGGCATTCGGGACGAAGGGTGACGTCTATCCAATCGCGGTAACTCTCCCGCTAGGTTTTTCTTCTGGAAAACAAACAAACAAATCTTTGAGTCCGTTCTGGGTCTGGGAGCAGAATGGAGATATGGGTTGGGACTGGGACGATAGTGTTCTTCTAGTATTGGCGTTTGCTATGAATTTAGGTCAGAGATGCGGATTTTGTACTCCTTCTGATGGATCGCGTTTTCAGTTTTCAAGCACGGTTATGCCACCCAGCTTGATTGTGAATATCTCTTTCGTGTGATTGACCTCTTTCTCCCCGCCGTATGGCTTGAAAAATGTGGCTCTATGCGATCAGTGCTGTGTTGGCGCCCATTCTTCTTCTCCGGCAAGCAAGGTCCTGAGCCTTAGCCGCCCATTTTGTTTTCAGGCGATTGCTTCAGCTCTTTCGTGTGATCGCAAAGATTATGATGTGATACTGATCACCCATTCAGCTCACAAGGTATGTGGCACGAAGATTTCTTGTCATCTCCACAGCCTCGAGGTTTTTCATTCCCCTAATTATTTCAAGCTCCCCCGTCGGAGTGCTGTTGTCTTCGGTTCATGCAGTCACTGGCTGGATCTCTAGAAGCGAGAGGGGTTCACTTTATTCCAGTTTCTACGCCTGCTGTCTTGTCACGAAACCATGGCAGCTCTGCCGAAGGTGATATGCATAGGAAGAAGCGTCTTTTCTTCGCTTCTTCTTCACACTCATGCTGCGTATAATTATCTTTTGCAGCCGTTTCCAGCAATTTTTGACACCTATTTTCTTGTTCTAGATTCGGGGGAACTCCCTTTCTCCATGCAGAAGAAGGCCATCCGGGTGGGACACAGGAAGGAGTGTTTATCCGCTGTAGAAGGAATCTTTGGAGACGGCCCTAGCCTGGAGGGTGATTTCATCTTGATCAACTTCTTTGCCTTGGTAACGCTCGTCGTAAGCCCGGAAATTGCACTGCATTTTTTCTTCTTCTTCTCAAGAATGGCGCATATGAAGCTTACCCTTTGCCAATAAATAATCTAAATCTGTGTACTATTATGGATTGTGGTCTAGGAAGGATGGAACCTTGCCGAGCTGTTTCAGGTCTGCTGTGTTGTTGCTGCTCCCTATGTCGTTCCCTATAGGTACACAACTCTTTTCTCTCTGGTTCTGATCTATGCTTTCTGGGGCTGCTGTCTGGGCAAAACGGAAATGAATTTTTTATTTGGCAAGTATGTATACGTTCTTTCTCCAAAATCTCACATCAACCCTCTCGATTAGAAGATGAGAACTTCTAAACTTTTGAACTGGGAATATTGTGAAAGGGTTTGTGGGTCATTTGAGAGATGAGATTATCATCGGGTTTATGCCACCAGTCCAGAAATCATCGTTCTTTGAAATCAGGCTGCATAATTTTGCTGCAAGGCATTAAAAAAAAAAAAAGGACTAGCTTTCTAGACTGTGTTAGTGACAACGACAATGGCGATGATGAATGATTGCCCACCTAATTTGTGCAGCGCCCCTTCATCATTTGAACGCCAATTCAAAGATGAGCTCCCGCTTCTACATCGGCATCTTCAAGAATCACCTCTTGGCAAGGTCTGATTGCTTGCATTCTGCTTAAGCCCAGCTTGCAAGCCTTGTAATTATCCTCTTTTCATTTCTGTGGCGTTGGGCTCCTCCACTGTTCAATTTTATATCTGATGGAATGACCTGATGGTTTCAGCATCGCAGGCTGAAAGAAATCTCAACCCTTCATTTTCTAGGTCTGCTGGAGTGATGTTATTCATTGGATGTGGCCACTTTTCACTGAAGACTGGGGATCCTGGAGGAGCGACTCCTTGAATTTAAGCCCTATCCCATTCACAGTCAGTACATCCTTTCCAGGTTTTTATATTTTTTTTCCCATTTAAGTTTCACCCTTTTCAAAAATAAAAAATATCTGTACCATTAAAAAAATTATAATCTGAGAGCGACAACTGGTGCTGATAATTAGGATGGTGCAAACCCTGAATTATTGATCCCAAATGCAGGATCCAGTGACCTGCCTCCCATCGTGGTCTTCACTCGAGCAATCTCCATTGTTGCTGTAAGACTCCTCAGCCTCGTAGTTTTCTTTACCGTAGAGTCTGTAACGTTGATGACAGCTCGTTCTATACAGATTGCATTATGTTTAAAAGGCTCACTGACCAGTCATGAACTCCCAAAAATGTCCTTCGTTTGTGCAGATATGGGTTTAGCAAAGAGGTCGTAGAATGCCCAGGTATTTATTGATTAAGCATGCCTTAATGCGTCATTTCCTCTGCGGGACATCTGCAAATACATATTAGTGAACGGATTGGCCAATCAGATCAAGATTTCCGTTCTGATTTACCGCATAAGTCATCATCAATGCACCTGCTTTTAAGTCTGTCACCGGTTGAAACAGGGTATTGGCCACCAAATGTGCATGCGTGTGGGTTTTGGTTCCTCCCCATGGACTGGCAGTTCTCATGCGCCCAATGCAGGGAGAGAATGCTGCATCGTTCTGCATATCTGACCATGACTGAGGACCTCTGTTCGAGCCATGTTGATTTGGAACACTTTATGAAGACTTCTGGCCATTCATGCCGGCCCATTTTTGTTGGGCTGAGCTCTATCGGGAGGTACGTTTCAGTGTGCTCAAATCAATTTCTGCTTGCTCTCCTCCTTGATCTGGTCCCAAGTCCTTTAATGTTGTACAACGTGAGAGGGCCAAGGCTACAAGGGGTTCGTCTGTATTATGTCAATGAAGATATTTTCTGTATAAGGTCGTCCAAAAGTATACATGAAAAAATCCATGTCTCACCAGGAGGAGAACAGTGTTAGACGGAAGACCCATGGCCTAAATCAGAAACAGGGCCGTTAGATTGAAGAAATCCATGAACTTGGCCCAAGTTTTTGCTAGTTCGGGTCCTAGATTGTCTGATCCTGTGAGAACCAGTCCTTAGCCAGACCATTTGCTCATATAAAACAACTCTTCTTCACATAATCGAATGTCCAACCGGATCCTCACACGGCTCCGACATTGTGCAGCATGGGCTACATTGTGAATCCCCGGGCGTTTCTCTTGGTGCTAAAAGCTGTCACAGAGAGAACTGGCCAAAGATTCATCCTTTTCTCCTCTGGTTATGAGACTTTAGATGCCGCCATCAGATTAATGGCCGATGAATTACCAAACCCTGTTCAAACGCCTCAATCCGACTGCGCTGGGGACTTTGCCCTTCTCCATGAGAACCGTCTGTTTTGTTTCTCTGGGTGAGGGATTTCTTCATAACTCGTCTCTTGGCTGCTGGGTTTTGGCTGGCTTCATCCTCATAGACTGACCCATTCTATATTTTTATCTTTTTTTTTTTTTGGTAGCAACGTACCGTACAGCTGGCTCTTCCCGAAATGTGCTGCCGTGATTCACCATGGGGGCAGGTGAGAAGCTTGGGCTCCGATCATTTACAGAACGACCACTGCCCTTGAGAATAAAAGTCCCACATTTTAGCCCTTATCTTGTGACAGTGGGTCTACGGCTGCAGCAGTAGCCGCAGGTGTCCCGCAGGTACGTGAAAGAGACGCCGGCTCTCATCTACTCCGACGGCTTCACGCCCTTTTGCTCTGTTGTTGTCCTGAATTCAGTTTCTGATGCTGATCCATTGGTGCCCTTATGAGATTGAAGATAGCATTATCCCTCGCCCAGCCTCCTGCGTGCACCCATCCTGTCCTAGAGAGAGAATGGGAGAGAGAAACGGGCACTGGGCTTTCGGGACGTGCTCGTTTTTCTTTCAGGGCAGTTGGGCTCCGGGGTTGCTTGCCTGGCTGATCTGATAGTAAAGGGGACTCCTTTCAGGTGGTGTGCCCTTTTGTGCTGGATCAGTTTTACTGGGCGGAGAGGATGCATTGGCTTGGACTCGCACCAGAGCCGCTGCAGAAGGGCAGTCTGGTTCCAGAGGATGATGATGCGGCGACCATCGAGAGGGGCGCCTGTGCTGTGATGAGGGCCATAGAATCGGCTTTGTCACCTGATGTAAGGTCTCATGCTGCTGAAATGGCTGAAAGAGTTTCAATGGAGGTACTTTCTTCCCTAGTTGAGTAAAAGCCCAGAGCCTGCCCCGGGCCAGCACCTGTGTGTGTGTGTGATGGATGCTTAGCATTTGATGTTTTGACTCGGACTAACCTTGGTAATTGCAGGATGGGATTGCAGCGGCTCTAAAGATCCTCGAGCAACAGGTTCTTCGTCCTAGAGGGGGAGACGGGTGAGTCAAGTGAGAGAACAGAGGAATGACGAACAATAGCCCATCTGATCAGTGTTTCAGTAAAGAGGCGTTGGGCGTTTGTACTTCAATTAACGATTTGTATGCCCGGAGAAATAGTCTGAAGAGGCCCTCCCCCTGCATGAAAGGCAGTGAATTAGCAGACCATATAGATGAAGCTCATTAGAGATGAGTTTATTCTTATAAGTATATATAACCCTGATTTATTCCTACATTTGCAAAATAGCCAGCGTTTCTCTGTCTAAAATTGGCATCTTATGAGCTGTCTAGGACAAAAGAAGTGTTTTGTATTCACCAATAAAAATGTATTCATATCTGCAATTTCGTTTTAATGGCCTTATTACACTAAAATTTCTCATCCAAGGATGTTACTCATCATTGAAAATGGAGGGAGATAGATAGATAGATGGATAGAGAGAGAGAGAGAGAGAGAGAGAGAGAGAGAGAGAGAGAGAGAGAGAGAGAGAGAGAGAGAGAGAGAGAGAGAGAGAGAGAGAGAGAGAGAGAGAGGGGTCAGCCAATTTTTCTTTGCCGGAGCCAAGAAAAGTAGGTGGGATGCAATGGTTCATTTTTTGACAGATTATTAATAATGTTTAGCGAGAACAACGATCCAAATAATGGGTGAACGACAAACGATTAAATAATCCAGAGAGCTGACCTCCTGGAGGCTCGTCCAAAGTAAACTTCGATAATTCATACGATCCCAGAACCTTCTATCTCTGCATCAGTGAAAGTTAGAGCCGTCTGGAGCTTTCTGTAGCAGAACACTTCCACCTCGGCCGCATAAATGGCCCTCACGGGGCGATGATCAGAAAGCTTCAACTCCACCCTGCTGTAACTCAGAAGCCTCAAGCCCCTCCCAAATGAGAGAATGCGGTCACACCTGCCCAATGGAAACTCAACTCCCATAACCTTTGAGAAGTGAGAAACCAACCGACATTTCAATTCACAATAAAGCGATGTTGATTGATTGAGAGTCTGCTGGTGCTAATTGCAGTTAAAAAAAAAGGCAATTGGTGGAGAATGCATTACATATCCTCTCTCTCTCTCTCACTCTCTAACCCAAAGTCCCTTCTGCTTACCCGTCATATGACAAAAGCAAAACGGAAGCAGAAAAGATATGGAGTTTTACCATGCCGGCGTTCTCCTGCCCATCTTTGGGTCCTCCCCAAAGTACTTGTCCGAGTTGAGCTCATACTTGTACGTTGGTGGGAAATCAAGAACACCTTCAGACCACCCGTCAAACGAACGACCTTCCTTCAGCTCTTGCTTTAACTGCCACATGATAGATTGGTGGCTCAATGAAAATCCAAGATTATCTTTTTTTTGCCATCATCGAATAGAGAAAATAATACATTTCCCGGTAATTGCTAAATGTGCATCACTCCTGAAGAACAGTAGTATTTGGATGATGACATTTGAAGAAGATAAATCTTCATTATTATCAGGTCTAAACACGGAGTGTGTTTGGCCTAAGAGATGCCATCTTCAGGCACACACCTCCAACAACAAGGTGCTCTCTACAAAGAATAGAAACTCACTCATGGAGGAGATGCTTCAGAATGTTACCTGATCCATCTGAGCCAGCTTGAACCATTCTCGTTTGGAGACGAGTTCTCTTGTTTTATTGTAGGATAAATTGATACGATAGTTCAGATCTCCCAACCATATGATTCTTCTGCAGTGAGATATTAATCATTCTAAATTAATTTCTGACATGAAACGAATATTAGATGCCTAAATCAGCAGAAATGAATCTGGTGCCCATTTTTATTTTTTTAGATTCAAAGAAAAAGGATACAAGCTCCTGAGCAATCAGGAAATGCACATATTTACAGTGATAAAAAGTATACCATCTTCGAACACATATATAGCTGGTTCATATGTTAGAATAGTCACACATTGAACAAAAAAAAAGTAAAATCTTAATTGGACTAGATAAATAATTAATTGACAAAACACAAGGTTTTATTTATTTTTTCCAACATAGAACCATTGAAAAGTCTGACGAAATGTACATTTAAATGAGGTCAGTAAAACTCTAGAATAACTTGGTTCTGAAACTATATGGAGTATGATATCACTCGAGTCAAAACTAGTTGGCAACAAGTGAAGTTTGTAAATCTACAAAGAATATCTGATTTCATTCCTTTTTGAAATATGGTATGATTCTTACATCAAGGTAAAGAATGATCCCATAAATTCAAACAGTCATACAGGCGAAAAATCAGATAATGCTTTCATCCAGAGAAGTCCGATTAATGTCATATAATTAGTTACATTTGGGCCACTACAAGTTGACTATGTTGCATATCGCCACCTAGGAAGCACGAGATATCTAAGAAGATATGGGAGGTGGTGAATCTAGCTCTAATACCATATATCGCCCAAACAATGTTGAAAGGCATGAATACCTGTGGCGAAATGTCAGATCAACAATGTGTAATTCGTCAAGTTGTGCATTAGATATAACACAGAAGAATGTATATGGCACAAATAAGAAAAGGCACCATAATTGACGCAGTTTTAAGGAATCTGTGTGTCAAGGTGGTGAGTTAAAGAAATATTTCATTATGTGGAAGAAAGCGCATAAAATGACGAAAAATACACAGATCAAATGAATCTCTCCCTAAATAGAACTGTAAACGACGAATCGAATGCACTCACAAAACTCCACAGCTAAAGGAATGGATTAGAAGAAGAAGAAGCACCACAAAAGACCCAAGAAACATCCCAAATGTTCCCCTCTCCCACATCCCACCCCATTTTGCCTCAATTAGTTGAGAAAAATAAGTACAGGAAAGAGGGGGTGGGGGGAGGGGCAAATAGAGAGTCAGAACAGCTCCCCTCACTCTCATCGTACATGACAGGCTCACGAGATGATCTCCAGTTAGAATATATAAATGTTTGCATGAAGATATATATATATATATATATATATGTTTTCATGCAAACATATATATCTCTTTTCATTTTTCCATTTTATTAGAATATATATGTTTGCATGAAAAGAAAAATGACAACCACCAACAGGTGAGTAATGTTACACGTATCTCAGTTACTGCAGTAAATCAACATGTTCTTGCCATTACGAAATCTTTATAATTTGTACTTCATCAAAATAATTGAACACAGAGGCTGAAAGATCAGCAAGAAAACAGCAGAAGGATAACAGTCAAAAACAAACTATCCACAAATAAACCAAATTGATTTCCTTATAAGGCTTTATCTTCATAATATTATTGGGGAGAATTCTTATACTCACTCATGGTCATGGATGGTTCTAGGCAGGTTGGTGCTACGATCTGAATGAAACAATGTTCGGCGGTATATTTCTTGCACATCAGAATTTCTTCGAACTTCATCACCCGCTTTTTCCCCAGAAGTTAGGTGACTACAGATAAAGCAAAACAGAGTCTGATATATTGACATGCTGACAGAAATTGATCCCTGGAAAAGGTTGAAAGATTGTCACAATGTGGTTCCCATTTTATTCAACGAAATGAAGCGAATATTCCAGAAAAACCAATTGAGTCATCAATGGAAACAGGATTTAGGAAAGTTTTTGCATACATTCATATCTCACTATAAAATTCCTAATGTAACGAATAAGATAGACTCGGGAAGGACATAAGTAATGACTCTCATGGGGAAAATATATTACTTTCTAACAACCTACATTCAAATATCGCTAGCAGCCAATTTCTATTTCTCAAATAGCTAAAATACTCATCAAACCTGACACAATTTTTATTTAAAAATTTGCTCAACTACAGTCAACTAAGAAAGTGTCAACAGACCATGAAGAGGATAGGACAACAGAAAATGATTTGGAAACCACGAAACCAATGACAACGGCCTTCAAGGGTTTTAACAAAACCGTGTTCCATAAGTACATCACGCCAAATGAGCTTATTTGAAGAGACTTAAATACATGACGCCAAATGAAGAGGATAAGTAATTTTTGTTTTTCTTTCATTGTGTCCTAAATGAGCTTATCTGATCAAGACTTGAAAGGTTATGGTTGACACCTCGACAAAGCCAGTTGATAAATATAAGATATGATTGATATTTCGGAAAGCCAATATATCTACATTAAGTTTGAAAGAAAATTGAAAATACCAAATGGGAAGCAGCTTGATGACCTTTTTTACTGACTCTTTCCATTGCTGTTGTTATTGTCAGCGTGAACCCTCATCCATCAGATTAGTATTGGACTTGGATTTTTAACGAATCCAGCTCAAAAGCTCAAGCGAGAGTTTTAGACATCCACCAGTCTAATAGCAACCTGGCCCTTTATTAGTGTTTCCCCTAGATGTCAAATCCACGGACTGTTGCTAACTAGGCAGAACGAGAAAGCTAATTGTAAAAATATATGCAAAAATGAAATGGACATAAATGATATCAAGGATAGCTACCATATTTTCCCACAATTGGTGCAACCCCCAATGTTGTTTTGATATTGACAATTTCTGAATATCATCTGTCTTAAAGTCTAAACAATCTTCCAAACGCGTATATTTTTCTAAAAATTCTGCCACATGCAACACAAATAGGGAAAGAGGAGCAGGTTTCAATGAAATCTGTAATCTTGTGACGTAGCGCACCATGCCTACTATGGGCATCTGCTACACGAGGTTGACATCCAATAACCTACAGAAAACTGGCTAAAATCCAAGCATACACTTTTAGCACGGTAATAAGTTCATATTCACACTGAATGCATTTTAGATGATGTTTTTTCAAATTTATCATAAATAAAGTCAAAATATAAAATATCCAATGGAAAAAAATGTTAGATAAGGAACTTTGTCAATAGATATGTTGGTCAACTATTTTCACTTTATGGGTCCTCGGATTGTAATAAGTTAGCCAACTCTAATGAAGAAAATAATTTATTCCGCTTCAAAAGACATGAAGGTAAAACAAGATGCGAAGCACAGGATAGGACTAACCTTGTTGCCAATGTAACCCATAATACCAACACCAACAGTAGATACCTTCAGATTTTGGACATGTCTTCGGAGACTACGACGGACCCATACTGACATATAAAGCCCTACCATTTGCTTGCTAATTATCCTAACAAATCTTGATCTTTTCCTTTTACTCATGACAGAGTCCAGCCTTTGACCCAGGCTCGAGCCTATGTCAGAGCCCGCATGCGCTGATTTAAAGGAATGCCAGGATCTCAAAGAACCAACTGATTTGAAGGAGTCCATGCTGCCTGAAACGCATTGTGATACTAAATCTAGTGGCTTCTCTGGCCAACTCAAACCAATTCTCTCCGAGTTACTCAGTGTTCTGACCATACTCCTTTGTCGTACAACATATGCCTCGGCGTTTACCTCGTTTTCTACTGTACTAAAGGAACTCAACCTGTTTACTCTCCTTGGACTAAAATCTATTTCTTTATCTGGAACTGTTGACGCCCCTACATCGCCATGGTGAGAGTAGCTAGCATCTTGCAGGGCAATGGATGGAATGGCGTTGCCTTGAAAATTATAGGACTGACCAACCAACAAATGGACTTCTTCGTCATTACTTTCACTATCGATTCCTGGGTACATTTCATCCGCAACTGAAGGCATATCATTCGACGCCTGGAACCTGGATGGAGAAGGAGGATCACTATAGCATTTGACCTTCTCCACTACTGATGGAGTACTATTTAGCGTTTGACGAATGGCTGATTCCCATATTGGGATAGATCTGTCATCCTCAATTCCAAAAATGTTTCCGGCATTCAATGGAACTACCTCCTGAAAACTGTGATGAACAAAGATTTAGTCACAATTGCAACAAACATGGAAAGAAAAAGCTTTAGTGAACAGACACAATGAAATATTAAACGTGATGCTACTAATAGAAAAGGAAGAAAATCAATTGAAACAAACATTGAATGCACATATTCGAACGTTTCAACTTCTCAGTGTCTCCAAAAAATTGATCAATAATAAATAGTGAACATTGAACATAAAAACCCCCAGTCTTCTCAAAGTTTGATCAGAGTGTAAACCAGTTGGTATACCACATTGATTGGTTATTCTCAAAATATGGCTGGAATTTTATGGACTACTGTCCGAGATCCCATGCTTTAAAATTTTTTGTGAGAACTTGAAATATAGCATCACATTTTGGCGCAGTCATAGCGGAGCCAAAGGTCAGAATTTAAAGTTGTCGTCAAAACTTCTCCAACAAAGAGATTATTTTGATATTGAAATTCTTTTTGGGGGGAATCATTGGGAAGTAGACCATAAACTTTATTTATCCAGACTATTTCTATGGACTCCGCATCTGTAGAAGTTATTAAATCATGCCAGATTGAACCTGAATAGAATTTTGTGAAGTTTAATAGAGCCACCAGCATACTGTTTCAGCTCGGTGGAAACCAAATTCTTTTCTTTTTCTCAGGATTCTGCGAGTCGAAATAAAAAACGAAGTAACTAAGAAATAAATCTTCTGAATCACCATAAACAGTTATATATGTCCGTCGTTGAGCCAATAAATTCTAAATTGGATATTTCAAGTATTTCTTTTATGTCTACTGCATATGAAGGCATAAAGCATAGAAGTAAGAATACTCATGCTTCTTTTCCATGGAGTTATCAGCCAAGAACATTGGATGAAGTGAAAATATGCTCCATAAGAGAATGATTTGTAGTCTAAGAAGTAAAATCAGATAAAGCATAGAAGTTTAGGACAATTGATCGGGAGATCTCCATAACTCAACCAGTTTCTATCTGAGAGTACAACCCCAGTACATATACATCAGCAGGATCCTCCTTATTTAGCCACTCATTGATATCTATGTCATCAGGTGGAAGTTTCCCGCCGACATTCCAGGTTCCAACACAGATCCTGTAGCATATCGTAAGCTAAATATTAGTTCATAAATCGTGTTTGTGCTAATAGTTCACTTGAAACCATAAATAAGGCATCCCAGAGACGATGAACATCAAAAGGAGAGTATAAATTAAAATATTGAAAATGTTTAATAGTGATAAAAACTATATAGATGGGAGATACTGCTGCAGACATGCCTTAGTTCTTTGGTGCGTATATATTGTACACGACGGGTCTCAGAGTTTCGCCTCTGCAACTTAGGAGCATTATCAGAGACATTCTCTGCACATTAGAACCACAGAATTAGTTTCTCTACGACTAAGAAATAGAAGATTAAATGTTGTATTATCCCAAAGGCAAGATCCAATGCACGATCCATTCTGAAATCGTTACTGGACATGATTTTAGGGAAAGTTTTATGTTCGAGTGCTTGACAAGTGAAGGAACCTACTACATAAATTCATCGAAAAAGAAGCAGCAGAAAAACATTTGATAGAAACGGCCGCCAAATTTAGGTAGAAGGACGTAGCCATGGCCGTTTAGCATCTTTTAGTGATTCATAAACGCATAAAGACTATTTATGAAAATATTTTCGTATTCTAATCATATTTTGAAGATCTCGTTCAAAAATCATAAAAAGCTAACCTGGCAGTTTGTCCACTGAAAACGGGTAAACACTCAAGGATATACAGATATCAAAACTCTGCTTTCATTGAATATGTCAAGTAATCTCCTAGGAAAGAAAATATTTCGCAGCGAAGAAATTCTTACTGGTTTCGAGAAAAATATAATCTTCCCCATTCAACTTAAACTTTTCTATATTAAGAACGAGAATGCAGGTAGAAATAAAAAAGTCGCGAATTCGAATGTCTGGAACTTAGATTGAAGTAAAATGGTTGACGCGATAGTCAGTAAATAACCAACACCAGTCCCCGACAATGACCTGTTCACTCTCCTCTAGTCGTCATGCGCTTCGGGTTCACAACCACACACATTTGCGGAACTACACCACTCAGTACAATAGGCAGTAAAAACTCGATCTCAGAAAACGAAGAACAAAAAAATTAAGCTCCCCCGATCGCTTTCAACAGCTTTCCTACGTACCTTCGTCATGCAATTGGCTTTCCGTGTCGCTCTCATCGGCGCTGAAATCGGAATCCCGTGTGCTGTAGTTAAGCCACTTGCGAAGGAAAATTTTGTTCCAGAACAGCTGTAGGCAGGCCCAACCGAAACAACAGATTTCAGCCCAACTTCGCTGCAATTTCCGCGTGATCAACACAGATAGAAGAAAACACGAAACAAGAAGAAAGATAAGAAGAAGAAGAAGAAGAAGTTGATGGAACGATCCAAAACGACGATGATCATGGACCTACAAGATGAGGAATCATCAATCTGAGAGCTTAATTCTCTTTCCTACATCCATAAGTGGGCGACATCGAAATTACCTCTCCATGTTTTCTAGGCCTGTGCTTCATCTCACGATACTACAGCGTCGCCAGTGGAGCTTCTTCCCTTTGTCCTAGCGCAGAAGAATGCCAGCATCCATGGCTGCTATCCCCCTAAGCAGTAGGAAGCTTTCATTGGAGGGGGAGAGAGAGGGAGAGAGGGAGAGAGAGACAGAGACAGAGAGAGGGTAAATGAGTTTGACTACCCGGCATTTCAACAAGGAATCGTGGCCATCAGATTTCGATTAGGACAGGACAGGGTGGTTGACGTGGGCCGAAAATTGGGCTGGGCTTATCTGAGCCTATTAAGAGCGAGCGTCAGAAAGGGCCCAAATGAGGTCGGCAAAATATATGGTTTAACAAATAAACCTCGTAAACTCAATATTAAAAGGAACTGGGCTTCTGCGAGCACATACATTGGGGAGATTTTCTTTCTTTTTACCAACCTGAAAAAAGAAAATACCACTTGTACTTTCATCCTAAAATATAAATAAATTTAGGGTTAATTAGTTCCCGTCTCTTCGCTGTCTCTGTAGGTTCGTCCAGATAAAATACTGAGAAAGAGGGGACTCAACACAAAATCAGGCCGTATTTTAGGGACATGTGACCAATCGACCCAACAAAGTACCGTCCAACGTTTTTTTTACTGTAGTCCACACAAGAAAAACAATACAACTGGGGACCCTCGCCACCGTCCGTATTAGCCCCAACAAGGGCATAAATACTATTTAAAATTATTCATAGTTTTCATGATTCGCACGCGCTTGTTATCCTATGTCGTCTGATAGGAGATGTAGGAGAAGACGAAGGCTTGTTCTCTAGCCTTCTCAGAGGGTCACCGTCGCTCTGGGCTTGCCGGCGATCATGAAGGACGGGAAAGTCACCTCCCTGATGAGGGACCGTCCGCCCCAAGCATTCTCCAGGTCCTCCACCACCTCCGCCGGCAACAAGTCGACCCCTTGCGCCTTGGCTGTGTCCACGACGGACCAGGTCCGCACCAGCCGGAGAATCCCCTCAAAAGAGGCGTTCGTCTTTATCTCGAGGGTCACCGACGCGCCTTCCGCGCCCAGGCCGACGCCGTCGAAGGGGAAAGGGAGGTTCCTGTACTCCTCGAAGATGTAGAGGATGCTGGGGTGCCAGAAAGGAAGAGCCGAGGCGATGAATCTCTGTATTACGGCGTCGAAGGAGGGACAGACGCGCACTTCCCGGTAGCCCCAAACGGCGACCACGCCGCCAGGCTTCCTGAGGACTCGCTGCACCACGGAATAGAACTTCTCGTGGTCGAACCAGTGGACGGCCGTGGCGACGGTGACCAGATCAACGGAGCCCTCCCCACCCAGTAGGGCCACAAGGTCGTCCTCCGGCATGCAGGTGGGGGTGTGGACGTACCGGACCTTGGGGTGCGGCACGGCGTGCTTCAACTGTCCCTCGCTCATGTCTGTAGCGACGACTCGGTCGTAGTGGTCGGCCAGCTGTTCCGCCGTCGACACCAAGCAGATGGATGTATGAGGAGTGGTGTGAGGAGAACACGGTGAAGGGGGGAGAAAGGGAACTTACGGGGACGGCGGCCTGGCCATTGCCGGTGGCGGCGTCCCACGCGACGCTGTGGTGTGGGGTGAGGGAGGCGAGTCGGACGAACCACTCCCTTGGGTACTTCGGCCTCGTCTCGGCGTAGATATCCGCCAGCCCCTCGAACACGCCCGCCATGATCTCCACCTCTCTCTCTCTCTCTCTCTCTCTCTCTCTCTCTCTCTCTCTCTCTCTCTCGTTTTTTAAAAGGCAGCCTTGTCTTAATAGATTACGGAGTCGGCCGTAGTTTCGCATCTACAAATTTACATGTACAAGTTGGTACTAAAGTAATTCAACAGTTTTCCTCAGAGTGAAGCTCTGGTATTTACGTCTGCGTCAACCTTTTCGAAGTGGCTCTCTACAATAGCCAATGGGCTTTGTACCTGTTTCCAATCTCACCCGTAAGAACGGGAAACAAAGCTTCGATGTTAATCTATTAATTTACTGAAGAATTTTCAGATGCATGATTATTTTATTCCTGTGATTAAATAGTTCCCATAAATGTGTTGGCCGTTGACCTCAACAATGGCCACAGAATATGGGTAGGGATCAAAGGAGCCCAAACTGTCAACCACTTCGACAGCACGCCGGCCCGGGCCTATTTAAAAGGAACTTTCTTCTCCTTTATTTCGATTTGGGAGCACCCCTACAACCCCGTGCATACCTGCTCCGGAGAGAATGTGAAGGCTGTTATCTCCAGTCATTCATTAGCCATTTTACCGGCTCAGGTCTCGTTGGCCCACCTGCCTCATGCTGGAGCACCTCTACTGGTCAGGTGTATTTACGTCTGGGCCAACCGTTTCGAAGCGGGTCTCTACAACCAATAGACCTTTTCCAAACATCCCCTGTGAGGACGGAAATAAGTCTTCCAAGTAAATTTAACAATTTCCTGATGTATGAATTTTTTATTCCTATGATTAAATCGTCCCCATAAATGTGTTGGTTATTGACGTATACAACTGACCACAGGATAATCGTGTCGCCATATCAGCTCAAGCCCCACGGAAAAGTGTTACACGTGGCGAGTTGTTACGTCTTGTAAAAAAAGGACGGATTATACAACGGAAATCAAAGGACTGCGGTCAAGAGCTCTCTCTCTCTCTTTCTCTCATCGTGGGCGTCTGCCACTCCCAGGCACATTAAAACTCCCTTTGAGAAAGTGTGTGTGTGTGTGTGAGAGAGAGAGAGAGAGAGAGAGAGACAAGGCCGAAGTACCCAAGGGAGTGGTTCGTTCGGCTCGCCTCCCTCACCCCACACCATAGTGTCACATGGGATGTTGCCACCAGCAATGGCCAGGCCGCCGTCCCTGTAAGTTCCCTTTCTCCCCCTTTCACCATGTTCTCCTCACCCCACTCCTGATATATCCACCTACTTGGCATCGACGGCAGAACAGCTGGCCGACCACTACGATTGAGTCGTTGCTACATACATGAGCAAGGGACAATTGAAGCACGTCGTGTTGCACCCCAAGGTCCGGTACGTCCAAACCCCCATTTTCATGCCGAAGAACAACCTTATGGCCCTATTGGGTGGGGAGGGCTCCATGTTCTGGCTACTATCACCATAGATGTCCACTAGTTCAACCACGAGAAGTTCTACTCCATGGTGCAACAAGTCCTCATAAAGTCTGATGGCATGGTGGCTATCTAGATGTAGGAAAAATATGTAAGCACATGATCACAATAACAATAGAAACTCAATTTTTGGATATCAATGAAAATAAATAGAAAAGAAATCACAAAGTTATCAAGAATTCTAATGAGATAAGGCTTCCACCAAAGACCTTTAATTCACGTCTCAATGCCCTCGAGATGACTCACACACTGGAGAGTCAACAATGAATTGTGTTGTCTTCTTTTATAAGAACTTCACCTATAATAGAAGAGAGAAAAAAATACTAGGAAAAGAAATAGAGTTGATGGAAAGAAATAATAGAATTAAGAGAGAAAAAAAAATTCGTCGTCTGTCGTATTTGAAAAAGGGGAAATACGTACCCTATTTATAAAAAATAAGAAAAGATAAGTAATCCCTAAAAGGAAATATCTTGATCTACTTACAGCCAGCCCACACATCTCAGAGGTCACGACTATAACCACCCTCGTTTCTCATCCTTTTCTCTCTACATGACCCCCAAATGGGTCAAAAGGATTGACATGACTATCATGTCACCACCACCTTACTCTTTGCACGTCTCCCGAACAAGTCAGACAACACAATTCTCTCTCACATCTCCCAAACAATTGAGACAGAAGAGATTCTCTCGCACATCTCTCAAATGGGTCAATCGTGATGGACTGACACCGTCAAAATTGGGCCTACTGGGAAGTGCACGTCTATCCCTCCTTCGATGTCGTAATACACAGATTCATCGCCTCGAGCTCTGCCTTTCTCACACCCCAGCATCCTCTACATCTTCGAGGAGTACAAGAACCTCCCTTTCCCCTTTGACGGCATCAGCCTAGGCGCAGAATGTGCGTCGGTGACCCTCGAGAAAGATGAATGCCTCTTTTGAGGGGATTCTCTAGCTGGTGCGGACCTGGTCCATCATGGACACAGCCAAGGCGCAAGGGGTCAACTTGTTGCTGACGGAGGTGGTGGAGGACCTGGAGAAGGCTTGGGGCAGACGGTCCCTCATCAGGGAGGTGACTTTCCCATCCTTCATAATCATCGGCAAGCCCAAAATGCCGGCTACCCTTCGAGAAGGCTGGAGATCAAGGCTCCGTCTTCTCCTACATCTTCTATCAGATGACCTAGGATAACAAGCACGTGTGAATCATGCAAGCTATAAATAATTTTAAATAATATTTATGCCCTTGTTGGACTAATACGGACAGTGGCGAGGGGTCCCCAATTGTATTTTTTTATTGTGTGGACTATAAAAAAATCCATTGGATGGTACTTTGTTGGGTCAATTAGTCACATGTCCCTAGAAAATGGCCTGATTTGGTGTTGAGTTCCCTCTTTCTCAGTATTTTACTTGGACGAACCTACAAAGACAATGAAGAGATAAGAACTTGCAAGCAAACTGATAACTATAGAGCAGATTGACTGTTAACGCCAGAGGCGAGAAGGAGAGCGAGGGGGGGCACTATTTACAAACTAGGAGAAGATTAACTTTATAAAAGGGACCCCAATGTGTGTGCTCGCAAAAAGCCCAGTTCACTTTAATATTGAGTTTACGAGGTTTATTTGTTAAACCATATATTTTGCCAACCTCATTTGGGCCCTTTCTGACGCTCACTCTTAATGGGCTCATCCAAGCCCAGCCCAATTTTCGACCCACATCAACCACCAAGTCTTGTTCTAATCAAAATATGATGGCCTCGATTCCTTGTTGAAACGGCCCTTTCTAACGCTTTCTAACACTAACTCTCTCTCTCTCTCTCTCTCTCTCTCTCTCTCTCTCTCTCTCTCTCTAATGAAAGCTTCCAACTTCTTAGGGGGATAGGAGCAATGGATGTTGGCATCTTTGTATGCTAGGACGAAGAGAAAAAGTTTCACTAGCAACGTTGAATCATCAGACGAAATTTTTCACTAGCTAAAGTTTACAAAATTTTTGCGTAAGGCCGTGAGACGGCCGCGCGGTGGGATGGCGGCGGCCGCAGCAGATAGCTGTAGCCTGGTAGCGGCACTGGCGACTCAGCAGCTGCACAACGAGCTGCTGACTGCTTGGTAACGGCGACTACGACCTGGAAGCGCTGCCCCTTCCTCTCTTTTCCTCTTTGAATGAGATTTTTTTCAACCAAAACATGCCTTCTCCTCAAGATGACGGTGTTGGCTCTTGGGTGTGGCTCTCCACGCCTAATATAGGGCCCCAAATGGGCCAAGGGTGGAGGGCCACACTTGAGGCCCAAGATGCCAAATCTTCAAAAAGGAACACATAGAGTCCAAAATGGCCCTCCTCTCCAATTGGGCCTAAATGAGAATGGCCTAAAAGAGAAGAGAGGTGAGGAACGGAAGGACGCCCTCTTCTCCAATTGGGCCTAAACATGTATGGCCCAAGAGGAGAAGAGAGCAAAGAAAAGAAAACAAAGGAAAAATGAGCCTTCACATCCCTGCCATGGGCCCAGCACGGACCCTAGGAATGGGAGGCCCCCACATGGAGCAGAACTAGAACCCACACAGTTCACAGACAAGGGAAACGAGCGAGGGAAAACATAAGATGTGAAAAACATAAAGACACCTCAGGTGGTATAGCGGAACCCATGGTCCTTTGTCTTTGCTCGTGCTCCTTGATCTGGCTGGACACGTGAGGGCGGGGTCTCCTCTGTCACCTCGAGCTTGTGTAGTGGTGGAGACGGTTCCCATTCGCAACCAATCCTCCCGAGGTCAGAAGAACTCGACTCCGTCAAGTTGGTGAATGGAAGCGGCATGGGCTCGATCAAGTCTGGCTGCAGGCGTGCGAGATCCTCCTCCGAAATCCACGTGTCATCCGCTGCCGTATGCCCCTGCCAATGCACGAGAAACCTCCATGAAACTCTATCCCCTAAAAAGCCAATTACCTCGTGCACTACCTCCTCGACCTGCTCATGCCAATTGGGTCGTAAAACAGGGGGGGTGGACTCAAAGGCCAACTCACTCTCAGAGAATGGGTCGGGGTAGGGAGGCTGGTCAGAAGGAGGTGGGGCTCGATATGCGGCCAAGTCTGCCACATTAAACATTGAGCTAATCCCCCACAATGGAGGGATCTCGACGATGTAGGCATTCTCGCTTACATGGGTAAGGACTTGGAACGGGCCCGCACTATGAGCATGGAGCTTTGTAGCCATGCCCGGAGAATATCTCTCAAATCTCAGCCTAACCATCACCTGGTTGCCCACGTGGAAGCTTTGGGGTCGGCAATGCAAATCGGCAATCTACTTGTACAATGCGTTATGACTAGTAATCCTATCATCAATATGTCGATTCAAGTCACTAAAATACTAGGTAAATACAACACCATCCTCAGACACTCTAACACGTGGGTCAACAAACACCAAGTCTAGGGGCTTGCGGGGTGCAAGGCCAAGGGGAATCTCAAAAAGACTCATGCTAGTGGTGTAGTTGGCCAAAGAGTTAAAGGCAAACTTGGCATGGGGGTAATCAGATCCCACGTCGTGAGGTTTTCCCCCACCAAAGATTTGACAAGTTCTCTAAGCTCCTAATATGAAGTCAATGTTGACATCATCCCAAGGGCGTGTCGGTACAGGAAGTGGCGTATAAAGTCCAGTGTTCTTCTTGACCTGCTTCACGAAGGCACACACATGGCACTGAGCAACGATGTTCCCTACATTGTGCCTCAAACTCGGGCAATAGAATTGGTATCCTACCATAGTGATTGTCTTGTCGCGGTCGAAGTGGTCGACAAGACCTCCAGCATGACACTCCCAAGTCAGGAAGTCTCGGAGAGAAGTGCGGGGTACGCACGGTCTATTCTTAAAGAATAGATATTCGTCCGTCATAAGATAGTCTCGATGCTCGCATGTTGTCCCAAGCTCAAAGACATGGATGATGGGGCCAAAGTCGGGGAAATCTACATATGAGTCCTTTAAAGACTTGAATCTAGTAATCTACACCTTCACCAAATTGAGAAGGTGGGTTTGGTGACTCAAGACATCGTCAACCATGTTGTCCTTTCCCTTCTTGTGCCAAATGACGAATGTATAATCTTCAAGGTCATCGACTTAGTAGGCGTGACGATCGCGCAATTTCTACTGTGAGTGCAAATACTTCAAGGCCTCATGGTCAGAATAAAGCACGAACTCCTTCAATAGGAGGTAATGTCACCAGTGCTTTAGTGCCTTGATGATAGCATAGAACTCCTTATCCTAAGTCGAATATTAGAGTTCGACGTCATTTAGCTTCTCGCTGAAAAACTCTATGAGGTGGCCATCTTGGCTAAGGACACCCCTGATCTTGATGCCAGATGTATCATAGGTGACTTCAAACACCTTGTTGAAGTCAAGTAGATGAAGACGGGTGTGTGGGTTATCAAGGCCTTTACTATCTCAAAGGCCTGATCTACTACCTCTGTCTATTGAAATGGATCCATCTTGAGGCAATTGGTGATGGGTGATGTGACAAAACTGAAGTTTTATATGAAGCAGTGATAGAATGTTGCCAAGCCAATGAAGCTCCAAGTATCATGCACGTTGGCTGGTCAAGGGCAAAAGATGATGGCGTAGACCTTTTTTGAATCAATAGAGACTCTTTGTCTTGAAACAACAAACCCTAGGAAGGAAACCTCGGTCATGAAGAAACTACAGTTCTTTGGGTGAACATATAACTTCTCCCTTTGAAGCGCAACAAAGACCTATATCACAGGTGCTAGAGATGGTCATCTCGTGCACAACTGTAGATCAAGATGTTGTTGAAGTAGACAACAAAGAACTTCTCAAAAAATAGGCAAAAGACCTTATTCATGAGATGTTGAAAAGTGCTCCGTGCATTGGAGAGACCGAAAGTCATAACTCTCCACTCATAGAGACTATCTTTTATGTTAAAGGTGGTCTTCCACTCATTTCTCGGACAAATCTAAACCTGATGATAACTACTTCTCAAATCGATCTTTAAGAAAATAGTGGCACTGGCCATCATGTCGAATAAGTCCTGAAGGTGCAGGATCGGAAAATGATACTTGACCATAATCTTGTTGATTGTGCGGTTATCGCATCATATGTGTAGGTGCAGTCCTTCAGCGCTAGAAGTGCAGGAACAGTGCACGAGCTTGACAACCCTTTTCCAGTAGTTCTTGAACTTGACGATATAGCTCCTTGTATCTGGAGGGCTCCATATGGTAATGTGGCATGTTGGGGAATGTGGCTCTCGGCACGAGATCGATCGTGTGTTGTATATGATGTATCGGTGGTAACTTGTTAGGCAACTCCTCGAGGAATATGTCACCATACTCCATCATGATGTCCTCGAGCTTTGGTGGGTTTGAGGATGGAGTGGTAGCAGTAGGAACACCCGACATCAAGGCCAAAAAGGTGGGAGTATCAGTGATCTCCCTTGTGATTTCCCTATGAAATGTTGGTCTCCTAACAACCACCAACCCCACTCAAGTGGTAGTCACTTGTCTAGTCAGAGGCTTGATGGTGTAGGGGTACCAAATAACCATTCGACCGCGATGCACGAAAGAGTAAGCGTTTGCTCTTCCATAGAGGTGGACATTATTATTGTACAACCACGAACTTTCAAGTATGATGCTCTTGATTTTCATCGAAAGGACGTCGCAAAGGACATGGTTGTCATAGGTATTCACCCTAAGTGACACTTGGTACTAAAGTCACACTGAAAGTGATGTGGCATCTATCCAAGACACATCAAACGTGGATGGATGGCTAGTGGTCACCAATCCAAGTCTCTGGACCATCACGTCACATACGGCATTGATGCAACTACCACTATCGATGATCAGCTTGCATACTTGGCCGTTGATCTTCACGTAAGTGTAGAAGATCGACATGCGAAGGGTGTCCTCTATCATTAGATGGATTGATGGTGGCTAGGACTTGGTCGACAATGATAGTGATTGAGCTGGGGGTTGAAGTCTGTCTGTCGAGATTGCTACTGACTAGGATGGTGGGCATGATGCACTGTCGCCAGGATTGTGGACAGCTAAGCTGACCACCTATGTCAAAGTAGTGACAAGTACCAAAGGGATAGCAGTAGGCGTGATCTGGATGTAACAATGAGGTCTTGAACACTAGGATGTCATTGCAAGGGGAGGTGTCATCACCCTGAACACTAGGATTGACATCCTTCATACCTATAAGTAGGTTCAAAGATGGGCACTAGCTCACTTGGTGTCCCTTGCCTTGGCACTTGAAACAAGTGACATCAGCTTGGGAAGTAGTAGGTGCTCGGACTATCATGTCCGAAGTGGTTGTCTGAGGTAGTGGGGCTGACCCAACGGAGGTGGCAGGGACGGTCTAACCGTTCCCTATACTAATGCAAGTTGGCAAAGGGGAGACTATCACCAAAAGTGGCGGTTAAAGACATCTTCTCAACCGTCACCTTTCGGTGGTCCTTTTGCAGCAGAGACACCCAATTAATGGCCCAGATTTCTCCATCTTCTAGGATTGACATTTAATGATCCAAAAGAGATTTCAAGCCCAAATTTTGTGGGCATGATCTTCAAGATGTGCTCTTTACATCCCCAATTCGGATCGAAAATAAACTTCAAGAAGATTGTGAACATAAAGGAGAAGAGTTAGAAGTATTTTGAGAAAGGGTCAAAAGTATTTTGGAAAACTTTATTGCTTATATATATATTCTCTTCACCCTTTTTCCTTTTCATCTTTTTGGAAGGAGCCCCAATAATGATTGTTCAGAGTAAAACAACTTTTATTCTAAAGATTTGATTTTCTTCTCTTTTTATGTAATCTTGAGTGATCAAGAGAGGCCTTAAAGAAAAATTTAGTGTTGGGGATCTAATTGTAAGAAGTAAAGTGTTGGAGATCAACCTATCAAAGTAAATTATTTGGCCTTGGCGATAGATAAAGGCTCAGGTTAAACAATCTTCCTCTTTGTGCTTACTTGTTTCCTTTTTTTCTTCCCTAAGGTGAAACTTCGGGTTTTAGATATGTTCTTAGTAATTATATTATTTCTTGTCAACTTTGATTATTCTTTCTCAATAAATACTCTCAAAAATTCTTTTTACAACCCTTAAGTTAACCTTGATCTAGGGTTTCCTTCATTACATCTCATTTCACTCATATTTCTCATCTCTCACACTCATCTCCTATCTCTCTTTTCCTTGTCTATTTTCTAACCTATTTCTTCTTATTATTTAAGATTTTTTAAGATCATTAGTTTTTCTATTTGTGGTTCAACCTCTATTGTACCCTCTCTATTTATTAAATTGATTATGATAGTGAAAATATAAATAGTTTTAGATAATCTCACTTATGACCTACGACATCCCAAGTCTTGAGTTATTAATAAGCAAGCATTAAAGTCTATAAATTACTAATCTAACATCAAAATAATGCATATGATGAGTTTCATTCATTCAAATATTTAATTTTCTATCCAATATAAAATTTAAAATAATTAATAAGACTGTAGATGTACTAAGTAAAAAGTTCTTATGCCTAGTCAACTTTTGAGAGCTAAGACAATTGGGTTAGATTATTTAAAGGAATTACATGAATCTCATAATTATTTTTACTAAAATATGTGTTGTGGGTAAAAATAATCAATTGATAAAATAATTTCATTCACATGAAGAATTTATGTTTCATAGAAACCAGTTATGCATTCCTAGAAGCTTACTTCATGACAAGATAATAGATAATTACTTGAAGGATTAGGTGAACATTTGGGCTTGAAGAAACCTTATGTACGGTTGAAGATTTTAATATTATTGGCCACAACTTAAAAAGGACATAAAATCTAATATGATGATGTCAAATATGTTAGATAAATAGGGCCAATGCCAAAATATAGGATTTTATACACTTTTTCAATTCCACAAAATCATTGGCTGATAGATCTATGAATTTTATTTTGGGACTATTCAAAAGTCAACAAAAAGTTAATTCTATTTTTGTGGTTGTTGATCATTTTTTAGAAATAACATACTTTATTGCCCACAAGAAGATGAATGATGTAGTAGATATTGTAATTGTTTTTTTTTGAAAGAGAATGTGTTTGCATAGAGTTTCTATCCAATTATCTATGATTGTGTTACCAAATTTTTCTCTCATTTTTATGTACTTTGTTGAAAATGTTTAAATTTAGTTGTACAAGACATCCACATATATCGTGAATCTCAAATTGAGCTAATGAATGGAACACTTGATAGTTTAATTTGTTGCATCTCAAAATATAAACTAAAGCAATGAAACTTTCTATTAGCTCTGAAAAAAATTGTTCATAACAATATCGTGAATCATTTTACAAAACAAAACTCTATTTTCTATTATTTTACTTGAAACTTAAAACTTGATTTAATTTAGTTACTACTACTAGAAAAGGCTGAAAGATATTGTAGCAAAATATGTTTAATCAGTTCATGAAGAGGCAATGCAACACCTCATTAAATTACAATAACAATGGGAAGATGACAAATAATAGAAGATGAGAAAAGATTTGTATGTGACATAGTTGTGGTTTACTTGCCGAAAAAAGGGCTACCATCTTGCACTTATCATCAGTTGTCACCAAAAAAAATATAAACCACAAAAAGCTTAACACAAGATCAACAATAATGTTTATGTCATTGACTTACCATAGAGCATGGATCTATCTTCTACCTTTAATGTCATAGATATTTTTGAATATTATGCAAAAGAAGATGAAGACTCAAGGCTGAGTATTTGAAAGCAGGGGACATTGATCCAAGACATTAGAAGATGAACCCAGTATTGCAGAAGATGACCTAATCAGAAGACAACTCATTTATGAATGATAGGTTATTAAACAAGGCAATCCCAATATAAAAGATCCATACCCAGTAGAGATTTTAAATAAAGGGATTTGACTTGACTTAAAACGATTTCACTTTCATCAAACTAGTCTAATTTGAATTGAAGTAACTCAAATCAGCCCAAAACATATTCGTTCAAGGGGAGAAACCTTACCCACCGCCACCCTATCCTTTTAGCCTTTAAATAGAAGTGAATATTCCTCTTTCAATTTTATGCATTTCTTGAGCTCTTTCCCTTCTGAGCATTCTCTACTTGTGGATTCAATAGAGCCACCCTTGTGGGTTCAAGAGTCAAAGTATCTAATCTCTATGGATTCAAGACTAGAGTTTTCATTGTCATGTGTATTGAAGACACCCTATTTTTCCACTCTTCTGCTCTCTTTCCAGTATCTCTACATTATGAGAGCCAAATCTCTATTGTAAATGGTTTCTACAAGTGATTTTGGCTCCCTAGTGCTTTGAGGAGTTGTGGATGTCAGATTTTGACGAGGACAGGATGACATAAGGTCGTCCTCCCTAACTTCACGGTTGAGGTGGACCTAAGTTTCGTCTGCGCTGGGCTTGTTGAGAGCGACCTTTGGAAAGGACCCAAACAATTCATGGTTTAAAATAATAAACCTCATAAACTCGATATTAAAAGAAATTGGACCTTTGAGAGCACATTGGGGACAATTTTTTTCCTTTTACTAGCCTGAAAAAATGAAAACATCACACCTATTTTCATCGTAAAATCTAAATAAATGTAGGGTTGATTAGGTTTAGGTCCCTACATACCATCGGCTTTAGAGAATCCCGTCCCTTCACAAAGTCTCAGAAGGGCCTGGCAAAATACTACAAAATAGGGGGTTGAACCCCAAACCAGCAGGTTTTTAGGGACAGAACACTAATCACCCCAAGAAAGTAACATCCAAATGTTTTCCAAGTCCAAAATACAACTGGGGGCCACTCGTTATCTCCCCCGTTAACCCCGACGAGGGCAGAAATATTATTTAAACTTGTATACGATTTTCTGGTTCTGTAGGTTCGTGTATCGTAGGCCCTTGTTATCTCAGGCCGTAGTATAGAAAATGTATGAGAAGACAGAGCCTTGATCTCTAGCCCTCTCGGAGGGTCGCCGGCGTTCTGGGCTTGCCGGCGATCATGAAGGATGGGAAAGTCACCTCCCTGATGAGAGACCTTCCGCCCCAAGCCTTCTCCAGCTCCTCCACCACCTCGGCCGGCAACAAGTTGATCCCTTGCTTCTTGGCGATGTTCACGATGGACCAGGTCCGCAACAGCCGGAGAATCCACTCAAAGGAGGCGTTCATCTTCATCTCGAGGGCCACCGGCTCACCTTCAGCGCCCACGCCGACGCCGTCGAAGGGGAAAGGGAGGTTTCTGTACTCCTCGAAGATATGGCGGCTATTGGGGTTGGAGAACGGCTCCGCCGAGGCGATTAATCTCTGTATTAGGGCGTCGAAGGAGGGCGAAACCCTCATTTCCCGGTAGCTCCAGACGGCCATCACGCCGCCGGGCTTCCTGAGGACTCGCTCCACCACGGGGTAGAACTTATCGAGGTCGAACCAGTGGAGGGCCGTGGCGACGGTGACCAGATCGACTGAGTCCTCCCCACCCAGTTTCGCCACTAGGTCGTCCTCCGGCATTGAGATAGGCGTGTGGATGTACCGGATCTTGGGGTGCGGCACGGCGTGCCTCAACTGGCCCTCGCTTACGTCAGTGGCGACGACTCGGTCGTAGTGGTCGGCCAGCTGCTCGGCCGCCGTCGATGGCAAGTGTGGATATGTTAGGGATGGGAGTGAGGAGAACTCGGCGTAAGGGGGGAGAAGGGGACTTACGCCGACGGCGGCCTGGCCGTTGCCGGTACCGGCGTCCCACGCAACGCCGTGGTGTGGGGTGAGGGCGGCGAGTAGAGCGAACCACTCCCTCGGGTACTTCATCCTCGTCTCGGCGTAGATCTTCGCCTGCGTCTCGAAAATGTCCGCCATGATTTCAACCTCTGTGTGTGTGTCTCTCTCTCTTACTCTCTCTATCGTTTTCTCAAAGGGAGTTTCCAGGGCATCGGAGTCGACAGTAGGTTTCACGTCTGTAAATTTACGCGTGAAAGTTGGTAATAAAGTAATTTTACGGTTTTTCTCAGAGTCCACCTCTGCTATTTACGTCTGGGTCAATCTTTTGAAAGCGTCTGTCTACAGCCGATGGACGTTTCCAAACTCACCCCGTAAGGACAGAAAACAAAGCCTCTAAGTAAATCTGATAATTTTCAGGTGCATGAATCTTTTATTCCTGTGATTAAATCGTCCCCATAACTGTGTCGGTCGTTGACCGGTCAGCAATGACGACAGCACAATCGTGGCGCGATGTCAGCGCAAAGTCCGGGAGCTGTTCCACGTGGTGAGTTGTTACGTCTTCTAGGAATGCTCCAGTCTTTTTTACTGATGCTGGACCAATGAGTCAGATGCTCTTACGCTAGTAGTAGTCAGACCAAAACCTCGCACGTATCCTTAACGGGCCGCGGTCCAATCAAAGGACTGCGGTCCAATATTTTGGAGACTCCGAAATGGGCTGGGCTGGCTTGGGTGGGCATGGCGATCTCTCTCTCTCTCTCTCTCTCTCTCATCGCCGGCTTCTTTGCAGACGGAAGGTTAAAGACGGGTCTCATTAATGAAGACGGCTGCCCTGAGACGACCTTCTTCCACCTTTCATTCTAGAATCCAACCCGCCCGCGCACCCTGCGACATCCCTTGCAGCCATAATTATAATGAATGGCTCATCAATGCAGTGAGCTGGCCGGCCGTGGTGGTGATGGTCCCTCGGCTGTCCTTGTCAAGATTATCTAGGTCTGCATGCATGGCACCTTAATGCTGTGAGCTGGGGCTCAAGAAAGTCCATGCCGAGATTATGAATCTGATGAGATACTCACCTCCTCAACCTCACCGCGTTAGAAGCGGACATGACAAGTATGTGGATAAGAGACCAACGGGGTGAGAAGAAAAAGCAAGTTGATCATGCATTAGTTATCATGTTTTAACATATCCAAATTGATAATATTTTTAACTAAACCTTATAAATGAAATTTAAGTATTAGTGTAAGTTCAGGTCAAACCTCAAGATGATGAAAATTTATTTTAATAGGTTTCTAATTTTCCAATGAGGAAGATGAGTTGAAAAAAAAGAATAAAACCAAAATGGGATGAGATGAGTGATAAAACTTTCTCTTTGTTACTTATTGACCTCCTTTATCAATTAATTTCGTATGTTTATTTCTTTCTCTGAATATCTTAAGATGAAGGAGGATTTAAATCATGACATGATTAAATAATAAATAAAAGAAATTAGTATATAAATTGTGAATTAGAAATATGAGAAAGGTGATTATCAATAGAATAACTTATATTGACTTAGAAAGTGTTTTGAAATATTTGAAGAGACATTCTGAAATAAGGTGAAAATAAATGAATTGAAGAACTACCATGGCTGTCAATCAAGGAGAAACTAAAATAAAGACATTTGTGGAAGAAAATAAATGTTGAAAAAAAATTTAGACTAAACTATTTATCACATAGTAAAGTCCTTAGAAAGATTATAATTAAAATATTAAATTTCAATTAAATCTTAAAAGTTTGAATATATATCTTTTCATTTCCTTGTCTGTCACCTAAGGATGAGAAAAGAGTGTATTATATAAAAATAAAATTTTAATTAAATTTAAAATTATAAAAAAAAATAGAATGAAAGTTAAAACTTTCTTCTTTCCTTGTTTGTTCAATGTTTGTCACCCAAATAACAAAAAAGAAATGAAATAACATTAGAATAAAAATTAATTTTCAAATATTCCAAAGGACTATGTTAAACACAATTAGTTAGTCCCAAGATCTATCTTGCTCATTGGCTTTCTTCTTTGCCTTTGGTCCATCCACCCACCAACCCACCAGCCCATCCCCTCCTGCAGCCAAGGGTTGTGGTGTAATGACATCAACATCTTAACTGCCTAGTTCACAAATGCCTCAAATTTTAGTGGATCTTTCTTATTTCTCCACATACTTTTTTGACTCTTCTAAAAGCTCTCTTAATGCGCCTTTTGTGGACTTGAATGAAGCTCTCTTAATCTGCCATTTGTGGACTTGAATAAAGCTCTCCTAATGAGCTATTCATGGAGTTAGGAGGAACTCACAAAAATGAGATGTTTCCTTGATCTTGAAATTCATAAAATATTCTCAAGGCTTTTAGGCCTTAGAAAATATAATAAAACTCGAATAAAATAGGTTAGGATAAGAAAAATAAAATAAATATTTTTATACTTGTATTTCACATTTTCATTTTAATACCAAATCATGTTTACTTCAAAGATCAACACCTATGTTCAAACACATGTCAATATGTTCATTCTTGATTTGACTTTAGACAACTCTAAAAAATTAACCAAAAATTACCAAAAATAATAAAATTTCATAAATCACATTTTTCACCAAATATATATCATTTTCATGAGAATCATGAGACATTTACATTTTTTTTATCTTACTTTGCACATGAAAATAGAACATTATCACAAGTATACATTGAAAGGAGAATTGAAAGACTAGAAGACAAAGCATATGGTCAAACCCAACCATCAAAATGAGAGTATGATATAAGTAAGACCCTAGTTCAAGAGAAGGAGAATGAAGTATTGTGGAAACTAACCATCTTGAATTAGTCAATGTCCTCTATGGTCCCTCATGTTTCTCTCTCTCTTTCTTAGTCTATTCCTCTCTCTCTCTAGGGTTTTGTATAACCCCTAGGGTAGGTGCTCTCTTGTCATTATTGGAGTTACTTTCAATTTAATTTACGCTTCATTTAGTGATACTTTGTTGATTTTTATTTACCAAACTATACTTCGTTCAATTACGATTCTTCCGGCTTTTACAGATCTTAATTTGATTAATTGAGTTGTCTGTAATCGCCTACGTAAGAATCACCGGGCGGAACTCTATTTCCGCCTGATTCGCGTTCGCCGGGCGCTGACGTCATCCTGACGTCCGCACCCTTATTTCCTCTTTTTTTTGTGAATTTTAAATATATTTCCTTTTTATTTCCTAGTATAAAATTCGTAAGAAAATCGTACTCATTGAGAAAAATTCTGAATAATTACCAGATATTATATTACATCCCTGTGATCGACCTGGAAAATTACCGCTATTTTTGGGATTTGTATTGAATTATAATTGATATATTTATTTTGAAATACTTCTAAATATCTGAAAATTCGTATTTTCTAGTTTTATAAATTTTATATTTGCGTGATTTAATATACAACGACTGAGTCACGTCATCAAGTACTTTTTGTGACATTGTCATTTATGTCATCTTTACTTTCTAAAGTTTTAGAAAACCTTACCGTGGTTGTCTCTTAATGAATTTATGTGCAAGTCATGTCAATTAAGCAAATATCATTATTTCTTTTATTTTAGTCATGACAATATTCCATCCTCGATTTCATTCAATCTTATTCATTATGATGTTTAGAGATCATCTTGAGTTGCCTCTATCACTGGACATCTCTATTACATCATTTTCATTCATAATTATACTTACATGAGTCGAATTTATTTTATCCATGATCAATCTCAAGTTCTCTCTATTGTTACCTAATTTATCACTAAGATTTTTACTCAATATTTCACCACACTTAAGGTTCTTCACACAGCACTTATCATGCTCTGAAAAATATCTTCGTGGTTATTCGTACACCCAAAAGAATTATTGGCTATATTTTTCTGACACTCGTCACTATGTGACCTCTAATGATATTACTTTTTATAAAAAATTCTCTTTTTTACTTCATCTCCTTGATCTTCTTGTCCATCTACATCTTCACCACCTAGGTTTCTACCCTTTGTCATTCTCATAGATCCTCTTCTTTTTATTCTTTCTTTATCTCTTCTTTCTTCATCAGTACCTCCACCACCCACATCCTCTATTGATACCTCAGATCCGAGTGCAGCTCCATCCTCACACACTTTGTCTGACATTATTACTATACTAATTGACCCTCCTACACTACCTATAAATAATCTTCATCTTCTCATTGCATTGTGTAAAGGTACATGCTCTTGCACACAACATCCTATATCCTACTTTCTCTCCTATGATCACCTTCACTCCACCTTTTGTACCCTTATCCTCTCTGTGGTCTACGAGTTGATTCCACAATTACATATTAAGACACTTTAGGCCCCTACTTAGAAAGTAGCTATAGATTTAGAGATTAGGGTATTAGTTTCTCGAGACATGTGGAAGCTTGTCCCACATCTGACTAATATTAATGTTGTGACATGTAGTGGATCTTCACACTAAAATACAATCTAGATGGCTACATCGCTCATCATAAAGTTCACTTGGTTGTCTGTGGCTTCAATTAAGCCTATGACATTGATTACATGAAAATCTTCTCCTTTGTGATCCAATTGAACTTTAATCATATTATTTTTTCATTAGCGGTGCATCATGATTGGTCACTTGACTAGTTAAATGTGTCTAATGTCTTCTATAGTAACTTAGAAAAGTAAGTCTTTATGTTGCGCAAGGAGAGTCTTCCCAAGTTTGTTTGCTTCAACATACTATTTACAGACTTTAGCAAAGTCATCAAGCTTAGTTTGTGAAGTTGAGTGACCTTCTTACTACCTTCGGCTTTACTTTATCTATTGTTGACCCTACTGTCATAACAAAGATCATACCTTGAGGTATGATTATCATGATTGTGTATGTTGATGACATTCGTGTGATAAAGAGTGATGAAGCACCCCTCTCTATCACCTAAGCCTACGTGTAGTATTACTTTGTCACAAGAGACTTTGGGACACCGTGCTACTTTCTTCAGATAGAGTTTGTTTATCAATCAAGCAAATTAATTTATCTTAAAAGAAATATGACATCAACCTTTTTCAAGAAATAGGACTTCTTCACGACAAACTAAAGTCATCAACTATGGAGGCATGTCTGAAGT